TTTTTTTTTTTTTTTTTTTTTTGAAGGTGGAGTGGGCAAGAGAATCAGTTGTTCATTGGAATCTCCTGTAACTACTCTGCATCAGGTGGTAGTCCACGTAATTTGTGGACTGGTGAGGAGTTGTATATGCTTCTTCTACGGAGTAAATCTGGTTGTACAGGGATTGAAGGTATACACCTGACCACAACAGTCATCGGCACCAAGATATCCCCAACCCAGCAAGACAGCTCACAAGGACAAACAAGGTCAGAAGTAAAGTCTATATTATTAAAAAAAATTCTAACCAAACACCGCAGCCAGCCAATCGACTATGCAACGGTCTGATGCAAAACATTCGCCCGGTAACTCTCCGACCGCTCCAACAACTCCTCATGCGTCCCACTATCCACACACCTCCCCGCCTCAATCAAAAAGATCACATCCGCCTTGCGGATCGTATTCAACCGATGCGCGATCGCCACAACCGTTATGCCTTTCGCCGCGCGCTCCAGCCCCTCCTGCAACAGCTTCTCGCTCTCCGCGTCCAGCGCGCTGGTCGACTCATCCAGGATCAACAGCTTGGGTTTACGAACGAGCGCCCGTGCGATGGACAGACGCTGCTTCTGCCCACCCGAAAACTGCGACCCGTTGGGGCCGCACATCGTCTGGTATCCGTCCGGCAGGGCGATGATGGTCTCGTGGATGTTGGCGAGTTTGCACGCTTCCTGGATCTCCTCCAGACTGACGTCGCGGCCCGGCGGCGCGCCGAGGCTGATGTTGAACTCGATCGTGCCTTCGAACAGCACGCTTTCCTGCGGGACGAGGGAGATGGTATCCCTGAACGAGACGCCCCGGGTCTGCGTTACATCGAGACCATCCACCACGATGGAACCCGTTGAGGGGGTGTACAGTCGCTCCACCAGGGAGATAATCGTCGATTTGCCGGCGCCCGAGGGGCCGACGAGGGCGGCGAATTTGCCCGCAGGGATGTTCACGCTCAGCCCGTTCAGCACCTTGATGTCCGGGCGGGCCGGGTAGGAGAAGTGCACGTCGCGGAGCTGCACGGTGGAGGCGCCCCCGCTGGATTTCTCGGTGGACGTGGCTGAACTCTCAATGTCCGAGGACAGCGACGGTGGGAGCCGGTCGACGTTGCCGCGCATCTTATCCGAGCCGATCTCAATCAGCCCAAGAATCCGCGCCATAGCGGCCTTGGAGGCGGACAACTCCGGAGCCAGCGCGAACATCTGACTCCACAGGAGGGCGCTGACAAGCAGCGAGAAAACCACGATCAAGAACTGCGTCTGGGTGTAGTTCCCAAGAATAATCTGCTTGGCGCCCCACCAGTACGCCAGCGCGTTGACCATATTACCCAAAAAGTAGGTCATCGCTTGCCAGAAGCTGGCTTGCAGCGTCACCTGCAGTGTCTCCTTGCGGGGCCCCTTGAGCGAGCGGCGGTAGCTGCGCAGAGTCAATTCCTCGAGCGCCAGGGAGGCGACCGCCTTGATGGACGTGATGGCCTCCACGCCGATGTCGACCGACTTGGTGTACGCGTTCTCGTGCTTCTCCTCGAACTTGCCCAGCACGCGCAGCTCCATCAGACCCGCGCCCAGGAGCAGGGGCACGAGGGCTAGACACACGAGAGCGATGCGCCAGGCGATGATGTGCGTCATGACGATAGCCGCGATCAGGTTGATCGTGATGGAGATCAGGGTACCGATCACCGACCCGCTCAGACCGGCCAGCGCCTGGCCGTCGCGGGTGATGAACGACAACAGCAGCGCCGGGGTGCGGCCCTCGGACTGATGCCACTGCAGATCCTGCTCGAACAGCGAGCGGAACGAGAGCACCCGCACGGTGTACACGATCTTCTCGGAGATGCGACCGAAGCCCGCCCAGCTGACCACGTTGGCGAAGAACTCGATGATCGCCAAGATGAAGAACATCAACCCATAGAAGTTGCCGCTGTGGCTAATGCTCGAGGCCCCCTTGCACGGGTTCAGACTGCCCACTGTGTTACCGAAGATCACGGCTTCACCGGAGAACGCGCCGCCGACAATGGCCGAGCCGATCAGGGCCAACAGGATGTACAGGAGGTGGGGACGCAGGGCCGGCGCGTAGCCCTTGGCAAGCGCCCAGACGGACTTCTTCGGGGTAGCGAGCTCTTCAGGGTCGGCTTCTTCGTCCGAGGTAGGGGTGTTGCTGGAGTCAGAGGCAGGCGTTTCGTGGACCACCGGGCTCTTCTCGGCGGGTTCCTCGGTGTCGGCCAGGCTGGCCTTTTCGTTCTCAATCTCCACGTCCGTCAGGGAGGGTGGATCCGAGCGACTGGCATGGTCAGCGGTGGCAGGGGCGTCGTCCGAGGCGGAGGACATGCCCTGCAGCTTCACGAGGTCGGCGTAGGCACCGTTCCGCGCCATGAGCGTGGCGTGGTCACCCTGCTCGACGATGGTGCCCTTGTGCATGACGACGATATTGTCCGCGCCGGTGATGGTCGACAGGCGATGGGCGATGGTGATCATGGTGCGACCGCTGGCGATGTTGTTGATGGCCCGCTGGATGCGCTGCTCGCTACGCGAGTCGAGCGACGCAGTGGCCTCGTCGAGGATCAGCACCGCCGGGTCCTTGATCAGGGCGCGAGCCAACGAGACTCTCTGCTTCTGTCCACCACTGATCAGACGCCCGCTCGATCCCACCAAGGTTCCGTATCCATACTGCAGCGCGCTGATGAAGGTATCGGCGTCAGCCAGGGTCGCCGCGTGCTTGACCATCTTCACCACTTCCAGAACCTCGGGCCCGCGCTTCTCAGCTGCGGCCATCAGATCATGTCCCTCGCGCACCTCCGTGGAGAGCTCTTCCAATTGGGTCGTCAGCAGCGTTTCCTTGAACCGTGCATGCTCAGGGTTACTCGAATTCATCAGTCCATGGGCAATGTTCTCCAGCAGCGACCGGTCCAGAAGCGAGGGCTCCTGCTGCACCAAGCTCAGGTAACTGCGTAGATCTCTGGTGTTGATGTCGCGCAGGTCGTGGCCGTCGAACATGATCTGACCCTCGGTGGGATCATACAGCCGCGTCACCAAGCCGGCAATCGTCGACTTGCCGCTGCCGGACAATCCGACCAGCGCGGTGTGCTTCTTCGCGGGGATGCTCAGATTGATCTTGTCGAGCACAGTGATCTCCGGCCGGGAGGGATACACGAACGAGACTTCCTTGAACTCGAATCCGCCCTGGGCCTGTCCCTCAGACAGCCGCAGCCCCTCCGTCGTGGTAGCATCAATCAGCGGCTGACGGTCCATATCCTCGCGCAGTTTCTCATACGACGCCACACCGGCCACAAACAGATGTAAGAACGGGGCCACCTGACTGAGCAACAGGGTTGCCTCGACGAGGATGAAAATCACCGTGAAGACCGCACCGACGCTGATGCCGCTGGTGCCGTCACGGACGTGGGCAGCGACCTGCTTGGCGCCCTGCCAGAAAGCCAGACCGTTGGCCGAGTAGGCGATAAAATACAAAAAGCCAGCCTGGATGCCGACCGCGGTGGCTTTCTTCAGGCCCTCCGTTTCAGCCGACTTGAGAGCAGCAGCAAACTTCTTCTCGAGGCGAACATTGGCGCCAAAGGCCTGCACCACCACCAAGTTGTTCAGCGCCTCGGAAGCAATGGAGGCGGCCGTTGCGGCGTAATCGGACATGGCGCTGGAGTATTTCTCGATATAGTGACTCCCGATGAAGGACATGAGAAAGTAGGCGGGAATCAGGGACAGTAGCTCGGCGGCCAGCTTCCAATCCTTAATGAAGGCGACGATGTACGCAGTCACGAAAAAAGACAGACTGGCCAGCACGATGCCCACTTTCTCGGAAGTCCCGGACCGAATGGTTTGGATGTCGCTGCTGAGTCGCGAGGCGACCTCCCCGGGGGGAAGTTTGTCAAAGTAGGAGGGCTCCTGGCGGAGGAGGTTGCGGAGGTATTTCTCGCGAAGGCGTTGGGCCAGACGGGCGCCAGAGAGCGTCCAGCAGGTCAGGTGGATGTAGATCAGGACGAATTGCGCGATGCCCAGGTAGACAATTAACAGAATCTCGTGGTTGATGCTGCCTTGATCGGAGGAGCGCTCGCTTTCGGTGTCGGGGTGGGTGCAGGAGATGGTGTTGAAGTCGTCGAGCAGTTCACCGAAGATGATGCCGATGATCGGAAAGGGCACACCTGATCCGATAGCAGCGGCAATGCCGGTTAGCAACAAAACGACTTCATATTTGGTCGGATTGCCTGCCAGAAGCAGGCGGGGGAAGCCCGCCAACTTCTGGACGAACATGATGAAGGGGAAGAGGAGGAAGGGGGGATTGGCGTGTGACTGGAGCCAGCCAGTTGCTGCAGTGATGGCTCTCGCAACGCCCTCGGGAAATGCCTGCACACGCAAAGAGAGGTTGCATTCACACTTTCTGGGAAACGTAGGAGGAGATGCAGAGAAGAACAAGACGGAAGAAGAGCAGCCCCGGTGACTGAAGAATGAAAGGTGACAGGGACCACTGCAGAGGCTTTACGTAAGGTGCAGAACCTCAGAGCAGCTTGGCTGCTTGGCTGGAGGAGCAGCGAAGGAAAAGAAGGAACAGAAGGAGAAGAAGCGAAAAGATAATCTATCCAGACCCCACTTGTGGAGGTGGTATTGTATACCCGTATGAGCAAGGTACCCGTTCTGTCACAATACTTGTGGTATTTTACGGGCGTATTGGGCGAGCCAGAAAATTCTTCCCTTCCGCTCCATATCTTTGTGCTTTACGATTGGCCACCACCCGCAACCGACCCGCGCACTACACTTCCTTAGCGGCAGAAAATAACTCAGATAGCGAGGATCAGATAATTTCCTGGCCCAGGGATGGAGCTGTTTGACGCACCTTGGGTTCTGGGATGCCCTCCAGGGGACAAACTTTCGAAACCACATCCGGAAATCTAATCTGATAATCTCTTCTCCCTCACTTTGGCCTGCAGTTGGACGCAGAGTCAAGTGGAGATAGAGCGACAGAGACATTCTCTTCCTTCCCTTCCTCCGGTGCCGGACCTTTTCTGCCTTGTCAACCACGCGGCGAAAAAAAGAAATAAGACCACTCGGAAGGAAGAGGGGCTTGACTCATGCCAAGTGGCCACTGCAACCACTGACCCATCGGAGGTCGGGCCTTGCGTGCGTGCATACGGCGCTTATGGAGAATTAGCCTGTGCAGTAACAGGAATTCCAGTAATTCCACTTCTCAAGGCCTCAGGCTGCAGTGTGCTTATTCATCCCAGAACAGCCACACGTGACTGCTCGAATAAAACAAATCGAACCAATGAGTACAAAAGGGACAAAAGGATCGAAGATGCACGCTGGTCCACCATGGAGATAACTCTCGGTGAGAAATTGAAGGAGAAACAATCACGAAAACATCACGCTGTGCTAGCAGCAGTCCGCATCGACCATGCTCCCTGAGGCATATAGGCTTGGAGCACATCCTGAATCTCATCGTAGTCCAAATGGTCAGCCCAGTCATATGCCGTACGCTGATATGAATCCTCAACCCCTGGGTCCGCGTCGAACTCGATCAACACCATCACCACAAGCAAGTTTCCCTGGCGCGCCGCATACGTGAAACATGTACTCCCCGTCGGTGTCTGCTAGGAGACCTGCCCCTGGTCATATTCCAGCCATCGACGAACCACTCAATCATGGCCGTTTAACGCTGCTCAGAGAATTGGGTGCCAATATGATAATCAACATTGCCAACATCAACGTCTGCACGAGCGAGAAACATCTCCACAATTATGATATTTTCGAGACCCATCTCAGCGGTGGGGGAACAGGGGACGGCAATGCGTCATGTCGACCGTGTTCACCACCACGCCGGATCGATTGTTCAGTTTGCTGACAGTGTCTACTGTGCGAGTTCCACCGCCATGCCGAGTAGAGTCATGTCGTATGAATCTTTGATGTTCGCATTGACCCGGTTAACCCCAAGAAGCGCATCCACGATCGCGTATTGCTCGTGAAAAATAGCAGTGAAAAGGTGCATATCGACCAAACATACAGATCTTAGGATCCAAATCGTTGCGCTGCAACAAGAGCCGAGTGATCTCCAGGCTTACGACTCGCGCAGCGAGGGACAATGGAACATTGTCTTTCTCATCAGGTGGTAGATCACCTTTGATAGGATCCACATCCTCACGATGGATTTTCTGCAAGGCCTCATTCAAGTTGAGAATCTTGAAGGCCTCTACACATAACTATAGTGGTCAGTATCCGTCAGGGCAAGGCTTAGGTCGATAAAACTCACTGCAAACGAGACGCAGATGGAGGAATCCCCACTCCTCTTTGCTCAAGTCCCAGTCCTGAGCCACAATGTGGCCCAGGACTAGCATCATGATCTCTGCCGAAAGGCAAAATAGATTCAATTCTTCTGAAATGGATTTGGTTTGGGCGAAATGCTGTGGTATTTGAGAAGTGTTAGTCATGGGTGTTGGGGGACGAGCAAAAAGCAGCAAGGTAAACAAGCAGAAGTGAGAGTACTCTTCTTTTGCGAAAGAGAAAATGAAAAAGGTTAGCGGCATACCCCAGCCTCTTTCGTACGCCGGGTTCAATGAAAAATAAGATTCACTGGTCCATCTACTGCGCCCTGGTGGCTGAAGCCATTGTAGGCTATACTTCTATAGCTGGCACTTCCCCACAAGGACATTTCATAAAGAATCCTTCCCAACACGTCACCTCTGGCCTTCCTCGTTCTTGTCCATTAGCATAGTGTGAAATTTTCTCCGTTGCCATCGCCAGACCTCCCGTCAAGTTTGGCTGCAAGAGCATATATACTTCATCTTGCGACGGAATACAGGCCAAGTGACAGATAGTCTTGGCTCACCCACTAGTTTGCGGGGTAGCCACGCTAGCTCCGAATCTCTTCAGCTCGGACGACTTTTTTGCCTTTTGTCTGCAGCTTGCTTGCATGTCTTCCCCTAATGGATCCCCTATCCATCTCATCCGGCGTGGCAGGGCTGATTGGTTTAGCTCTGCAGGTAGCCCCTGTCTTCCAGTCGTATGTCTCGAACGTCAGGTCCGCACGTGATGATGTCCAGGCTTATCTCGACGAGGTGGCAGCCTTGTCCCAGGTACTGGATCAGATGTACACATTTCTTGATTCCCGCATGACAGGCGACTGTTTCCAAACAACCGAAGCTGTGCTGCTGCAAACCATTAAATCATGTGAAAGATCCCTGTTGGAGCTGATTCGGATGCTGAGAAAGCCGGTAGGACTGAAGAAGAAGTTGCTATGGCATCTTGAGAAGGAGAAGGTTGAAAACATCATTGCCCGCATTCGAAAACACAACCAGCTTTTCCATTTCTCACTGAGTGTCGAAGGATGGTAGGCTATACGCGGCCCTGACAGACTGGATCTTTACTGAGCATACAGGGCTGTTCTTTCGCAGACTCCGGAACAGGTGACCGCTATGTTGCAGCTACAGATGCAGATGTCCAAGAAGATGCATGACATGGTCGAAGCGGCGTCGTTATCAGCAGAATCGGCCAGAATATACCAAGAAAAGACAAGAGAACTGGCTGCGTTGCTGGAAAACGTGTCGATTCTTGCGAAGCCAGCTGAACAACTCTTAGAGATCCAGGAGCGCATAGAGAAGATTGATCGCAGCATCACAGGTGAGCATCTCTTCCCACGCCGTCGCGTTCACTTTCTGTCGTTCCTGCCATAGCTGTCGAGATTGCATTCAAGCTCGTTCGATCGAGCATGTACCACCTCCATGAGAGCCCAGCCTTTGCATCGGTTTTGGCCAAACTCTTTTCAGGACGATAACGCAGCCTTCTAGACAGGCGATCTGGCTTGACAGTCAGTGGGTAGCATCACTTGTCCTTGCTTCGAAACGTGAAAAAAATGATCACGAACAAGGATGGGAAATAAGTGGCCTGGAAATTCTCATGTATTGCCATGGCAGTCAAGGCGGCGTCTCCGTTGCCTATGACGTTTCTCCAATATCAGATGGCAGGGACGAGAGCTTGTGATCGCGGCGTTTACTTTGCTTCATCATACCTGCTGACCTGTAGCAAGATGCGCGAGAACTCGAAATTCTCGAATGGCTTAATCTCGACCAGGGTCCTGGACGTCATCACGAGATACAAGGACGTCGGACCCCAGGAACAGGCAAATGGATCTTCAATCAGCCGCAGTTTCAAGAATGGCTGAAGCCCGATAGCCCCATAAACGTTCTCTGGTGCATCGGAGGCCCGGGCTCGGGAAAGTCGACAATCATGTAGTCACGGAAAGGTCTCGTGTAGTTTATTCAACCGCTAACATTGAATAGGTCGCTCGTGGTTGATGAGGTCAAACACTCACGTACCGTTCCTGACGAGGCAGTAGCATACTACTACTGCGATTATCGAATGCGTACCTCGCAGCCAGCGGCTCTGGTCCTTGAATACTTAGTAAAGACATTCGTGGAGCAATTGGACAGCCTGCCGCAATCTATTAGTCAACTATACAATAACTGCAGACGAGATGGCCGGCGACCAAAGGTCTCAGAGCTTGAGACTATTCTGAACGAGATATGTAGCCTCTTCAGATCACCGTTCGTTTTGTTAGATGCACTGGACGAGTTTAGTCCCACGAACATAACTGAAACAAGACATCTTATTCGTTTGCTGAATGGCCTCGCCCGGAATGGCGCACGTGTCTTCGTGACAAGTCGATACAGACCAGAGCCTGTGTTGGAAGAAGGTAGTGCCATACTCGAATTCGCAGCGGACGGCACAGATATCCGGCGTCATATCATGCATGTGCTCAGCTCCGATGACTCGATGGTGGATATTTTGGATCCGCAGCTGGAGGAGGAAATATGCAGCAAAATTGTTGCCCAGGCCGGTGGGATGTTAGAGCCGAATTCAATCCCTCCGATGACTCGCCTTTGCTAATGATCACAGGTTCCTGCTGGCAGTTCTTCATCTGCAGAACATTCGGGACCAGGTCAGCCGAACAGGAATTCGTCGAAGCTTGAATGCGCTGAGCAGCGATTTGAGCGGCGCGTACGACAAGTCTTTTGATGCCTTGTGGCACCAGTCTGAGGCACGGAAGCAGCTTGCCCTGAATGCTCTGCGCTGGGTAGCATGCGCGTACCGCCCACTGACGGCACTGGAGTTGAGGCACGCCTTAGCGACTGATGACGGCGAATGGGATTTCGACAATCTTTCGCCTTTGAGGCTGATAATCAACAGCTGCTGTGGACTACTGTCCGTGGATGGCTTGGAAGACCACGCACAAGTGCGACTCGTGCATCATACCCTGCAGCAGTACCTACAAGCTACACAACCAGACTGGTATAGGACTGCTCATACAGTCATCGCCCGAACATGTCTGAGATATCTCCTGCTAGAGGCTCTAAACGCTGTCATTGAGGATCAGGACAAGTCAAAGGTAGAACGTTCGAGCAGAATCCCCACGGATTCCGCACGGTCGAGCAATCTTCGACCAAAACAACGGGGCGGGGATCAGCCGATGTCTACTCTCCACAGAGTGTTCGTATATGTCCAATATTCGAAGGATTGTTGGGGCTTGCATGCTGCACAAGTGCCTTTGGAAGACTATGTGCATCTGGCAATGCAGCTTTTCAACGATGCGTCTCGACTGAAACTCCTGTTCCCTGAGAATGAGCGCATTCATGGGCTGCATATAGCCGCTGGTTTCGGGCTTACAGAACTCATAATTCATATGGCCAAGGCAGGCGAAGATGCTCAATGTCTTGACGTGCACTCCCAAAACCCTCTTCAGTACGCATGTGCACACAATCACATGGAGACGGCCCTTGCACTAATCAAGCTCGGGACCAATGTCGCTCATGTGACTCCGAAACGCGACACCGCACTTTTCATGGCTGTTGGAACAGGAAATGTGGATCTGGTCAGAGTACTTCTGGACAACGGTGCACCTCCGGGTCAGATTGCAAGGGATGGCTGGGTCGCTTTACACAAAGCGGCGGATATGGGATTCCTTGAGATTGTGGTATTGCTGGTCCGCCGCGGGAGCTCAGTCTCGAGCAAGTCGGCGCGAAGATTGACTGCGTTGCATCGGGCAGCAGGTCGAGGTTATACCAGGATTGTCGAGTTCCTGCTTGAGGAACAAGCCCCTTTAGACGCAGTAACGTATGATTTATGGACACCGCTCCATGGAGCATCGTCCAGCGGACAAACTGAGGCTGTGGAAGTGTTGCTGCAGCACGGGGCGAATCTTCATCATCAGAGTCTAGACAGAAAGACTGCATTGCACCGTGCTTGTCAAGGTGGACATATCGCGACTGTACAAGTGCTCTTGCAGCACGGGGCCGACATCATGATTCAGGATGGCGATGGTAATCTTCCTTTGCATATCGCAGCAAGCGAAGGTCACGCAGCGGTCGTGAGCTGTCTACTTGAACGATCGACGAGACAGCTACTGCACATGAACAAAGCAAAAAGAACGCCTCTACTCGAGTCACAATGGAGCGGCTCGCGGACGACAGAAGTTCTTCTGTTCGAGCGGACACAGACTATCTCAGGCTCCGATGTCAAGAATGATGTGGAGATGTCAGCTGCCATACACCACGATGATGCAGACAAGGTCACGCGACTTATCGAATCGCAGAAGCTCAGCGTCGACTCACGCGACTCTATCGGCCGGACAATCCTGCAGCGATCCCTCCACGCCGAGTCTTACAAGGTCGCAGAAGTCCTCCTGGGAGCGGGTGCGGATGTGCACGCCCGTTCGCACATCGACAGCTGGCAAGCGATCCACTTTAGTGCTCTGGCTGGAAACGCTAGATGTGTGGAACTGTGTCTGAGATATGGGGCAGACGTTAACTCGCGCACGGAAATAGGCCAGACACCACTCCACCATGCTTGTCGGAAAGGAGACGAGGAAACAGTGCGGTTACTTATCAGACATAATAGTGATATTCGGGCCGCAGACAGCAAATACTGGCAGCCCCTTCATATCACAGCAGATGCTGGGCATGAGCGCATTGTCCGGATTCTATTGGAGCATGGTGCACTCAATCGATTCAATGATTTGCAGTGGACGACCTTTCAGGACTTTGCAGCTTTGCGTGGGCATCACAACCTGGTGGAGTTGTTTCGGGAATTGAGGTATTCGCGGAGTACCAGCTAGTAGTTAGTTTATGGGATGAAGGCGACGCTATCGATGACTTGGCTCTTTGGTGAACTAGTACTGTGCTGGGATACAGGATTCAAGATGAATAGGAAGTTTTTTTTTGTTTATTGATGATCGATCTATTCAACACTCTGTAAAGCATGAGGCAGTTGAGACCATAAGATTCAAAAGAAGAGGTAGTAGTTGTAGAGAGGAGGTGTAACACTGGGGAACTACAGCTACAGTTAACTTATGGGGGAAGGCACAGCCACGGGCCTCCACACCGGACTGTGATCACGTGCACTGTGAGATTTGCGAGCCTTCACTGCAACCACAAACCCCCTGCCATACCTCAGCTTGACTTCCCCATCATCTTCCGCGAAAATCTGATCCGACTGCTCTCGGAAGCTAGAGAGATACTTCGAGGGGACTTCTGCCTATCCTCACCATCCAAACGATCTAAATATGGCTTCATATTTGTATTGTCCATCCACGTCTCGGTCGCATTCTCATCCCCCAAGACGTATCTATACAGCTTGAGACCAATCGTCACGGCCGAGCAGACAGGGGCCAGCGATGCAATCATTTTGCTAGGTTCTGGTACCTCGGCGGTGCTGCGATCTCGCTGCTCGAGATCCAGAGGTCCAGACTCGGTGACTTCGGTGAAAACGCGCCGCAGCAAATCATTGGCAAGCGCCGGGGTCGACATCGCGAGTACGCCACCGGTGCGCTGCGACCCCAGCAAGCGCTCAAAGGCTGCGATGCGCGTCTCGTTCGTAAGCCAGAGCCACTCGGAGACGGAGAAGAACAAGTCGACGGAGAAAGGGGGTTGATACGTCGTGGGCTCCGCGTGGACAAACTCCACGCCGGGGAAATTCTCCTGCGCTTGGCGGATCTCATCATGTGAAGAATCCACCCCGATGACCCGGGCGGCCGGAAAGCGCTCCTTTAAGATGGCGGTGGTTGCACCTGTCCGGCAGCCCAGGTCCACAATGGTAGAGGGGTTATAGTCTGGCGTCTCCAAGAGAGATACCAGATGTGTGGCGGGATGAGTGCGAGCAGTCGTCATGTCTTTTCTGATTCGTTTCTTCGGCTGTGGCATTTGAAGAGCTTTCAGGGTCTCCCAATTCGAGTTGAGGCTGACCCAAAGCGAAGTGAGGCCCGCCCAGCTCATTTGGTCGATCATCTCACTCAATCTCAGCCCCCTCAATTTGGTAGCGCGGACTGAGGGATCTTCGAAGATACGCGGACGGGACCGCTTGTGCTTTTGCTTGACCTGCATGTCCTGCACATTTAAGACCGTCTTGATTGCGATCTTTAAGAAGCGGATTTGGGATTCTCTCTTTTGATGCATCTTTTTGTATTGCTCCTTGATGCCTAGTAACCCACCCCACGGTTTAAGTGACCCACCCCACTTGTTCTTAGCAGCGGGCAGCTCCGACTTTCTGGGCACTGTAGTGGCCGGCCACGTTAGGGTCTCCTTGAGCTTGATGGGACCCTCCAAGACGCTCCTTAGTGAGTAGGCAGTCCGCTTCGGTAACTGGTCTTGTTTTACACGACTCCATTTGTATGTGTTCCACACCAGTGAGTCTAATTTTCTCTCCTCACCAGACGGCTTACATTCCTTCCAGTATCTCTCCTCCTCGGCCATCAGCAGCGAGTCCATGGTTTCGTCCTTGGCGGTGAACCGCTCGGGTTGCCTGGTTGCGGCGGTGGTGGAGAGAAGCTTAACCACTGGCCTTGGCAGTACATGATGAAGAGGATCCGATGATCTACTTCTGAGGATAGAACAACCGCTTGATGGTCCTGCGGTCAGTTTGAGCCCGATCATGGTGGGAAGTGTAGCATCGAAGCAGAGGGTCTATCCACCCGCCCCGATACAATAAGACGGATGTTCGGTTTCCCACCGAATTCCTACCAAAGTGGCGAGGGGCGCGGATGCTGTCACGTGCTTTGAGTCCTATCGCGGGTGTCTTCGGATAAACATCCGATAAGTTAGGAATCACCTCCAATATCCCCATCAACGAGAGAGAGCACAGGAATCCCAAACTCAACAGCAGGGCCGCACAAATAGAAGGTGGAGCACTAGAGAGTTATTGGCCTCGCGCGTACATTATTTGCAACCGTCCAACTCGAGTAGATCATCAAGTTAAGGGAATAGTAACAAGAAAGATAAAAGTCTAGTGTGTCAGCCTCGCGATGCTATGGTCATTTACGCAGTCCGACTGATATTCAAGGTCAAATCGGAACTATTTTCCGTTTCTCGTACTTCATCACTAGATATTCTTCAAGGACAATGGGAGAACGTAAAATCTCCATAAGCTCACAAAGGAAAGTTGAAGAATGGAAAGATAGAAACACAGAGCTAGATTGAGGAGAGACAGATGGACACACTTGATCAAAGCGAATCGAGTGAAAGTTCAATCAGGTTCCTTCGTCTGCCGCAGTCACTGGAGCAAGTTACAAGCCAGAAGATGAACAGCTTAGGTTATGCAGCTGATCCACTAAGAGATCCAGCCGGTTTCCAACACCCCGCATTCCAAACTCAGTCAGGTCGTACATCAGAGCGAAGCGAGTAGAGTTTTTGCCGCGAATGTTTATTATTGTCGCGATTGTGATCAATATCCGATGCACTTCGCGCAAAGAAATAAGGTAACAAGGCATTTCTTTAACGGATTTGAGCCCTCTGATTGATTCCAACGGCGCTGCGGCTCGACTCTACCTGTGTCACTTACCTCACTTTTCCATTTGCTCTTAGCTCCTGGGAAAGTGATGTCGAAGATCAAAAATGGCATGGGTGGGATATTCAACAGCCTCTTTCTCCAAGCCCTGCCTAGAATGTGAAGCTCTTGGCAAGTCTGACATTGTTCCATGTGACTCGCGCGAGTGGGTGTTTGCGGTTCGAAACATTCGTTGAGAGATTTGCGCTCGCCGAGAGGACGAAGCAAGGCGATCTTTACCGGGTGCTCCCCCCATGATGAGGGTTGCAAGATCTTCATGTCCGAATCCGAGAGACTTGCTTCGATAAACTTATATGGAATGAGGTCCGGGGAGTCAATTTGTACCATAGCACCCTTTGTCTGGGACAAGAATTCGACGATCGTTTCGGCGGCCTTGGTGCATTGCTCGGTTATGTTTGATAGAGTTAAAGGTGATAAATGATCCAGGGCGTTCGGGTTGTTTTCCTCGCTGTCTAAAGCCTCCACCTTCCGGAAATGGAGACCACCAAGTCTCCGCTTGTTTTTGGGGATTGGCGGATTATCCTTCCACCATGCGTCTGGATCTGCTCTACCGCCAACGTTTTCATTGGAATTCTGCTTGGCTTGAACATCCGGCTCAGAGAGCGCGTCAGGCATAGTTCCAAAGCTCACTTTGCGCGCTTCTCCAGCGTCAGTCCCTGAAGTGACACGAGGCTGCGTAAGAGGAGTCTGAGGTTGAGATTATGCTTTGAGTCTGATGGGCAACATCTTTTCAGCTTTCACTTGCGAACGGTTATCGGTGACGTGATCAGCATGGGTATTAGGCTCGAATCCAGGGACTTTGCAGGGGTTCGCGTCAGACTTTTCGTTTGTGCCATCCATAACATTGGGGAGGTCAATGCCAGGTTCAGCCTCAGCCATAATTAAAGTTGTCTGTACCTGTCGCTGTGGAGACGGACAGGAGGATGAATGTGGGGGGGATGCGATGATGGCTAGAATGGGTCAGGGAATAAAGAGGATGGAGAAAGAGATGGAGAATAAGATAAAGAAGCAGACGGAGAAGAGGACGGAGAAGAGATAGAAGCGTGGAGGTTGGAGAAGGAAAGTCTCGGTGAATGAGATCGAGGTTATCTGCTTAAGCGAGAGACTCTGCTTGAAGCAACAGGTCCCGTCACATGATCAGGCAGCACACTTGCCTGGCGGGACTCCCAATGAATGAACTTCTTTCTACACATCTTCAGTGATCGTCTCTCAGTGTTTCACTCGATCAGATCGCGGCCGATGCAATCAACCAGTCTGACAAAAGTCGGTCGCCTCCAAGTACTACGAAAGGCAGCTTACTGCCGTCTAAGGTTGCCGGTTTGAGTCCTTCAGGTGTTGGCACAGGCTGAGAGACACGCAGAAACTTGAGACAGTGCTGCGCGGTTGACATTTGGTATGCCCAAGGCCCTTGGAGGGAGTATACAATCGCGTCAACGACCTGGGAGATGGCTTTGTTCTGCCTGAACCGGCTCTTGACGACGATTGCAGCGTGAACTAAACGACTGTCAGCCAATATCCTTCCAGGTTCGCAACCATGACTAACCGACAGAGTCTTCTAGGTGATGAGCGTAGTCCCAGCATCGATCGACAGCCTCCTGCAAGCTTTCACCCGTTCCACGCATAAGCCACGCCACACAGTTGACACTCCGTGAATCTACTCGGCAGTCGTTCGAGAATATCTCCTTAGATATGGAGTATAGGTCGTTGACAACGCCAATCTGAAGACAAGCCTCATCCATGAGCACCTGCATGGTAGGATCCTCCCAAACCTCGTCCGGGATGTGGAGATCCAGTGCGAACTCCATCCAGTGAAACAGCAGGAACATGCCAGTGCGATCGACCCGACATTGCTTCCACTGCTCCAGATCATCCGACATCTTGCTCGAGCCATCTCTCGAATGTGCTGCCGCGATTGCCCTGACTCGCTTAGTATGCCGACCTCGTCTCAAGGAAGAGGCTTACCTTTCTAAGTAGTCGGCCGCACGGAGCAACTGGTCTTTCCTCGGGCTGAGACGGAACATTTCAGCTAACACCCCTCGGACATAGTGCACATATTCTGGGTAGGCTGTTCCATCGGTAAGCTGACCCTGGGTGGCCAGGTGTCTAAGATCATTTGGTAGGCTGTCAAGTCCCTTCTCCAAACGTGGTAACTTTTCATCACTGAACCAAGGATCATCGAATAGGTTATCAAAGAGCTGTAGGCAAGTGAACCATTTGCAAAGTATGGTCAGTCGCTCATAGCTGGTGGAATGGGGAACCATGAAGGCCACAAGAGCAGGTATACGCATCGCACGGATGTTAGATATCTTGCTCTCCTCTACGATCGGAAGGACAGCCAGGATTTCGTCTATCATGTGGTCACACACAGACTTCGTGAACTGGGGATGAAGTCCTCTGAGTTTTGTCGCGGATGGCCAGTAAGTAGGCCAGTGGAAATCTGGACCTTGTCCGTCCATATTGTCAGTGTCTGACCACGAGTTGAGCAGGAGTTTAGAATGGTTGTGGCGAACATGGTGTACAAAATCCGGTGTTGGGGACTATCAGCCAATTTAAGTGTTTCCAACTGAGATACAGCATGACTATCAAGACATGTCGCTTGATATATGGTCTATCTTCGAGTCGATTCTTGTTGAGTGATCGCATCTTGGAAAGCACTGCCAACAATTCCAAGGTTGAGAAAGCCTATCACAGTGGCGGTTCTTGTTCGATCCCTTGCTGATATATGGATAGAAAGCCACCGAACCAGGCGGAGTAATCCCTTGATTCAACCCTTGAAAATAATCCCGCAATGACCTCTTCTTGCAGTTGAGCACCAGCCCGCGCGCGATGCCTGACTGTCGCTATGTGGATGACGTGAGGAGCCAACTACTACACGACCGACGCCCCGAAATGGCAACAGTGATGCTTTGAACACGGCCACAGATGACAACACATGACAACACACGTTTCAAAAACCAGCCCATTGCACATTCTTGACCATAGTTCCTGACTCTAGTAGTCCTGCGTCCAACCGGAAAGTTTCCTGCGATGAACCAACCGGTCAGACCTGACAGAAGCCTCGACCTGCCCAGTCAGCACTAGTCCAGTGGATCGCCCGGAGCTCCAGACTTAATCCCTGTTATCCGACTCTGATGGTCTGCTTTTTGCGTCCAAGTTCTCCAGTTCGCTCTCGCAACAAGCCCATCTCCATCGCTCAGGACTTTGACAGATTTCATGATTAATATATGCTGGTTCAGAAGACTCTGTCTTGCGTCAGACCTAAATGTTTTCCAACCTCTTCAGCCCTTGGCCTTTGGCACAATCTCTGCGAGTCTACGTTAGGGTCTTATTCTGGTAACGGGCCTCGCAGGCAGGGTCGTGTTACTCAAGTCTTCTGCATCTACGTGAAAACCCCACGGTCGGAACATCGATTACCTCACATTTCCCCAGCTTTGAGACCGTCAGACACAGTTATGCCAGCGACCGGAGCAACGCGGCCCGCGATAATTAGCCGATGCTCATTTACCCGACACATTCGGAGCATGTCCGGACGCCGATCGAGTAACACCACATAAATATGACGCTCTCCGCATCCGTTCCAGCTAGACAATCATAAAGATTACACAAGATGTCCATGACCGTGGCGGACAGCAATCAAGCCCGGGAGGGCTTTCCTCGCCCATTCCCGGACACCCCCAACAACGTGCTCCAGCAGTTTCAGATGGTGGGGAAGGTGGTGGTGGTGACAGGCGCGGCCGATGGAATCGGCTATGCGGTTGCGGAAGCCATGGCTGAGGCGAAGGGCAATGTCGCCTTGTGGTATAACTCGTGAGTCCCGAATCCGACTGCTGATTTCTGTCTGTTTATGGTTCATTAGAAACGATGCTGCTGTTGAAAAAGCCGCGGTCCTTGCGCAGGAGCTCGGAGTAAAGGCGGTGGCATACAAAGTTGACGGTTGGTCTTTGGGGTGTGCCTGCGAAACCAACTAACATGTGCAGTGTCCGATCCGGAGAGAATCCAAGCCGCGTTGACGGATGTGATTCGTGATTTCGGGAAGATTGACGTCTTTGTTGCCAATGCAGGTGGGGGTGTAGAGCTCCGTGAATAGGGCAAAGCTGACTTCTCAGGAATGGCAATCTCGAAGCCCCTCCTCGAGCAGACGTTGGACGAGTATAGAAAGCAGATGTCGGTAAACGGTATGTATTTCCGTTTATAAGTAGTGTGTATAAGCTGACCGGTCAGTGGACGGCGTGGTTTACTGTTCCAAATTCGTCGGGGATATTTTCAAGCACCAGGGCTTCGGAAACTTGATCATCACCTCCAGCATGAGCGCACACATTGTCAACGTGCCGGTCGACCAGCCTGTTTACAATGCGACGAAAGCGTTTGTGACGCACTTTGGCAAGTCGCTTGCGCGCGAGTGGCGGGAGTTCGCGAGAGTGAACATCGTCTCGCCTGGGTTCTTCGACACGAAGATGGGTGCGGGGGCGGACACGCTGCAGGAGGCGTACCGGATGGCGGTGCTGGGTCGCCAGGGGAATGTCAAGGAGATCAAGGGGCTGTATCTCTATCTTGCGAGTGACGCGTCGACGTATATGACGGGAAGTGATTTATTGATTGACGGGGGGTATGTTCTTCCTTAGACCTACAGGGATTGGAGGGGATACATGCTGTAAGATCTGACAAGATACAAGGTGACCATTCATTGGCACTTGATCCCTGCGGGGCTAGTGGATGCTTGAATTGTGTAACCAATACTAGACAGCTTTAATAGTTCTTGACTGAGATCCGATCTGATAAGGCCGGAAGTTCGGTGACCTTTTGCCCTTGGGTGAATTCGGGGATATCGAGTATACATAAGCAACAAGTGCAGGGGTCTGTGTCTGTGTGTCTGTTCGCTGCGGCGGACTCGCCATCTTCCGATCTGACAGCTTCACCTTTCCACCCATCGACAATCCTTCAATCCCTACAAGTCCACCAGCACCATCTCCAATGTCCTCCATGCGCGCGTGTGTATACACCCAGTCCGGCCTCCCTGCGCCTACCCTTCAGGTATCGCATCGCGATCCCGAACTCAGTTTTTATATTTCCAAAGATGTTCATAGGCACGAGTTTCGTTCTTGTATTTTCTCCGGACTGTTTAGATGGTTTTCTTACAGACAATACATGCAGTGGTGAGGCAGGAGGAACAAGTAAGAAGTTGATTTTGATCATTGGGTGGAAAGGCCAAGGGGGACTTTCAATTCCATTCTTCGTCGAGATAGGTGGGAATGCTAGCAGTGGAGTACGTAATATGGAGAAATTTAAGACGGTTCTTGATATACGTATTTGCTGTGCGTGTCGCGACAGTATCCTCTGAGTCTCACTTGAGATTATTTCCCTATACTAACTTTATTGTGGCTACAGCGTATACTATTTAGTTGATTTTGGAGGTCTACACGATCTTTTGTAGAGTTACTAGGGCTTGTACGATCCTCGATATGAGAAATAGATAGAGTAAAATATAGTAGAGTACTATACTTGGCCCAGCGTGACCACGAGGGAGGTTCAAATAGTGAGCAAAGACGTTTTTAGCACTAGATTCAGGCTGTAGTTGTTGGTATATATACCTTGACCTTGGACGGATTCCGAGTCACCCGAAGGCCAGGCTCTCCTTTGGATAGATAGAATAAAAGCAGGCAGTCAGTACCGCATTATGCCTGTTGCTTCGTAGTAATATTCTATTCATTGACAAACAAAAACATACAACAGAAGGGATTCGCTGGTGGTCACCCACCCAACTACTAACCTCCCGGCGTGTGGCTTGAGAACGGCTGAGCGGACGGGAAGCCCTATTTTCCACACCCTGTGGTCGTATGTATTGGCTTCTTGCTTGGGGGGATATACATGCAATAACAATCTAAGGGAGGGGGTGTCAATTGCGACCCCGTCGTCTCCCGAACAGGTCCAGGATGGCAGCCGGTGCCGATGTCCCGGGATGGATAGCACAAGTGCCATCACCACAGATTTCAAGTTGCCTACAAACCCTCCCACAAAAGTACAAGTAGTAGACACAACATTCTCCCAGTGACCCCCGTCCTCCTGCACAGAGCTGGCCGTCGAGAAGACAAATCCAAAGATATAGTACTTTCGTGAAAGCCGCACCAGCTGACTGGCGCCTTCTCCTCATCACCCACCTCAAGTCGACGCTTCACTCTTCTGGATATGGAACCCCTGGACCCACTTGTGGATCATCGGCTTCAGGCTGGGGATGCTCGCCGCAATGATTCCCAGCGCCAGCTCCACCCCGGAGCAGATGGCGACACTCACGTTATCCCAGCTTCGATCCGAACCCGTGTATAATTGGACAATATAAACCATCCGAACGATGCTGGCGATGCAGGCACTTTTTTTTTGTTTTCGCGTGCGACTTGGTGGTTAGTGGTGGGTGTGTTTGGGGAAAATATATATGCTGATGGGGGCCAGGAAACTCACAGAGCACCGAGGGAGAGCACCCCCGTCAGGACAATTTTTTTGCGTCGCGTGGTTTGCAGTCCTATACAATGCAGAACTGTCAGTTCACATGGCGTACTAGGTCCGACGGCTTTGGGATTAGTGAGGAAAAAAGGACAAACCCTGGATCGTTGGAATGGGCAACACCAGAACCCATATGTCGGTCACCAAGTACAAGGTCCCGATTGCGGACCAGTAGGCGACAGTGTTGATGCACGAGTAGTGCTCGTATTTCTGGGCGTTGTAGACGGCGTCGACCGGAGAGCATTGGAAGATGGTCGTCAGGAAGAGGGCGGTGCTCATGGCGGAGATGACGGCGATGGTCATGAGGGTGATCAGGTGGAGGTTGGGGAAGAGGCGGAGGTAGAGCAGACAGATCGAGATCTTGATGCAGCCGCTGGCGATGACATAGACGATATGGGTGATGAATCGGAGCTGTGGTACAAGTTAGTTTGGGAGATGATGATGATGATGATGATGATGATGATGATGATGATGATGATGATGTATACCTTGGCTGCGGCCAGCGCATCGTTGGGGTCCAAGTCCCATGTGTGCTTGCCTGCGCCGTACATGACCCCTGTGTTGATGTCAATACCTCCAGCTGTACGCTATCTGTGAGATTCTTACCTATGCCGGACAGCACTACCAATAAATTGGTGAGCACTGTCGCGAACACGATCATAGCATCATCGAGGCCAAGTTTCTTGAGGATGTACCCGCGGGAGATGACTCGAAGCACCACGAAGACCGTGGCGATGGCGGCGAAGGTGCCATTGATAATCAGCAGCGAAGGTCCTCGATTTTCGACCTGTTCTCGATGAGCGCTCTGAAGGTTGTGGATGGGGCCAGGAATCTACCATTGGATTGTAGCGAGAGAGCGATGGTGATGGGATTCATCTGGAGTGTTTACAGTACCTTCAGCGGTAACGGACGGGAATTCCTTATATGGTCCCGACAGTCTGGGACTGGATGGAGGGAACGTGAACAAAGAATGACCGGGATCCATATTGTCGATACGATCGGCTGGAGGCGGATTGCAGCGGTTCGCCTGTTAGAATGAGGGAAATCAGCCACATGATCTTCCACGCACCTGAGACCATTTCCACGCAGCTTGTCTCGTTACTTGGCGACCACTCACCCGCAAAACTGCAGCTGGATGCTTTAACCTGGAAGTTCAACAAAGAGAGTTATCGAATTATCACTCCGCGATCAAGTGTCCGCTGAAGCACGTGATGTGGCAAGCCTGCGTTGACGATGCGTGGTGTTTGCGAGTGCGTGGAAGTATGCCGTTGGCTCAAGCCAGTGGCAGTCATCCCCAACCCTAAACAAAGAAGTTGGCAGTACTGCTACTTTTGATCAGTGCATTTGAAGAAACCAACTATACGCGTGCGTCATTGTCCAATGGCCGGGGTTTGTTTACCTCGCCCATTCGTTTCTTTTCTCCAGCTTGTATCTGGCCATGCCCACCAGCACACTCCTATAGACTACATCATCGATATAGCCTCCACAGTATCCCCCCCTCCTCGGGAAAGGCGCATTGACAGCAGCAGACCCCCGATCCAGCATGGCACCTATACACGAGCAATAAGCTAGCATGTCCAAGCAGAGGATAAAGCCCTGATGAGGGGTAGGAACCAGCTACCGTTCATCGCTGGCCGTGTGGAGCTAATGAGTCCCGAGTATAGGGCTGAGCCAGAGCAAGACATGGAGAAGCACAAGGCCGACCCTGGGTCCTCCTACGAGTGAAAGGTCACCATCAGGACAAACAATGGAAAAGTGAATGCCGACACCCGCGACCCAACGTTGACCCTCCACACCAAATCTGCAGTGCCTGCAGCGTCCTTGAATTTGGTACAAGTATATTCCGCTCATATTCTTGCACAATCCAGGATAAGGATCATCAATAGTTGTAGCTGCCGCTGTGGTATGAATAGCGCTGGCTTTGCAGACAGATCGCAGAAGGGTCTGGGTGGGTAAATGGGTATGGTAGATCCAGGGTAGCGTCGAGGATACCTACCAATATGTCATTTAGGGAGTGTGAAGGAGTGCGGCCTAGGGGCTGAAGGAGGTTTGCAGATTTTGTGTATGTAGCCCTTTTGTGGGTGGAGATGCTCGATGGGCAGGATGGCCTTGGTTGATTTACCTACATTTACAGCCGATGATGTGCAGTCATTGATCTTGGCTTATGTGCAGTTCCCACACTCAATATATTATCATTGACGATAATTCACTTACAGTAGTGCGAACACAAGAGTTTAGTGGAAGTGCCCGAAACGTACTAGCGAGGTAGAGACAGCTGTACAGCTCGGAGATCGGACATAGCGGAAATACCCGTCAGCGTCAGCCCCAAGTGTCAGCATTGCACTAAACAGCACTAATGGCACTACCGAACCTACTGCGAAACAGACGAGCAGACCAGTCACTCCCCATCACATCATCTAGCATTCCCGTACAGTAAGCACCAGCCCTAACTCCGCAACCACAAGCTATAAGAACCTCCCACCCTCCCTGCCCTCACACTCCCAAACCAAACCAAACCAAACCAAACAGCACAGAACAAAATGCACCTAATCCTCACCGGCGCAACAGGGCTTATTGGCTCCGCCGCCCTGGACGCCATGCTCCGCACGCCGGAAATCACGCGAATCTCGATCCTCAGCCGCCGGCCGGTGCGCATGGCCGAGGAGGCGGGCGACCCGCGCGTGCAGGTCCTGCTGCACCAGGACTTTGGGGTGTATGGGCCGGAAACACTGACGAAGTTGGCGGGGGCGACGGGGTGTGTGTGGGCGTTAGGGGTGAGTCAGAACGCGGTTACGGAGGGGTATGTCTGCATCTCTTTTTTTATAGAGTTAGATCTGTTAGTCGGGGGTGGTTACTTATGCTGATTAGGGAGTATAAGCGCATCACACGGGATTACGCACTTGCTGCCGCAGAGGCGTTTGCGGGGCTCCCATCTGCTCAACAACCCCCACAGGAGTTGGTGTCGGTGACTGCGTCGCAGACAGCACCCTCAACAACACCAACAAAAGGACACGCTCCCTTCAACTTCGTTTTCGTCTCCGGGGCCGGCGCGAGCACCACCCCGAACCCAGGCCCCTTTGTCCCGCTCTACGGTCGGGTGAAAGGCGCTACTGAACGCGATCTCTCCCAGCTCATGCAGCGCACCCCCGCCCTACAGGCGGTGTCTGTGCGGCCCGCGGTCGTGGGACCCGCAGGGCACACGGCGATCCTGCCCTACGTCCCCACTGTCCCGGGGTATGTGGACTGCGTGCGGCGGTGGGGCCCACGATGGGGGCAGTGGGCGCCGGGCTGGTGGACGCCGACCCGGGAGTTGGGGGGGTTGGTGACGCAGTTGGCGATGGGGCGGGTGGAGATGGAGAGGATACGGGGGGTACCGAGGGGGGTGGAGTTTGTGGGGGGGATGGCTGTTTTGGAGAATGAGGGGATGAGGGCTATAGGGGGCTGGAAGTAACATGTTTTTTCTGCAAGCTGAAAGCAAATATCCATGTTCTGTGTACTATAGGGCTGAGTTTAACTAGGAAGCTGAAAGAAAAGGGGGGTCCGGGGGTTCTCCCCCGGAACGTTTTATATTACTGGACTTAGGATGTAGTTTACCAGGAAGCTGAAAGGAAAGGGGGGTTCGGGGGTTCTCCCCCGGAACACTTCATATCCCTGGACTTAGGATGTAGTTTACCAGGAAGCTGAAAGAAAGGGGGGTCCGGGGGTTCTCCCCCGGGATATTCTATACTTTTGGTTATAGGGTTCTGCGAGGTACTCCGGAGTGGTGTATAGGATGTGCTCAAGGCTTCAGGGGAGTTGTGTTTATGCATCTATGTACAATCTATTTCTATCTAGTCTATAGTACTATTCTATGCATCTACCAAATAGCAGCGACCAGCGCATCCAGCGCCGAACTCTGCGTCGACGCATTCACGCCCGCAGCCGTGACCGGGCCCGACCAGTCGACCCCGAACCCATTGGCATCGGTGCGATCATTCGCCCACAGACTCGCCGCCGACGCATTGATCACGCGGGCGTAGGTCTCGTTCGGCGCGACCCCCTGCAACCACTTCAGATTGCGCACGAAAATCCCCTTGAACTGCGTCTCGTTGCTGTCGCACGCGTCCGGCTCGCACGACTCATGCACGACCCCCTCCGCGTCTGTCAGCGCCGCAATCGCCCCCTGCGCGATCTTGCCAGCCGCTTCCAGGTAGGTGGAGTTCGCCGGACTGCCCGCGGCGCGGTGCAGCTCGACCAGCGCCCCGAGGATGACGCCCTGGTTGTACGACCACACGGTCATGCCGTTGTTCGTGCAGGCGGTGGTCAGCCCGTCGTTGATCGTGTGGTCGTCGTTGATCAGCCCGGAGGCCTCGAACCACGCCCACTGTCGCTTCGCCCAGTCGAGGTAATACTCGCTGTCGGCGGCGCGGTTGGCCAGCTGCGCCCCGAGCGCCAGGAACAGCTCGTTGGGGATGGCGCCGACGTAGACGTGGGTGTAGTCGGAGTCGATGCCGCCGTTGCCGCAGAGGGAGGGCCATGCGCGGCTCTATCAGGGCATTAACACCTATCCTGGAACCATGCAACAATTGAAAAGCAACTTACAAGATGATAAAACACCCCCTCGGCCAAATCCAAATAATCACTCACGCCCGTGACGTCGTAGGCCGCCACCCAGGCCAGCCCCCACCACATATCATCATCATAACTCCCGTCCAGCCACAACGAGGCGTTGGCCGCGCCTGTCGGCTGGCCGGGGATCGTGTAGGCGGTGCCGTTGGCGGCGGTGTAGTCAGCGTCGATCCCGCGTGCCGGGTACGGGTTCGTGTTGGTTGCCACGCGGAAGGTGTTCTCGAACACGCCGACGGCGGTCTCGTTGATGGTCTCGTTCTTCAGCGAGAGGTCCGCCATTGTGGTCAGGCAGTTGGCGCCGTTCCACCAGCCGCAGGTGTTCCAGATGCCAGTCGTGGGATTGTAGTAGGTTTGCAGCGTGGTAGCGGCCGCGTAGGCGTGGTCCATGGCGGTGGTATTTGTGGCGCTGGCGCCAGAGAGGAGGGTGAGAGTGAGAGTGATTATTGGTGTTAGGGAATGCATTTTGCGAGATTACCAGAAGGAAACGAGCAGGAGGGAAGGAGAAAAAGAAAGACGTGAATGAATGCATGAACCAAACCCCCAGGAGACCTCCTTTTATCTATCACCCAGAAAAAGCGCAAGGCAAGATCCATCACATTCTGCATCGACTCCACCAGGAAAATTCTACGTATGCAGACCCCATCCAAAGATCACATTGACCGATCACAGCGCCTTTCCATGGTCAGTTGCAGTCTGCAAGGACGCACAAAAAAAAGCGGTAAATCGCCCCGACTCGTGCCTTGTCAGGCACCAGGCACTCAGCACGCCTGTTCCTTGCATTAGCCCAGGCATGAGCGGCAGCTGAGAGGCTGGGACTGGCCAGGAACCTGACCGAACTTTTGGACAAGCATCTATGGTTCGGTCTGCGAAAAATTTGGGCAATTCGTCAGTTCCTGGTGCCCAGTCGTCGGCCCTGGATGGGTTTATGGTTCTTCAAAGTTAATTGGGAGAATTGTTCAGTGTCTGGTTCCGAGGGTGAAGTTTCTTCCCGCGTTGTCCAGGGCATTGTCTTGGGTCGATGCAGATAGCAACGACCAGGTTGGGCCAACATTGAAGAAGCGACTGAGGCGTGACTGGGTCGGTGTGTGCATACCGTGTACTCTGCAGGCTCTGTTGACAGGTCTTCAGTGACTTCATGTGTCATGGTTGGCCGGTGGACTGCCTTGAAACAACAATTCTGGGGGCGGGGATTCAGGGGTGCCGAATGCCGATGGCGTAATCGGACTATCATTTCTCCGCCGAGGCATGCTACCGCTGACTAACAGGGGATAGAAAATCCGCGTCATCTCATGGTGCAGTAAAACTACGGAGTACTCGGGAGTGAATAGTGATTTATCATCTTCTATCCTACCTCCTCTCTTGTATCAAGTCAGTAGTGCTGAAAGAATCCTTCGTGCTGTCGAGCCAAGGCTCCACCTGATCCGACCGACTGCCGATCACGACCAGCCATCCGACTTCTGTTCTTCGGGGTCACCTGCGGTCGCTCATGTTCACATTCTACTACGGCAGCTCCAGCTCGCAGACGGACAGGAATGATCTCGCCCTCACGGTTGATAATTACATTATCCTAATCCTGCTGTTGGAACCCAATGATTGCAAATACTAAGAGATTAGTCGTCTCGGACCGCGGGTGGCGGAACGGCAAAGCCCTAAGCGCACCCGTCGCGTCATGCACTTCTATTGGCTGCGATAGGCAAACCAGAACTTAGTAATAGTTAGTTCGGAATAGTTAATGTTAATTTCTACCGTTGATGGTTAACGTCTCGCAGGGGATCAACGAACGTCAAGTAGGAATCTCTAGAGCGGATAAAGGACTCCGCTTGAGGTTATAACACCCGTAACAGGTTAAGCAGCAGCAGCAGCAGCAGTGGCCCTCAGTCTCGGTTGCCGGTCTCGGAAGGGTGCTGAGTGGGTACTGTGGAACAGAACACTGCAAGGGCCGATAAGGCGCTCGGGGTTCTCCAATTCCACATTCTGTGGATTCCCCTCGCTGTCTCCCCTCACCAACGATAGATACCCTGCCGGACTAACGGAGAACCCCCCACCAAAACCGCCTCAGCGTCCTCCCCCCTTGACATCCGCGCTTGCCCTCCAAACTCCCCAACCCGATACCTGGTGACAGATCGATCAATAGATATCCTCCTGTTGATACTGCTCAACAAATATGGAGCATGGCAGAACATCTACCCTCCAGGAAACAGAACTGACTGTCTGGGACACCCGGTCCCCCTCACAGCGTCCGACATACTCCCTCTCCATAATTAACCCACCCACCAAACACGTCGACCTGGACCGTTCTGCCAGGAGTAGCAGACCCCACTACCGCCACCCGCCCCTCTCGAAATCGACGACTGGATGGATGCAAGCAGACCCGACGACCAGGCAAAGTCACTACCAGGATTTGCGGCGATCGTGCGCGGAGGGCAATGACACTAAATGCTGAGCTGCGCTGCCGGGAGGCCACCTTAATTTATACGATCTTCTTCGTATAGCTTATCTGCATGTGCTCCTCAATGTTCTTGTACCTGCTTCTAATCTAGCCAATCCTTCCGAAGATCGTCCCAGTAGAAGTGCCTTAATAGCGAGGAATCGTTCAGGCCGAGCACCGTGCCCGACGGCGGACTAGCTCCGCACGACCATGACTGATGCATTAGCTGGTTCAAGCTTTTTTCCTTAAAGTTTAAGGTTTATCCTTTGCTTAACGTGCCGTAGCCGCTGATTGCTTAGTGTGCATAGCGCCAGCTTAGTACTCTCTCAACCCTGTCAGCTCGAAGCCTGACTGCGCCTGTCGGAACCATTGCTCTCGGCTGCCTTGAGTCTAGAATCCTAAGCACCCAGGATAGTGTTAGTTGATTTTCTTTTGATCACTTCTACTTCACAAGATACAGACAAGAGGCAGACATATCACCAATGCACTAACCATCCCACCACTCCTATTTACACGACCCGAGAAAGCGAAGCACCATGGACGATACACCAGCCACTCAGTCCACCCGTTAAGTTGTCGATAGTGGAACAATACTCCGAGAATCTGGCAAGCGAGGCTTGTCTCGCTGGTTCCGTCTCGTAAAGTAACAGTTTATGCTCTATTTGCGCTACTTTGAGCAATTCTTGGGTGGGACGACATACTGGACACGAATCATCCGCATCCTAAATCCCAAGGGTCAAAGCAAGCCCTCTGCTCTCATTGAGCGTAAGATTCTCATTGGCATGCTGATCTCGAGTACACTGCACCTTCTTAGATCCGAGTCTATCAATTTGAGGTACAAATATAACTCCTTTTCCTAGACGCGACCAAAGAATCCAAGGTCTCAGTCCGGTTGAACCATTGACCTGATCACCATCCACCGTCCAGAAAAACCCACACCGAACCTGCATATAAGTCGTTCACCGCGATAGAAGCGCGCCAATCCACCCGCTCTTTGCGCTGTCTTACTGCATACCTCCAAAGCACCACAGAACGGCGGGCGTCCGGCTCGAAGTTAGTCTTCGGATACGTACCTTGATCACCGTCTGAGGAGAGGAAGCCGCTGTGCCCTGCTTAGCTGGCCAAACATAACCTCATCTCCTGTTGCGGCGGCTGCCGTTGCTCATGTCTTGAAGAGTTGGTTCGTCTGTTCCTGTAGAGGCCTGCGTTACTTTTGTCATGGTTGCACCTGTTACGCTCTGTAGACGGTTGAGTTGACGGAGTTGCGCGTAGTTCGAGGTCAATAGATTATGTTCGTTGTTTTTTTGGGGGTGTCAGAAAGGCTGTATGTTGGTTAAGGATTGCGAGGGGGTGTAGTGTCATGTGTAGATCGGGTAGTGACAGGAAACTACCTCTGTTGCATTACTTCCTTGCTCATAACAGCTCAGTAGAACATCCAAGTCCATCTGGAGACTTTTCATCCATCCAGACCCAGTCAGTATATTCCATTATCGCCTAATATAATCACCTCATGTAATCACCAATATTGATATACCTCTATAATGCAACTCCAGCAACTTCAGCAACTCAGCAACTAGCAACTCAGCAACTCACTCCTGCCCCCAATCCAATGCCATCCGATCATTGCTAATCCGATACTCGCGCAACATCCGCAACACATCCTCCGTTTTCCTCGCCTCGGCCAGGATCTTCGCATTCTCCGCGCTCACAAACCCCTGCTGCACCGCCGTCTGCACCCACTGCAGCACCCCGTCCCAGTACCCGTTGATATTCAGCAACACCACCCCCGCCTTGTGGATCCCCAGCTGATTCCACGTCGTCACCTCCATCAGCTCCTCCATCGTCCCGAACCCGCCCGCCAGCGCCACGAACCCGCTCCCGGGCCCGCCCTCCAGCACCTTCTGCGCCATCAGTCGCTTGCGCGTATGCATGTCCGGCACGATCGTCACCGTGCCGTACTCAGTTTCCTCAATCGAGTCGCCGCCGGCGCTCGTCCGCTCGGGCGCTTTGCCGGCAGCTGGGTCGGGCGTCTGATTAGACGAGGAGGCCGGCGTCGCAGGCGTCTTGTAGCCCTCTTCCACCTCCACCAGCGCGCGCGGGATGATCCCGTGCACGGCTTTCGGGCCCGACAAGGCCACGAGGGTCCGCGATAGTTCCCCCATGATGCCCACGGTACCGCCGCCGTAGACGAGCTGGACGTTGTGGGCGTGGAATTGTTGGGCTAGCGAGCGGGCGGCTTCGAGGTGGGCGGGCGAGTTGCCGGGTTGGGAGCCGCAGCTATGTACAGTGGTGAGTGCGTTAGTGGGGTTTTGAAGGCCGTATGTGGTGGGGGTTCTCAAGGTCCTTCGGGGGAGAGATCGGCGGAGGGCAGGACACTTACAAGACGCAGACGACCGTCTGCTTGGGAGATGAAGTGGTCATTGTGCGTGTAGCTCCAATGTGAATTGTGCGCGTTGCGTGGACTGTGAAGGAAAGTGACACTTGTGGTTTAGTTGGTCAGTTGGTGGTAGTGGTGGTTGACGTAAGGTGGTGTTCGGTCGGCAGCGTGGCGGGGTAATTCCTGCCTGAGTTACCCCGGCGGGGGCCTGAGGCTGCCACATTCAGATGGTCCGCAGCATCGGTTCAGGTGGGGGGCCCAGGGTGGAGAGCTGTGTCGCAGGTGTGCTATCATCTTGAGCTAAATATGAGCCTAGAAGCATTGGACTATCGAGTACTAGTGTTTTGCTTTGTGTGTTCCAGGGTTGTGCGATTCGAATGGGCTGGAGCAGTGGTCAAGGTTGTGTAGGGTTGGGACATGTGCAACTCACAAAGTAAGTTGTACTATGATTTGGAGTCATGGAACAGAGTCTGCAGGTTTTCGATCAATCGAATTTATTAGAAAATTGTATTGAAATAATGGTGGTTATCGATTCCCTGATTGACATTCGAAGAGAATATATATCTGACTCCGCACACTGGTTACTATGCTGAATCATACCAGTGACGGTGGAATAAGGTGGCAAAGACTGCCAGTGATTATCATTGAAGAGGTCACACGGGGTGTGTATCAATTCAATCTACATTCATCCTTGCTGACTCGAAGTTATCATCAATATGCCCAGGCTCATCTTCTGAATTCCACCGTGGACAGCTCTGTTGCGCTTCAAGCAACCCGGAGGATTATTGTTCCGGCGGCTGCAAACAGCCTAAACTTGACACTCTGGTGCCACTCCATCATCGGCCACTTTCCCTCCTTGTAGCGGGATGCTTGTTTCGAGGCCCAAACAAAAATCCACTTGCATCCCGATCTTTCCCAGCAGCAGAGATAGCCGATAAACAGATAGAAGATCACTCCCAGTCAATGTCCGCAGTTTACGTACATTCCCGACCAGTCACCCGCTCTGGAACTACTGCAGCAGATAAGCAGCAAAGCTTGGCAGGCTGTCGCCTCCTGATGGGGCGACCGGTGAGAGTCCACTGCACCGAGCGGCGAGTGCAACCCTAGTATCAGCCGCTAACGGCCACCAAATTACGTACAAAAAATAAGCATTTGCCGCTAGTCTCCCAGCCAATCCTTCGACCAGCCTGCGCGGCGCCACCGAGCCAATTCTCACTACCGTGCAGATTGCCTGTTCGAGGGAGGTGGCGTCGCATTGTTGCAGTGGTCTGGCCGGGTTGGCATAGGCTGCGGCGTCCAACGGACTCCGCTGCATGTTTCTACATGTTGCAGATTTCTGGGCTGTGCTGAGAGCTGAGTACTGTCCACAGTAGTTACTGTAGTGAGGTGGACGATGCAAGGGCGGAGGCCCCCTCACGTGCCCTTCATGTCATCCTAACGGCGACCCCCGGGACCCCAGGATGCAACTACTAACTCCCGACCGGCAATTTAGCGAGCTGGATCTGATGGGGAACCACGCGGAAAGAGGAGCAGCTAAGCGATACAACGACTGCGCGGGCAAATCATGGGAGACAGAAACTGTAATTATGGATCCGGCTTTGCGAACAGACTCCGGGATGCACCTGGCAAAGCTGCCACTGGGGGGCTCTGGCCTCATCCCGCCGCTGTGCAGGTAAGTTTTTCTTGCCCCGCCCGGTGGAACCCGCTTCCGCCCCCGACGCGGTATTGGTTCTAATTGGACCGCAGTGGCCGATGATCGGCTTGGTGACCAATTCCGTTCACAAACCGTTGGCACAGTTGGGCGATTGCTTGTTCTCGGCCCCGGGCCGATTGCTCGTGCCTGGAACATCCATACAAATTCCCCCACTGCATCTTCCCCAGGTCTTTCGGCATGTCAATCCACTGCCCCAGGGATTTTTTCCGGAATCTTCTTTATAACCAGCCTCTTCCCCTGCTCACCTGCTTCACTTCTCCTTCTGTTTCTCCTCCATCCTTCCTGCCACTCCCTCGCCTCGACGATAACTCGTCCCCCTTCGTCTCACTCGCCGGTTCCTCTCACCTGCACTCACCACCTCACAAGATGGAGACTGTCGTCCAGGGAACCCCCCCTCCCTACGCTACCGATCGGATCGACGATAAGAAGGATGCTTCCGCCGATCTGGAGAACTACAAGCCTGGCTTCGAGGAAGCCGATGCCTTCGGTAACGAGGAGCTGGCCGAAATCAAGTACAAGACTCTGAAGTGGTGGCAATGTGGTTTGCGTAAGTACATCCTGACGAGATTCCTCGTTTCTCCACTAACGTTTCAGTTATGATCTGCGAGTCCGTGTCTTTGGGTGTGCTTTCTCTGCCCGCAGCAGTGGCTTCTCTGGGTCTCGTCCCGTAAGTTCAACTTGTCTCGAACTCGATCGACAACGACCTGGTCTAACGTCTCTAGTGCGATCATTCTTATCGTCGGTCTTGGTATCCTGGCCACCTACACCGGCTACAACATCGGTCTCTTTCGTGAGCGTTATCCTCACATCCAGAACCTGGCTGATGCCGGCGAAATCCTCCTGGGTCCCTTCGGCCGCGAACTGTTTGGCTTGGGCCAGTTTCTGTTCTGCATCTTCGTCATGGGCAGCCATCTCTTGACCTTCCGCGTCATGATGAACACTATCACCGACCACGCCACGTGCTCGATTGTCTTCAGTGTCATTGGCATGGTGATCTCTATGGTGCTTTCGATTCCTCGTACCATGAAGGGCATGACCTGGATCTCTTTCTTCTGTGAGTAACCCATCGGATCTCGCTCCGGACGTTGGAACTAATTTATTGCAGCGTTCCTGAGTATCTTCAGCGCTGTCATGATTACGATGATCGGCGTCGGTGTTCAAGAGCACCCCGGCCGCATCATCGAGGCTACTGTCGACACCTCTCTCTACAAGGCCTTCAGCGCCGTCTCCAACATCGTCTTCGCTTACTGCGCGCACGTGGCCTTTTTCGGCCTGATCGCGGAGATGGAGAAGCCCAAGGAGTTCAAGAAGTCGCTGTTCATGCTCCAGGGCTTTGAGATCTGCCTGTACACCACTGCGGCTATTGTGGTCTACTACTATGTCGGCAAGGACGTTCAGTCGCCTGCCCTGAGCTCGGCTGGTCCTCTTCTGAAGAAGGTCGCCTACGGCATTGCCATCCCTACTATCGTTGGTGCTGGAGTCGTGAACGGCCACATCGGTCTGAAGTACATCTACTTCCGCACCTGCCACAAGTCCGACCTCATCCACAGCCGCGGCTGGCGCTCGGTCTCCATCTGGATCGGTCTTGGTCTTGGCTGCTGGATTGTGGCCTGGATCATTGCCGAGGCCATCCCTGTGTTCAGCGACCTGAACGGCTTGATTGTAAGTTGCTTGTTCTGTATCTTCTCGTGCATCGCTAACATTCCCTAGAGCGCTTTGTTCGCTAGTTGGTTCAGCTACGGTCTCAGCGGTATTTACTGGATCCACCTCAACTGGGGCCAGTGCTTTTCCAGCCCCAAGAAGATTGCCCTCACCGTCCTCAACGTTGGCATTGCGCTATTTGGTCTGATCCTGTGTGTGTTGGGTCTGTACGCCTCGGGCACCGCCATCCACGATGACGCCAACAGCAACAGCTTCACCTGTGCCAACACTGACAGCTAATCGCCATCAATCTATCCTTACGAACGAGACGATTTCGGTGACTCCGATGCATACGACACGTTGGATCTGGTGGTCGGATTTTTTTTTTACTTAGGTTTATGTTAATGTTTTCTACTACGCGACGCATGTCTTCGGCAGCAGCTGGACTCCGCTAGCCAGGGCTTCTCCACAGCGAGCGTTCTTTGCATGAGTGCGGCGGCATCATGATATCACTATCCACGGCATAATCGGCGTTCGGGGTCCTGATTTGAATGAGAGTTTCCCAAGTTACCTGATTCCCTTGATTTTCTTCCGTAGTCGCGGTAGTTACGTAACTATTCGTAAGGTGCAGTCCTCCGCCCTCGGCCCTCGGATCCCGCAGGACGCAGGGTTACATCGGGGGTGGATTCTGGGGAAGTCGGCGCGTCATGGCTTTTTGCCATCGTATGACATGGAGTTGCGGGGAAGTGATGCATGTGGAGTTTCTGGTACGTAACGGGTCTGGGGAAATATCGTGATCGGCAGTGGGTGGCCGGCGTCGGAGGTGTTGTCTGGTGTCTGTTTGTGGTAATTGTGGTAAGTGCCCCGGGGTTGCATGGTTATATCAGGTGGAAGTGGTAGGATTGATGGTATCATGGATGTTTTTGGGTGTCCCTTGCATTGCAGTTTCACCCTCCTCTCATCCAATCAACATGATTTAGAGACGCCCTCCCAACAATCTTGCAAAATGAAATTCTTCGTCAATGGTAGGGAATCCTCACCGCAGATTGATTGGAATCTAGCAGAATCATGTCCAGTAAATGGCTACTGTAGTCAAACCTATCATGAGGTGATCACGACCTATTAATCCAGAGATCCAACTCTTGTAAATGAAGTACCAGACTCGGACTGCATTGTGTCGAGTGGTTGCGTTGGTGCCTCAGGAACTGACTTTTGTTGCAGCCTCAGGCACCCATAATGAGCGACAGCCGTCTTTCATCTCGACTCGGAACTCCGACGGGATTTCTCTCTGTACATTCAATCCATCTCATCCCATCTTCTTCAGCCTTGTTACTCCGTATGACTCAATTATCAACACGACATGCTGCAGAATGCTCCTGTCCGACCATACCCCAAGCGCATCGACATCTCTAGTAAAGCCTGCGACCTGTGCCGCAAGCGCAAGGTCAAATGCGAGCTCCCGAGCTTGAGCTCTCCCACCGACCCGACTGCGGCGCGATGCGCGCGCTGCGAGCGACTGAATCAGCCTTGCACATTTATCGTTCCGTGCAAGACCCGAGGGCCTAAGAAGCGGTAGGCCCCTGATCCCCATGGAGAAAAAAAGCACGCAGGCTCAGACAGACCAGCTCCCAAACGCATCCCAGCGACAGCGGACACCCCCCACTCGCGAACGACAACCACCCCGACGCAAATGCAACACCCCCCAACAGCGTGACCGACGACCTCTGCTCGCGCTCGCTCTTCCAGCGCATCATGCAAGACTACCTCGAGCACATCTATCCGCTCGTTCCCATCGTCCACCGCCCCTCCTTCCAGGACTGTCTCCGCCGCGGCCGTCACGAGCACGACAGCGGCTTCCTGGCACTAACCGTCGCCATCGCCGCCCTCGTCGTGGCCACCCTCCCCAGCAAATTCCAAGACTACCGCACCGCCACCCCGCCGCTGCGCTTCACCACGCGCCGCGCGATGGTGCGCTACTGCTACGAAAAGAACCTCGCGCTGCGCACCTCCTACTACTTCGACGAGATCAGCTTCCAAAAATTCGCCGCCTCGTTCTTACTGTTCGCCGCCTTCCTGCAGCTGGGCGATCACAACCGCGCCCGCATGCTGGATGTCGAGGCCATGCAGTTTGCGCGGCTGTTGAATCTGCATGCCGTCTCCGCATATGAGGGATTGAATTGCATCGAGACGCAGTTGCGCAAAAAAGGGTTTTGGTTGGTATTTTATGGGTTTGTGTAGGTTGATTCCTCCCTCCTGGGGTGGGTAGTGGGGTTTGGTGGCTTGGATGCTACGGATGCTAATGTGGGTTGGGCGGGTGGCTAGCCACACGCAGCTACAGAATATGCTAGGCGAACGGCTGTCGTATCTTGACCCCGTGCAACTGCAGGCTATCAATCCCGAGGATCTCATGCCGGTCGAGGTGGACGATGAGCTGATCTTCGAGAATGAGGTGCTCATGCCCGCCGTCCCCACCCCGTGTCTGGTTACGGGATTCAAGATCCACTCGCGTGTGTTTTGGGCGGCCATCCGCAGCCCCTATTCTCATGCGCATCCAAACCAAGTCTCGATCGAGCCGTGTGCCTGCGTTCGCGCGCAAGACGCCAATGTGCGGGTGGCGTACCTGCGGGACAGGCTGCAATGTATGCGCAATCTGCTGCACAACGTGCCGCCCTCCCTGCGGCGGGAGGCCCCGGACGTCTCGGGCTTGCAGGAGTCGTCGACGTTACAGTCCTCGTTCGAGTCCATGCGCGTGAATATTCACGTCACGCATCTCTGGCTGCAGAGCCTGCTCATCGACCATTTGGAGGCGGCACAGGGGGCAGACCCGAGAGCCCTCTGGAGGGAGAGGGCAGAGCTATGTCGGCAGCTGTTCTTTCTGCTCTACAATGTTCCCGACCATAATCTCGAGATCAACGGCCTGCATCTGGCTTACAAAGTACGGGACATCGCCGCTGGCATGCTGACTTGTCCCTACTCCGCCAACGAGCCGGAGGCGGAGAGCGCGGCCGAATACATCCGCCGTGCCACTGAGATCCTGTCGCGACTGGACAGCAGCGAGAGCGTGAATACGATGAACCTACAAGCCTGGGTCGATACGGATCGTATTCGTACAACATGACTTTTTCCTAATCAGATTCCAGACCAGAAAGTCGTTTCCTCCATCCTGAATGAGCCAGTCAAGAATTCCCCCCGGCTACTGGTGCCGACCAGAATACGATATTCGCCGCTGTGACTGCACCACGTGCTGCTCTTTTCGTCCCAGAAGCTGGTTGCGCGGGTCACATCCAGCCGGATGCTGACCATCTCCTCTGCTGCCGGGTCCAGTCGGATTTTCCGGAACTCCTTCAGCTCCTTCTGCGGTCGCTTGATGGGAGCTCCCAAGGGCGCCACGTACACCTGAATCACCTCTGCGCCAGCCGTTATACCCGTGTTGCGGATCTTGCAGCGTACGTCAAGGGTTTCTGCGCTCCGTTCCAGGGCAAGGTCTGACAAGACAAAGGTGGTGTACGACAGGCCATGTCCGAACGGAAACAAGGGCTCAATCTCTGCTTCGTCAAAGTACCTGTACCCTACGTATACGTCCTCTCCGTACAGGACGCGACCGCCCTCGGAGCGGAAGTTGAAATATGTGGGATTGTCCTTCAAACGACGGGGGAAGGTCAGAGGGAGTTTACCGGACTGCAAATCGTCAGTTGGGTCCCGTAATCAACGTAATCAAAGGTACAAGCATCTTACCGGGTTCACGTCGCCGAAAATGACATCGGCCAGACCGTTGCCCGTCTCGTTTCCGCCGTACCACGCATGCAGCACCGCATTAGCTTTGTCTATCCATGGCATGTCGACTGGCGTGCCGCTTTGTATTACAACCACCGTGTCTGGATTTGACCCGAGTACTCGCGTGATCAGTTCGTCGGTGTAAGAGGGCAGAGCCATGCTGGTTCGGTCCTCGCCTTCTGATTCCCACTCGGCGCTCAAGCCGGCAACGAGGACCACCTGGTCGACACTAGCAGCCAGTCTGACGGCTTGCTCAATCCCGTCCTGAGGCAACAGGCGCTTACACGCACCGAATCGGAAGCCGCCGTGCCCGAAATCTACCACACCCGGGATCTTGAACTTGGCCGTCTTGGCGCACGCCCATTGCACCTGGACTCGGTAGGATCTGCCTGCAACAAGATCTAGCGTTCCGGTCTCCTCCCTGGTGCCGCCACCGAGGAAGCTCGGGCCTGGTATCTGGACATCGGCGTTGTTCACCAGCAGCGTTCCGTCCACGTACAGCTTTCCGGTGCCACGAACGCAGAGACCAAAGTCATACTGTCCCGATTCCTCGGGGATGAAGATGCCCTCAGCTTCAGCATACCAGACTGGTTGTAGGTCGGGGTGGTTGTAGTCGAGGAAGAAGACCTGAGCGTCTGTCTCATGTCTTGTTTCTAGTGGCTGTCTGTCGGGGACTGTGGGGGGATCATTGAAAATTTTGAGGGTGAATCCTGTCTGGCCATCGTCGGTTTGCAGACGTTTCCCTAGGAGGGGGAGCATCTGATGGCCGTATACGCCTTGTGCGAATTGGACCTCGTCCCGGGCGGACCGTGAGATGCCTTCGAAGGGTGAGACGGCCTCGTACGGGTTCAGGGCCGCACTGCCACCGCCGCAGTATGTGGCAATCTTTGAGTTTGGACCGATCACAGCGATCTTCTTGTTTTTGTTTAGTGGGAGAATGTGGTTGTCGTTCTTGAGCAAAACAACCGCTTCGGCGGCGACCTTCCGGAGGAGCTGTCGATCTTCAGCGCGGTTGAGCTGCTGTTCTGGGGCATGTTCCGGGATTTGGGCGGTGCTCGCCTTCTGAATCAGCTTTAGGACCGCACGCACGCGAGCATCAAGTGTGGCCGTGGAGAGTTTGTTGGCCGTGATCGCGTGGACAAGGGCGCTGCCGCGCCATCTGGACGGGCCCGGCATCTCCAAGTCCAGGCCCGCCTGGACGGCCTCGGACGTGCTGTAGGTGCCGAACCTGGCGGTGTCAGACTGGCTCGACGTAGACAGTCTGGGGCTCAAACTTACCAGTCGCTCATCAGCAGCCCGTCCCAGCCCCACTCACTCCGCAAGATGTCTTGGAGGAGATGGGAGTTTTCAGCGGCGTGGATGCCATTGACCTTGTTGTACGCTGTCATGATAGCATGGGGCTTTTCGATCTGCATGGCCAGCATAAAGGGAAGCAAATAGATCTCGCGCAAGGCGCGATCCGTGACGCGTATATCGACAGCCATCCGCTCGTGTTCCATGTCGTTGCACACAAAGTGTTTGAGAGTGGCGCTGATGTTGTTCTGCTGCAGTCCCTTGCAATAATGGCCGGCCATGATTCCCGAGAGCAGCGGATCTTCGGAATACGATTCAAACCCGCGGCCGCCCAAGGGTCCCCGTTGGATATTGATCGTCGGGCCGAGGATGACGTGTGCGCCCTTGGCCTTGGCCTCGTCCGCCAGCAGCCCGCCGACTTGCACGGCGAGGTCGCGGTCGAAAGTCGCGCCTAGCGCGGTGCCGCAGGGCAGACAGGCGGCGGGGACGCTACCGAAGAAGCGCGTGCCGCGGACGCCGTTGGGGCCGTCGGACAGGCGGATGGAGGGAATGTTGAGGCGGGGGATGGGGACGGTGTGCCAGAAATCGGCGCCTGCATGCCATCGATGAGTCAGAATGCGAGCAGGAATGCAGAAGTATGCGGTGGATTCTGGGGCGACCTACCCGCCAACAGCGAGACTTTCTCATCGAGCGTGAGTTGTTTGAGGAGGTCTTCGAGATCGGCTGTTGCCATATAGGCAAAGCGGTCTGCTGGGGGGGATTCCTCGACCGACATGATGATGATGAAGACACCGAGGACGATGTGAAGGACAGGAAGAGGGGTTGAGGGAGGGACGGAGAGACGCAAGGCATTATGTACAGGTACAAGTTGCTACTGAGGACCAGAATGGAAGCTCGTCCGTGATTGTTGTCATCGAAAAGTGGATTTCACCGTTTCTCCGCTTCCCGTTTCTCCGTTTCTCCGTATCTCCATGTTTCGGGGTCGTCACAGAGACTGGATGATGCTGGAAACCTAACCGAGTGGACCTGAATCGGTCTCTCCTGGTTGGTTGTATGCCTCGCCAAATGAATGGTAATCAATCAAGCCATGCGGCGGTGTTAATACAAGACACGAAACGTATTTACGGAGAATCTCCACGCCATCCCCGGAAAACACGAGGACACAAACCCCAACCTTAACCCTTGCTCCACATCATGCATCCCTCGTTCCCCCGGCTTTACCAGGGTATATGCATGATTGGTGACATTCGTTCAATGAAATCTCTACCTTCCCAGTCAAGTGAGATCATAGTTCATCCCACTCCTGTTCTCCGATGGGAGAATCCTCTTCCGTTAGATTCTCGTCGTCAGACCGAAAGACTAGTCGACTGCGCCTTGGCCGATGAGGAAAAATTGATCGATCATCTGATCCTGTCCGGCTGGGCTTGAGGTATATAAGGCGAGGTTCAGTCAGGCCTGGGTTGTGGGGTTCTGGTTTTCTTTTCCCGACATCTCTTCTGTGTTCAATCGAGAATTTGAATATGGGTACTACAGAGCACCAAGCAGGCCGGATGGCTTCACATATCCCCAAGAAGGCAGAAGCCATCGGCCAACCCGGATCAACCAACATCAACCACCCTGCCAGCCCGTGGTACACCCAATCACACCTCCTCCGTCTCAACCTCATCATTCTCTCGCTCGTCCTCTTCTCCTCGGCCAACGGCTTCGACGGCTCCCTGATGAACGGCCTCGAAGCCCTGACCCAGTGGAAGGACTTCATGAACTACCCCGCCGGGGCGCGTCTCGGCTGGCTCAATGCCATCTACTGGCTGGGCTGCGGCATCGGGTACGCGACCGCCGCCGCTATCGCCAACCGCTACGGCCGCAAGCCCGGGGTGTATCTCGGGTATGCGGCGCTGGCCCTGGGGACGGGGTTGCAGACGGCGGCCCCGAACGCGACGGCCTTCCTGCTGGCGCGCCTGTTTCTGGGGTTCGCGTCGGCCCTGTTCGGCAACGCGGTGCCCCTGCTCATCAACGAGATCGCCTACCCGGCGCACCGCGGGCTGCTGAGCGGGCTCTTCATGTCGGGCTGGTACGTGGGCGGCTCGGTTGCGGCCTGGGTGGTGTTCGCCTCGCGCACCTACCCGTCCTCGTGGGCGTGGCGGCTGCCGTCGCTGCTGCAGGCGCTGGTGCCGTTGCTGGCGCTGCCGGGATTTCTGGCGGCGCCGGAGAGCCCGCGCTGGCTGGTCTCGGTGGGGCGTGACGAGGAGGCGCGCCGGGTGTTGGTGAAGTACCACGGGGGCGGCGACGCCGCCTCCTCGTTCGTGCAGGAGGAGTTCGAGGGCATCCGCGCGACCATCCGCGCCGAGCAGGAGGCCCACCGTAACGGCAGCTACCTCGAGATGGTGCAGACGGCGGGCAATCGCTGGCGGCTGATGATCTCGCTCAGTCTGGGCTTCTTCGCGCAGTGGGCCGGCAACGGGGTGGTCTCGTACTACCTGGCGCTGATCTTGGAGTCGGTCGGGGTGACGCGGGTGCGCGATCAGACGTTGATCTCGGCGTGTCTGCAGATGTGGGATCTGGCGTGTGGCGTGCTGGGGGCGTATCTGATTGACCGGTTCGGTCGACGCCCGCTCTTCCTCGCCTCGATCAGCATCATGCTGGTCAGTTTTGTCCTGGTGACCGCCTTGTCGGCCACCTTCACCTCCACGGACAACTCCGCGACCGGGGTGGCGGTGATTCCGTTTCTGTTTCTGTTTTTCGGGGGATATTGTATTGCTTTGTAAGTCTCTCTGTTCGCTCCCCACGCATCCTGTTCAAGCTAACCAAACTAAATTCCCGCATAGAACACCCCTTCTCACCTCCTACCCCTGCGAAATCTGGCCCTACCGCCTCCGCTCCCGCGGGCTGACGGTGACCTGGTGCGCGACCATCGCGGCCATGTTCTTCAACACGTTTGTCAACCCGATTGCGCTGGATGCGATTGCCTGGAAGTACTATATTGTGTTTATCGTGGTGTTGGCGGTGTTTGGGGTGACGGTGTATTTCTTCTATCCCGAGACGAAGGGGTATAGTCTGGAGGAGATGGCAGGGATTTTCGATAAAGCAGGTGGTGGTGCAGCTGCTATTGCACTGGATTCGGGGAAGGGAATGCAGATGGAGGGTGATGGTGATGGGTTGCGGCAAGGGAAGGGGATGGGGAAAGAGGTGGTGCATGCTGAGGATGTGTAGCTTTGAGGTCCAAATCTCTGGAGGAGTGGTGTTGAGACTGAGTGAGTCATGGTTATGGTTGGATATTGTATACAGGTGGTGTTTGTACATAGAAGTAGGGTCGGGCAGGCTGAAGTCTAGGTGCAGACCACAGACAAACAGACCGACGCAAGCAGATCAAACCCCAAGTACATTCTATCCGGGAGTTGCAGGAGACGCACAGCACATTACTTGATACTTCCCATCGCCAGAATAGCCGAACAAGATTTCTTCCCGACCAAATGGACGAGAGCGTTACCATCTGCAGCAGCAGAGCTGTACTTGATTGACACTCTGCCATAGGAGCTTAGGCAGAGACAACTGGTACATACGACCACAGGGTGTGGAAAATAGGGCTTCCCGTCCGCTCAGCCGTACTCAAGCCACACGCCGGGAGGTTAGTAGTTGGGTGGGTGACCACCAGCGAATCCCTTCTGTTGTATGTTTTTGTTTGTCGCTTTGGGAGGCATGTCCTATTTACTGTCCTATTCACTATCAGAATCAACCTTCCATTTATAGCTTGGTCTTGATTGGGAGACTTTATAGTACTACGGCTGCGGGATGAGTGCTGGGTATGTTATAGTACCCGTGGTGAGCAGCGGGAAAATAAGTAGCATTACGAGTAGAACTACTGGGGTATGAGTTGACAGTAAAGGATGCAGGGTGTGGAGGTGGGATGTGAACGGGGATCTCGAAAGCGAAAGGTATACTTAGTACTAAACACTATTAACAGGCGTGTAGACGGGTATTTCTCTTCGGCCATGTTTCGCTAATTAATTGGCTGGAAATGAATAGTCTAGGTAAGTAGTACTTTCACTTATGTATATTATCTCTACTATCTACACCCTGACTCAGACATCTAGTCCAAAATAATCAGATACATATAACTCAACGAACCACTCCAATCTCCTCACTAATCCACTCCTCTAGTACCCCCTCTTTCCCCTCCAGACCGATTCTTCGTTCACCCCGCTGAGCACCAATCTAAAACCAACTCCTCCACACAGCCACCCCCTGCACAACAGCCCCCAACCCCACGACGAGGGCGTTCTCCTTGATTCCATGACGGAAGTACCAGACCGAGCTGGCCCACAGCATGGCGTTGGTGATGAGGGCGATGGCTTTGTTGGTGGGGTCGCGCAGGGCGAGGGGGTTGCGGGACCATTGGTAGTGCAATAGGCCTATTACCATGTATTAGTCTGGCTGAGTTGTTTGATGCTCTAGCTGGGATGCTGTATGCTCTGGTGGGGCTTTTGTACGCTCTACCAGACACAGAACCATCCCGGGGGAGAATACGTACCAGTCGTCAAAAAGAAGGCGCTTCCCTGTCATCCCTCCATCTTAGCATCCCTCCATCCTAGACGGTCCCCACTTCCACTTCACACCCACAGAAAGGAAAGGGATCATACCTGATACCACCCTACAATACCCAGCGCCCAGGGCTTAGTCTTTGAGATAATGGTGTAGGCGGGGTCGGCGGTCCATTGGGCTCCTCCGAGCTACATCAATTGTCACACTATTAGTTTGTGTTTATGCGGGGATTGGTCTTGGCCATGGTAGATGCAGGGCACGTTATGTTAGGTAAAGGGTGGAGTGGATTACCGTATGTCCGACGGACAAGGCGATGAAAGACAGGGCTGAGGCCTGCAGGGAGCGGGAGGGTACGGGGGTGGTCATTCTGAGTAGTTTTTCTTTTTGTAAGGGGTGAGGAGGTTTATGGTAATTTGAACAGTGTAGCTGAGGAAACAGGGGAAACCGGGGAAAGTGAGAAGTTAAGGTGAAATAAGCAACGGAGGACTGCGGAACGGCGGGATGCGATGCATTACGTCACTTGCGCGGCAGCGTTCCCGTCGCCGAGGTCCGATGTCCTACGGTACAGGTACGCATCATACCAGTACTTATTATTGTAGAAACGCAATTGGGTGTTGTTTATAAAAGTATATAGCCTCGGATCTCCCAATTCATGTTTTGTCCAAGTACTGTTGCCCTCGTAACTGAAAACAGCTACATTCTGGAAAAGGTTAGCGAGTCGTCCAATGCCTTTGTGCAAGTCACATGATCTATAGTTCTTCATAGAGCCAATTGGTGACAGCGGATGATGGTCAGTTGAAGTATTTGTTTAGAGGTGCTGAATCCTGACATCAGCCCCCTAGTAGTACTGAACGTGCGGTGGAGACGACAATAATGTACAATTGGTGCTGCCTGGGGGATCCCCTGTGGCAGAATGACTGCCCACCTTCAACGGGGACATGGATGTAGCCAGCCGTGGCTGAACAGATGACTCAGATAGACTCTATGCATGTATCTGACTATACCACTACTCATCTACCCCCTTCGGCACATACTCCATCATCACCCGCGAGCACTGAAACTCCGCAAACCGCCGCGTCGCCACCTTTTCAGTGAACATCTCATCCAGCTCCTCAAACGACCGCCCCTGGGTCTCGGGCAACTCAAAGAACAACACCACAAACATGACCGCCCCCATTCCCGCGAAGATCCACCCGATCAAGCCCCCGAGATCCGCCTCGTCGGAGTTGTACAGATACGGCATGATCACGTTCCACACGGTCGAGAAGAAATAGTTGAAGGTGAAGCCGAGGGCGAGGGATTTGGCGCGCAGTCGCACGGCCGAGACCTCGCCCGCAATCGCCATGGCAGGGCCGATGGCGGGGCCGTAAACCCACCACGACAACTGCAGAAAGATTCCAACCACCCTGCCTCAGTATTAGCCACTATTCCATGAAGCAGCAAGAGAGAGAGAGAGACTGTTCACTCACCACAACGCAGCACTCGAATGCGGAAAACACCCTGCAATCCCCATCACCGTAAACAACCCCGTCGACAGCCCCATCCCAAACAACACCAGCGTGCGTCGTCCATACACCGTCATCACATACCCCGTCAGCAAGGAGCTGGCAATGCCAAACGCAATCCCGATCTCCGTCATCATCCCGATCTTCGCCGCCGACATGCCCGCCTGCACCAGGAAGTACGGCCCGTTGGTCATGAAGCTCGACCCGATCACCTGCGGCAGGGCGTTGCAGTACAGGATGATGCGCGTGCGGCGCCAGTTGGGGCCGCGGAAGCAGTCCAGAAAGGAAGCTTCTTTGGACTGCGCGGCGCGGCGCTTTTCTTCCTCGTTGGTGCGGATGATCTCGTCGAGGAGGGCGGGGATGCGGGCGGGGTTGGTGCCGAGGCGCGTGAGGGCGCGCGCCGCGTGCGCGGGTTTGTCGTTGGCGACGAGGAAATACGGGGATTCGGGGACGAGAAGAAGGAAAAGAAAGAGGAGGCCGGGCCAGACCCAGCCGCAGGCGAAGAGGACCTGGGGTGGTTAGTTACATTCGGGGCCTGAAATGGTAGGGTTACGTACCTTGTATGCTGCGTCGGTGGTCATCGTCAGTCGGGGCAGAGCCACGGATGCGGCGATCATGTAGCCCAGGTTCTATCGCTGTCAGTGTCATATGCACACCCGAGGGAGGTGTGCTTACCATGCAGAAGGTGTACGCCGACAGGGCGATACCACGGAGCGGAAGAGGAGTGATCTCCGACACATAGGTCTGTCCTGTGGTCAAGGCAATCCCCAGTGCCAGTCCATTGATTATCTTGCCCGCAAGAAACACACCGGGGGTGTTCGCGGTGTACACGACCGCGAATCCCGCAGACGACAGACACGCGGCCACCAGAAAGGCAACCCGTCTCCCCAGACGGTCCGAGATGAATCCCCCGACCGTCGACCCGATCATGGTGGCCACCTGCGAAAGAGCATTCCACAGCGACTGCCAGTATGCCGGGATAGTATACGTTCCATGGACCAACGAACCGAACTTTTGCCTGCAATATAGTCGGTCAGCTCCATCCATCCACCGTCAGGGACTGGGCGACTCACTCGAAAGCCGGCATGGACAGCGACAGCGACAGGACCAGGTTGTCGAAGCCATACATCAACGCTCCGACATTCGCGTAGAGACAGAAGAGAATGATCAATGGGTTCTGGCGTAATGCCTCCCATGTGGTGGGGGGACTGTCATCGTGGGGGGCCGGTTCGGTGGAAGTGACGTTCTCGAGGTGGTTCGTTTCGGTTTTCTGGTCGGCTGTCATTGTGCAATGGTAAATGCCCGCGAGAAGATGCAAGTATGGGTTGATGGCGGTTGTTGAGATCCAAATGTGGGGGAGGGGACAGTTCGCATTATAGGGCAGGGGAGGAGGCAGGGTTCGCACGCATACCCCGTGGGGTAACCGGAATTGCCGACGCCCGGGCCATGTGGGGATCGCCTCAGACACGTAATTGTCGGCAAATCCGGGGCTGATGTTGACAGGATGGAGAAACAATTGGAACCTGGGGTAGGTTTATAGTGAAGTGAGAGAGGATATCATTCTTTCTTCGAACAAAAGCCTATGAATAAACCTTGTACTCCGTGGTAAGCTCAACTGTATGTGAAAGAATTCATCTCCATGGAAATCCCGGCTACTCAACCGTTGTCTCGTATAGTATGTCACCACGACTGACGAGCCGAGCCCTCTCCACAGTCCATCCCTGTGATACTCCGCCTTACCGACTCGGTCTAACGATCCACCGATGCATATTGCCCACTGCATCTAAAGAATCGAAACAGACGCTGTCTGCATGCAATTGCGACATTCCCAGTAGAAGGTTCACATTCAGTGAAATCTCAACGGCAAAGAGAAAACCTTTCCAGCCTTCTGACGCATACGGTTACTGTATAAGTACCCAACACCATTTGGCATGTCCTCGGAGCCCAACACCCCGAACAGCGAGCCCAACGCCACCGTTACTCACCGTTACTTCACAAAGCAAAGTGGCTTGATTATCGTCCACAGGGCTGCAGGCTGCAGGCTGCATGAAATATGCGCAAGTCATCTTCGCTCGGTTTTTCCGAGCATACCGAGCATGCCTCGTTTCGGTTGGGAGCTGCTTGTGTTTGGCTGGTTGGCTGATGTGGATGTGGACGTCGGTTATGCGATTTCATGGCCGTGATGCGTGGTGCACGTGGGCGAAGGGGGTTGATGTAGCTGAGGCTGTATTCTTACGATAGGTTTGGGGCTCTACACGGTCTGATTGCATGAGTTTTTTTTTTTCCCCTTTTTCCCTTTTTCATTCAATGGTGGGTTGGCTAGGTGGATGTGGGGTGCTTCGTGGTGCTGCTTTTCGGGGTCTTTGTCTGAAGCAGAGGGGTTCCTAGCATGCTTGAACATGTGTTTGATTGCATGGATTGGGACAAGAACTACAACACTCTTACAACCGGCTAGATGGAGCCTTTATGGATACTAACGGGGTATAGGACGCCTATGTACTTAGATATGAGTATCTGTGAGCCGTTTGATAGTGTTGGAACATTCGTCGGTCATGTCCGACATCGCTATCTGATCGTCCGATTCCACAAAACTCACTTTTTACAACCCATCACTCGCTCGTTCCAGTGCGGCAAGGAGCTGCGACACTGCTATAGCCAACAAGAACAGGCACGCGTCGATGCAGTCCTCAGTATCCACGCCAAGACCCAGTCCGGGCTTCACTTGCTGGGCTCGGCGCTTACGGAATTCCCTAATTAGACTAGAAGCATAGTAAAGTAGTTCATATCGTTAGATGTGCTACAGTCACTCACCATTACTTTAGTGTCAGCACTGTTCCAAGATTCTAAATTTGGAAAATAATCCATCCGCCAAGATAAAGTGTCAATACTATAGGTGCACAACAGAGATGCTAAGCGCCGGGAACCGCCGTGTTAGGGCTTCTCATGTCTCACCCTGTAGGCAAACCGCGTAAAAAGCTCACTGCCTCCATTGCCCATAGAATGAACAGAACTCGGTCCCCCAGTTCAACGATTTCCACTGGGTGATATCTCTCAAAAACCATGACCGCGCAAGAAAGCCCCCTTCGCCACGAAGACTACACCATCGCCTGCATCTGCCCGATGGGAGTGGAACAAGCCCCCGTCGAAGCGATGCTCGACGAAACCCACTGCAGCCTACCCATCCGCCATGGCATGGGGAGTTACACCTTAGGCCGTATGAGCAAACACAAGCTCGTCATCGCCATCCTATCAACAACCGGAACCATAGGAGCGACAGCCGGAGCGGTCCAGCTACTCAACGACTTCCCATCAACCCGATTAATCATCGTGGTGGGAATAGCAGGCGGGATCCCAGATCTTGCTCGTGGCATTGACCTCCGGCTAGGCGACGTGGTAGTCAGCAGGCCGACGGGACTGTGTCCGGGGGTGGTTCAGTTCGACCGGGGCAAGGCTCTCTCCAACGGTCGACTAGAGCGGGCTGGCACGTTGCACAGGCCCCCAGATATTCTGCTGGCAGCTGCAGCGAAGTTAGAGGCTCGTCATCAGCGCGAGGGCAGTGAAATCCCGCAGCACATAACCGCCATGCACCGAAAATACCCCAAAATGCACCAAGGGAACTACATCCACCAAGGCGCAGCGAACGACACGCTATTCCTTGCGGACTTTCACCATCGCAGCAGAACAGACTGCAGGGACTGCGATCCAGGCCAGGCCGTTCAACGTGTACCCCGGGCAGACGACACGCCCGTCGTGCATTATGGGACGATCGGGTCATCGAACGTGGTGGTTAAGGACGGTCGCACGCGGGATCAGTTGCGCGATGAGCTCGACATTCAGTGCGTGGAGATGGAGGCGGCAGGGGTGATGCATGTCTTTCCTTGCTTGGTGGTCCGGGGTATCTGTGATTATGCGGACTCGCATAAGAATAAGCGGTGGCAGCCGTACGCGGCGGCTGTGGCGGCGGGGTATATGAAGGAGTTGCTGTCGATGATTCCGTTGGATACTTGGGTTGAGAATGAGGGAGTTGATAGTTCTGAGGGGAGAGGTGCAATGGTGGCTGATGCGGGAGAAACGGATAGTGCTCGTGATGTTGTCGGCCTGAGGCAGTGGGTCATGGTTTGCCTGATTGTAACTTTGATCGTGTACACCTTCTCTGGCTTTCGATAGGAGGTTTATAATGCTGTGGCTAGATTTGTAAAATATATGGTGTATGATTTATGGACGCGCGCTTCATTCCTGCTATACATGGAGACTTGAAAAGACGATATACATATTTCATTTCTACGGATGGTCCAGAAGCATTGAGAGGGTTCTGGCACAAGATGAAACGAACATTCTGCATCAGAACACACGTCGATTTTGAATTCGAAAGGAGCTGTCTGAGCTTGGTGACTCAATCGGCCAGCTACCAGCTACCAGCTATCGCAGGCCGTTTCTTCCAAAACCCACGTCCCAAATATTGTAGCATGAGTAAATTTATTGCCTATACCGCAGTTCTGAAGACTATGCTGTATAAGGGTGATATGAGCCCGATGTTGAACCCCAACTACATGCAATGTTTCGCTGCGGAGTTGCCGCGCGGTACCAGCCCGTTTATACATGGGACATCACAGAAAACGGCCATCCAGCTAGCGACTTCGCTCCTAAACTCGTTCACAACTCGTTCTTCACGAGTGGTCTACGCATGAGATGCCTTTGTCCGTAGAGTCCCGGAACAGCCAACGATGCCCCTCCGGTCCATCGTTCTCACTTCCACTTCGCGTGTCCCTTGTGTAATGACTTCTTAGAACCAAGACTGTGTCTAGGGCGTAGGGGCGGTGGCATGGATTCAGGCTCAGACTCAGGCTCTGGCTTCTTTTCTCGCGGCGCTAGAGGGTTCCCGCCCGGTTTGAAGAATGGATAGCGAGAGACCGAACCACGAGATATGGGCGGCTTGACCGGCTTTATCTCCGGCGCTTCCTTGATCAATCCTAGCTTGAAAACCCAGCCAGGCTTGAAGAATCTGTGCGGTGATCGTGTGCTCCCAGGTGATTGGCCGGCTTCAAATAAGTTCTCTCGTCGCGTGTCGGTGTCACGTTTTGGCGAGGATAAGGTCGTAGAAGAACGGGCAGCGGGTGCTCGACGTCGAGGTGGCAGGGGATAAGATTGCTGGAGAGTTGAAATGATGGACCCAATCTGCGTCTCGGGGCGTGTTTCAAGATTTGGCGTGGGAAGCGGCGTGGTAGTTGGCTCTGGAGCTGTCCTCTTCGTGGGCTTTGTCTGCTGTGTCGCCGGTCCTGGAATCACTTCGGTGATAGCAGGGGCTGCCTTAGGAATTAGCTGGGGAGTCGACTGCGGGGGTACTGGAGTTGGCTCTGGCGTTGCCGTGAGAGTCTCCTCTATGACAGTCTCTGGTGTTGGCGCTAGGCTTTGGGTTAGCTCCGGTGTCTCCGCGATAGACTCCGTGACATCTATGGTTGCCTCTGAAGCCGCCTCAACGACGGCCTCAGGAACCGCCTCTAGAGTTACTTCGGAGACAAGCCTCGGGGTAGCATCCGGGCCTTCTGGTCCTGCCATCAGTATTCCCTCTGGCGTCTCGCTGACATCTAGCGCAGCCTCAGCGCCAGGACTTGCTTCTAGGATCGCCTCCGGAAGTACCTCCGGAATTGCCTCCGGGGCGACCGTAAGAACAGCCTTGACGGCCTTATCAGTCGGTTCGTGGAAGTTCCTCGGCCACGTCTCCACAGTCGAGAGGTTGCCATCCATTGTTACCAGGCCCAAGGCAACATACCAAGGCTTTACCGACGGCCGTGGCATATATCTCTCAATCGGCGGGGGAATCGGTGGGGCAATCGGCTTTTGCAAGTCTGTCAAATCCTGAGCGAGCTTCTCCGTAAAGATCCGTTCCTCAGCAGACAAATTGGGTTTTCTACCCCGGTCTTTCGTGAGAATGTCCTGAAAAGCCGGCATGGCCGGCTCCTTGGACCGAGAAAAGTGTGCCAAGTACCTAGCTAGTGCTTTCAGCTGAGCCCTTTCCACGTCCGTGAGTAGGAGTGGGACCCTCTTTAGGCGGCTTCCATAGAAGAAATGTTTGCGTGAGTTGTACATTAGGTGGTTCAATGTTGGAGGCAAGAACATTGGGAAGGTGAGAGTCTTTTCTTTCATGAGTCGCTGGAGCTGCGGATGGAGCCGTGGGTTCACATGGCCCAGGTACCATGATATCTTGTGAAGTACGCGCGCTGTTTCAGTTCCAATATGAGCCAGTGTCTTGGGTTTGGCCTTCTCCGCGAGAAACCTCCTAAGCATGCTTTCTAGTATATTGGCGCGCAGTTTCCATCTTTCTATTTTTTCTACATGATCGGTAAAGCCAGCGTCTAGGTAATCAGTTTCCCAAGTGAAGTACGAGCTGGGGAGCGGGAAGTCTTCTTGACCAAGCACTGGCAACAATTCATCGCCCCGGCTAGGAATGCGTTCAGACTCATTTGGCATGTCCGCTTGCCAGTCCACCTCGTGGATCACGGACGGGATATTTGACTTGGCTACCATGTCAGAATTGCGGGATGTGCGATTCCATCGCAGACGCCTCTGGTCATCCTCGCACAATATCATATCTTTTCCCCTAAATGGAATATTAACGCGAACGATTTCGGGTTCGAAGGATTCCTGTTCCCAATCATAGTATGTAACTGCACGAGGCATATCGTGTAGCTTGTTACGGAGTTTGGAAGCTTTTCCTGGAATCGAGCTTTTATCGGCCGCGTGAGGATATTTGCCCTTGGAAGAGATATGATTCTTTCTAGCCTCGTTCGACGGTAAATCGAAAGGGACGAGGCCACCATTGCTCAGCGTCGAACTTCTGTCTGTCACGACATGATCTGCATGTTCCAGAGGCGATTGACTTGGCGACAGGTGGGTAGTCTGAGAGGCGGTTAACGGGGCGTCGGCTCCGAATTCTGAGCTTTGCACAGGCGGCCTCTCGACTAGTGACGGGTCCCAACCAGAATCGATGGTAGGTCCGACGGGTACCGACCCATGCTGTGGGACATTGTTTTGGGTGGGTGCTGGCGTGTGATCACCCTTCAGCTCACGAGGCTTATCTGTAAGTCTAGGAGTGGCGACCTCGACACCGGAGATAGCGTCTTTGCTCTCGTCACCCCGATTTCGCTGCGGACGCCTGGGCCTGCTCGAATCGGCAGAGAGGTACGGACCGAGCGCATGAATGACAGGGTACAAGGCCTTGTAGTTCCTCTCGCTGTCGACAAAAGCTGCTCCGATGATGGCACTCGCCGTGAGTTCAATCTGCAGCTGGCTAGGCTTGACTGGGTTCGCGTCCCGGCTGGCAGCTGTCACCATGGCCTCGAAGATCCTCTTCTTTTGCTCTACGGTGGAGTGATCCAACGATGCGAACGGTGCGGGCAACGTTGAGTCTTGAGGCCCATTGTCCCGTTTGATTGTGAGCAAGTCTGTCTTCGTTAGTACCACTCAATCGAGCATGGTTTCTGGTTTTACTCTACTCATGTCCTGTCGAATGTCTTCGGCGGTACGCATCATAGTCATGACTGAGGCTCCAACCCTGAGGAGTGCTTGGCTGTGAGCAGACTGGGGTTTGGCTGGATCAGCGACCAGCCTTCGGAGCGCATCTTGCAGGAATGTGGCATCCCGAAAGTGATAGCCCAGCTCATGCTGCAACGCCTTCAAATTGGCAATGGTCTTCATGACTGCTCAACATGGCACCAATCCCACCATGGGAAGCTGCACGATTGATTCAGGGCTGACTTGACGTAGCGTAGGATCATGAACGTTGCAGCTCAAGGAATGTTGGAGTTGGGAAGATGTCGCGCGCGAGGAAATCGTTCCTTGTTGTCCCCGCAGCACCTATCCGCTCACCGCCTGGCAGCGCGAGCATGTATCAGCAGGATACCACTTGTTGCCGGCAGAATGACACCGCTTTGGCAGATCTCACTGGAACCTCGGCCGGGTCTAAAGTGGAGCGTGCCTTGATCCAGCCACGCACCCACCACATCCCCATCCCCATCCACATACACATCCACATCCACATCCACATCCTCCATATCATCTCGGGAGTCTGAATATGGCCGTGACATACTTCGTCGCTTTTACTCCCTCTACTCAGGTTTTATCGCGTCGACTGGCTGCAGATTCTACGCGTCACCCGACACGGATTACCGCGGTTCATTCTACCTGAGCATCCCAATTTCAATCCGATCGCTCTACACGATCTCGGCAATAGGGTGCTCGGTTTCGATCGATTTATGTTCTAGTGTTTGTAATCTGGCTCATTTCCTCCCTTGACCCTGCAGTAATTTTGCTTCATCCCCACAGGCGAGCAGCAGCCCACTACAATGCACGGTGCTAGAAAAGAAACCAGTCTAGCAAACCGCAAGACGTCCTAATCAGCTGATGTCCTTCATGCTCGTTTAGCACCATGTACGGGTTGCCGACTCGACCCAGCGCCCTTCATATACCATAAACAAGCTAGAGGACTACCCCATTAATTCCACCGGCGACATACCTCTTTTCACAGAGACATGTCTCGTTCCGTCGAGCTCGGCAGGATATCTATACTTCCTGACAGCCAAGTCTTCTCTGTCAAGCTCAGTTGGCCATTGAGTCCGCCACTCTCCAGAAGTTTGATTCTGTCCAGGAGGTAACACCGACGCAGAGATTGATTGCTGCTTTTTGCGGCGACGGAGGATATACCACGCAGCCAAGAGCGCGATCGCACCAATCAAACCCAACCTTGCTCCCACTCCTATGCCTACTTTGACGCCGGTAGGAAGAGTGCGAGTTTCCGATAGGAAGGTCGGCGTGGGACTTGAACTTGCAGGGCTATCGCTCGCTGCGAAAGTCGCAGGACTGGTACTGGAAAACGCGGACGTAGTCGTCGTGGCAGCCGCAGTAGCAGTGGCCGTGGGCACGGCATCTTGAATATTCCAGCCAATCACAGAGATGACGCCAACATACCAACTGCCCGTCAATGTGGTCGTCACAATCTTCCACTTGGTGGCTTCGCCTGATGGCGTTGAGGCGTACGTCAAGGTCATACCGGATGAGACATCCGACTCGCAACTCCCGTCGATTAGGGCAGTGTTATCGTCGGCGACGTAGTATTGTCTAAGCCTGTTAGCGTATTCCTTCAGGCACGAAAGCAGACCTACGAGGGACAGCACATGGCTAATGTGCTGTAGGCATCTTTGATGGATGATTTCATCGTGGCAAAGCCCTCAGGACAGGTAAAGGGGCCCAGACTGACCCGCGTGGGTAGCGTGCCTCCATTTCCCAAAAGGCCTTGCTCCCACCACGTCGTTACTTCTGGAGCTTCGCAAGCAATGTTGTGGTTCACATCTAGCCCGTACCCTGGGTCCCAGGCGACCAGAGTGGGGCGGTCGAGGCGGAAGTAACTTGCGCATCCGGACGAGGAGGGCCACGCTGTGGTTAGGGGGAGATAGGATGTGACAGTTCCGCTGTTTGTTTCGGGTGGGTAGGTGAGTGACATAAGTGATGATCTTTGATCGGCAAGAAAGATGTTCTGTTCAGATTTGTCGAAATAAAGCAGAAGAAGAGACACGGATACATGAAGCAAATGTTGAGAGAGCAGCGAAAAGTCACTTTATGGCTCTAACGATTAGTATGAGCAGCCCTCTACTTCTTTGTTGTTCAAATTGCCTCCCATGCTGACGCTAGGCTGGCCCATGTCCTGTCAATTCCACGAGGTAGACTGAGCACACGCTAGGGCTGTCAGCAAGCGCCTGCGAGTTGATAAGCGCCTCCACTGAAGTCGCGTTGGTATAGTTAGGGTCTCGCGCTACTTTTCCCGAATAGTTCACTGGGAAGCCACTAGTTGCGATCCAATTCTGTTCGCATTATCCTTGTTGACACGCATCAGGAAACAAGACGATTTCATCAAAGAACCTATTATCAACGCGAACTGAACCCACCAGCTTACGAAATCAAACCTCACCTCTAGCCCTGACCACCCCCTCTCCCAAAAACAGCCGCATAGTGCTCCGTCACCCTCTCACAAAGCACTTCAGCCCTCCCTTCCCAGTCCTCAAACAACCCCCCAAACTCACAAGCCACCGCAAGCGTCTCCTCCCAGAACGTCTTCTCAGCATCAAATCCCACCTTCGCCAACGCCTCAGCGGGATAAGTCCACAACCTGGCCGGCAGACCATCCAACCCCCGCAATCTCCTTCCCAACAACCCCGTCTTGCCGGGGTTGAACTCTGGGCTGCCTGCATGGATGAAAAATGCCCTGGCCTCTCCTGGTCCCTCTTTCCCTAAATCCTTGCCTTCATTCCTCTTCGCTGTCTTCACCACATTCCACGCATAATCCTGAACCGGATCTGCCTGGATAAACCCCGCATTGACTGCGACCGTCGACTTTCCACCGGTATTCATCCTCCCCAGATCGACCGGCGGGGAGCGCACAGCATAAACCACCGCGTGCAGCGCCATCGCCGCGTGGAGGAATGTCTCCTTATCCCCGGTACCTGGGGCGCCCTGCCCCAGTAGCGGATAATAGTACTCCGGACCGTAGTAGTTATAGTACGCTGCCAGCAGCAAAGTCCTCCACTGCCGGCCCTTATGCACCAGAATCATCCCTGTTTCACTACTCGCTCGCACCGTGGACCCGGGATCCTCCTGTCTGGAGACATTAAAGTAAACCGGACTACCAGTATTGGCGCAGAAATCCGGCCAGAGTATCAACCCATACTCCGTAAATAGATCCGAGATGAACAACGCCGCTGGATCATGCAAGGGCACGCAATCCGCGTCAAGCCAGAGCACAGACTCGAAAGAGGAAAACAGCTGCGCGAAGGGCTTGATCTGAAACCCGCTCGTCAGTGCCTTATCGAGACCCGGAGCACGAGTGGAAAGGGTAATGCATTGAGCGCCGAGCTGCGGCAGGACGTGCTGGCAGAGCGGCCGCGCGGGGTCGGATTCAGTGGTGTTTGCCAAGAAGACCTCGACGGGGAGGGTGGACCCGGTGCGTCGGAGGAGGCGGAGGGTAACGAGGAGGGTAGGGAGGTAGGAGGCGGCGGCGGTGACAATGCCTGTCGTCCCGGGGGTGTATGGGGGTTTGTGTTGGATGGTGTGGATTGTGTGGCGGATGGAGTCGTGGGCGATTTGCATGGGGAGGAGGATTGCGTTGGCGTTGAGGATGTGGTTTGCGCGGGGGTGGGGGTTGGTGGGGGAGAAGCGGTGGGTGCCGGCACTGCGGCGGAGGAGGGTCGGAGGGCATTTGGGGTCGTTTATTGTGAGGAGAGGGTGGAAGTGATGCCAGAATTGGGATTGTTGGGAGAGGACTGTGCCATTGGGGGAGAGAACATGGCGGATATAGTAGAGGTCTGCGAGGAGGATGACGGCTAGAATGGCGAGGATGGTCCGGCGGGGAGCTGATATTGCAGTGAAGTTTAGCAACAGAGGATGGGTGAGAGGTAACTTTGTTGCTGTTATAGATTTTGATCTTGGAACGAACAGTTCTAACCGCAGACTGACGCAGGAAGACAGCCTTGTAAGCGCCGTGGCTGACGCTGTCAAGTCACGGCGGATGCAGCAAACCCAAGCACCAATCATTGATTATAACCTCTTCGTGATTCCCGTTATGCTGTTATAGACCGTGATGTTTTGTTTTGGAATAGTTCTATACATAAGGATCTGCTAATTGCTGAACTAATGCAGTAAGGAGCCCCTAAGTCCTGTGGATATTTGTTGATGTACACTAGATAGTAAAATCAAGATTTATGCTTAAATATAATCTCTTAAAATGATACCCTCTATAGATCTTGTCGGATTGAAACTGCTATAAGTTGAGTATACAGCTACTTTGGACTTACTTGATTTAGGTAGTAAGTCTATCCTAGTACTATAGAGGATTAGCTACTATATATCCTGAGACTATTGATAATGTTAATAGTAGTATACTTCATATAACTAAAGTAAATTCATAGCTACAGCTACAGCTGATAAGTTCAGATAATAGCAATAAAAAAGCTGACTATTCAAGAAACTATCGTCTCTATTTAATCAAACCCACAAGCAACCACAGCATAAAATCCCACATTGAACGCCATCGCCGCGCGGAGGAACGTCTCCTTCGCCCCGCCCCAAGGGCCCCCGGCCCCAGTAGGAGAAAATCGTACTACATAGAAATTTCAGTAGACCAGCAGGAGCAATAACCTCGATTGTCGCCTTTTGTGCATCGTAATAACCAAGGAGATCCACATGATACTATTTAGACACCGTATGAATGGCATCCCACTTATTCTATTTGATAAAGATACTCCACTGCTTTCCCCATTGCTCCCTCGATCCTCAATCGATCCCTCAACACTAAGCCTTCTCCGCGCCCTTCTCAGAAGCACCGCCGGTCTCACTTCCAGCCTGTCCTGGGATCGGCTTCCCACAGACAGCAAGCACTTGATCTTCCTAGATTCAACGATAGATCGTGTTAGCCGCCGCATCCCCAACACCAGCAATCGACCCTAGCTCGCTGCAGACCCAATCCCTTCGCAGATTCATGCCGCGGCCATAGGGAGTAAACGTACCTCGTCCCCAGAACAACACGCCAAGGCATAACCTTTCGCAACCTGTCACTTTGTTGCTGTCGGAACGCCGTTGCCTGTGCCCGCCCATATATCAGCTTCAATTGTCCATTTGAGGGAGCTGGATATCAGCTAGTAAAACTGAGCACGCGACTTACACAACGCTCCTACCGTGCCCAGCAGCTCATCATGAAGCGCAATACCGGCCCCATTGGTCATGTCGGTCACGGCTCCATCGGATAATGACTCTCTGACTTTGCAGCATTTCAGGTTTTCGTTTTTGTTGCATGTTTGGGCGAGAGCTGTGAGGGGGAGGGAGAGAAGGAGGGCGGAGAGGAAGGTTGTGGTGCGCATTTTGTGTATGGTGGAATGTAGAATATTCAGGAGAGATCCGTGATGATTGCTTGATGATTTGCGTTGGGCTTGGGTGGTACGGGAGGACTAGAGGGTATTCATAGTTGCTGCTTGATGGCTGTGGTGATGTATCATAGTCACTCCCCTGGTGATCGTTGTAGTCAATACGGGGAGGGTCAATGATTTGCGGATTATTAGGTCATTTAGATATGTCCAGTGCAGTACATGTTCTGACTTTTATGGGACATTTTGTTATATGACACAGGGAGTAAGGCTTGTACTCAAAAGTCGGGGGAGATATGACATCAGATGCGTGCGATGTACAGTACATCCCCTGTATGCAGGGACAATGTGATCGACTTATTGCATTTGAATATTTGATCGGTCATATGAGGTCTCAGCCGAGCATTCCATAGTCGACGTCAACGAGAGCTTTGTCGTACAGCGCTTATATTGGATTTGCTTATGGCATTATTGGCACCTACAGCATAGCTTCATCACTATGGTCAGATCCATACATTAGAGGGAGCTATGGTGGAAAGCAGTGACGGGCATTGTTGTGGTCTAGACCAGAGGTGGTAGCCTAAGGCACCACATCATCCCAATTCAGCCTAGTCTCCCGGCCCCTCTAACCCCAAACCAGCAAGAGCCAAATGTCATCTGCCCAAAGATAAGCGCGCGAAAAAAAACTCCCCTCCCCGCCTCCTCGCCTCCTTAAACAAAAATTTCCCCCGCATCTCACCTTCACAACCACACACACACACACCTTGACCATTCTTCCGCAAGGACTGCCGAAAGCACCACCGTCACCATGGGAAACGTAAGCGACTAACTGACACTTTTATTTTGTTTGCAAGATGCGATGATGCGATGCATGGCTTGGGTCGAGCTCTCCCCCGTCACATGCGCATTGGGACGTGGACGAGGACTCGCCTCGAGCCAGACAGAAGAACTGCATTCGATACCCGCTGCATGGGATCCGGGATCTATCACATACTTATTCAAATCGATTACAGGGAGCCAAAGCCCAGATGAAGCGCGAGCGCAACGCCAAGGACGCTGGCAAGGGCGGCAAGTCGCAGTTGAAGGCTGTACGTATTTCTTCGGCATGAATGCGAGAAGAAACAGGATGAAAAGACTTTTTTTTCTCTCGAACACCTACTCACTCCTCCTAGAACGAAGCCGCCAAGGACATCATCTGCCAGATCTGCAGATCCACCTTCCTCAAGACGGCCAAGGCCCCCGCCCTCACCGAACATGCCCAGAACAAGCACAACAAGTCCCTCCAGGACTGCTTCCCTGCCTTTGCCTAGACACGAGACGAGCGATGTCGTATGTGGACATGTAGGGAGGGGCTTGCGATGAAGGGGACTGGTATGCATGCATCATGCTGGGGAGTTCTTGAGCGACTGTTTGGTTGTGCATATTTCTTGGGGATGTGATTGGAGAATTGATACCTTTTGCTTTTTGTTGTATGCGGTTTGTGGAGGGTGTGGTGTATATCAGTAGGAGGATTTGAGATGTAGGCCGGTGGTCATCGTGTGTATGATTGAGGACAATGCGCCTAGGTTTCGAGTAAACTCATAGCATCGAGTGTCCCGGATGCCTACAATCATCGAACACTGGACAAGCTTTATTCAGACTCGATACGTGTGCTTTGGAAACATGATACCTGAACAAAGTAAATCATCGTTACTTGGAAGCAGGGTAGTGAAGTAGCCCTAAGGCCTTAAAGATGGCCCAGGAGTTAGACCTACCATCAACGCTGTTGAGTGTACTATATCCATTAGCGGTACCAAGCGGTGAATGATAAAGAAGCGTCCTCCGGTAAGACCATCGCATCAAGATAAAGCCATGCTGCTGGTTTGTTGTGTATCTGGTCCTCAAATGAACATTGTAGTCATGCTGCTGAAAGATACTCGCTCAACTCACTTCTCCAAGCCTTAATGTGCCCTATACACTGAGGTAAACTCTTCCACACACTACCAAGGTACCGGTAGAGCTCTTCCCAACTCAGACGGAGTAATTTCTATCATAGAGGCTGTTCAGAAGACTTTGCAAAGCCTCGCAGACGACTGGGAATGAATCGCGCCATCCATGCATATCAACCTTCCTCCCACAGCACCTCGGCACGGTACGCAAGTACAGTACCTGAGTCATGCACTCCCTCCAACCATCAATCACAATCCGTGCAACAGGCCGATAAGAAGTGATTGTTGGATAAGATGGCATATGGCGCAATAAGACGACATGCGGGGTGCAGCAGACGGTGCAATGTGGGTGGTTGTTGGTTGCGGGTGGCATAACCTGCATCGCCGATTGCGTGATAGTAGCGGGAGACGGAAGACCATGTCTCGTCCGACATACCCATCCGACAAGAGTAGTATAAATGGTTGACAAGTCGGTGATGTTTTGAACACCTCATACTCAACCTCAATCTGGCATTGACTGCATCTGCTCTGCTCTGACCATGGCGCCGGGAATCAACGAGACAGCCCTCCCCGTCCACCCCCACCCACGGGACGAGGCCCCCGAATACCCCCAACCCCTCCAAACCAGCGGGGCATTGGACCAGTTCGAGTACGAAGAGACCACTCCGGTCATCGGACGGGAGTATCCGACTGTGAATATTGTGGATGATTTGTTGAACGCACCGAACGCGGACGAGCTGGTGCGCGATCTGGCCATCACCAGTACGTTCCCCTCCTCTCCACCCGAACCCTCTATCCCACCCCTACCCTCTAACCAAACAACCAACCCCCCCAGTCTCCCAACGCGGCGTGGTCATTTTCCGCGCGCAAAACAACCTAACCGATGCCCTGCAAAAACACCTCATCCAGCGCCTGGGCCAGCTAACCAACAAACCCCCCACCTCGACCCTCCACATCCACCCGATCCTCAACAACACGAGCGAGTTTGGGGTGGACGACGCGGAGATCAGCACGATCAGCTCGCTGGCGCGCAAGAAGCTGTTTGGACCCTCCCACCAACGCAACAAGCGCCGGTACGACGCCGCGCAATGGCACTCGGACATCCAATTCGAGCCCGCCCCGGCGGATTACACCTCCCTGCGACTGACCCAGCTGCCGCGCACGGGGGGCGATACCCTCTGGGCGAGCGGGTATGAGCTCTACGACCGATTTTCGCCGGCTTACCGACGCTTCCTGGAGGGGTTGACGGCGACCTTCTCGGGCGACGGGTTCCTGCAAGCCGCCGCGCGGAATCCCACAGAGGTGCGGATCTATGAGGAGCCCCGCGGGAGCCCGTTGAATGTGGGCAGGGAGTTGACGGCGGTGCATCCGGTGGTGCGCACGAATCCGGTGACGGGGTGGAAGAGTGTGTTTGCAGTCGGGCCGTTTCCGAAGGTGATTAATGAGTTGACCGTGGAGGAGTCGGAGGAGTTGTTGGCCAAGTTCAAGAAGATCGTGGCGGAGAGTCATGATTTGCAGGCCCGGCTGAAGTGGAAGAATGAGAACGATATTGGTGAGTTTGGCCTCCCTGGGGGTTTGCCATGATGGGTGCTGACGACTGAGGTTTAGCGATCTGGGATAATCGCAGTGTGTTTCATACAGCGACGTTTGATTATGAGGGACTCGGGGAGCGGTTCGGCCATCGTGCGGTGGGGATTGGGGAGAAGCCGTTTTTGGATCCGAAGAGTCGGTCGAGGACGGAGGTGTTGGAGGGGTTGTAATTGGGGCTATTGTTAGAGGGTGTTTGTGGTGGTGGATCAGGCTGTCGCATGAGTTGGCAAGCATTGCGCAATGAATATACATCACTGGAGAGTCGTACGTCTAACAGAAATGATCAATGTGGATATACAAGAGAGCCAATATGTTTTAGTTCACAATGCCAAGAATGGCATGGCTTGCTCCAACAACTCCGTGAGAGGCTTGCTATACGAGTATCTTGTAGACTGCTAAGTAAAGTCAGAGCTTGGTTTTGTTGTTAAGACGCAGATGGCGGTGGATGGAGTTGGTTGGGATAGTGATGCTGGTGAATTTGTATGGAATACCAGCAGGTTGAGTAGCAGGAGTGATCTATTGTTATGATTATCGTGTTGCGTGAGCATCAAGTGCATGCGAACATCCAATTGTCCGTATAAATGCATACTAAGCAACTAAGCAACGCAACTAAGCGAGAACCCCTAAAGGATCCCATCGGGGCAACACCTTTGGCTCCTGGTCCAAGACCGCCCGCACTTCCGCCGACACAAACTCGACATCCACCACCGCCTGGAAGGTATACTCGTCCATCCACCGATCCATCATCACAAACCAGCCCTTGTCCCCGGCCGCCTCGCCCCACGAGTTCTCCACGCGCCACCGCACCGGGCGACCCTCCTCGATGTGCACCCCCGTGATGACCATCGCATGCGTCATGGCCGACTCGCCGCTAGCCAGTCTCTCCGCCTTGGTCATGCCCAGCGTGACATTAAACGCAAGCGAGAGCTCCGTCAGGTCCGCATCCATGACCCCGCGGGCAGTGTCGGAGAACTTGCCCACATCGCAGCCGAAGAAGACGGGCTGGCCGGCTCGGAGCATAGCAATCACCGCAGTTTTCAGCACCTGTTAGCGTCAGCTACCGGTTCCCCCCCGACTAGACCGGACAATTGAAAAGGGGAGGTCAGTCACCTTCATCTCGACATTCACATATCGCAACGCCCGTCCCTCAACGACATTCCCCAACCTCTCCACCGTCAACAACCGCATATACTCATTCCGGGGATCATTCACGAGACTAAACCACCTCGCCGGCGCCACACTCCCCAATCCCCTCCCCGCGCGGCGCCTCACCGCCGTCTCCGTGTTGACGCCTTTCGCAAACTCCCTCGGCGAAACCCTCACCCTCCTCGCCTTGTGGTCTGCATCATAAAACTGCCACACAAACTCCTCATCCGGCCGAGGCGCCGGTCCCAGCAGAATGGTCACCAGCGCGTGAATTTCCTGCAAAAACTCCTCCTTCCGCCCCGCCACCCCTTTCCCACCCTGCTCCCGAACCAGCCGCCGCAGAATCAACCCCTGCTCCCGTAACTTAGCCGTCACCAACCCATTCATCTTCGCACTATTCTTCGCATGGTAATTATCCGGATACACCGCCCCCGGAACAAGCCCGTACTTCCTCACCAGATTGACTACCATATCCCACTGCCCGCCATCCGTGACCGGATCTGCGAGGAGTTTCTGCACCAGCCGGTCCGAGATGTCGAGCTGTGCAGTCTGTAGGATCTGCTCGAGGAAGTAGTTCGCTTTCTCGAGTTTGTCCCAGTAGAAGAGGTAGGCTTGGCTGAGCTGGAAGTCCTTCAGGTTGTAGGTTTGCATGAGCGGGAGGCGGAAGATGTTGGTGGAGGCGAAGAGCCAGCACCGGCCGGAGGAGTGTTGGTTGGTGATCGGGGCGCCTTCATTGGGGATGGTGAGGTTGAAGATGTGGAGGGCGGTGGTTGGAGTGGTGGGGTTGGTGAGGACGGCGGGGTAGGGTTGGGAGTTGAGGGTGGTGATTGCGAGGCGGTTCTGAGTAGTTCGTTTAGTTGGAGTCGGTGGGGGATCAGGGAGATGGGGTACAGTACCTTGGGGTCGCGGAGGAGGGAATCGGTCCAGGATTTCACGGTCGAGAGGGTGAGGGTTGAAGTGTGTTCTCTCTCTGGTGCGGGGTCTTCAGGGTGGTAGGGTGGTGCTGTGAGAGTTAGTTTGGTTCCATAGTGTAGACCTAGTGTACGATAGGGTAGGAGAGTGGGAGTTACGGGATTCAGATTCCGTGACATCGTTGTCGATGTAGAGCAGTGGGGAAGGATGTTTCTCGCTGGGAGCGACTGCGGGTTTGGAGTATGCGGTGCCCATCGTGATCGTTGTTGGGTTTTGGTGCAAGTGACAACCTACTGCTGAGGGGAATGGCCTCAGATAAACCCAGACACGGCTAAGGACCCGGGAAGCACGAGCGGGGAAGATAATCTCCTGGATAGCACACTTTCTCCCCATTGGCTGTCGGCTGGACTTATCAGCTGCAGCCGCACGTTCTTGCTTTGGTGCGTGAAGCGTCAGTAGTATTTCAGTTGTCGACTAGTAGCCCTAGGAAACGGTGATTGATCTTCCTAGTAGTAAATACCGGAATGGCTTGCTGACTGAATAGAGCGCAGTTGCGCAGCTGCATCAGTAGCCAGCTCGGAGGAGTTCTGGTGCAATTGCAGCGATGAACGATTTAACCAAAAGAATGCATTCAAGACTGGTGCTGGGGTTTGCTGCATCGCCATATTTTGACAGCCATCCAACGCGCTTAGAGGGTTCCTTACTGCGTCGTTTCCGTAGTTCAAGACATCAGAACCTATAACTACACCAACCCATCCTCTCACTCATGCGTTGCTCAAATTCAATGCAATGCAACTCCCGCTGGACCCCGTTAATAAACCTGACTACACCCAGCATATCCTTCCCCTGAACGAAACATGTCCAAAATGATCCAATAATACGCTGCTCATCGGCATTCCCCCTATTGATTACTATGATGGGCGAGAGCCGCCACCAGTGTGGCAGCATAGAAATTTAAACTCTCTACAATCACAGACTTGCATTCTAGCCATACAGAAACCCCCACACTTCTCCTCCTCCTCTCCTTGCAACCTCCAATCCATTGATCAAGCCAGATCGATCTCCAACCCCAACGTCGCATTCAACACCGCATTCCCATAGAAGAATTCCGTCCTGCGAACATCAGCACAACCATCCCCCAAGAAAAAAGAGCTATACTCACCCCGCATTCCCAACATTGACATACGTCTCCTCCGTAAACCGGCCCAAGTCCACCATGGCCATCAACCACTCGCGCAGATCGCCCTCGAAGCTGCCCTCGAACTGGGTGTCGGGCAGCAGCGAGCTGACCGTGATGCCCGAGTCGTCGTTGACTCCCTCGTACAGCTTCCAGGAGGTGCCGAACAGGTCGTCGACGGTGGCGACCGCCCCGCTGCTCCAGCCGATGGGGAGCTGGCCGCCCTCGTACTGCAGCCAGAGCATCAGCTCGTGCGAGGAGGCGGAGGTGGAGTCGCCTTTGACGTCGTTGGTCATGAAGTCGAAGCAGGTGTTGCCTGCCGCCGGGATCCGGGAGTTAGCTTGGAACCATTCTGGACGGTGGGAAGGGGGACTTGAATCAGTTACTTACCCTTAAAAGTCGTCGTGTTCGTCCGGGTCCAAGTATACTCCGCCGGAATCGAGGCGATGGCCGAGATCTTGGTCTCCAGGTTCTCAGTGAGACCCACAAACGAATACCCCTTGGGGACGTTGTTGCTGCCATCGCACCATCAGTATTCACCATATACTACTGCTCGAAAAGCCAGCAGGACATACGTGCTCTCCACGTATTCAATATCCGTCACACTGCTCCAGACAACCTCCTTGGTGCCGTTCGCCGTGGTGGTCTGCGAGTCGTAATCCGTGCACTGCGTGCCGACCGTCTCGGCGGCGTTGTAGAGCATGTTGTATACGATCCACGGGGTGTCCTGCAGGATGATGTAGTCGTAATCCCCGCAGAGGGAGGTGGCCGACTGCGCGCGGCGCGAGAGGGCGGGCAGCGCCAGCGCTGTCGAGAGGAAAAGGGGGGCGAGGGCGGCGATGTACATTGTGTAAGAAGTGTATCAAAGGAGTGACTGGAAGGAATGAAGGAACGAAAAAAGACTGATGAGCGAGAAGAGAGCTGGTCTTAAGGTTAAGCTTATATTCATGTTCGGGACGGGAAATGTGAAACCAGAGTGGGGACATAAGATGAAGGGTCGGCCTGGAACCAGTCTGAGACGGCCGGTGGATGGCATTGATGATGATGTGAGTCCCAATCAAGCTGAAGGACGAATTGAATACGTACTGCTCGCTTTCTTCCAGACTTATGTTATAAGTGACAGTATATGATGAATCTGCTGTTGTTGCTGGCATCGCTTCATAGAGAAGGGTCCGATGTCGGCTCCACTTCCCCTTGCTATCGGAGGTGCTTCAGGTGCTTCCAGTGGGTCGATCGCGCTTGGCAGGGATAGCCCTAAATCATTATCTCCCCGACCACGACTTCATCCATCAACAACCCCTGACAAGATTATACTGTAGCTGGGCAGTACTGACGTTAGCACTCTGAGCACTGAGATGCGAAGCTCACCGTACACTGGTGTTCCACTCAATTGCCGGCTAGAAAGAGGCCACAGAGAGATCATACTATCTATCACTTCGAGGAGCTTTTACGCTCATCCTTAAGACTCGGGAGTTATAGTATCCCGGGGGAGAACCCCCGGACCCCCCTTTCTTTCAGCTTCCTGGTAAACGACATCCCTATCCAGGGACATAAAGTGCACCCACACTAATACCCCTGCACAAACCACACACAACGCATAACTTCCCCACTTATTCCCTTCCTGACTAATCCCTCACGTGCCACCCCACCCACCAAATCCCCCACCACCATCCCCTCCTCACACAAACTCATCCCCATCACTATCTTCCATCCGCGCAGCCATGCCGCGCGTCCCCACCACCAAAGAAGTCCTCCCGGGGGCCTCAGTGAACATCATCCTAAAAGCCGACCAACCCACCGGCCGCACCGTCTCGGGACGGATCGCCGACGTGCTAACGCGCGGGAACCATCCGCGGGGCATAAAAGTGCGGTTGACGGATGGGCGGGTGGGCAGGGTGCAGTCGATGGTATCGGAGGGGGAGGATGTGTCTGGTGCAGGCGGCGGTGAGCTTCCAGAGAGGGGGTACCGCGACAGGCGCGTGAGAGGGGCCGGGGCGGGGGATGAGCCTCCCGCGCAGAATATCGGGTTGGATGCGTATCTTACTGCGCGGCCAAGAGGGCAGAATCGGGGACGGAAACAGGGACAGGGGCAGGGACAGGGACAGGATGACGCTTTGAGAGGATCAGGAGCAGGAGGAGTGGTGAGTTGTCCGGTTTGCAGTGTGTTTGAGGGGGATGAAGCGGCCGTGGCGCATCATGTCGCGGGGCATTTTGAGGATTAGATGACGTTCTGTCGGTTGTATATGGGATACGGGTGCTATCTGTCGATGGAATACATGTTCTCTCCCAACTGCCTCGCAAGGTTCAAGATGTTCTCTGGCTAAGAGGAATCTATCGACATCTGGATTGGGAGGGCCAACTTTGCCATATTGTTGGGCTCAGGGTCAGGAATGCGAGGTGTCGCTGGGTCTTGCAGGTACTGCATCTGCTGATGATCATGCTGCAAAAGGATCAATCTCATGGCAGACACGCTCTCCTGGCATCCTAAGGAACCGTGTTCGACATACGTCAGTCGAGGACAAGGAATAGCCCAGCCTAGTCATATCGCTTATAATCCTCGAGGTGTAGGCCATACTTGGACCCAGGCAAACAACCGTCAACTCAGGACTCAATACCACACGCGATCTTGACTCAGCCATTGCCCTCAGCCAAGACCTCAACTACCAAATCATCAACTACAAAAAACAACCTCTTATCAAAAAGGAGACCGCAGGAAATCTCACCTCCACGCCGACTACATCCGACCCCATGTGCCCTTCGTATCACCGCAGCCGCGGCGTCGCGTGGCGGAGGCACTGCTTCGCCCCACTCCACTAGCGGCCAACACGAGAATCCGCCCCAGAGGTATATACAACAAGGTATAGCATTGTCTGCCTGGCGGGTGATGCAGAATGGTATTGTGGATCGGTAGATAAATCGTCTCAAATTGTCTAGCTGTGATGTATATAATCCAAGAAGATAGACTAGTGGTGCTGCCCCACTTATTCTGTGCCCAGTATAGTACTAAGTAAGCTGATAGTTCTGCCCAAGATGACGGCCTGAAGTATGATATGAGACAATTTAGTCCATAACCTTGCTTCACCCGATCCACCCATCCTCATCCATTGCAAAACAGAATCCAAAGGTGAGACATCTTGCACACCCGGCAAGATGACGTCGCCAGGGTATACAGGCCTACTAATTCAATGAGATACCCGATGTAGGTACATTGTTCGAATCACCGGGGAAGCCTCCGGACCCTCCTCGATCCACTAATCTAAACGAGAGAGATAACATACAGTAGCTATAGCTGGATATGATATACAGCACTATTGGAATGACCGGGGTGACACCCTCCACCGAACGAAACCCCATACACCCGAGTCCAGTCCAGTCAAGTTAATCGCTCGAAGCCAGCCCTCCCGTATCCCCGTATCTGGACCACCACCACGCATTTAACCAAACCAACCAGATCTTATTCCACCCAAAGAACCCGACGCAACCCTCCCTCCCTATTTGCACCTGGTATGGCATCTCTGCACAGCCTATGAAACAAATCGCTACACAGACAATCATCCCTCCTCGCCTGCCATACACAACAACACACACACACGACCTCAGTCCTACACTGCAGCGACATCCGCGTATAACCGCAGGGGATACGAGCATCCCCGCCCACACAGGACTCGGGTCTAGGCCACGTCGACCACCAATGTACACACACATATAATCGTATTGTATATCACACAAAACTATTATGCTATAGCGTCGTGGGACTGAAACTTGAACGAGGGAGCATGTCATTGCCCCCTCACTATCCATCTTTGCATGGGTACCAAGGCTTAGCGTGAAGTTGAAAAAGCAGATTACTTATGACTCAATTACGGGGCACTATCTATCTATACACTAAGTTGAAATCGATAGTGCGGATCGGTTGCTTCAATCTTGAGGTGTTAGACCAGACCTTAATAGTTTTGATCCTAGGAGTGGAGACTCAGCATAAGTACGATACTTATCAGCTGAGACTAGGGCCAGCTAAGTTAAGGTAGATCGATCGGATGGATCTCGGTGGGTGCCCGGGTTTGGGGGCTGCAGGATTCGCACTATTGAGTACTGCGGAAAAAGCAACAATGCTGTGGCGAATCATGATTGAGCCAATGATACTATCTCGGGGATGAGAGAGGTGCTTTGGAATCAGCTTCTGTGATTCGGTCAAATCAAGCTTGCCTTGCGATGGATGCACTGTACTTCGTACTCCGTACTTCGTACTCCGTACTTCGTAGTATCTGAGACGTGTCCCTAGTTTGTATACTACGAGTACAGCTAAGGAAATCATGTTGTATCCCAACAAGAGATCATGCTTCTGCCTACTAACCTTAGTAGATGCGACAATGTTCGATAAACAAGTAATCCTTTTAGCCCTTCCTCCCAGCCAATTTTCATACCCGGAAGCTAATCTAACACTCCGTCCTCGCCACCAACCCATCCGTCATCGTCACCCGATCCCGATACATCCTTTCCCCCCACTCCACAAACCGATCTACGTCGCCCACCGTCGACACCAGCCCGAACGAGACCCGCACCGCTCCCCCCGATGGCAGCCCCAGCAGCTGAATATACTCCTCCACCGTCAGGCTATCCCTGAACCGCCGTCGCAAGCTCCGCAGCAGGGGCTTCGTGATCCCAAACGCCGCCTCCGCCGCCCCGGGATTACAAAAACAGCCCGTGCGCAGCGAGATGCGCGCCTGCGCCGACTCGCGCGCGACGATCCGCTCGTCGACGATCCTGCCCGTCGCATCCAGGAAATTGAACGCGATCGTCCCGCCCCGATCGTCGCCGCCGGGATCGACCCCGGGGCTTGTGTGCACAGGGTCTGGCCCGTAGATCTTCACCATGGGGGCGCCGTCACTGTGTCGCAGGGCCTGTAGCCCGGCGAGACAGTACTCTGTCAGGCAGCGCACGCGGGTGCGGATGTTCTCCACCCCCAGGGATTGGAGCCACGCCAGCCCCACGGACACCTCCGGAATGGACAGGAAGTTGACGGTCCCGTCCTCGAACCCCCCCTCCGTGGTCGTCAGGCTGTGCCAGGGCACTCCGGTCAGCACGGCCTGTACGGTGCCCCCCGCGAACCACGGGCGGGTCAGACGGCTGACGGCGTCTTTGCGGGCGACTAGACAGCCCAGACCGGTAGGGAACCCGAACAGTTTGTACCAGCTGATCAGAACAAAGTCTGGTTGCGGTGATGCTGGAGAGAGATCCAACCGGTTGGTCGGGAGGTATGCGGCGGCGTCGAGGAGAACGTCATACCCGGCTTGCTGGGCTGTGGTGATCCACTCGAGGGGGTGGCGGACGCCGCTGAAGTTGCTCTGCGCTGGATAGGCAAATAGACCCTTGCGTTTCTTTGAACGGAATCGACGGGTCCAGGGCCATGGGGGCGATGCCAGGGCAGAGGCGACAGCGGCGGGATCGGCGCGCAGAGACGGGCTTTGCAGCGGTAGGTAGACCGTGCGTGCGTGTCGCCGACGAGCGTATTCCCGGATGCCATTGACCGAGTTGTGGTTGTCGGCGGTAAGAAGGAAGGTTGAGCTGCGAGTGAAAGGATACGACTCGCCGATCAGTCGTGCCGCCCCGGTGGCATTTGGAGTAAAAATCACCGCGTAAGTGTCAGGAGATGCGTTGAGGTATCTCAATACATCAGCGCGAGCTTGCTCAACCAGCCTAGTCGATGCCTCGCTAGTCGGGTTAGCTGAGTGGGGGTTACTGAACAGGTCGGCGCTGAGGCGCGCCTGGTGCGCTTGATACTGCGCTTTGGCGGCCAGTCCGGCCCCGGTGTAGTCCAGGTAGACATGGTCGTTCTCATCCAGGTAGCTGTACTCGGTGGCACGTAGGCGATCGAATGACGCAGTGTTCTCGTATTCGGGAAACAGCTCCAAAATGTTCCGACCACCCCCCAAGCTCGGCTCGGACTCAATGTCACTGGGCAGACTCGAAGTCGAAGAAGGGGGGCTAGGAGGCAGACGGGCAGGGACTTCAGGAGTGTCTTTCAACGAGGATGGCAGGGCCAGCTTGAGATCAGCCGGAAGGGACATCTGCGGCAGGGAATGCATGCTGTAAGGAAGTATGGCAAGGTTACTATATCGGATGAATAATTGTGGACTCAGGCAAACAACAGCGAGGACCCCTCTTTATACTTCTCAAGGGACCCATGCAGCGAGATTAAGTTCGTCAATCTGCGAACAAAGCCATTCTTCCAGACCTGGCCTCCCGCCGCCAAACGCAAAAATCCCATGATGGTGTCAGGCGAACCTCCCGAGCCAGCCAGGGCAGCTCCCCTGCGCCAGGAATCCTGCGCCTGGCTCGCTCCCTCCATGACCCCGACTCGTGTTTGCTGCCCGCTATCATTCGCAGAGAGCCTGCCATGGATCAGGGGGATGGCATCCTAGCTGAATAGTTGAATCCTCATGCAGGTCCAGCTGTAGTCATGCCTACTTCGTGCGTAGTATCGTGCTGATAACGGCAGTGCAGTCACCCCGGTTGCTGCTTGGTGCCTATGCGAGTGGTGTGGTTGACACGATGAACCCGAGGTCTGAGGGGTCGCATTGACCGGAGGTAGCCAACTACTGTAATCGAAGCCCGACCAGTGAGATTTGCTACTTGCTTGGTACTGAGACAGTGATCGTGTTCATCCACAGCAACTAAGCCTCACATTCTTGACCGAGCATGAGAACCATGAAAGCTGAATGTCGATCCAGACATAATAGCCTTGTTCGGACCCATTACGAAGACAATAGCCGGAGTAAGCGACCCTGATCCCCACGCCTCAGTCCATTGTACTTTTCTGGCATAGACACTTATCGCGACCAGACTATTGCTCCTAGTGCGCCAATGCAGTGGCCTATGAATTGGTCGGGGACGCTCGCCACTAGCACGTCCATTGATCCTGGTACGAACATGTGGTCCTGGTCGGAAAAGAAACAGGAAGGTAATTCCTGATTGATGGACCTGAGGCCGCTCCAGCTGCCCCTCAGGTTCTTGCTGACATGCCTGGTGGCGTTCGCTGGCTACTGGTCGCTTGTCGCTAGGAGGAATGCGATGATATCACATTGAGTGCTGGTGAGGGGCTCGCAACGGAAAGTTGAGATAACAGCAGTGAAATGAGATGACGAAGTCTGCGTACGCTGTAGCTGTCTCGAGGAAATGAAAGTGGAAGTGATACTTGGGATACTAAGGATCAGGGATGAAGACAGAGAGAGATAGAGATTCCGGCACACCGCCAGCCTTCCTCCGCCTTTCATTTTCACCGCCCGCTCAGACCGTTCTCCCTCCCTCTCTCTCTCTACTCTCTTCTATTCAATCACTACCTACCTCGAGTCAACTAATCAATAATCAATCAATCATCGCCTTGAGTACAAGATCTGGGGAAATTTAGTTCGCAACCATCAGAAACCCGACTACCACATCCAGTCTGCCTCCCTCCGTCCGCATCCCCAAGCCCAGCATTACACACATCCATACCCAACACCCCGCCCGACAGCCGGTATTTGGAATCCTTCATGCATCGCATCACCGCCAGAATCACGGCGGCTAAATGCTCAGTCTTCTGCTCTGGTCTGATTGAACGATTCTCGACGCACCCGGAGTCTGCGTCCAGACTGCACCGGTCATCACATGAGTGGGCTGTCATTCCAGCCGGGGTATCCACTAATTAAGGCCGCATTGGCGGTGGACACTCAGCAATGCGGATCAACCGAGCGATCACCCTATCGCCCTTATCAAGTCCAACAGTCGACTAGATGCACTTCGATCAAGAGATCACTCTATCGCATCCGGCGATAGCCTCCCCCTCGAGCTTGCGGGATGTATAGTGAACGGTATCACCCGGTCACACAGCTGCATGGTCTGCGTCACCCAACGTCGTACGGCCGCGCAGGGTGACTCGTGTAGGTGAGACGTGCGTGCGCCTTGGGATCCGGACGGTCGGTCGTGGTGAGCGCTTCCACCTCGCTGTCGAGGGTCTACCTGGTGAGTGCAACAGCGGGGTATGCGTGGGCGTGTATGCAGGGGGCAGATGGAGGCGATGCACCGCCTCTAGCGTCAACTGCCTGCTTCCCTTGTCGTGATGCTTAATGGCGCAATGTGACAGGAATGTCCTCCTCGGCCAATTACCACGGCCAGTGACCGGATCCCATGACCGGCTAATTCCGCAACCCAATCTCGCATTCTTATCCGCGAAATCCGCCGCTCTAACGCTTGGAATGTCTACATGAGTATTACTACAGATACAGACACTCAACCGTCCATAGTTATAGCATCACTTTAGTAAGGCGTTCCCGGGGGAGAACCCCCAGACCCCCCTTCCTTTCAGCTTCCTGGTAAACTACATTCTAACTCTCTAACATAAACTCATGCCAACTCACTCCAGATACAGGATCCCGAGGAAGAATCCCCGGAGACCCTCCTTTCTTTCAGCTTCATGGCAAACGCCATCCCAATTCCCTCAACATGGGTGTCTCGGGAGTTCCCCCCGGACCTCCCAGTAATCCCCTAAGCATTGATACTAATCTCGTACGGCGCAACCGTAAACCACGCATCCTCCCCGGTTTTCGGCTCCGTCCCCGCTCCCAGCGTCTGCAGATACAGACTGGAATCCACGCCCTCATTCTCAATCAAATAAGTAAAAAACTCCATGATATCACCCGAGTAATTCTCAATATTCTCACGCGCCACGAAGCTGAACACCGTCCAGTCGTTCGGTCCCTTGTACAGGTCCCACACCTGGCCGCCGATGGTGGGGCTGGCGATCGGCCCGTCCGCATTGCCGATGGGCTCGATGCCGCCGTACACGCCCAGCCAGACCATGACCTCGTACTCGTGCGCGGCGGTCGTCGAGTCGGTCGCCGAGAAGAAGGCGTCGAACGAGACGTCGGCAACAAGGTCCGTGCCGGTGTAGCTGTGGGTGTCAGTATGCAAGCCCCCCAGCCTTCCAAAAAGGCACGATTTGGGGGGGGAATGAAGGGGCTCACCTCCAACTCCAGGTGGTCGGGATGCTGGTGATCGAGCTGAGCTGCTTCGCGCCCACGTTCAACACAGCGTTCGGATAGCTCTTGACGTAGTCGGCGCCGCCCGCCCAGGTCCACGAGGTCTGCCACGAGATGGAGTTACCCGAGACGTAGTCCAGGTAGGTGCACTCCGACCCGGAGGTCGCGTACTCCTCGCCCCAGAGGTTGTTGTACAGGATGAAGTCGTCGGTCGTGATGATGTTGTTCTGCGTGCAAATCGTCTCGATGGCGTCGCGGGCAATGTGCCGGCCGGCCAGTGCCGGGACGGCCAGGAGGACGAGAGAGTACGCTTTCATGATGTGCCGTGCAGTGTAGTAGTTGTGTCGTATCCTGTCGAGAATCGCATCTTGTCCGGATGGAGGGTTATATATACGGTCGCAGATTCAGGGGTTTGGCCCCCACGGATGGTTCGACCTGCTGCATCCTGGATGGGATGGCAGTGCAATCCTGCGGTTGCCTGTTCCTGACTCGCTGTTGGTGGCGGAGCAGATTCGATTTGATGCCCACTTGAAGCTTGCCCCATTGTCTCCACCGAACAGCGGGAGATTGGATGCTTTCTTTCTCTGTCTGTCTGCCTTGGTGCATCGCGCGCCCCATCCTGCAAGTCACATGACCAGGAATGCCGGTAGTGTGGATGACGTCAGCGACTGCCCCCTCCCCCTCATTGCTATCACAAGTTCACACATCAGCAATTCCTCGCAGCAGTAACCTTAACTTCATATCAAGCTAGCATGGCATCCAAACAAATACATGAGCCCGGCACCGCTGACGGCTGGCATGGCATCATTCCCAGCAGCGCCTTCCCCGCCGACCCCAGCCGCTACCACCTGTACATCGGGCTGTTCTGCCCGTTCGCGCACCGTGTCAACTTCGTGCGCCACCTGAAGGGGCTGACCAGCATCCTGCGCACCAGCGTCGTCAAGCCGTACCCGAAGGGCGACGCGAAGGGCTGGCCGGGCTGGCGGTTCCCGGCCAGCGACAGCGAGTACGCGGGAGCGACGGTCGACCATTTGTTCGGCGAGGACTACCTGCACAAGGTGTACTTCCGGGCGGACCCGGACTACAAAGGCCGGTACTCGGTGCCATTGCTGTGGGATACGAAGAGCAACACGGCTGTTGCAAATGTATGTCTCCCATCCCCCTTCCTCCCTTGCCAAAGGATGGGCATCCCTAATATCTTTCCCCATATGACCCCAACCCACCCAGGTACTAACACTCCTCAGGAAAGCATCGCCATCCTGCGCTGGCTCCCGCAAGCCTTCAACGCGCACCTCCCGCCCGCTCTCGCCGCTATCGACCTATACCCCCCGCACCTCCAACCCAAGATCGACGCTATCAGCCCGTGGCTCCAATCCGACCTGAACACGGGGGTCTACAAGGCAGGCTTCGCCGAGACGCAGGAGGCGTACGACGAGAAGGTGATCCCAGTGTTCGGGGCGCTAAATAAAATGGAGCGCATCGTGGCGGCGCACGGGGGCCCGTTCGTGCTGGGCAAGGAGATGACGGAGCTGGACGTGCTGCTGTACGCGACGCTCATCCGCTTCGACACCGTCTACGTGCAGCACTTCAAGTGCAATCTGGGCACCATCCGCCACGATTACCCCGTACTGAACAATTGGCTGAAGGGGATGTACTGGGACGTGCCGGCGGCGCGCGCGAGTACCGATTTCCGCCACATTAAGGAGAATGTAAGTTTGGACCACGTGCCATTTATAAGAGGGGCTGGCTGATTAGGTGGCTAGTATACGAAGAGTCACGATTTTATCAACCCCCGGGCCATCACGCCGGTGGGGCCGTACCCGGATGTCGAGGAGGGGGTGGAGCGGGACTGGGAGCGGCTGAGCGTCGGAGGGGTCAAGCATCCCAAGGTGTTGGAGTATGAGGCTAGCATTCCAGATTGAGCGGAGTAGGAGGTAGTGAGGTTGCAGAGTAGTGGTAGAGACTAATAGGGCACATGCCCCCGAGAGATACAGTGATTCCTCGGCACGTCACAGCGTAGATCGGTCTGCATATTGAGCACCAGCCAACATGCAATCCACCCGGAGTTGGTCTCAAAATCCATCTTTTCACCTGCCTCGGCTGAAGCAGCTACTGTTGCAGAATATATCTCATCAACGGGCCGTTCCCCTGGGAGAACCCCCGACCCCCTTCTTTTCAGCTTCCTGATCACCTCATCCCAAGTCCCAGCAGATGAAACGTTCCGGGGGAGAACCCCCGGACCCCCCTTTTCTTTCAACTTCCTGGTAAAACTCATCCTACATCCCTGGGGGTATGAAGTGTTCCGGGGGAGAACCCCCGGACCCCCCTTTTCTTTCAGCTTCCTGGTAACCGCACCACAGGTCTCAGTATATGCCAATCCAGCAACCACCCACTCATACTACTGTATACGAAGTATGGACATACAGCTTAGACCCAAGTAAACCATGCATACAGATCTGCAACTAGGATACACGGCATACCCACCCACATAAGGTGTGACACCCCGCGTTTCACCCGCGACACCGGTTCCCCCCCAAACCGATCGACGCGTAAGAACCGTTCCGGTAACCCGAACTCAAACACTGCGAGCCGGGGAACAGCAGTTCATGCATGCCTGCACTATAACAACAGCAGTTAGTTTATACCCAAATTTAGATTCTCCTCAACCTTCCTAGGTTCCCCAAAATACATCCCATCCCGCTCCCGCATCAGTCAGTGGAAACCGCGAACTCATCCGCAACTGGCCGAAACCTTACTGTAACTAACGGACCCAAAAACCAGCCAGCCAGATCGACCCAAAATTGAGCCAACCTTGGGATTTCCCTCGGGTTCCTGAGCGGATGCCACTTGATACGAAACACTACAGTATGCGGTTCTGACTCGCGGAGATCGAGCGAGCTACCCCCGCCCCTGTTTCTAGAGTGTACCTGTACCTGTGACTGTGTCTGGACGCCTGCCGCAGCTGTTCCTCGGTACTCTACCAAACATCCACCGCAGTGGAGTATACCTACAACCTACATCGCTAGCTACAAGATATAAACCCCCCTCGCCCCAGGGAAGACCAGGAGATAAATAGACAACATCGCAGGCTCGGTTCTATTTCTATTCCTTTCATCCATCCGCTTATCCCACATAAGACACTCTTGAACAACTATACACTCTAATAAATAATCGTGAGTCACTCAGGAATTCCATCCCATCAAACACCCCAGAACGAATGAAGTCCTTTCCGAACTTAAATCAACCCACGATATGCATAAGAAGGAGGGTTAACGAAAGCCCCGCAACGGCAATAGAAAATGCAATTCACCCTGTTCACCGTGGCCACCACCCTCTTCCTCGCCGCCTTCGCCGCGGCGAACCCTCAGCCGGTCGCGGAACCCGAGCCGTTCAACATCGGCTTCGGCGTCGACGCGGCGGCGAATGCGGCGGCGGAGGTGGCTGCGAAGGCGAAGGCGGGAGTCGGGGCCGGGTTTGTGATCTAGTCACCTTCTGTTATGGGTATCATGGGGATCAGATGTGAGTGCGACACTGTGATTTGATTTGATTTGATTTGAGCTTGGAGGTTATTTAGGCAGTATGTGGTTGGGGTACTTCTGGGTGTTGTTGCTGACTTTGGGTTCGATGCACTGCAGCTGATATGCGGATGCGGATGTTTAGTTGAGGTCAGATGAGGGGACTTTTACTGAGGGGGAGGGATTTGGGATGGGTGGTTTACCCGTGGATGAGAATTGATATGTATGTTGATGTTCATTCGGTTTCGTTTGATGAGATAGGACAGGAATTGAGATGCCCTTGCTTCTGTGATTTTCTAGTATGTATGTATGTAGTATGTAGTGAGTAGTTGGATTATTTGATGAGCTTTACCAGGGAGTTGAAAGAAAGGGGGGTCCGGGGGTTCTCCCTCGGAACACTTTATCCCCAGTGATGTAGGATGTAGTTGACCAGGAAGCTGAAAGAAAAGGGGGGTCCGGGGGTTCTCCCCCGGAAAGCTCTCTCCATGAGTATCACATGAATGTGGGTGTCAGTTGTTTGTAACCTATTGTGGATAGCGCGTGGAAGCGGAGAAAATTATGTATGCATTTAGCAGTAGCCAGCACGTATCTATGTACCGCCACACTCCTATGTATGTATGTATGTATGTATGTGAGGTATCCAGGTCGACACCAATCGGGGGTCCAATAGCCCACCATCTCCTCAAATGTGATTCCCACCACTCACTAAGCTCCCCTGTACCAAGCGGCAACAGCAACATCACAGCGTCCCAGCTTTCTCCTCCGCCGTGCCGGGCCGCACCGCCTCGCCCTTGCGGCCGACGACCACCTCCTCGGTCGTGACGTCACGCGCATTCAAATACATCTCGCCCTCCTCGTCCTCGACGGCGGCCTCCCAGCCCAGCTTCTCCTCGCGGATGCGACGGTGGTTCTGGGTGGGCCAGATCCAGCAGATGGCGAAATAGCAGACGAAGGCGGTGACGAACGAGAGAATCCAGCCGAGGTCGCCCATGCGGGTGGCAGTGGTCGAGACCTTGGCGCCCAGCGAGCCGACAAAGCCGGGGAAGGGGAAGGAGATGCCGATGATGTAGGCAACGACGGCTTGCAAGTTCCAGCCTTTGAGGTAGTAGTAGCTTTTGTTGAGGGGGGTGCCGTCGTAGAGGGCGGGGATGAAGATGTTGCCCTTCGCGAAGCAGAAGTCTGGTCCCACGAAGATTAGCTGGCTGATCGGGTTGAGCTGGGTTAGAAAGGGGCTGGGGGCTTACATTCGCAGACCATGATGGCGACAACACTACCCATGAACAAGGCGTAGCCGGACAGGAAGGTCTCGAATTTGGTGGCCGAGGCGAGGATCTCCCACGGACACACTGCCCAGGCCAGCGTGTGCACGATGTACTGGCCGCGACGCATGTTGATGAACCGCGGGAAAAGCATCGACGAGTCCGCGCCGAAGGAGATCATGTTGGCCGCGACGTTGGTGCCCAGGATCTGCACCAGCCAGGCAAAGGCGGCGAGGAAGACGGCGAAGCGGGTAGTGCCGGACCAGTACCGGTCCAGGATGAACTCCATGAGGTCCCATTGGTTCCTAAGGTTGTCAGCGAAGTTCCTGCGAGAGGATCAAGGGAAGCATATACCAGATGGACGTGTTGTATTTGTTGTTGATGGCGGAGGTGGCCAGAATGCCCAGACTCGCCGACAGCGTCGTCGCGATGGGGTTGGAGATCAGCTGCGTCCACAGCGGCGCGCTCTTGGTCTTCGCCCAGCGACAGTAGTCCGGTTGGTTGGTGATCAGCGTGGCAGTGTTACTGTTTTGGTCAGTGATTCCTGTCGATGCATCCCGGCGGAGGGGAACTCACCCCAAGCCACTGTTGATGCCCGAAATGATCAACCAGGCCATCGTCGTCGTCGACTTGCTGTCCTGCGTGTACACGGAGCCGATCTTCCCGCCGGTGTTAACCATGGCGAAGATGAACAGCCCGAACATGGCAGGCAACGAGATAAAGGTCTTGAAGATGAAGAAGCCGCGCAGCTGGTAGGGCCGGAAGTGACAAAACGGCAGATGGACCAGCCAGCACAGGAACAGCGCCAGCATCTGCTGGGTGGTGATGTGGGCGCTGGCCGGCAGGTGGTTGGGGATGTCGGTGAAATGGTGGCCGAAGATCGCCCGGAGAATGTTGTACATATATTCGGCGCCGTAGTACACTGCCTGCGGTCAGACCAGCCTCGTCCACCCAACTTCAGGACGGACACACGTACACTGCACCGCATACCAGACAATCGCAAGGATGGCACGTGCCCCGACAAAGTAGAAACTCCCCCACATGCCAAACACACTGCGTCCGACGCAGGGAAATCCAATGTGGTAGATGCTGGCGGCGCGCGAGTTGAACGCCATGGCGATGGAGGAGATCATTTGCGAGACGAAAATCACGATGATGGATTGCCACCAGTTAAGGCCAATTCCAATCATGCTCTATCCACGATCAGCCCGACTCCCACCCTGGTTGTTTTTCCTCGTGCGGAGACATACCGATCCCAAAGTCCAGTTGGTGAAGGAGATGGACCAGTAGAAGGAGACATAGTTCCACCACCGCCAGGCTGGGGCCGTTAGCACCGTCGAACAACAAGACCACAGACAGACTACTTACTGCACTGCTCGGGGGGAGTGGGTAGCAGATCTGCAGACAGTCAACCGATGCTCGCGTGTTCGGACACAAGAGTCCAACCTTCATTGGACCACCGCGAATCCCGGCTGGAGTCCAGCTCGATGGCGGAGATGAGTTTTCCGACTCTGGCCATGCTGAAATATACCGGGAGCAAAGGTAGCAGTCCCCCCAGGCCCAAATTTTTGGGAGGGGAGGAAGAGGAGGAGAGAATAAGAATGTGACGGAATGGACAGGATTTTATTCAAGGGCGGCCACGAGCACGAGGGCAGAGATAGTGGGGATCCTACAGAGTAGAACTGTGGCGTTATTTTAGCCTTAATTCTAGAGCGTGAGACGATAGTGTGGATACAGTGGAGTGATAAGAGGATGTGAGGACGCAGACTGGCTGGCGAGGGGCGGAGATGGCCTGAAGGGGTGAGTCGTGCGGTGATAAGCTCTGCTGGAGTGGGCTGCAAGGTTGTAACCCTATTTGCCTCGCAGTTGTTCTTAGTCACACGCAGCCTATGGTATGGTAGTGAATCAGTGGCACTAGGCCACAAGTGATAAGAAACACGCGAATTCTCCCGGATCGACGTGAAGTCTGGCTCAGGGCATGGGTGGATAGGCCATGCTCTTTTATCCTGCCATCCTCCAGACACTCCGTGGCAACTGATGAATGAATCATAGACATGTGGTTAGAGTCCGGAGTAAGTACAAGGGGAGGGCAGTTGTGAGCAGAGATGATCTGCCATCAGTCGACGATGATAAGACAGACTGATGTAATGCGGGCACAATTCTGGTGTACTGCGCGAGGTAACATCAGCATATCAAAGTTTTTTTCCCTGGTTGTGGGCGTTTGGTGCACGATTGTTGGAGCCAAGTAGAACCCAAGTGGATTGCGGATCGCCTGATTCGCCGATAACAGCCTCTTTTCTCCGCACCGGACTGGAAGAACGTTTCCCCGACCGCTGCCTCCGCCGCCTTGGCTCTTTTTTTGCCATCCCGAGGATCCTCCGAGTCATGATACACAGTGAGCGTGTCGGACAAAATTATCTCACCCATCGAGCGGCAGACCGCACACAGGGAATTGCCAATCCTTTGTCTCCCACTGACATTTAGGCATTAGTAGCAACGTTCATTGTGGTTCTCCTCGGGACTAGCCACCCAGCTGTCACTAAGGTACGGAATAATAGGATCATGTCTTCGAGAACCCGACTAGAGATTTCTAGCCTGTGTCCCGGCGATCCACTCAGCCCGACCAGATAAGAGACAGGTGACCTGTTTGAGTGGCTGGAGTTTGTGCTGACCGATGCTTGGCCATGGCGGACTGTTTGTGCTGATGATAAGATCTGGTCCGTCGGGGAGTATTGCTCAGTGTCTCCCGCTGAGCATTCATTGCCGGAGTCAATGAACCCCGACCTCAGATCCATTGCAATCGGGACTGGATCGTGTAATTAACCACGGACATAATTACTCTATCCGCATTCGTGCAGACTTCAGTCGACAGATGTAGTCAGCCTACAGTGTGGAGAAACTGTTACGATGGATGAGCTGCTATCCGATCAGTTGATGCTTGTTACATGTATACGCAGCTCGCTAAAGCTCTACAGTCCAGCGCGATGTAACCAGTTGATAAGGTGGGAGCAGTGAGCCCACCAAACAATAGCCCCGTTGAAATTGGATCTCCGTAGACTGCACAGCATGACGACCGCAGTTTTCATAATCCCCCATGTGCATAACTGGACCAAGCATAGGCAGTTTCCCGATGACTGTGGTGACAAAGTTCTCGGACTCGGTCACTTGCTGGTGGTTTGAGCAAAAACCGTCGCGAGGAGGTGATTTGCGATAGATCAACCGCAATTTGCCATGCTCCAGTGTATGCCCCGCCGTTGTCCGATGGCCGGTCGTCTATCGTCTGCACTTCCAATCATCCTGATCCAGCGATCGCAATCTCATTCTTTGTTTCCAGGCATGGCGGTCTCAGATGTATCAACCACCAGCTGATTCTTTGTTTGTCCGACTCGACGGAGTCTGAAGTCACCAGGGGTCAGAGTAGAGTACATCCGCCCGCATTGCCAGTGCTGTACCGAACCTGCCAGCGACGGTTCGAGCCGTGCTTAACCCCGACCGTCATCTGGCCTCGAACCCTCGGTTTTTGTTCGAACCATACATACTTGTCTCAAGTCCGATTCCCAAGTGTCTGGAATGATCACGATCCACGGGAGTTGCAAATGCGACCGACAACTCAGACCCCCATCGAGGTTTCTACGGTCGGCTTGTTCCCACTGTGATGAAGGCACCCGTCCTTGATACTTGTCTGTTCTGACTGTGTTTACTTACGCCCACCCTCTCATTCAGCGACGCAACGACAGTGGGGGCGTCAACCCTGTGTAGATGAGCTGAGATCGGGTGAAGACGCCACGATGGGGCGGACCAACCGACTACCGTCTGTGCGGGCGAGGGGATTGGGCCAGTTGAGAAGTCGAGGTCTTGACGAGAAATTCGCTGGGGCTGGCCAGGCAGTTTAACGCCTGCGAGTCGGGCTGTACTGTATCTGCTGACTGCCTAGCGTTGATGAGTGGTCCAGGGAAAACAAAGGCAGTCGAAGGGAGAGAATGGTACAGTCCGTAGTTAGTGGTGGTGGAGAGAGACCCAGAATGTGCAGTCATCCACAAAGAAAACGCCCGTCCAAGTTCCATGAATCGTTGGATTCCTACTCCGTAGTACTCCGTAGTCAGGCACATCTCATCAGGACAGGGCAATTTCCAAGCGAGGGCCAATTGTTTGTTGGAATTGGAGTGACAGACAGCCCCTGCAATCTCCACTTGGGCCACCGCTAATCGGATGCACGCCTGCGGTTTCACATTCAATGTCCGATCTCCATCCAGCGCCAACTGCTATGATGGGCCAGGGTATAAAGACGGACTCGATTTCTAACCTCTATGGAAATTGCAGGTGTCGAGCAAGAGCTTCTGGAAAGCATCTTTGGAATCAGCGTTTAACTGCAAGTCATTCTTTTTTTCGTTTTTTGCTTCAACTATGGTCTGGACCACTTCCTCTCGTGCTCTCGCGGTGATGGTGGGCTGTCTAGCCCTACTCTCCGCGCCGGCCACCGCGGAACATCACCACCATCAGCATCGTCGCCAGCATCACCACGCCGGCTACAGCGTCGGTCCGCCCATATGGCAGACCCGACCGGGTGCCGAGTCTGTCACGACCATCACCATCGGAGCCACCACCTCTATCCAATCCGTGATTCCTTCTGCCACTGTTGCCTCTGCCTCTGCCTCTGCCTCTGCAGCAGCAGCAGCAGCATCCTCCTCTGCCTCTGCATCCGTCAGCGCGCTCAAAGCCCAAGTCATCATCCCCTTCTACGTCTACCCCGACCCGGGCAAATGGACTCCCCTACTCGAACTGTACGTCCCTTCTACCCAGACCCAAACTAGCCCCAACCCCCAAACTAAAAAACTCCCAGGATCACCAGCTTCCCGGACGTCCACTTCACCGTAATCATCAACCCAAGCAGCGGGCCCGGCACCAGCGCCCTCCCTGACGCAGCCTTCCTAACGGCAATCCCCAGTCTCACGCAGCACTCCAACGTCCTGGCCATCGGCTACGTGCCCACCCAAAAGGGCACGCGCGCCTTATCCGCCGTGGAGAACGACATCAACATCTACGCCAACTGGCCGACGGCGGCGGACAACTCCTCGTTCGCCGTGCACGGGATTTTTCTGGATGAGGCCCCGAACGCGTATAGTGCCGAGTTGGTTGCGTATTATACGAGCTGCGCGGAGTTGATCAGGAGTAAGAGTGGGCTTGGGCCGGAGAATTACGTACGTCCTCCCCCCCAACCCTGAACAAACCAACCAACCGCAGACACAGTAGTCATGGCAGTGCTAATGCATGTGAGATAAACAGGTGGTCACAAACCCCGGCACACCCCCGGATAGCGCCTACCTCGCCATCGCCGACAGCACGGTGGTGTTTGAGTCGCCCTACGCCTCCTTCCAGGATGCGCTGGCGGCGGGAACGTTCAATAAACTCAACACCACCGGCAGCACGCACAGCAAGATGGCCTCCATGGTGTACGGCGTGCCGGATTCCGTGCATCTGCCCACCCTGTTGGCGCAGGTGGGCAACTTCTCCGAGCAGATCTTTTTGGGCAATACCAGTTCCTATATGGTTTATGACACTTATATGAATTCCGTCGTGCCGGCGTTGTTGGAGATGGTCTAACTTCGTTTCTCGATTGAGTGTTGTAGGGGTGTGCATCAGTGCTAATACACTGATCTGGCAGACTGACCTTCTCTGTTTCTTTCTTTCTCTCTTTCGTGGACTTGGACTTGGACTGGTCCGTCTTTCTATGTATATATACACGTGTGTTGTGGATCGATGCATTTTTGTCCTGGTGGCAGGTGGTTAGCAGGTTAGGCTTGGGATCTGGATAGCCAATTGACGACGTTACGCTTATATGGACAGCATTTGGGGTGGTACTTGGTGGTGAGTATGTGGTGGGTTGGTCGTGTATATATCACTGTCAGCACATCAGTGTGCATGACTACCTGTGGATGGTACTTGTAAAATTGATTACGAGAACTTTATTTATATCATTCCATGCTTAGTATTAGTATCATTGCTAGTACTCATATCGCTGTCCTCAAATACACATGCAAAGTCTCGCTCACGTGACAGAAAGTAAAGGTCAAACGCCATACAACCGAAATGCACTTCCAGTCAACATACCCTCAACAAACCACGCAACGGAAGAAAACAAAGTCGAAATGCAGTTCCAACGCCAAAATAACCTTCAACCGCAACGCCAATCAATGCCAGTCAACAAGCGATATGCATCTCCCAACATAAGAATACCCTTGAACCATGCACCAAACCAATTTTCGACACGATTTCATCTATAGCGCCATAATAACTTTGCAACAGCACAGCTGGTCAAGACAAAACCTTGAAATGATATCAATCTCCCATCGTCTCTATAATCTGACCCCGGTCTCGTCCAAGAGCATTCATTAACACATCCTCTAGACCTATATAGCTTCCAATGGTCGTTCTTTTTTTTTTTTTATCTTTTCTCTGTTTATGTTATTTCTTTCTTCTCCCGTTCGTAGAAAACAGGCCAGACTAAACTGACGATCGCTCAGTCTCCTCCCCAATCGAATCAAATCCCAGCCTCGAGCTGGCTATAAGCAGCCCGATCTCTTCGTACAACTTCTTATTTGGCGTCTCCATCCGGGCCATGTCCCGACACTGGCGTTGCAGCGTCACATCCTGCCGCATTTTCCGACGCAGGAGCATCTCCTTCATGATATCGAGCCGGCAATAGTGCATCGCCGCCTCGAGATGGGTCCGCTCGACGGACGGAGACGCTCCGTACCTTCGGGTGGCGTTGAAGTCGATCTCGGAATCTGGCTCCAGCATCAGACGGACGACTTCGAGATACCCTTTTTCAATAGCGTAAGTCAAAGCGTCGCGGTTCCAATTGTCAAGCAGGTGCAGGGCGCAACCTACATCCATCAAGGCCAGGGCCGTCTCCTCGTTGCCGTTCCGAAGGGCGAGTTGCACGGCCGTCTGGCCGTGGGCATCCTGTTCATCGACCGGAATGCCGGCCCCGATCAACACCCTGACCACCGCCTTGAGGCCATAGTCGGCTGCGCAATGCAGCACGGTCTCCCCGTGTGGACCGCGCAACTCCGCCAGCTCGCTCTTGTTCGCAATAGCGTGCCTCACGTATTGGACGCTCTTGCGGCAACGGCAGAGGTTCTCGAACGCGTCCATATTACAGACCTTGGCCCCCGCGTCCAGCAAGACCTCCACAAACACCTCAATCTCCGTCCCCGGGGCCATAAACGGACCCGCCAGCGCCCCGCCACTGCCGTCGGCATCTAACAAGTTCGGATCGGCCTCGTCTTCTAACAGCAGCTGCACAATCTTCAACTGGCCCGTGGCCACGGCCCACCGCAGTGGTCTGACGCCATGCGCGATCAAGCAATTGCGGTCTGCTCCCATAGCCAGATACGCGCGCACATCCTCTAAACGCCCGAGTTGAATCGCCAAGGCCATCGGCCCGGGGTGCCATCCCCAGCCGGGAATCCACTCGACGGTGCGCCGGCCCTCCTCGTCCATCAGGCCCACGCGGACCTCGCTGCGCCATGCCGGCTCTGGGATTGTGCCCGGATCCTGGCGCATCTCGTACTGTATCTTCAGTCTGTCGTAGACAGTCTTGCAGACACGCGCCACGCGGCCCACCACCTCTCTGTCGAGATACTTGGCCACGCTTAGGACTCGGTTTAGTGGCAGATTGCCGACAACGTCCCGGGTGTCGGTAGTAAGCTCGTCGATGGCCTCGTCGGTTGCAAGGGCGCGGCGGGACTCTGTGGTCTCAAGTTGGCGTTCGATGACGTTGTAGGTCGCGCTGGTGACGGCTGCTGTTTGCTGGAGGAGTTCGTCCTGGATGGAGCTATGGGTGGACGACGCGGTAGCCTGGGGTATTTGGAGCTGGGCTGGGGAGCGAACCTTTTGCTGCTCATTTGCAGGACGTTGGCCAGGGTTTTGCTTTGACTGTGTCGGGACTGGGCTAGGAGCCAGGCTGCGATCGTGAAGGACTCGCTGCGATGGAAAGGGCGTCTCTTGCTGCACAGACTGGGTTGCATCCTTTTGTGGTAACAAACTGTCCAGACGTGCCAACAACTCTTTACGAGACGCCTTTGTGCGGTTTACAGGCTGGCGGGGTGGAGGAGTGAGGTCCGGCTCAACGCTCTGCTGTTCTTGAGAAATGGGAGTAAGGTTCATGCTTGGACGGGCTCTTTTGGACAAAGTGTTCATAGTACTTTCGATAGGTTCCTCAAGCTTGTGCTTGCGACGGTTTTTGGGGGTAGGTTTATCTTCCGGCGTGTGTTTCTCCTGTTCGTTCGGATGCGTGCAGTCCACGCTCCGGCGAGGTCTTTTAACAGACGTCAGATTGGAAACCTCTGATTCGCGTCTACGTTTGCGAGGTTTCAAGGCTTTGGTTTGCTCTTTCGCATGCTTCTCCTCGGTCGGAAGTGGCTGCTCTTCAGTCTTGATTTCCGGTGTCTTCACAGCCTTGGACTGCTGTGCCTGTTTCTGTCCTTTTGGTTTGACACCATACTTTCCGCGCTTCTTGGCAAGCGAGCTCCTCACAGTCAAGCAGACTACATCGTCATCATGTGTAGACTGCATCTGATTTGTTGTATAAGGCTCGTTAACGTCAGTCTCTGCAACACCCTCCTCCTTTATCTGTGATAGATGCATCTTCATCTCCCCGAGAAGTTGCTGGTCAACCATCTCCTGAATCTGCTTTTTATTCTCCTCAAGAGCAACATCCCCTATCTTTCCCGTAACAATTGAGCCTTCCTCACACGAAGCCTTCTCAGCTGCACGAGGCTGATTTGTGTCAATGTGTTCACTCTTGGGGTTTGAACCCTCAAGCTGGGCATCATGACCCGCCACACACTCCTGTATAACCTCCTTCGAGATATTTTCTTTCATTTCTGCTAAAGCCTGTTGCTTAGCTCGCACCGTTGATGCGCGTTTCGCTGCTGAAGGGCGAACCATCTCTCCTACGGAGTTTATGAGTGTGATGTGGTTGTCGTAGAACTGTAGTCGTTCAGACTAAGGCTGCTGTGTAGCTTTTGTCAAGATGAGAGGTTAGGAGGCAGATTGTTGAAGTGAATGTGCATGGAGTGTTAGATGCAGTGGACTTCTCACTCGTTAGCCGTTGGGTTGAGTAGTAGAGCACGAAGGTAGTGCAAGGTGACTGTGGTGGCCATTTGTTACTCACCCAAAACGAAAGGATTCTTGATTTCAGTTCCTTCTCGTGGAATCAAATTGGGAACGGTGTTGATAATCGATATGTGTTGATCAATCGTAGTCGATGACTCTGGGTCGAGAGTTGATAATGCGATCGATTGTATCGATAGTGTCCTGGTGAATAGCTCGATAGAATGAGATTGGTCGTAGTCGAAGACTTCTCAGGAGAGTCGCGACCGTAACTGTGTGGGTTAGACTGGTAGAGTAAGATTAATCAATCGTAATCGATAACTGGGTGAAAAGCGTGACACTGAGACGATGAGATCAGAGTATTATGGCCATCTGTTACCAAACCACAAGTATCACTCCACCTTCTTCAACCGTGACGATGAAACCCCAATGAAGATACTATTTCAAGATCGTTTTGTCCACGACGCAAAACGCCATTGTGTGATTCAAAGGTAGTGAACAAAGAGGAAAAACGTCGTTGACTGAATCCGTTGTTCGGGTGGTCTTTATTGATATCGAGTTGATGAAAGATTTGGTGCGGGAAGAAAGGGAGATGGTCGTGACAAAGGAGCAATAGGGATGGAAATAATGATGATTATTCTTGGAGATGAGAAAGGTTGAGATTTTTGAGGTGGTGGTAGAAGGATGTAGTGGAGGTGGGGGGTGGATGGAAGTGAGGGAGGAAGGAAGGTAGAAATACCCTGCGGTAATGGGTTGGATGGACTGGTTTTATGATTGCACTCTAGAGGTATCGGTTCTAGGCCCAGCGTGTAAACGTACCTGGTCGTATTCATTGGTCATCATTTAGTTTGATTGACTCACTCTGCTGGATGTCAGAAGTGAATGTAAGATTTTACAGATGGGAAACCTAGGCAATCGTATTCTGCTAGAGCAAATACATCACATGTCTGCCAGAAGAGCGCGACAGAGTCAAAATAAGAAGAGCAAAATGCCAGCTCCTTATCGACCATCTTGAGTCTGTATCAACATATCCTCGTCCCGAGACATAAGCCAAATCCTATCATCACGACGAGCTAGAATAGGCGTCACTGTCCCGATCCAAAGCCTTGCCACACTTACGAAAGGGTGCTAATAGTCATAAAAGACAGGTGTGCGAATATTCTGGATGATAGCCACGGCGAACTGGGGAATCTCGGTCAGAAGAGAAGTAAAATTCTTAGCCTTGCCCACGGTTTCCAAATGTTTCGCAGTCTGGAAAGCAAGATAGTCCCAGGAAGAAGTGTCCCTTTCGACTCTTTTGAGAGTAAATGCACAAAAGTCGACGAAGCCTTCGATATAATCGTTGCTTCTATCCATGCTGAACAGCCAAGTTGTGGCTTTGGTAAGTTGGTTGTAGGTATCATCGTAGAGGCTGTCGATCTCATACTTGTGGGCAAAGACCATAACACGGATGTGCAATTTCATGTTCTCGTACAAGCTCTCTGTAGAACCCTGCTCGAACCACGCGTCACGTATGTCCTCGTTGTGATTAATCTTGTAGCTCCCAGTGTAGGCCCACTCCACGAACCGAGCCAGTATTTCGTAGTTCTGCTGTTTGATGGAAGAAGGAAGGAGCTTAGGAGCTTTCTCGCTAAGCAAGCCAACGTGAACGCGAATGGGCGCATCAGGCGTGGGGCTGATGTTGACGACTTCGCTGGCATAGAATCTGTGGCCAGGATTAGCTCGATAGTCGGTTCGTGGTTGAAGGGGGCATACGGGACGTTGGTCTTGAGAACACCAGAGTCGAAAGGGGCAACAACAGGATCTCTCAAGCAGCCCTCTTCCTTCGGCTCCAATTTGGCGCTCGCCATCGGAGGCTGTCAGAGCGGTGGTTGTGGGTATGATATTGTCACTCGTCTCAGTGCATTGGTTGTGTGGCCTCGAAGGTGAGATGCTTTGGGCGGGGTGATCTCTGCAGAGTGATTAAAGAGATCTCATGGAGAAGTGATGGAGAGGGCAGATGAAGAGAAAGGATCGTGTGTGTGGGGAAAGTGTTGAAATCAAATACTAGAGTAACACGGTGATACAGTGAATGATGGGGGCGTTTGACACAAGTGAAGTGAACCTGGCTAAACCGGGCAACGGATGAAATATCCTGGCCTTCAGCACTGTACATTCTTCTATATCCTTTACCAGAGTAGGTGTTGTACACGATGAAGAATAGCTAAGAGATTATGAAGATTTTTCTAACACGAAGTATTTAAGCTACTCTGTCTGTAGTAAGTGTAGTGGCCAGAATCTTGTATTGCCGATACTTTTCTTTTTTTGTAAGGTCTCTCTTGAATATTACTCGAATATATCATAAAGTCATCAGATGCGAAGGTATAGTAAGCAAAATGGGAGTCGATTGAAATGATGGGTGAGGGGGGGGAAGATGATCAAGTGGAAGAAGGTCGCTTGTATACAAGTAGTAGCTAAAAAAAAGTGGAAGTTAGCGAAAATGAGGGGTGAGTTAAGAGATGTGTATTGGAAGATGGGAGGTGGGGTGTGGAGAATCAATATGGTCTTTAGTATCGTGGGGACGACAGCGGCGCGTCACTCTTTTGCCCAAATTGAGTGGTGCTTACACTCGTCAATTAATTCCCTAGTATCGCCAAGGTCGCTCTCTCTGTACCAGACGTTGTCTTGGTCGGAATTTTGCAGCCACTTTATCAAACTCGTTAGGATCCCATGCGTATCGAAACGAATGCTAAAACCATCTAACAGTTGAGACATATCCCGCGCGTCTGCAACTGGCAAGGACTTCACAAAAAACAAGTGCAGTGTCGTCCTGAGGAGAAAGAATTGCAACCCCGTATTTGGCATGGGTCGCACCCCAAAGCTTTCTATCTCATTTTCATATAAGACTAGTGCGGGTATTGATCAGAAATTGGCTGCATTCGGGTTCTTGGTATAGTCTAAGGAGAGGGTTATTCCTTTGGTAACTCCAGAATACCCTGAAACTGCTTCTGTGAGCTGTTCTGCCTCGGTTTTGATCGAAAGGATTCGATGAATAGTGTTTTCGATGTCAAAATTCTCGGCCTGGTCGCAACCGCACAGCGCACAGCATCATTTGGATTAACTCTAAGTTCTTCAGGGGCCGCATTCAAGTTTCAACTTGTCCGCAACATTGCCAATGCATCGCGATATTCTGCAGCATGTCGGCCATGGTCGCTCGGGGGCTCAGACACAAGTCGGTACGGTACGCCTCCTCGAGGTCTATGCGTATCTCAAACCGCTGTTCTCGGAAGATCGCCTCTCCCAGTTCCCTGGGCTGCTCAGGAATATTCTGTAGATTAACTTCCCCCTTGGTTCGCGTCTACCTTTCCTCTTTTCTTCCTGTTAATCTCCCCCTCTCAATGTCGAGAGACCTTCCGGATGGCTCCGTCAGCAACCCTGACCTGTAACCAGTAGAGCCTTAATCACGCGGTTACGACCTCTTCTAAGCTGTGGATCGACGACTGTCTAACAGCTGATACCCCTTACCGAGTTCGCCTGGCAGTGCGTGCACGCGGTCCAGTCGCCCTCGTCCGCCGTCAGCGCCATTCCGGCCGCCTGACACTGACCCGACTCCCAATTCGAGGGCCGGTCGAGGGCGAGCTGGGCCCCGGCACGGCCTCTGCCGCGACGGGCTACGGGCTCGCAGACCGCGGTGTAATTCTTGGTAATCCCCGCCATCACGCCGGAGGCTATATGTCGCGAGCCGTCCTACTCAACGGCCGGGGTCCAGGACTTGGCGGCGAGGGGGCCTGGGGGACGCGCGAGGATTGCTGTGGACCGCGTCAGTCAATCGGCGTGCCGTAGCGTCAAACTTTCGTGCTTGCCAACCGCGTTCAAACAGTTGTTGCACTTCTGACCTATCCCTTCACTGATACAGTCGCGAAACGGCCTCCCGGAGGAGGGGTCGCGACAGTACCCACACACCTGGTCGGGCGGAGACTGCCGGCCAGCCAGAGACACGAGGATGCCCTCGCGGAGCTGGGCCCGGACAGCCAGCTGCCTGGGATCCGACCACCCGATGTACGGCACAGACCGCACAACAGGCTCGCGGATCCAGGCCCGCTCACAACCCGACAGGGGCTGCGAACCTGTCCAGGGGGAAAGACCGAGCACCACAGCAGATACTGCCTCTGAGCAACCTGCGAACCAGGCCGCGGGAGGCAGCTCAATAAAGAGAGAGGCACCCCACTCTTCATCAGTAGCCCACTCGCGGGGTGCCGGCTGATCCCACTCAGCCCTGAGTATACCCGCTGGAGACGGGAAAGATCCAGGGAGCAGAGGACCAGGAGTCGCGGGGGCCACTACAAGATTATTCATCATCAGATGGACCATCCAAGTGCCTCTCGCATACGTCTCAGTACGCGGGGGGAGGGTGGCGGGGGCGGCGGTCGCGGGGGCAGGGGCAGCCTCCTCCACCTCCTCGATGGAGGGGGGCGCTCGCGGCGCGCTGACTGCTGTTAGCTGAGCCTGAGAGAAAGAATCGCGACACTTACCCGGGGGGGAGCAGAAGTGGCCGCAGCAGCGGCAGGCACAGAGAGTTCGCGGTAGCGAACAGCTGAGGAAGCATATCAGAAACAACTTCGCAAAGAGGGGGGAAGAAGCACGCGAAGAAGAGAGATATACCATTCAGAACTCGTAGACGGGAAACATGTACTCTGCGCGCTGCAAATTGGTCGCTAAAAAGTATTGCAGGGCGCGCTGACCGAACTTGATGAGTGGAGCTGTTGATCTCACTGATGATCGGTGGCAGTAATTCAGTCCAACGGGCATAGTGGTCTGAAGTGTATGCATGGCGCAGCATGATTTCCATGATTTCGTTTCCACGTTCTGTCTGCCTGCCTGGTTGCGGATAGAATGCAGTTGATCTGTACCATTTGATGTCTACTAACATCGCAAACATTTCAAGCCAGAACTATGGCTCTAGCGGCGATAAACACTTGAGGCAGGCTCAAGTCATGCTTCTGAAGGTCGTATACCAATTTATATCCCCGTGGATGCTGGCCATTCCGCATAACCGGGCATGAGTCCGACACAGCCGTTGTCATCTACGGGGTTACCGCAGGGAAACGTGAAGTCCATGGAGGGGTCTGAAGATGTTGATTCCAAAAAGGATCCCCGAGAGGATCCAGAGATAGAAGGTCCTCTGTACGGAGGACCGTATGGTCCACCGAGGCAGTCAGGTGACAATTGTGAATTTTTCCATGAACAATAGGAGATAATGGAAGTCATCGAGTTCCACCTTAATCTTTATGCTTCGTGGAGTTTGGGATGCTTCCTTCGATTGCGTTGATCGGTGTAGGCACCTGTAGCCGATTGTTGAGATTGGCCCCTCTTCAAAACTGGCCTGTCGGACTTCATCAGACAGCTGCGAATGAACCAGCGCAAACCAGTCGCCCAGAACCACTTCAACTTACAGCCCGGCCAATAGGATCTGTGAAAAGCAGAATATCTTTAAACCTTGTTAGCATGGTAACCTATTAGCAGAGATATATTGATGGGACTTGCAATGATCATCAAGCGCAGGAAACATGGAGCAAATTGTAAGAGCAATTCGTGATGTCGAAAAACATAGAGCAAGTCATAAAAATGCATAATGCCTGAATAAGAAGTCGAGGATATGAATAGCAAATGTGAGTACTAGCACAAGAACTAAAATGAAAGGAAATTGTTGCAACGTAAGAACTAAGCAAGTACGCCGTACTGGGGTCATCTGTCGGGCGAAGGTGAGCATGTTGTGGGGTCTCTGGGGTGGAGAAGGCTTGTGTATGTACAGCCTCTTTTACTGCTGTAGTTTGCTTCGAATTCTTGCAAGGAGCCGATCAGACTCGATGATCCCTGATGATATCCTGGCCCCTCTTGCACAGCATGTTACCGGAGCCGTAGAAAGTGCAAATGATTTGGAACGAACACTTCAGTCGCCTGCAGTCTCCAAAAACAGTACAAAGAGTAAAAGTCGTACTCGGCTAGCCCCGTTAGATAGAGGAATTCAGCACCGAAATCGTGGCCTTGGTTAAAGCTTTTGAGATAAGATGTCCGACATCATGACAACGATTGTTTCCTTTTTACTGGTTTGATAGCGCGTCTTCGCAGGTTTGTGTTTAGGGGTTAAGGGTGTAGACGTTCTTGACGTAACGCAATATCAAATATAGAGGTTGCTCCCAGCTGTTCGAACAGGGGTTACCCTCTTCTAATCCTTGAATTCCCATAATCTACCTTTGTGGGTAGCGGTAGATGTTTCATTTATTCTAGGGTTCAAATTAGCCAAGCTCCAGATCAAATCTAGCATGTACCTTTTGACACCCACGGGGTCCAACCCCCCATCTCCCGGGTTTCTGCAGCTTACCTTATTCTTTCAAGCGTGTCGATTCTTTCACGACAGGTGGTGTTGGAGAAGAGAAAGAGAACTGGATCTCCGGGATCATGGCGACTATTTACATAAACCCTAGCTTTGAGGATTGTCGAGTCGTGGATGGTTCCAGGGTTTACATTAGCCAGGCTCAGATCTCGGGTTCTGGATAAAACCATGTCTGTTCGGCTTCGGAACAGCACACAGGCCTAGCTTCTGGCTAGGAACTCATTGCAATATGCGAATGTCCCCCGTGGTGATACACCGACAGGAGTAGGAGTATGACGAGTGGGGAATTGGAGGAAGAGAAGGAGGGGTCTCTCGATGGCTTCAAGCGATCCTCAAGACACCCCCAGGACCTGGAGTATTCACTAATCATGGCCATTCACCTTCAATACGTTGATCTCTCATTCAATCGTGGCCTGTTGAACTGTAGATTGTGAATGAGGTTGACAGTATCCAAGACCAGTAGATGGGTATCCTACATTCACCAGTCAGTTGTAGATTCACTTTCCGTTTAATATATGATAGAGACGGGCGTTCCATGATGATTAGGTTTATATTCAAGGTATCACTACTGGGCAGGCTCCAAGGTCTTTCAGCGACAAGGGTACTGTAGTGAATCGGGATAATATTGAGGATGGGCATATGCTAAGTGCTTTAGCATCATCTAAATACTCCTCTGCATAAGGATATGCCGATCGCAGAGTCTGCCTCCGGTGCTATAGACTAAACGGTCTAGGGCAGCATTGCGCAACCACCGCCCTGAATAGCATCAGTATGGCGACATAGAGTTCCGCGTATGTGAGAATTATACACAAAAAGCCATAGAAAGACAATTACTTGACTACTGTCAATGGCCATTATTTGGTGAGGACCTGATCCATGCAATACAACCAAACCCCGATCGCGATGTATACATAGTTGCCCTGACAAGGTGTAGAGCACGGATCGCCGATTGCCGATAGTATAGTATGTATGCGGGTATCGAAACTCGGCGATATCAGCCCCGCCGCTCGCCGCCGTGGATTGATTACCCCGCTTGCCCCTCCTACAGTATAAACTCCCCACAGCACCCCCCTCTTATTCTTCCACACAACTCCCTACCATCACTATCACCCTGACAGAAGAGATGGCGTAAGTCTATACTCTTATCACCCTCAATCAGTTATCTCTAACCACTCTCTAGACCACCTCCTCCCACCCCCGACACAGCCTACTACAACCTAGGCACCTACACCCGCACGGTGAAGACCACCTCGGCTGCCGCCCAAACCTGGTTCACGCGTGGCTGGCAATGGGCCTACAGCTTCAACCACGAAGAAGCCCTGCGCTGCTTCCGTGCCGCCGCCGCCCACGACCCCTCGTGCGCCATGGCCCACTGGGGCATCGCCTACTCGCTGGGACCGAACTACAACAAAGCCTGGGCCTTCTACGACCGGGCCGACCTGGCCACGAGCACCACCGAAGCCCTCGCCGCACTCACCCTCGCCCGTGAGCGGGCCACCGACCCCGCCGAGGTATCCCTCATCACCGCCCTCTTCGCCCGCTTCCCCGCCGCCCCGGACGCCCTCCCCACCGACTTTGCCCCGCTCAACCACGCCTACTCCCGCGCCATGCGCACCGCCCACGAGTCCCACCCCACCGACATCGACATCACCGCCCTCCTCATCGAAGCCCTCATGTGCATCTCCCCCCGAGGCCTCTGGAACCTTAACACCGGCGAACCCAGCGGACCCCACACCATCGAAGCGCGGCGTCTCATCGAAACCGCATTCACCACCTCCCCCACCACCGCCCAACACAATCCCACGCTCTGCCATCTCTACATCCACCTCATGGAGATGTCCCCCTTCCCGGAAATCGCCCTCCCAGCCGCGGACCGTCTGCGCCGCGCCGCGCCGGACGCCGCCCACCTCCTGCACATGCCCAGCCACATCGACATGGCGGTCGGCGACTACCGACGGTCGGTGGAGTCCAACACGGACGCGATCCGGGCGGACGAAAAGTACGTGGCCGGGTGTGTGGCCGAGGGGCGCACCGGGGTGAGTGTGGGCGGGGCGCTGTACGTCGCCTACCGCATGCACAATATCTGCGCGAAGCTGTATTCCGCGCTGATTGCGGGCCAGTTGGCGGCGAGTATGGAGGCGGTGGAGCAGTTGGAGGCGTTGGTCGGGGAGGAGGTGCTGCGGATCAAGAGTCCGCCGGTCGCGGATTGGGTGGAGTCGTTTCTGGGGAATCGCGCGCATGTGCTGGTCCGGTTTGGACGGTGGGAGGAGGTGCTGCGGCTGCCGGAGCCGGGGGATCGGGAGGTGTATTGCACGACGTATGCGACGGTGTTGTATGCGAAGGGGGTGGCGTTGACTGCGTTGGGACGGGTGCCGGAGGCGGAGGCGATGCGGAAACGGTATGATGAGGCACGAGGGAGAGTGCCGGGGAGTCGCATCGCCAGTCTGCCCAGTAAGGCGGTCGATGTGTTGGCGGTGGGGGCGATGATGTTGCAGGGTGAGCTGGAGTATCGGCGCGGGGAGGTGGAGCAGGCGTTTGCCTCGCTGGCGCGGGCGGCCGAGCTGGAGGATGCGCTGCCGTATGGGGACCCGCCGCCGTGGATGCAGCCGGTCCGCCATGCCTGGGGCGGGCTGTTGCTGGAGCAGGACCGGGTGGCGGAGGCGGAGCGGGTGTTCCGCGAGGATCTGGGGATGGCGGAGGGGTTTCCGCGGCGCAAGGGGCGGCTGAACAATGTGTGGGGGTTGCACGGGCTGCATGAGTGTCTGGTGAAGCAGGACAAGCTGGACGAGGCGCGGTTGCTGGCGCCGTATCGGGATCTGGCGATAGCGGCGGCGGATGTGCCGATTGTGACCTCGTGCTATTGCCGGTTGAGTGCGGTGTCTGTGTCTGGGAAGTGCTGTGATTGTTAGCGCGGTGCTGGTCCAGCATGTTATGTGCACTTAGGGTCAAGAGACAGACAAATCTAGAGGTGTCAATGCGAGTCTTTCGGCTGCTTCCCAGCTGCAAGGATGAGCAGTAAACTTGGGATCTGCAGATTTACGCGACATGAACCCTAGCTAGCTTTATGGGCTATAGGAGTACCTATCCCGGCAGTCCTATACTCTCAACAAACTACACGATCACCGTACAATCAACTCATCGACAAAGTCAACGCATCGGGTGCTGCACAGTCGGGCGTACGTCTCCGGCAGCACATGCATGCAATCAGCCAGATCGACCAGTTCCATGAGATAGAAGAGGAGGCTGGACGAATCACAGAAATTCAGCCCTAGCAGCACAAAGAGACCCGCAATTGAGAACCCCTGCTATGCCATATGCAACGCTAATAGTAGTAACTTATCACCGATAACTATATATACACTGTACTTACAACTCCACGCCTCACTTGGACTTCGGATCCTTCCACAGGGGATCGACAAAATACACCAGCCCATGCGCCGCCGCGGCCGCCAGCGGACCGACCTGCCATCCAGCATGTCAGTCTGAACCCAGCAACGAACAAACGAAAGCTAGTGCACTCACCCAATGAATCCAATGATACCCCGGAAAGGAAGAAGCCACGTACGCCCCAAAACACCGGGCGGGATTTACGCCTGTTTCATCCTGTATTAGCTTATTTAGTCCTTTCCAGTCCAGCCCGCCCCAGTCATAGCCCCAGCTCAGGAAAGTACTGTAAAATGGAAACCAAACTTACTCGCACCGATATACCCCACCCTCGTGAACGCCGTCCCCCACGTAACAACCCCCACCACCACACCAACCAACCACGGGCCCACGGCGGGCCCAAACACCCTGGCCTGGCGGGGATCCAACGCGACCCCGAAACACAACCACACGACAATCAAACACGCGAAGAACTCCACCACCAGCCCACTCCCCACCGGTACCTGGGCGGTGTCGATGTAGCAGCCCCCGACGGTGATATCGCGCTCACCGTAGGCGGCATGCAAGGCGAAGCCGGCGAGTGCGCCGCCGAGGGTCTGGCCGAGCACGTAGAGCACCGCGCGCGGCAGGGAGATGATGCGGGCGAAGAAGGTGGCGAAGGTGATGAGTGGGTTGATGTGGCCGCCGGAGCTCGGGGAGAAGGTGTAGATGAGCAAGGGGGTGAGGAGGAGGTTAGTGAGACCGCCGAAGGTCGGGGAGAAGAAGGTGACGGTGGCGTAGACGCCTGCGCTACCGGTGGCGGCGGTCATGGGGGCGTAGGGGTGGGTGGTGACCCAGGCGGAGATGAAGGTATTGAGCATACTTGCTGTATTTTGCGCATTTTTCCCCCATGTTAAGTTCGTTTTCTTGCTGGCACGCATGGATGGAATAGGTAGGTAGGGTCGGAGAGGACTGATTGGACGGAGAGGAAAGGGCTACTGCTTCATCATCTCACTCACCAACACACTCCAACATCGCAAACTTCCACAAATCCACCGACCCAAACCCACGCAGATCAAACATCTCTTGCATGCTCATGCACGGCGCCGCGTCGGGCACCCGCTCTAGTACCGCCAGGTTCTTCGAGTCGTTCCGATCCAATACAAACTCCTGGTTACCGCCAATGCGGCCCGCGAAGGGCGAGTTGGCGGGTTCTAGACCGTGACCATGGTGAAGGGGGTGGTGTGGCGTAGTTGGGATCGTCTCCTCTGGCTCATATTCGGGGAGATAGGTTATCGTCATGATGCCTTCCTGCACGTTGTGCAGAGGTAGCGGTCAGATAGGATAGAGATAGAGAGCAGGGATGTGTCAAAGTAAAGTTCAGAGCTAGAGATAAGGTCGAGATAAAAAGTCAGGGGAGGAAATCCGTATCCTCCTCTCATCACCAACATGATCATCATCATTACCACCATCCAGGAGCCACAGAACCGATCTCGGATTCCAGAGCATGGGTCCGCTGTATCGGATCCCTCGGCTCGGCAAAACCGACCCATCAGACCCCGGATTTCAGTGGAGGACCTGGTTGATGTTTGCCGAGATAAAGAAGAAGCTTTTCGAGAACATCGAATTGGTAAATTCATGCTGTCCGGAGTTTGTGATGAGCCAATCATACCAAAAACAAAAGAGATAAAGTCTGGCCGATGCTCGCTTGGCCACGTTTAGATGCTAGTATGCGTGGGCTGAGCTATATGCTATGTAGTTTCAGGTTGCGTATATACATATCCGACCTATGCCGAACCCGGATGAATCGCCTATGTAAAGAAAAATCTTAAGAACTACTACATATCTAGTATACCTACCATCCCCAAACCTTCAAAGCGGCTCTTTGTAGAGTTTGTACTGCCGTAGTAGTGGACCCCGCCGCGCGCTTGGCAGCGGCAGCCTCAGTCCGCGCAGCGGAACCCGAGACACCGTTCCTGACTAGCGGGTTTGGGTTCTGAGCGGTGGCATGTTTCCAGCCTCAACTCAAACCCCCGAGCCCAGACAGGCAGACATTTCATATGAAACCAGTCTCCACCCCTGTGATCGAGTTTCGGATTATATGGCTTCCGGTTTTTGCCTATCTTTTGCCTCTTCTCCAAAAGTTGGAAAATAAGATTGCGTACTCCGGAATGGACTGCGCTCGGGTGTTCGGCAAGATATCCGGTCCGTGGTTCGGGCTATGCTTGTTTTGTTAGGTGGTCGCATGGTCGCATGCGCTGCATTAAGCTGCTTGTGCTGCGCTTATGTTTCCGAGGTGACCCTTGGTGCTGTGTGAGGTGGATTGGCGCTATGCACAACTATGTAGTGGTGTTGGGTGTTGATACCCTCATCCGAGTCCCTGCTATACTCCGTACAACATACCGGGACCGGTACCTCCGTCCTCAACTGTGCTATGCTCAGATTCTATTACTACTAGGAGGTCAGTAAGGACCATCGCTCTGGTTTCACGGCCAGAACGTGTGGCTGCATTCTTTTCTACCGTGATTACCTGTCTTCCCTGTCTACTGTTATGAGAGTATCTTGAGATTAATTGTGCTGGGGGTGTGGTGCACCCACCTTAGGCAGACAATGCCATATCGCTTGGATCATACTTCTTCCGACCCGCTCTGCGGTCTCTGCTACGCGACCCCGTCCCTCAAACCCGATCGGCCTTCGCTCCGAGGAACAGTTACAAGATCGTATTACTTATGAGAACAGCACCACAATTGAACGAGATAACACAAAACAATCGATCATAGAAATCAAACATCGGCCAACTTCCTTACAGTACCATCTCCTCTTCGCCCCACGTCACGATGATGGAACACCTACTGTTATTAGCGATCGTCATTCAACTCGACAAATCACTTACATTGTGAATAAAAGTCGTTGGAATACGTGCACTTGTACCCGCTGACGCAGACCGTCGCCCCGGTCCAGCCGCTGCCACCGCACTGTGCGTACGCCGAGGCGGTCGCCGTGCTGCCGCTCGACGTGGTGGTCGATGTGGTGGTTGAGGTTGTTGTCGCTTTGGAGGTCGTGGTCGAGGTTGTTGTCACCTTGGAGGTTGTGGTCGAGGTGGTCGCCTTGGAGGTTGTGCTGGTGGTGGTCTTCAACGTCGTCGACGAAGTCGTCTTCGAGGTAGCTGTGGCAGAAGCAGTAGCCGTCGCTGCCGGCAGGCTCCCGCTGGGATCACCGTAGAAAATCCCCCGCCCGTTGGTGCCCACGAACACCCGGCCGTAGGTCTGCAAGTCGCCGTTCACCACATTGGCCGATGCAGACCCGAACCCGTGTGACGCGTCCGAGATCACCTGCCAATTTACCCCTGCGTCTTCGCTCTTGAACAGCCCGCCAGCCCCATCAACAGTGAAGAACCCAAAGATCACCACATAGCTGCCCGTGGAGGACGCCTTGCCGAAGCCAAAGCTCCAGCCCGCCGTCACGCCGCTGCCGATCTGCGTGAAGCTGCTGCCGTAGTCCGTGGAATGCCAGAGCCCCTTGTCGGTCGACGCCCAGACGTCGCCTGCGATGGACGGGTGCGCGCGGATGGCGTTGACCGTCGTGCTGGACCCCAGCGTCACGGTCTTGGTGAAAGAGCTCGCCGTGTCCGTCGACACGTAGATTGCGCCCGCGGATCCACCGTAGAATACCGTGTTGTCGGATTTGTCCGAGGCGATGACGGCCCCGGACGGTAGGGAGGAGACCGCCGTTAGAGTGCCCTGCGACTTTGACACCAAGGCGCCTGTCCCGCTGGACATGAGAAGCACAGTGTCCCCGTCGGCGGACAGAGCCACCGCGCCGGTGCCGGTGCTGGTAGAGGCAGCGTAGTCCGCATACCAAGTCGATCCGAAGTTCGAGGACAGAGCGAGCGTCGGGTAGTCGTCGCTTGCGCCAGACCGAACAATGTTGGAGGGCTTGTTGCCGGCGTAATCGATTCCGTTGGTTGTGCCGTATGTGGGAGTGTGGAAGTATTGATTTGGCGCGGTGTCCAAGTCCGAGTGGTAGAACCCACCGTCGTCCCCTACGGCAGACAGCAGCGCCGGGCCTCCCGGCGGGGTGATGAGGCCAAGCACCGCCATCTCCTCAATGCCGACCGCCAGGGACTTGATGGTGACATTGTGCTCACTGTCCCAGTTAGTAAGATCATGTCCTCCATACACTGTCAAGCCCGTGCCGTAGAGCCAGTGATTGGAATCGAATGGGTCAATGGCTAAGGCCTCAACCATCCATCCAACTCGGACAGGGAACTGGTCGGTCGAGGTCGTGTCCTGAAGCCAGGGCGCGTTGCTAATATCATAGCTGTAGTAGTAGTTAATGCTGGGATACCCGTTCCACTCCCAAATTGGGGACCAGGTCGCTCCAGAGTCGACACTCCGCCAGATGAGCTCATCCGGCCACCAGCAGTTGAGCGCGGCCACCATCAAGGTACCAGGAACTTGCAGATCAACTGAAAGACCACCGTAGCCGTAGTAGGTGCTCGTGAGGGAGGTGGGACTTATGTCGGTCCATACTCCGCTGGTGATGTTATACTTGTGGACTGTGCCGTTTGTGCCATCGTATGGACCAGCTCCGTTGGAGTAGGAAATGTAGAGCGTCTTCTCCGCGGGAGACAAGACTCCTTTGTGCGGAAGGAAGCCATACTGGGGCTCACCAGACACCCAAGCCCCTGGCCGGTCAGCGCCGTTCTCTTTGGCGATCAGCATACTTACAAGTGGCACCCGCATCCTCCGACTTGAAAACAGACTTGCCAACATCGGCGACTCCTATCCGATGTTAGAACAACCCGCGACTTCGAGTAACCATTGGACTTCGATTCATCCCTTACCAACAAAAATTCTCGGCGTTGCAGATCCCGAACTACCGGAAGTGGAATCGAAAGTCACCCAAGCGATACCCACCGGGTCTGAAGTGTAGGTCGAGCTTGAATCCTGGAAATAGGTTCCTGCACGACTCAGCTTGGCCTGCCTCAGAAACGGTAGGGTGCATACCAGTCCAGGTGAAAGACGTCACATTTGACCAAGTAGCTCCATAGTCCGTACTCCTCCACAACCCATGGCCACTCCGCGCACCAAAGTAGAGGATGCTGTTATCGTTCGGATCGACCGCTAGTCTCTGCACACATTCAGCTGCGATTCATGAGAAGCTTGAGGATATACCTACCTCTCCCATACCGCGACCGGGCATATTCCCACCGACTTTGAACGGCAGCACAGTCTCAGACCAGGTGTCACCTTGGTCTGTCGAACGCAGAATCGATCCTACATTTGGGTCCCATTCGTTGGTGTACATACCCACTGCCACATACAACCGGTCGGTGTCTACTGGATCCGTGGCAAGAGCGTCGATGCCCCAGTCGTGCCTGGCTTGTTAGCTTCACCCGTGAGACCATGAGCGAAGGGGTCACACCAGCTAGAATTTCCCACCCAGTCCATCAGCGGAGTCCATGAGTCATCTGAATTCAGACGGTATGCGCCTCCAATATCCGTACGCGCATACGCGACGCCTTTGGCAGACGGGTTGAAGACAATGCCGGGAGTGAAGCCTCCTCCACCTGTTGCAATGCGTCAATAGCTGTAGTTGACGAACTGAGCAGAAACGTACCGCCAGTGAGCACATTCTTCCACGTGTACGCCTGCGACGCCGCAGCGTCTGCAAGCTTGCCCAAGAGGGCGGCGCAAAGCAGGGTAAGACTCGTTCGGGCCATGACGCTGGAACGGTTCTGATAGCTTGTCAAGCAGAGGCATAGACTTCTGGACGAGGACACGCCAGGTCTTATTTAAGACTCGCATTCTCTGGCTAGTGAGGATTTGACAGTCGGACTGACAATAACATGATGGGTAAGAGTTTCATGCTCTTCCTTGGCATCATTCAACTAATCTCCGAATAGATTCCTTCGGAGGGTGTTCCGCCTCGCGGCACCACCAAGCGTGACTCGGTATTGACCATGGTGAGATTGTCTCACGTAGGACTTGTAGGTCGAAGACGAAGCTGCAATCAAGATTAGATTAACCTGTCAGCCAATTCAATGCACGGAGGGTCGTGTGACACGCACTTTGGCGGGGGAAGGCGTCCGAACGTGGTCAATGCGTGCAGAAACCGATTGTCCACGGACGTTCCTCCGTTGATCCCCTGATGATCAGGGGTAATATGGATAAATCCGCGGGTGGTAAGGAACGCTAAAGTAGGTCATCACCTGCAGGATGGTGTCCACTCCTCATGCAGGAGAGGGTGCGCGAGAGTGGGGAAGAGAGAAGATTGATAGGTTGAAGCAGCTGAGACAGGGACGGAATTACATATTGCTACTAAGTCACTCCACGTGCCGCGCCCCCCGGGTACCTGAGCACTCTCATAACGCCATTCTCTGGCTTATTGCTACCCTCTTCAATAAATGTCTCACCGTCGCAAATCCGGCAACCGGTCCGAATCACCATATTACAGCACCTGATCGGATTTGTAGACCGTGCTCAGAAAGGCACGGAGGCCTTTTCTCAGACCACATCGTCTGCCATGGAGTCTCCAGGTGCAGTCAAACAAATCTGCTCGGGTCAGGATGGAATAATCCCATCACTTCGACAAATGATTCCCATCTGCCCCAGCCTACTTCGCAGCTTTTTGAACCCTCTCCTGACTGTCCAGCAGCTCTTCGCTATATCCTTCCATTCCACTCTCTTCTTTGTAATCTTCACCTCAGAGAACGAGCTGTCAACATCTACAGACAGCATCTTGCCTCCTTGCTGGCGAATCCCCCCATGTAAATCACCGTATCCGCATTGCGCATAGACGAATGCAGGACAATGGCCGCCACGGGAGTCTTTCTCGCGGCGCAGATCATTTCCGGGCCCTGGCCATCAAAGATTACCAGGTCCGCAAGCTTGCCCACCTCGATCGAGCCTAGCTGATCTCGGCTGGTGTGTATCAGCTCGAGCGGGTCACACGGGTCTAAGGGCCCTTCCAATCAGCCGGGGTGACATTCATATCAGCATGGTCCACCACAGTGGTTGCGCCCGCGTCCAGAGCCTCCAGACAGCCTCCCAGCTCCCCCTAGAAGATATCCTCGGGGGTGTAAGTGACCTGCTGCAGGTTGGCTGTCATGGTTGAGTATGCGGTTCTGTGTAAGAATCAGGCTAGCCACCCGTCGGCATGTACTCGATCAGAAGTGATCCGCATGGCGTTCCTTGGCTCGGTCTGCCACAAGTGGTGGTGAGTATCGATTAAGCCGGGGGAGATGATCTTGCCCGTGCAGTCGATGGTGTGGGTGGGGGCAGACGGCGGGGTGATCTCCGATGCGATCTGGGCGATCTTGTTGCCTTCGATGCGCAACGAGTGATTGTGGAGAGGGCACGACATAGTCATTATTGTTGCCAGAGGGGACCAGGATCGTGGCGTATTTTTGGAGGAGGGATGACGTTGTGATAACCTGCTCGGTAGCTTAACACGAGTGTGGTCAATCGACGGGGCGAGATGCGTATGAGGCTGGAATAAGCATCAAGAGACCCTACTTACTTATGTGGACGACATACTATAATGGAACTGAGCGCAGTCTAGAAAGGCGATGCATTGGTAAGCCTCGGAGACAGAAGGTTAAATGCGAAACGCGAGGCCGACTGGGATGTCCGTAGTGGGTCGAGCGGAGGAGGATGGATCGACGTCATCCGTTAAGGGCTGTCTCAGTCAGAGCCAGGAGTAGGCATAAGACACTTCTCTATAGATATCAGTCTGAAGGTAGCCATGTGGACGCTCGCCGATGCCTTCTGTGATGGTACTGGATGTGTTGGCACTTATGGAAGGTATACGCTGGGGACTATCTAGGAGGCCATTTGCGAGGGTCACATGATCCAGAAGCGGTGGATATCAGCATCAGCCTTTCTCACCACCTTCCTCCCACCCTTGTACTCACTCTCTCCAGTCATAGTGATAGATGGTTCCAATAAAGCTTTGTATCCGTGTTTATCAATGAAAGTTTCGACAGCTGGCAATCTATCCGGAGCCGTCATCTACAATGATAGCTCCTGAGTAAGTTATACTATAACCTTGTACCTCTAAACTAGTCTTAGCTGACACAAAAATATGTCAGGTCACAAGTCGGAGCACCCCATGAACCCGAACCACCGATATCTACTCCATGGTATTTCATAAATCCAGAGATATATTTATGAACGCATAGCTTACAAATTGTGCACATCATGCATCACACACTCCTCTCCACATCGCAATCTGCCGACATTGACCCGGCGCGGAGAAGGGTATCAGCGAGCCGCACCCCATCCGCTGAGTAAACCAGCACGTGACTTGTAGTCATCGTGCCCATTGGCGGAAGCACGAGTCACCCTGACCGGATGGTCCCCAGTTCGCCAGCAGAACTGCGCTAGCGCCAAAGAGGTTAAGTACTCTGTACTAGCAGGCTTCGACGTGGGGGCAAATCATGCACCTGCACCGTGCATCACACTTAATTGGGAGGTTAGAATCTAAGACCGGAAGACAGATCAAGGCGAGAGATACAGAACATTCTGAATGCTCGGCTCATACCTGATCTCGTCAAGTCCTTTCAGCGTGACAGCAACGCCAGATCCACAGTGCAGTCCTCGAGTTCATGAATTCGAGTTCTGGCCGAGGTTGACCCCAGCCGGAAGTCACGGAGGGGCCCAAAGCCGCTAACGTCGGGCCGGCCAGTGACAGAACGGGTGAGAGGCGGTCTGCAACCCACGAAAAAGGGGAAGCTGGCGGTGGCCAAGATTCATGTTGACCTGTGGTCTAACCACGTGTGGAGGAATAGGGGTAGACTTGAGGCAGACTGGGAGGGTGTACTCACTGTACAGTGCAGGGTGCATACTAGAGACCATCAGGGGGAAACCCTTCTGCTTGTTGACGATCTCCCGCGGCATGAGGAAGGGAGGAGGCCCAGTCTAGAACTAAGTACTCAAGCTAATCACTGTGTATCTATGTAGTAGTTACTAGTATCTACGATAGCAAGATTCAACTCACTCACTCTCGAGACAGGACGAGGCGGTGAAGGATGACAAGCTGCCAATCGGAATCCCCTCCCCGCAAGTCTTTGCAAGTCCAGTGATGAGTGAATGTTTACAGAATCCCCCGATCCGGCAATAAGTGGATCATACCTAGTCGACGTGGTAAATTCTAGAACTAAAATGGACGCCTGCCGCCCACAAAACCTCCTTGCTCGACGGCGATTGATCGCGACTTTTTTTCTTTCTTCTCAGTCTGTATTTTACGCAACTGACAATTTGTCCTTCATGAGCTCCTGCTGCAGTTGATCATCTTGAGTCTCCCTGCTGATTCTGTCAGCTCAGGAGTCGGAGGCGATCCACGCAGGAGATCGTCCAGGGAATCTGATCTTCACTAGCACAGGTTTTGAATCAGGGTCAACCAGCAAAATGGCCACTGGATTCTACAACATCCAGGAACTTGCTCCCGACCCGAGGATTGTGTCGGGATCTAGATACCGAGGCTATCTGTACTATGTAGCGCAAGCCGCCCTCTGGACCTTCCAGGCGTATTTTGTGCTCCGTCTGGTGTTGATCCTGACCTCCCCCGTGCGAACATGGCAGATGTGGGTGACTCTGGCCGTCGAGGGCATCTTCGCTCGTATGTCACCAAACCACCCCTCAAGAACCGAGACTGACCAGCCCAGTGTTGTCCCGGCAAGACCAGCTACTGACTGTAGCCTCCGGCCGGGCGCCGTCCAACTCGCCCCGGAAGCGGCTGCGCTTGCAAGGCGACGAGGATCTGCCTGTCGTCGAAGTGTTGCTTCCCTGCTGTGGCGAGCCAATCGAGGTCATCTTGGACACGATCCGCGCCGCGTGCACGCTTGACTATCCCGTGTCTCAGTTCCGAGTGCGCGTGCTAGACGACGGCGGCTCTGCGGCTCTGTGTGAGGCCGTCTCCCAGCTCCAGGCGGAATGGCCTCATCTGTCGTACCACTCCCGGGGCCGACAGACCGGCCAGGTGTTCGCCAAGTCCGGGAACCTGAACTACGCGCTGTGGACGCTGCAGGAGAAGACCCAACCGGAGTTCTGCGCCATCTTCGATGCGGACTCCATCGCATCGCCTGAGTTCCTTCGGGCGACGCTGCCTCACTTGTTGGCCAACCCCGAGGCGGTGCTCGTCACCACGCGCCAGTACTTCTACAACCTGCCTGCGGGCGACCCCTTCTCGCAGTCCCGACTGCACTTCTACACCTGCCAGAACACGGAGCTGGACCTGCAGGGCCGCGCAATCGACGCCGGCTCTGGGGCGTTGTTCCGGCGTCAGGCGATTGTCGACGCGGGCGGGTATCCCACTTACTCGTTCTCCGAAGACTGGCAGCTATCGCTGGTGCTGCAGGGGCTGGGCCACGAGACGATTCAGGTGCAGGAGCCGCTGCAGTTTGGCTTAGTGCCGACCTCGCTGGCGGGCCACATCGCGCAGCAGAACCGGTGGCACATCGGCCACACGCAGCAGAACCGCGTGCTCTTCCCCCCCACCAACACAACCATGTCCAAGCGCATGCAATGGGGGATTGTGTTGAATGGATGGGCGATCACGGGACGGCTGGTCGCGCTCATGGCGATCTTCGTGGCCGTCCCGGCCCTGTTACTGTCCACAAAGCCATTGATCCCGTGCAACCACGTCAAGCTCCAGGTTGTAACTGCCATGGTCCACGTCGCCCTCAGCTGGGCTTTTGCCTGTCTGCAATCCGCGCACACGGATTTCCAAAGTGCGCCATTCGCCCATCTGGAGAACACTTGGCTAGCAGGAGGTAACAAAACCCCCCATTCTCACTCTCAGCATTTCTTTTTGGAAAGTATGTACTGACACAGACCAGCACACCTTCTGGCCGTCCTCCGCTTCAACTTCATTTCTGCCCGCCCGAAGAAAGGCTCGTTCGTGACCGGCAGCACGACCAACGCGTGGAATCACAACAATACCCCCTCCTGGCTGCAGCGACTGCATCACAACCTGTGGCAGAACGGGATCTGGTTCAGCGTGCTGCTGCTGTTCACGACCGTCGCGGCGTTCGGTCTCGCGGTGGTGCTGGCTGCACACGGGTCCAGACAGGTGTTCCTGACGAGTGTGGCTTTCCCGCCGATGCTGCACATCACGTACCTCGTGGTTCTGAGTCTCTGGGAGCCGGTGATGCATCTCGTGAGGCCGCCGGTGTTTCCAGACCGGAAGGCCGGGCTGGAGATGACCAAGCGGGGCGTGATGCAGCCGAGGGAAGAAGTGCGTGCGGCGTGTGTGCGGCAGCGCAAGTCGATGCGGGGGCTTGTGTGGCAGTGCGGGGTTGTTGTTGCTGCGTTGGTTGGAGTGGGAGTTTTGCTTAATATGAATGCAGATGCTTAGGTGACTGCTTAGGATGTTTAGGGATCATCTGGATAATACGTCTCGGGGTTACAGCAGATTGCTGCATGGGCTCTGTTTGTACAGTAGTGACAGTTAATGCGGGTAAAGTAATAATTGTTTAGGTTTGTCTATGATCCTCGATTGCCAGTAAACTACCTATCAACTGTAGGACTGCTATCCCATCATTTCCAGAGCATCACATACGTTGTCTCGTCTAGTTTGCATTACCTACGAGTCAATGTTCGCATCACAAGGATAATTAATGCATTACAAGGACACCATAACCACGCAGTAAGTGAACCCACAACCACAACCTCCTGATCCCGTTGCTCATACTTAACAGTCACACCATCCCTCCGCCGAATCCCCAGCAAATGGCTCTCCACCTGACCGTCGCCCGAAACAGGCAGAATATTTTCCTGACTTTTCGACCGCCGCAATTGTAAGATCCGTCTTCCGAGCCCTCGAAGTCTTGCTAGCTGCTGTGGAGCAGTCAGGTAAGCTGGAACTACCCTTGTACCGGTTGCGACTATCGTACGAGCTAGCATGGCGGTTCCCGAGCAAAAGTTCCAGGACTGGCTGCAGAGTGGGGATGCTAGAGGCGATGATCATGATGTTAGACTCGACACTTCATCTTCCGGTCAGTGTCCATACTCAGACGCAAAGGAAAGGGGTCGTTTGACTTAGTCCAAATGATCAAGTCGGCCGTGCCATCTGTCTCAATCAGCAAAGCCCGCAGCCCGCAGCGAAGGCGAAAACGCACACGTATAGTCTTCTTGATCTGTCAATCATCTCAGTTGTGTGCATTTGAGAATAGCCATCGTGGAAGCCCTGCCATGACTAGCCTATGCCATGTGAAGAGGGATGGACGCCGCTTACACCGAGCCGAAACCCAATGCCGTGCACAGGACGAGTCATTCGCGTAGCGACATCCGACGCTTCATCGGAACAGTGCTAGGGCAGATTGCAACCACCAGATCGACAAATCCGGAGAGCACTATTCAGCTGGTTAGTCCGTTACTGAGAATTCATCCGTCATCCTAACCCCCGTACCTTTGTGAATGGATCAAAGCGAGCCGTTGGGCCGAAAGACAGCCGCCCTGTGGAGCCGAGAATCCACAAAAGCTTGTCCCTTTGTCGGTGTGGTTTCTCTAAGATCGTGCAGGGCTGAGATAATGCGTTCCCTCGCTCTACACCGGAAATACGGGAGTTCGCACCGTGGTCCTTGAGATGCGCTCTGTGCCGCGTGGACTGTTGTGCTTGAGATCAGCAGCAGTCGACCGGCTGGGAGGAGGCTGTTAGGCGTCGGCAGCAGCAGTATGCCAAGAGAACTATTCCCGTCAAAGGCAGTTGATAGATTCCTAGATTCAGATGGGGAATTAGCACGGTCGTACAGCGACACGAGGAGACGGGTTCAAGAGTTGCATTGCAGTGCGGGGGAAAATGCGAAGGGCGACGCACCTAGTGTTCGTGCTTCAGGGTTCATCGCGGGAGATGTGCGAACACGAGACTCAGATTATGATGGCAACACAGATGTAACGCGAGCTGCGAACTGGAGATCTGAGCTTGGAGGGGATTTTGTGTTGCAGAGACAAAAGCGGCAGGAGCACATGTCAAGCAGTCCAGGATAAACCAACTTATTCTCTTTTCCCCGAACCATGGCGCTGTCATACCCACCTCTGGCTGTGCAACTCATTAGTAGCTCTGCCTCTTATAGCCACTAAACACTACACGGAGGTTGCTGGCAGTCTTCGGGGCGTACGGAAGCTTACTCTACAATCGCTTACTGTTAAGCTCTGTTGGTGCGAGGCAGGATGGCTTCCTTGCTGTTATATTAGGTGTCGTCTCACTGGACCAGCTCCCTGCAGTCCGTCAACCCTGATCAATCCTACGCTTTTTGCCATCATTCTCGTGGAATTCTCGCAATTCTCACAATCCGACATGACCGGTCCCGAGGAAGAAACCGTCAACGGCCACGACAATGGCCACATCAGAAAACCCTCCCAAGAAGCCTTCGTCGACAGCAACGTCGCCATCGCTCCTAATGATCCAGAGGAGGTGCCTGCACTGCTAAAGAGGATCTCCCTGCACGGAGAGGCGTATCTCACTGAGAACGACGAGCTGGAACGGACAAGGATCTTAGACTCGGCCCGAGCCTTGGTGTATGCGTTGGAAACGCCGCGCGAGGCCATGATCCGACACTGCTGGTCACAGGTATCCTCGCTTCTGCTGCCTGTCATATAAGACGGATGTTGACCTGCCGCTCATAAGAGCACACTCTATGCAGCGATCGAGATAGCAGTGAACTTAGACCTCTTCACGGCGCTGTCGCGGGACGAGACGCCCAAGTCTGCCGCCGAGCTTGCCCTGGCGACGGGGTCCAATCCGGGGGTACTTGGTATGTCCATCTCGATCCGCTACTTGGTCGAACTGATTTATTGATTCTACTCCAGCACGGATCCTCAAGCATCTCACCGCGATGGGCGTCATCAAAGAAACCGGACCAGACGAGTACCGCCGGACCGGATTCTCCATCGCCATGCAGTCGCCTCGTTACAGCGACGCCTACCCCTGCATGTACGCACCTCCCCAGTAACCTCTAGCACAAAAAGAACTCTATCTGAGCAAACAACAGGACCGGCTGCATCACCGCAGGCGTCCTCGCCCTCCCTGCGCAGCTCAAAGCAACCAACTACGCGCCGCCAGTCGACAGCACAGCGTGCGCCTTCCAGCGCGGCTTCGACACCGAGCTGCACTTCTTCGACTTGCTGAAGCAGCACCCGCAACACGCCCGCGAATTCAACAACCACATGTCAGCCTATCACCAGGGGCGTCCTAGCTGGATGGACCTGGGGTTCTACCCGGTGCACACTCTTGTCGAAGTTTCACCCCCAGTCACTGCCGATGACGTCCTGCTGGTCGACATCGGCGGCGGGATGGGCCACGACCTCGTCGAATTCCACCGGAAGTGGCCTGACCTTTCGGGACGGCTGATCGTACAAGACCTCCCGGCTGTTGTGGCGCAGGCGCGGGAGTTGAATCTTAATCCGAAGATTGAGTTGATGGAGTATGATTTCTTCGAGGAGCAGGTTATTAAAGGTAGTCTCCCGCCCCCCCCCCCCCCCCGGCCGCGCAACACACACCAACTAATTTATTGATCCACCCAGGGGCAAGAGCATACTACCTCCACTCCGTCCTCCACGACTGGCCCGACACATCCTGCCGCTTGATCCTCCAGCACCTCGTGCCCGCCCTGCGCAAGGGGTATAGTAAACTCCTCATCAACGAGAACGTCATCCCAAGCACAAACGCATACTGGGAGACCACCAGCCTCGACCTCATTATGATGGCGGACTTTGCGTCGACGGAGCGTACGGAGGCGCAGTGGCGGGCGCTGGTCGAGTCGGTGGATGGGTTGAGAATCGTAAAGATTTGGACGGCAAGGAGAGGGGTGGAGTCTTTGATTGAATGTGAGGTTTTTTGAATTCTGTCATGGACTATCCTTGGTTGGGGGAGAGGGGTGTAGGGGGGTCACGGTAATGGAGTGTGGGGTTGAGGGGATTGGCCTTTCTCGGGGGGTGGGGTGGGGGCGCGGCATTATCCGGACTTATGAGGTATACAGAACTGGGTCTGAGTGGAATAGGTTTTCGGTGCAGGTCTAGGTTATACTCGGAGAACCTTGGTTTTCGACAAGGGGAAGCTTGGTGGAGAACGCTTGACGACTATTCAAAGGATGGGTTTTCCGGATTCGTTTCAGTGGTGAAGCAAGGTGGTGTATTGTACAGTATTGTACTTGAGTTTAGGTATGAGATTGCTGCCTTGGGCTGAGTACTGAAGAAAAGATGAGTTCATACGAGTGTGCTTGCTCGCTCAGACGGTATACAGAGAGTAAATGTCTGTGACTTCCTGCAGGAAACAGAGAATAGTTATGTTAGACTGACAAGTATTCTTGAGGACAGAGATCTACATATTTGTCCAGGCAGTCGACTGAGACGTAGGCGTTGAGTGCGATCGGACTTGGCTTGGGCGGATCATGTGACGGCAAACGAAGTCAAGCCCATTCGGATAGTTACAGCTTGTGCCGCCACTAAATGCGAGGTAGATCTCAGACAACACAACCGGACCTTAATTCTGACATTGATCGACCATTCCCCATCCGGCAGCTAAAACATATACCGAAAAGTCGGCGACTTATCACCCATCGCGCGCAGCTCGTCCACCGTGTACTCCGGTCGCAGCGCGACCAATTTATCCACTCGTCGAGCATTAATCTGCTGATACGCCACTCGCATCCCGACCACGCAGATCACACCCATAAACGCAAACCCCAGCTCGAGGGAGTGGCCGAGGATGTATCGCGGCGCATCTTGCGTACGGTAGAAGTGGGATGCCATCGCTGAATAGATTAGTGACCCGAACTGAACGGTAGTTGTAGCGGTAACAGGGCCCTACCTCCGGCGAAGTTTCCAATGCCGATATACATGGCCATCCCTGCGGCGCGTTTATGGCTCGCAGCGAGATTCGTACTGAGCCAGGTGACCAGGCCTGGAATGGCTGGGTAGACGCCTTTGTGATGTTAATTCACCGCCACGGAAAAAGGAGAGCTGCCTACCGAGAACTGCAAGAAAGACTCCAAAGTAAATCACCCCCGGCACCCATGCCACAGACCCAGCTAGACAAACTAGGAATCCACAGACGATGCAGCAGAGGTGAAACAGGAGGAGTGGGGAGCGCTGACCCATGCGGTCGGAAAACCAGGCAGACACAACACTCGCGATAGCAGCAGCCACGTAAGGAGGGACCTAATCAGTCAGATCAACATTACATGTTGGGGCCTGATGTTCATTACCGTTAACAACTGAGCCACGGACGACGTAAATCCTAGATCTCTGATGATGGTGGGAAGAAAGAAGGAGATGCCGTACAATGGACACACCATGGCCAGGTAGACTGTGAAGATTAGCGGTGATCTTATCAAGGATCCAAACCATTTACCGAGAACCCCGAGATACACCTGCCAGTCGCAGACGGCATCCCAAACATACTTCCACCTGAACTCAACGGTATCTGGCACGACGTTCCCGTTGTCTGACCATTGCAGCTGCAGGCGATGCAAGACCCAGGCTCTCTCCTCGTCTGTGAGGAAGGAGGCGGTATCCGGGTAGTCATACAAAAGAAAATAGGCTCCGATAGCGACGACAACCGTAGCAATACCTTCAAGGATGAAGATCCAGCGCCAACCAGAATAGCCTCCCACGCCATCCATTTTCTGCACCTATTAGAGCCTAATCGAGAATCAGTGGATGGCTAACCTACCCCAATCGCGAACGCCAGAAGTCCCGAGAAAGCGCCCGCAAAGCTTGCGGCACTGAAGAACATCGCTTGACGCAGCTGGGCCTCATGACGGGAGTACCACATGGTGATATAGTAGGCTACCCCAGGGTATAGACCCGCCTCTACTCGACTGTTAACACGACAAAAGTCACCTCAATCAGATGACGTACCTGTAATCCCCAGAAACAGTCGTGCGATAAGGAGTCCGTAGTAGCTCGAGACGATGCCCGTCAAAGTCTGAATGGTCAGACAGTTTCGATCACAAAGCATGTGCACTAACCATGACTACTCCCCAGGCTACCATGATTGTTGGTATCCATATTGACGGACGAATCTTCTTCAAGATCAAATTGGACGGAAGCTCAAAGACAGTGTACGTAAAGAAAAACACCGTGACTGGAACGTCAGATCATGAAGAGCCACCAGATGCTTAAACACATACGAGCCCAGTTGTACTGTGTACCCTCTAAGTGAAGGTCGACCTCCATGCCCTCAATCCTGGCATTACCAATATTCCCTCGGTCAAGAAAGCAGAACAGATAAAGAAGGGTTAGCACTGGCATGAGGTGCAGGTCCATCTTGCGCAACAGCCTCTGCTCGCTGACTGGATCCCATTCTGTCTCTGATCTCTGCCTTTGAGCCCTATCGCGACATGTGGTCCTTGATCCCGGGAAGCTCAGGGGCTTCTGTTCCATGATCACAGCAGACTTAATACGGTCTGAACGGCGAAGAGAGTGGACGCGAGAGAGTAATGGTCCCACGGTGATCCAAGCTTTCATGGGGAACACCTAGCGGTCAGCGCGGTTGCTTGCTTGACGAGGTGCAACGTTCCTCACGCATTCTGCAAGGGATGGTGAGGAATGCGGGCGGCCGGTGGCTGTCATAACGATTATTTGCTGGCATCCGATGCCGCGGTGTCTGGCAGATTGACCCAGAAAAGTGGTTGGTGTCGAAGCTGTTGGGTATGCGCGTGCATGCTTGAGTTCGACGCGGAAGATGAATCTTGGATGATATAGAAGCGCGGACAGGGACCAAGCTTGGGCTATACTACGACCCCGGTTGTCAGCTAGCCGTGAATGGGTGCTGGCCGCCATTTGTTGACAGATACAAGAGACAGGCAATCATCATTCCAGCAACACATTCCTTTGTTGTTCTGCATCTAATAGCAGTTGTTCCTCCAACGCAATGCTTTGGTCGAACGATGGACAGGGGCGTATTCCAATCCGTGGCGGTGAAATCGCGATAATTGCAGCAGAAGGGAGGGAGGGATCGCCCTTGCAGATCACAGGCTGTGCATAAGTTGGGTGCAGCATAGACCATTAGTCATCATTTCTGTGCGGACACAAGAGACATGGCCTCGGAGACAGAGATTATCCGCGCCTTCTCTCGGTCGCTGCGATCGACACACCACACCACGGATCAGATGAACGACTACCTAGTCATATGCGCATTTCCAATGGAATGATGGGGTGACTTCGTTGCTAGGTTTGGTTCAGGAGGAACACATAGTTAAACGTTCTGTAATACTCTTTTCGCGGAGCAGGGCCTGATAAGAAGTCCGTAGTGTGTTTTTAGTACGCTGTGATCTCGCTGGACCTGGAAGCTACACAATTGAAGCAGCTGAAATCGCGTGCAAATGCAAGGCAGTCTCTTGACTTCAAAGGACATATCACAAATCACATGATGCACTAGACTGTAACTTATGCAGTACGTAGTCTGTTTCAGTATATTACCCATTTATGAGTGACGAGTTCTGGTGAGTGAGGTTCCTGCCTGAGACTTCAGGTGGAAAACGCATCTCCGGCAAGGCGTGACGAGGCGCCGAACCGCAGGCAACCAATCAACCGCCCCCTTCGCGATGAAACTTTTCCGTCTCCTCCGCTTCTTCTCAGCTGATGACAAGCAGTTACACTCAAGCTAAGGGACTCTCCCCCCCCCATCCACAGGCATCCACAACCACCCATAGGTCAGTCCCCTTGTCTTTCTCAGGATCTTTCCACTTTGCTTTTAACACCTAGTACTAATGAGGTACTGTGAATAATTCTTCAGAGGTTTGACCGCATTATACCCCCCTTTCTCTACCGATCACCCCGAGTTGCCCGAATTGGCACCACCAAAAAATCGATAAGATAAATATTCTGTGTGCCCCACATCCTCCCTCGGGTTGAATCCAACATGGAAGTATCTTCCCTTCCACAAAAATCTTCTAGCCGCCTCAGACTTCCCCCTCGCACCCTCACGATCAGACTGTCAACCACCGATTACCAATTGGATTTGCCCGATCTTTCCGATCATGACTGTCTAAAGTCGATCGGGACTTGATCGTGAACTCGAAGACCTTGGACATGCGCACCAAGAGGGGCCCTATCCCCGCTCTCACTGGGCCCTCTGGCCAACCAGCTGGGGCGTCTGATCGAGTTTCCCGGGCCAAAGTCCTGATCCCGCGAGATCGGTCCCGGATCGTACTATCTAGCTCCCGCATACGCACCTCACGTGCCTGCGATCCGTGTAGACAACGCAAAGCAAAGTGCAATGGTGGGAAGCCGACTTGTATCCAATGCGATGGCTTGGCTCTGGAATGCACCTATTCCGAACAAAAGCGCACCCTCGAGCAGAAGGAGCTCACCCTGCTGCGGAGCACCATCCGCCGCCATGAGCGCATGATCCAACTCATCTCCGCCCGCCCCACGAAGCAAGACGAGGAACCCGATGAGACGCCCACAGAGTCGTCCTCGACGACCGCTGGGGAGACGACGATGGAGGTAAGTCTGTAAAGATTCTGTGGCTTGACCTCGGTCGTCACTGACCATCGGGGGGTGTGCTGAACTAGTGAATTCACAGATAGTCCCAGCGGCTCCACAGCCTCAAGAGGGAGAGCCCCCATCCGTGGAGCTTCTTTACCCTGAAAGTTTAGACCAAGCCCTAGGAGTTCTTCAGGGGCAGCTCCGAGACCTGCATCAGATTTACCAGCTGATTCACGATTGCGATCCAGCGGCCTTGCCATCCGTGGTGGATACCATCCGCCGCAGCGCATCGGCCCATGAAGCCGCAATGCACCTGGACCAAAAGGTGTCAACGCAACGGCCCGGAGTCACCCTTGGCAGAGTACAGCGAGCATGGCTGAATCGACTCTCGGGCAAGGCGGAGCTGGTCTGTCGATATCCCCCGTATACAGTCACTGCGGCGGAGAAGTGGACCACCGTTGTTGACAGCTCGGTGGCCTCGCATCTATTCTCCCTCTTCTTCGTTTGGGACAATCCCACCTGGCAGTTGGTCGACCCGAGTGTGTTCCTTGCCGACTTCCAGTCGGGACGAACGCAGTTCTGCTCCTCACTGCTGGTGCACGTCATCCTTTTCTTTGCGTGTGTATGTATTGCTGCCCCTCGGTCAGCTTTTTCTGACCAACAAAGTAGCATTATTCGTATGACGTGGAAAAACCATGGGACAGGAGAGAGGAAATGGCCATTGCCAAGAGACTGTTTCGAGAGATCGGACGTCTCTGGCAGAGGGACAAGGACAACGTATGTTTAACCACTGTTCAAGCAAGCCTGATCCTAGGGCTCTTTCTCAACGCATCGGGGAAAGACAAGATTGGGACGCAGTACATCTACTATGGTGGCCATATGGCGTTGAAGCTGGGGTTACATCTATCTACGTCGGCAGTCTTCCACAGCGAGTCGATGACAAAAGCGCAGCGAAATCACTGGGCACACAAATTTATTGCCTGCGGCATCTACGATGTGCTATCGTCAGTCACTATTCTTGAGCCTGCGATTGCATGCACGGCGCTGACCTTGGACAGATTGACAATGCAGCTGTCACGCAAACCCTCGCCTTGGACGGCTCCTCCGAAGAACTTTCTTTCACTGGAAGAAGCCCTGCTTTCAGATGCCAATCAGCAATGGGCACCGTATCCATTCACTTTCCCCACCTTCAAGCCCTACGCGAGCACAGCCGTGTCTGCCCGCCGCGATCTCCTTATCCTTATCAACGATGTCTCGCACTTTGAGGCAGAGTTACCAAAACGAGTGGACCTTCCCAGTTGGCAAAGAGGCACACTGATCCATGAGAAATTACTCACATTTGAACGGACGTTGCCACTTGTACTGGGGATAGGGCGGAATAAGACTCCTCATAATCTTTGCCTTCAGTATGTGGCCCGTGCTCCCTGACTCTGCATGTCGCTGACCGCTACAGCCTTTACTATCACATGACCGTAGTCAACCTTTGCGGGCTTTTCAACTCCCGCGAGGCCACAACAACCAAGGATGTCATTATTGCTGCAACACAGTTCAACCCGCAGCAAGTTCTCGAAGACGCTATGGATGCGATGGCGACAATCATCTTAATGTACCGTGTATGCCACGGGTGGAAATCAATACCAGTAGTCATGGTGCACTACTTCTTTGTCATCGGGCTCCATTCTGCGACCAATCTGCGCTCCTCAAAATGGCGCGAAGTGCTAGTCAGCTGTGTGTCAGGCCTTTGGCACATGGGTCTGACATGGCGAATATGTCGACCGTTTTTGCGCACGATCCAGTTGGTGCTGAACGCTAGCGCTGACGCAGCGTTGATTCCCGCCGAGGCGCAGTCCATCCTGCGGGAATTCAACGAGAAACTCTGGACTCAAGAAGAGATCCAATCACTTGCCGCCAACTATGTGGTCCATCATCATCCGGCGCCGGAGGCTCGCCGAGGATCCGTCTTTCAAGGAGAAAGGCTGGAGGATCTGATTCGAGCTTTTGATCGACTCAACACGGTGGATGATCAGGTAAGCGTGGACGCCGCCTGATACAGTATACGACTCTTTCGGATCCGTCTCACTAAGTATACGAGCGGTCTATTTTTGATTTTTGGTTATTTTGTTTGCTTCATGTCAGACACGATGCATGATCATGAATGAGCGATGAGAATACACGACTCACGCCATCAACACATTTACTCGCGGAAAACGAATATCGATAGAACACGAAATCATACACGCCTTCAACATCTGGAGACATCTGCTGCCAGGCCATGGCCGGCAGGCTACAGCTCGTTGGGTGTCTGGCTGCCAGGGTAGATTGGCTGGCTGCTCCAGGACCCGCGCGCTGAGACAGTAGACCCCGTAGCCATTGCACGATTGGTGTTATTGTTGACTAACGATCTATCATAGTGATTCATTGGTTTCAGCGACTGTCAGTGACTACCAGCTCTTTTTCAGCTCGCCTCGTCCACTCCATCCAACTACCATCATATAACCTTCTAGGGCCCTTGGCGCCGATTTCCGAGAGTGCCAGATCGAGTGCAGCGGCTGTCACGCCGGAGTTACAGGTCAGGACCCACTGGGGAGCTTCGTTTGTGACCGGCAATCCTGCCTTTTCAAAGATGTCCTTCAGTTTAGAAGCTGGCAGGATCACCTTGGATGTCTCATCCAATAGCCTCGCGAGAGGCACATTGACCGCTCCAGGGATATGTCCCGACCGCAAGCTTGTATCCTCTTCACTTTGATTTCCACTAAACCGACCAGCGATTCTTGCATCCACAATCCTGCTCGTCTCGTTCCCCACTAGCCGCTTGACTTCCTCATACGATATTACTTTGTTAGGATCCGGTATCAACGGAACGGGATACACATCCCCCGGCTCTCTCGTAACGGCACCCTCGAGCCCGCCCGAGCTTACCGGGAACCCCAAGTCTGCGTACACGCGAAAATTGTTCAGAACATGCACCGCTCCGTGTCCGAAGAACGCGCACATCCACGCCACGCGCGGCGCGCTGTACGTTCCAATCTCGTATGTGTCGTAGATGACCAGTACGTCGGAGGGCCGGATGTCGAGGGCGGTCATGGCGGCGGCGAAGCCCTCGGCGGTGGGGAGCATGAGCGGGTAAGGGGAGGTGGCATCGCGGATGAGGGATTGATCGAAGAATCTGTATGCTGGGTTGGTATGGTGCTGTTCGCCTGGGATATTGAGTGTGCAGTGTGTTTTGTTCAGGGATACGAAGTAATCATGAATGGATGATGTAGCTCAGATACGAGGGCGCGGGGGTCTCATGTAGGGAACGATAGGAGTAGGTAAATTGGAGGTATGCCATCCTCTCTTTGGAACTCTGGAACAGCTGGTGGCTGTAGGTAGATCGTACTTGGAGCCAGGGAGATGCTGCGCTTCAAACGCCGGACGAAGCGTCGGACGCCCCGCTGCCAGGGGGACGATCCTTCTTGTGCTTGTGCTCGGAGGCTGGTTGGCGACTACATTATGATATTCCGTAGGCGTGATGAGGTAGGTAGGAAAGGGGTCTGTCATCTTCAGGACGGGTTCTGTTGGAGGGAAGTGGTACGCTGGGAAGATTTTCAGGGATTCGCGGAGTAGTTAGAGCTCACTCGTCGGAGGTTGAGGCCGGAGCGACGGACTGAACCAGTCTGGACCATTTGCATTGGGGGATTGTGTGTGGTGATGAGTCATTATGTGCTTGGCATAACTTTGCACCAACCAAGTTGGTTTGGTCAATCACTTGTACGAGCTTCACTACAGAGTACCTAGTACTGTGACTAGGTACCTAGATACCTACCTACACTCGACAGTGAATTTGTTTTGTCTTTGTTCTGTGATTTGATGCATCTCTCTTACTCAGGCGTGTTTCGATTTTAATGCAGGGTTAAGACTTGATTAATATTGCGAATGTCACAGGAGATGTATTCCCTTGAGAAACTTAAACTTAAATCGCGGTGGATAATGTATATTTCCGTTGCAGTGTAATGAAGTAGGTATGCTTTAGCAAATCAATTGAAGCAGATTGGAAGATTCAATGATACACAATTTTCACTCTTTTCTGCTCACAGACAATAAGATTTATTCTCAGACTTAAGCTGCATTTACTATCTTGAATATCGGCTGTCAGAAAATCGATGCTGTGGTGAATAGGATCGGCTGGTTTTCCAGCTACAGCTTCAGTCTAGTATAAATACATCCGGCCAACCAGCTTCTTTTCGCTTTCTCTTCCTTCCACCCTCATTCTCTCTTTCAATCTCTCGTTCGTCATTAAGGTCACTGTCAAGCAATACCAAGTTCTTGGGTTTTTCAATTCTTGCCTGTTGAACCCGAACGTGCTCGTTCCACTTATTCAGAAGGATTACGTTTGTGTCGTCGACCAGGTAGGTATCACTCATCGACGAGTCGGAATTGCGAGTTGAGACGGCCTTCGTTTGGTTGCTTAGTAGGTAGACGTCTGAAAATGTGGTTTGTGCAAAGGTAAGATCCATTTGAGTTTGACCTGAGGGGCTCTCTGTCAGGTTGGTGATTTTCAAAGGTGGTATTCAACATAGCAGCAATTCCCTTCATTGATTCTTGCTTGAATATTCGAGGACGCCACACTGTCCTCATCTGCGGGTAATATCACTCGTCAATATCAAATGACAACAGGGTGGAGGAGACTACTCGTCGTCTGCAGAGATCCCCAAACGAGATAGTGGATATGGTAAGTCCGTATTTGCTGGAAAGACAGCCTGTACTGATGTCCACCGAGATCATTGTATACATTCTCGAGGACACTGAGAGGATGTATAGATCTTCACCTTGGCTGCTAGAGATTGGGATTAATAGCACTACGCGCAAGACACTTGGCGTGTTGCGTCTCCTTAACAAGTTCACTGACGCTCGCGTTGCGCCTCTGATTTTTTTTTGGCCATTTCCGGGTCAAAGAACTGATACGCCTACTTGAAAAAAGACTGCAGGCCTACGACTCTCGCAGTTTTGTTCGACGAGTCGACATTACATTTATAGTGGGCTCTTTCAGCACCCTGCTCTCATGTCTCAGGGAGCTGCCTAACCTCAAAGCTATCAGCATCAAACCCGAATCTGGCAAGACTCTTTCAGCCACAACTCTCCTCGAGATATGTAAGACAATCATGCGTATCTTGAGTGAGGTGTTACTGCCGCATCTGCGTGAGCTTCGCTTCGAATTTCCCCCATCAAAAACCGCCTGGACTTTTCCCCCTCCCCGCTCCTCACAAATTACGCGACGGCAGGACAAACCTTGTCGGAGCTCACCAACCTCGACTTGTCAGTCCATACGTACCACCTCCAGACCATCAACTTGCCAGATGGAACCCCGTTCTCCAACCGCAGCATCGCAGCCTGGCTCTTCTGGATCGTCCGCACTGCCCGCAATCTCACGTGCTTGTCACTCAGATGCGTCGATATCACTTTAGAGGTTGACTGGTTGGAATGCCTCGATGAGATCAGCCATCTCAAAGTGCTCCGGTTGCAAGGATTGCGCATGCCGTAAACGACGCTCACGGCGCTGACTGACCCCATTTTGCACTCATTCGAGACAACAGAATTGACAGCCATAGCCCTGCACATTTCCTCCTGGGAGGAGCTTCTGTGGTGGTCGGTCCGGCTTCCCAGAATCATATGGTTCAAGCCGATTGCTTGCCCTTATTCCTCCCCTCAGAGGAGCAAGCGGCTATCTGGGTCAACATGCGTTGCCACCGCATAGTCAAGGGGAGGGAGAGAAAAGATTTGATTCTGCGCTTGATGCCCTGGTGTGTCGGATAAAAGCACACCGGCTGACTTTGGGGATGGCACCGTTTCGTAAGGAGGATACTTGGTAGACTTGGATAGAGGTAGATTATAGCTATCATGCTTGGTGCTGAGGTGGTGTTTTGGTTACTGTGCTGAGTTGCTATCTGTGAAATTGCTGTGTTGTATATTGATGATTCTGGAATAACAAACCAATTCTAGGTGAGAAAGGAGATAAATGGTAATGTGAAGACCGAACTCATTTGCTGGTCACTTGGCCGCAGCTCCTTCTTCCCTCCACAATCACCCATGAGCAACATTCACTAAGCATTCACTAAACATTCACTCGACAAGCTGAACTTGGCTATGAGAACTGGTGCTAGTGATTGTGCGCCCACACCTGTCTTTATAAAACATCTCACTCGATCCCTCCTCCACTGCTCTTCTTGTTTCTTCCATCCTTCTGGTCACCGCACTTGGCCCAGGATGTTTCCCACTCGCGCATCTCTCGCTCGAAAGGTGTCATCACGCCGACGTAAATTGCAGTCGACGCCAGATCAAGATAATGAGGTTCCTACTGGTATCACCAACTCACGGATTACGATAATGGATCTCCCCCCTGAGATAAAAGCTATGGTGAGGTTTCTAACCGAGCTGTCATGACTGCCGAACTAACAAATCCTGACAGATCGTGTTCTGTCTCGCGATCCCACCTCCCGAAACCCACCAGGAATCCAAGCTGGACGGGAAATCTCCGCATTTTGACAAGCATCGATACGACGTAATGCCTGATATAATAAGCCTGCGACTGGTCAACAAAACCTTCTCCATGCTTGCGGCAAAACATCTATTTAAATACATCCATGTACAAGCGGCGTGTGTGGTGACAACCTCAATCTACAAGCTCTGGGCTCTCAGCCAAAGTCAATACGCGGGCTGTGTTCGACACTTGTCAATCGATATGAGCCATTACTGTGATGCAGCCAAAGGGTCGGTCAAACAAGGCCTAGAACAAGTCTTTCGTACGAGTTTGCCCCGTTTGTCTGGTCTCGAGACTATACAGTGTCATTTCACGAGTATGCGCATGTGTTGTCAACTGTACCAACACAAGCTACTCCGCCAGGTGTTCACCAGTGAAGATCATACCAGGCTGAAGAACATACACATCTCATTTCATGGGGTGCCCAACTACAGCAAGAAGAGTATCCAAGATGACATGCTACCCAGTGGCTCAGGAGAGCAGGTCGTGCAGCTCCTGAAAGATATCCGCTGTCTCGACCTTCGTCAATATGATTTTGGCGGTCGCGATATTCAGAATCCGTCACCCGCTGGCGACTTCGCGGCCTGGCTTTTGGGAGTTGTTGAGAATAACATGGATCAGGATTTCAATTGGTCACAATTACCAGGCTCATCGTTCCCTGCCACCACCATGCCAAAGACTTGCAGACTTGCGTTGGAGACTCTCGTGCTTGATGGCATTCCCTTGCAGTACTCGGCACTCATGTGTCTTTTGACACTGGCAAGGCGGTCATTACGACGGGTTGAGTTGAGAAGTGTTGCCCTTCAATCCGGAGACTGGTGTAGTGTTCTATCTGTGATGGGCTCGCTACCACACCTGACATACTTCCGATTCATTCGCTTAAGAGGACTTGCAACCCCCGGGAGCACTCTGATTCCCCCACGTCAACTTTCTGGGCCCTCGAGTGTTGAAGAGTCAGATGGTGATGATTCTGATGATTATGAATCTTGGGATGATGAGGTCGACGATGAAGATAGAGGCGATGAGGGTTCTGATGATGGGGGATTTTCAGACCTAAACTATGAGTATTTGGATTCTGAAGATCTAGATTGGTGGGACGAAGACGCTTCGGATCAGGGATCGGAAGACGATGTGTCCAATGATGAAGATGATGAAGAGTCCGACGATGATGGGTCTAACGGGAGTGATGCGGATGTTTTCCATGCCATCTGCCTGGAAGTCGTATGCTGGAGAAACGATAATTATTTTGACCGACTTGCCGAGTTGAAACCCATCGTCCAATCTTTGGTGCACCGTGTCAACGAGAACAGAAGCGCCAATGGGATGTGTCCTCTGATGGAAGCGTATCATACTACGAACAAACTAGCTTAAGGCTTGGTTGAGAACAGGTATCCGCTTAAGATCTCTGGGGAAGACGCGGTGGAGTCGTGAACAAGATGTACGGTGTCTCAAGGATATTCGGTGTAAGTGAATCGCAAACTAGTGGCTGTAAACAACATTCGGACTGGTGGAATTGTTGACCTTAGGAATATCTCGCTTTCTATGGAGTACATGCTATATCTTAGATCAACTCAAGCTAGCTATTTGTATAAGATCTAAGCACTCTGTGCACTGTCTCCCTGAATGTCCTCCGAGTTGGAAAGTTATGAGGTGTCACGAGATGTTTTCCGTCCCTTGCATTTCTCGCGCTCCTGTTCATAACCATCACTTCCCATCCTCAACACGATCTGCATTTGACCTTCTAAGATACCTGAAACGAGGGAAATTGCTATCTCATATCTTTACTTTCAGAATGACGAGCCTCTATGTCGAAGACAGATCAGGTCATGATGTTGACAGGTAAGGACTTCACGGACTTCATCTGAGACGACTGCATGTCTTTTAGACCATGCAGCTGACGAGATAGTCATTGATCTAGAATCAAGCAATTTCACCCTGCTACGTTAGACTCCTTACATTGATCCGACTGCGATCGACCATTGAACCAGCCAGATCGTGGAGGAACACTATAAGGCGGGCTGACCAAGGTCGAGCTGATCGGACGTGAGTGCCAAGCACACAGGTTGAGGTTCTGAGCGCTTCTCTAACCCAGTGTACCTTTTTCGTGTCCATCCGGATTTCGGCTCATGATGCATGTTCTTCTCTATGCACCTTAAGCTCGAAGTGAGCATGTTTACAGCCTTATGTCATGGACCCGACTTACCGACGATCGTTATCCCTTAAGAGAACGCCCAGAGGCCGGCAGGACTTGGCGAGGCCGAACGCTCCACCAATCTGTCGGGAACAAGCTTCATCTGTGCGGTGACATCGCGACCGGCGACAACACCACAAACACCCCTTCTGTATCGTCGTGCGCACGACGGATGCGTTGTCAGCTAACCTACTTAGCCAAATAGTTATGGCTTGGGAGCTAAATTTATCGCTCCGCAGCTCTGCAGCGATTTACGTCCCCCCCCGACGAGGTAAATTCTTGCCGGGGCGACCCTTAAAGCCGTAGCGCGGCTCGGATTGGCCGGATGGCTCCACTGGGCCCTGTCGCATTGTCAAGGATGTCCGGCAGATCGGTGACGTACACGGATGGGGCTCCCATGACTGCATCTCGGTTTTGCCTGGAGATACTGTGGTACCTGACAATGATGTAATGGGAGAGAGACCCTGTGCTACTCTGTTTTCCTGATGATCGTGGGCCAAAAAAAGACTATATAGGTCTTTGTTCGCCCGCTCAACTAACTGTACAGCAGCGACCATCCCGCCAATATCATAACCAGCCCTACCGGGCCTCAATTTTGTCCATCATGAAGTCCTTCGTCACGGTCCTCGCGCTCAGCGCCCTTGCCACAACCTCAACTGGCATCGCCTTCAATCCGCTCCACCATTTGGCCGGAATCACACCGTACTATGCGCCTCAGGACCCTCCCATTGACCCCAAGCCACACCCTGGGTGCAATGTGACCCGCGCTGCATACCTCGTGCGCCATGCCGCCATCTACGCCAACGACTTTGATTACGAGTCGTACATTGAGCCGTTCGTCGAGAAGCTGCGCAACACCACGCAAGACTGGAACTCAACCGGCGCGCTCTCCTTCCTCAGGAACTGGAGCGCGCCCATCGACGACGAGCATCTCGAGAAGTTGACTCGTGTCGGTCTGCAGGAAGCAACCACTCTGGGTGTCAAGCTGCACCAGCACTACCCAACGCTTCGCGCAGCTAAGGTGTGGGCCTCCACTGCCGAACGCACTGTCAAGTCCGCCGAGGGATTCATCAACGGCTACACCAACAACCAGTCCTCCGCTATTGGTCTCGTCCAAGTGGCCGAGTCCAAGTCGACGGGCGCTGACTCTTTGACCCCATACAAGGCGTGCCCGGCCTACAGCTCCAGCTACGGCAGCGACCAGTCATCGGTTCGTCCCGCCTTTCCAAACAACATTTTCAAATAGAGCCATAGTCTAACAATCGCAGGAATTCATCGAGCACTACACCCGCCCCATCACCGCGCGCCTCGATGCCCTGGCTCCGAAATTCAACTTCACTTCCGACGACGTGACCGCCATGTTCGAGCTGTGCGGCTACGAGACCGTGATCCGAGGCTTCTCGCCCTTTTGCTCGCTGTCGCTCTTCACCTCGGCCGAGTGGCTCTCCTTTGAGTACGCCAACGACATCATGTACTTCTACAACACGGGCTACGGCCGTCCGCTGAGCCCGCACATCGGCCTCCCCTGGGCGCAGGCCAGCTGGGAGATGGTCTCTGGCAACACCAACGCCAGCGACACGCTATACGTATCATTTACGCACCGCGAGCTCCCGCCCACGGTCGTCACGGCTCTGGGCCTGTTCAACAACAGCGCCTTCACCGGCGCCGACAACATCAACACCACCATGCCGCTCGATCAGGTCAACTACAACCGTGCCTGGAAAAGCAGCCACATCCTTCCGTTCTTGGGCAATATCGCCATTGAGCGGCTGGAGTGTGATGTGCCGGGCTTCGAGGACCCGGAGTACTACCGGGTTTTGGTCAATTCAGCCCCGCAGCCATTGGTCGGCTGTCGCGATGGACCTGGGGAGAGCTGCTCCCGGGAGGGATTTAGCAAGTTTCTGAAGGAGAGGGAAGAACTGTATGGTGATTTTGGTGGGGCGTGTGGTAATGATTCTGCTGTGGAGACTTTGAACATTTATAACTAGTGTATATTGGGCTGTGGATAAGAGGTTGGATTAATGCTGCGGAAGATAGACATATGATTAATGATGATGTACTGTAATATACAAGTTCTTCTTTCATAATAACCACAAGCAAGGTTCATTGGGATACACTGCTTAACTTCGACAGACGATTTATGTCAAGCCTTCAGGATTATACACTGTAACCAGTTCAATTGAACGACGAGAGAACGTGGCTCTAAGATTCGAAAATATCGTCACTCTCGTGGGCTGACGAATTCGACCTATGCTGAATGAAGAGGCTTTAGTCTCAATATAACAACACTGGCCGAAACAGCAGCAAATGCGATACCTTTTTATTACTGTGGTCCTAATACAGCGCATTCTCTCCACCACCTCCGAAATAACTCTGCGCCAGCAGTCTAACGAGCCTATGTCTGTGCAGCCAAGCCAACGGTAATGGTTGAAGCTTTTGGGGCTGTGTACGGTCTGTGAAGAGGACATTGCGCCCTCAACCTAAGTCCCTTGACTCACACTTGCGCTCCTTCGCCTTCTCTCAACTGAGCGCAACAACGCAATGATATCCAGACCTGCACCTTCCCTATAATTGGCATGATCGGGTGCTGGTTTTATCAAAAACTTCGATGCGCTACGTATCTTTCTCTTCTGTACCCACTCCTCGAATCAAAGCGCAATCCGTTCGGTTCTTCTGAAATCCGTGTCTTTGCATCACGTACCACAATGAGCCCCATAAACCCAGCCATGACGGCGGGCATTGGGCCCGAAAACATGTACCCAACATCAACTGTGATCGCAGTTGGGTTTCATCTGAACTCATATCAACTTATCATCAACAACAATAATGCCGTGCCATGAGCCATCTCTGAGCTACTAGTATATAAAGACTGTGTTATATATTGAGAAATTATGAGCCCGGAGCCTCTTAGGCTCTTTGGGATAAGCCTCTTCGTATGTCTTTCTTTCTTACTTTTGGTAGTCATTTTGGAGCTATTCGCACGTGTTAAGATGCCAGGCCGGAGTGGTGGGAGAGGTGTTTGAACCTCCAGCGTGGTGGAATACTTTGGAAGCCAACCGCTGAAGTGATGGAAAAGGATATTTGAACTATCGGAGTGGTGGAACTCAACCGCGGGAGTGGTAGAAAAGACCTCTTGGACAGGTAAGTTACCGAGTTGGTGGAAAAGACCTTTGAACCACCGGGTTGTGGAAGAAGGCATGTTTGGCCACCAAGTTGGTGAGCAACTGAGTTGGTGGGAAGTTTGGGTATCCGAGTTGATACACCGTGTATATTTAGTTATTCGAAAATCGCTTTAGCTTCACCGTGACAAGATTAGGGGGACTGTCGGCGTAGCGATAATCCGCCCAGGTGATTTCAATCGTAATCATCCCAACCATTTCAGTAGTCTAATTCTTCCACCATAACCACCGTCATAGAACATAGAAATTAACAACGCGTTCGATGAGTCACCCGTGAGCCATGTAAAAAGGCGTCATATCTCGACAATGATTATTCTACACTTACTGACCTCGTATCAACAGCTCTACAACTCCCCAGCCTAATCCCATTTCCATTGCAAGCCACTCGATCTCGAGAAGATGACCAATGCCGCTCCCACCACCACAGTCCCTTTAACAGCTTTCCACATACACTCCCTCAAATTCAACTGCATACACGCCTCGTGCCGCGCCAGCATATCCGCCTTCGTATTACTTCTCGGCATCGGCACCTCGGGAACCGGCTGACCCAAGAACTTGCACAATGGTTCCCACCCTTCCGTCACATGGTACAGCAACAGCCGATCCTTGGGCACCAGAGCCTGGATCTTGGCCACGTGGTTACGGTAAGTCTCCCGGGCATCATTGCGGATATCAGGTCCATAGAAACATTCCCCTGCTTTGAAGAAGGTCTCGGGCACGAGGCGGAAGCGGGAACGGAAAATGGTGTTGAGTGTGATGACGAGGGGGACAAATATGTATGTGTTGATGGGAGTGTCGATTGAAGTGACGAGGGTCATCATTGATCTGTTTCCTGTCAGGAGTCTGTCCAATTTGTTAGGGCGAGATGGGGAAGGGCACCCACTCATACCACTCATCGACATCTCGGACAGTCACGATGACTTTTGCATCGGGGTACGCTTCGATGAGGTCTTCTGCAAAACAAATGGCCGGGAGATCGGAGACGGCCTGTACTGTGGATGAGCATGATTCGCGGTTGCTTTTGGACATCATCCTCTAAAGTCATGCTGACCAGAGACCATTGCACGATGAGCAAAACTGACCTGACAATGCCCCAGCAGCCGATCCCACTCCTCCCGCCCAAAGCGCTCTCCCAGTCCATCATACTTCGCCCGTAGGGCCTTCTGCCACATCTCGCAGTCGCGCGGGTTTGATATCATAGCTTGGTACCCGTGGTATGCCTCGTAGTAGCCAAGGATGCGAAGTGCATCCATCATCGCTGAATGTTTATGTCAGTAGTTGAATCCGAGATTCTGGAAGCGACTCTTCAGCTTGAGGCTGAAGCCGAGACACTAGAAACGACTAGTCTAGCTCAAGGTTTTCCATGGAAGAACTCTTACACTCAGATCCCGTTCGCGTCAAGCCCAAGGAAAGCACCCGCAACGGCACGATGCGCGAACATTCCTCGCGGTCGATGTCGGTGACATGGAAGACGCGGTTGCCAGCTTTGATGGTTGGCATTGTGAGTTGTTGCTGCTGGAGACCTGTGGATATGCTGCTGAAAATACCACAAGATGATGCTGAGATACCGCCAGGTAATGCTGGGAGACCACTGATGATCACGTGCGGTGGGCTTGTTTGTGTCACGATAGCGGCCTGGAGTTGTTGGGCTGACGGTTGCGTTACGTGGTGTTGCTGCCTTTGTGTGAGCGGGATACTCTTGGGCTCCCGCTGAGAAGATCCTAGGAAGCAAATGGTATGTGTCTTGCGGTTTTCTTGTCAGCTTGAGAACGCTCATGGAGGCGGTAGTTTAGATGGCCGCGAGCGGCGCAGGTGGATAGACGCGTTTGTTTTGCTGATCGCGGGGAGATCCCGAGATGTGACCAGTCATCGGTGAAGTCGCCGCCTGGTAGAAGAAGTAGGTAGGCTCATCACTTGCTGCTCACAGTCTGGTATAATCTCAACATCAGTATAGGGTGAATGATGTAGCTGTTCAAAGAATGTGCATGGAGTGCTGAGAAGGGAATAAGTATTACTCACCTTGTCATTCGACTAGCCGTTGAATATCTCACAAAATTCATTTTCGAGACTTCTCAAGAAGGCTTTTTGACGACAGCAGAGAAATTGGTCGCGTCAAGGGCGTCAATTAAAATCCCCGCATTCTTGCTGTTGGTCATGCAGCTATGGTCACGTGAGATGCTTCTCTAAAGGGTAGGTGTCTACAGAGTCCAGCAGTATAGCAAAGGTACTGCCATGGAATCTCACCTGTCCCTCAATCATGTCGCCTACTTTCTCACTTGAGTCATCCTGCTTGTCGCCTAGTCACGCATCATTCCTCGGACGATGGTAATATACATCCGAGGGCATACAATTCATGTTTTCCGAACAGGCCCCCAACGCCCAAAAGTGACAACTAACTATACCTACTCCTCCTTGAGAGCACATGGCATTATCGTACAGCGTCATATTGCACATCGACCAGTCATTACGCCAATCACCCCAGAAAGATCTTACTCATCTGCACATCATTCCCCTCCTCATTGAAAGCCGTATCCATTTGATACACCTTGCGATTGAACAGCAGCACCCGCGATGGATGCCACACCGCCATAAACACCATTCCCAACCACATCGGCAGCGCATCAAAGACATATGCGAACGCCTCATGCCGTCCAAGATACCCATCTCTCTCCGTGGCCCCGGCGCTCGCGTACTCGACCAGCCGGTCGACCGAGCGCACCAGGATCATCGCGCTGGCGACGTACAGAGCCAGCAGCGTGGTTTCCCAGGTGGCGTGAAACCAGCCGTCGGTGGCAATGCACGAGGAGATGGATTTGCCGCTCGGGCTGCGGTGGATGCGGTAGTGGAAGGCGGCAGCGACAATGAAGAACACGGAGAAGAAGATGAGTTGGATGACGAGGCCGGCGATGATGACGTTTTGGCCGGTTGTGCGGGCGGATGGGTCGGTCGTTGTGTGGGTCATAATTACGCCGCCTTCATTTGGTTTGCTGGTGAGATTGTAGGATGCTAGGTGAGGAAAGGGCGTGCTCACCTGCTCCCTGGATGAGGAAGGATACTATGTCTCCCGCGACGAAAATCACGGTAAGCCAGCGCGTCGGGACGATGCTGAGATCTTCTTTGTCGAGGTAGAAAATCATCCGGCTGAGGGCCATGTACAAAGTGGATGCGTAGAGAGGAGGCGCTAGGAGAATAAAGAGTGTATGGATGGTGAAGATGGTGACGTTGCTTGTGTTGTTGTGCGCTTCAGCGCGCGCGATATACCCGATGATTTCGACTGGTTACATCTCCCAGTTAGTGAAACGGTCTCTAATGCTGCGCCGCTGAGAACTCACAGATTCCACCGAGTATGAAGCAGATGAAGTACCAGGCGTGCGCTCGAGCTAATTGGTAGACATGACAGGCGGTTGTTGCTAGGAAGAGCAGGACGAAGATGGCGGCAGCGGCAACGGAGGGGTTGTAGTCGTAGAGCTCGTAGGAGCTATCTTCTCTCGATAAAATCATGCTCTCATAAGTTGCCTATCTGTTTGGATCTTTGACGCCTTCACAGTGTTGGCAGGGCAATTGGCCTCGAAATTTGGTCAGGGCGACGCGCGGGTTTGGTGTGGAGAGCGCCATATTTACACCAAGAAGCAGCAGCATGTTGACGCTCCAAGAAGCCTACTCTGCCTTACAGGCTAAGCTGTGTGTCGCATCATGAAACATGAATTGGTGGTGCTTGGTGTTGGTCTGACTCAAATCTGGGCTTCTTTAGGCACTTAGCCCCCACACTGACGGGCAGACCCCAATTTCATCCTTCAAATGGGGGCCAATTCGGGTATGTCATTGGTGATGGCCCTGAGAGCTGAAGAAGGTGCATAATGGGCCAGCAAATGATGAGGCTCTTGAACAGGGGCTCGGTCGCGAACAGTATTCAGCCCGTAGGGGCCTGAGAATCAGGGTCAATTCACTGAGTTGCGCACTGTAGTTGGATCAGCGACCATCGCAAGATCAGTAATCTCGTCGTACTACTGCTGTGGCTGTGAGTTTGGTTGGTCATCTCGGGCCTGTCTTAATCCTGAAATGAGGTGTGGGAACGACGTATGTAAATGGTGAGGCGATGTATGCATTGAGTTTAGTAAGACATGAAAGGGCTGCTACTACTGAGTCTATCTATTGACACGAATCTGGCCGCCGGCTTGCGGGAGTCCATTGACGTTTCTGCAGCGCAGGCACTGCAGGTTAAGTTTTACAATACAAACGCAACAAAACTCAAACACAAACCCATCAAAAAACAGGATCTCAATAAAAAGAAAAAAATATCGATAGTCCTAAGCCCCCCCAAAAAAGTTCCGGTTTATTATTGCTCATGTCTGGGAGCTACAAAGATTGTTATTGCTTCTATAGCAGTTGATTACTTTCCTTGCTCTTGCTACTGTAGTTGTACATTGCCGTGCTTTCGGGCAAAGCATTGCTCAAATCGTCTTTCTATATCAAATGAATACCTTATATCTTTCCCCTGTTTGATCTTACTTCTGTAATAGCGCCGAGGCTGAGCCTAGTACCGAATTGGGATAGCCTGGACTGAGGTGGTCTCTGAGTTGCAGAGGCTACTTCCTTTCCCCGCACAGTCCCCGACACTCCTCACCTTCATTTTAACTCCAACTTCGACACCTACACTCAATCACGATGAAACCACGTTGTGGAACGACGCGCCGTCCAGGATCAACAAGGTCAAGAACGGGCTGTCGTACTTGCCGGTATGTAACTTCAGTTCGTACCTATCCACTGTCTGAGGGACTAGACAAACATTCAACAGAGCTCGACGCATCAAGTGTGACGAAACCCCACAGTACTGCCGCAATTACACATCGACCGGTCGAATATGCGATGGATATGATTCTTATTGGGAGATATCCGTTTCAAATAGGAAAAAAAAGCCCCGCAATCGTCAGCGATACCCGTTGGTCGTCGCCAACCCGATCGCAGACATAGTGTCGTGGACCCCTACATCCGACGAGCGCCGCTGCTTCACCTTTGTTCAAGCCCGAACCATCCCTGATGCACTCAGCTTGTTTGACTCCACGCTCTGGCAGCAGTCTCTGATGCAGATGGTGCCTCGGGAGCCCGCTGTCTGGCATACAGTCGTTGCCCTGGGCGCCCTGCACTAGCAGGTGGAGGCCGGGAGTGTGATCGGCCGCACCCCGATTTTTTGGTACTGTATGGCAGTCGCCCAGTCGGCACGCTCGTTTGCCTGTCTGCGAAGACGCAACCCTCACGATTCACAGGTTCGTGACGTGATGCTACTTTGCTGCCTGCTGTTCACTGTGGTGGCCATCATCTGGCAAGAGTACGCCGCTGCACTGCAGCATTTACGGGCTGGTCTATGTATACTCCGCGAGACCGAGCCGTCGTCGCAGCGTCTCACGGCAGGGAGATGGATCGCCGCATTTCGACACCTTGACACGCAGTGTGCAATGGACGGCTCGTTCCTGTGGTTCTGGGATGAAGACGAAGCAGACACGATCATCCACCCGGTTGTTGATCCGTGGTGGAAGCAACAACGGTCGGATTGCCAGCTACTCGTGCCAAACGACGATCCTCTTTACTCAGTTCGCCAGACCCTTGAGCCTCTCTTCAATCGTCCTCACAAATTCGTGCGGCGCTGCTGGCATGTGTCGACGACCGACATGCAATCCGCCCTCACTGTGCTGTCAGCGGAGCGGCTCGCGATCGCCGCGCAGTTGCAGCCTGCAAAGCAGCTCTTGCAGGAACTTCGTCGCCGCAACGACCTGATAACAAAGTCTTGACACGGAGCCGAACTTACCGAGCTCGTGGTGGCAGCCGTCTCGCTCGTTATCCACACCAATATGGTTCACAGCGATCCAGTGCAATTGCGGCGTTTTACCCCCCAGTACCGCCAGCTACTGCGCGGAATTCAGCGGTTTATCGCGGGCTTTCACACGCGTCCCACGATGACCGTTGATCTGGGTGTCATCCCTATGCTCTTTGCCGTGGGTGACGGCTGCCAAGATGTGCAGGTGAAATGGGAGGCGCTCCAGGCGCTGCGTGACTGGCCGCACCAGGAGGGGCCGTTTCATTCGCGGGTAGTTGCAGCGATACTGGAGGACCGGTTGGGCTTGGAGCTGAAGGCCTGCTTGCGCTGCAATATGAGGCAGGTCCGAGAGCCTAGAAACGATCTCGCCAGCTTAAGGATTGCCTAGACGGATCTGACCGGCAAGAGCAGCTGAGGGAGAAAGCGGCCAGCACTGGCCCTCGCTCTGCAGTCCATGTACGGGAACAGGAGGAGCACGTGGCGGGGCTCTGGGTACAGGTAAGTCGTTCCAGGGACCACTGGGGCTTGAAAGAAGGGTTAAAGACATTAGGGCATCGCGTCTTGCAACTGACGACCAAGCTCTACGGGGTGCTTCGACTGGATCAAAGCATTTTGGTTGCTCGGTGAAGAGTAAGGTCCTGGTGTAAGGGCACGAATCATGCTACACAGCTCTATCGGCACTGTCGCGCTTTTAGGCTGGCCACCACGCCCATATTTGGGAAATTGTCGGCCGGCTGATCTGAAGTCTGAATCCTAAAGTTCTGTCTGGTAGTAGGGCTGGAAGCGCAGATGGAGGCCACCCTGAGCCCCAGCACCTGCCAACGGGCATGAGTGCCCCTTCTTCAGAACGATCTTTTAGAGGGGGCTCGAAGGCAACAGAATGTTAGCCACCGTGCTTACTCTTGAAAGTGTATCAGAGCGATCGGTCAATCCACTTTCTCCACACATTCTACAACCTTTTCCTTGCTCAGATGCACAACTCTACGACATTGGCTTTGCTGCTGCATAATAATAGCAGTGACCGCAAGCAGGCATAACAAAGCCAGTTGGACAGTGAGCATAAATCCGCAACTACGATGTTCGAGCGCACTAAGTCTGACTACTCCGCTGTCGGAATTCAATATCAGTCAGGCTGCTACTGCTACTGCGATTGAACATAGCGCAAGTGTCTCACCGAGCATTACACCACGACGCCGACATAAAGCATTGTCGCCAGCACCAGAGCCTTTCATTGGCAACGTCTTGAAGTAGGTATTGTTATATGTAATATCCAGATGGTGAAATGCTGCCCTGCATGCCACATACCCAAAGAAGAAGGAGCGCCTTCTCTGGTACCGAGCAACCGAACGGTACTTCGTCATTCTTCGTATTATGTACATGCACGCTCAAGATGATGATGGCGCCGGACGTGAAGTATATGCTCGAGAATGGGGATGTTCTCAGCTTGTATGGTCCGGCATTTTACGTCGAGCAAAGGATGCGAGTATTGCCACTGGCTGCTACATGGATTTTTCCTATTGACCTAACATTTCACTAACGCAGATCAATCGCCTCCGAGAATCTCGTCGCAAGCCATCGACTGATTGACTGATTTTTTACAGTCTGTTTTAGCCCCCTTGATGTCTGTGGGAACACGCAGGGTTCCACGCAGGCTTCTATATACAGGCGGTATCATCCACATATGTAAGCTCCATCGATCTGTGATTCCACACTGGCCATCGCAAAATGTCACAGAGAAATTCATAGTATCAACATCTGAGCAGTGCATCTACTGTGAAGCAGTCGCTCAACGCGGCGTTCTTTGATACTTTTCCATCGCGATGTTCTGGAGTAAGGTAGTATTTCCTCTTCGTACCCTTCCAGCGGATATTCAATCTCAACCAGCATTACACATGATGTAATCCTCGACCAAAAGACACTTGAATCATGCTCTTTCAAAGCAAAGGAGAGCCCTCCCCCCTATAATGAGACGACATCTCAATCCTTGAATCCATAGGTTCGGTTTCCCAGCCCGCTGCGGATATCCACCGCTTCCGAATTTCCCCACACCATTAGAGTACTATAAACATTTGCCAGCCGAGCCGTACTCCTCATCCATGATTCCATAATTTTCTGCTCTATAAGGCATCGGTATCAGGGATCACTTGGACTATATCTATCTTCAGCGACAATCTAGAATGAATCAGTCATCAACAATCCCACGCACAATCACAGTTAGAATGTCCCCTACAACAAACAAACAATGGATTATCCGCATGTCCGGAAACACCTTCGACAGCCTGAAGAGAACCGAGAACCCAATCCCAAGCGTCGGAGAGTATGATGTGCTCATTAAGATCGAGGCTTTTTCACTTAATTACCGCGATGCAAGTATATCTATAGTCTGTATTCTTACTCTTCTTTCTACTCTACTCTCTATTTCCTATTCTATTACCGGTAAAACTGCATATTAGATGCAACTGACTGAAGAAACAGAACAAATACCCCTTCCCCTCTAAAACAGAGCTAATCCCCTGCTCCGACGCCGCCGGCACCGTCACCCACGTCGGGAAAGTCACCTCCTTCCGCCCCGGCGATGCCGTCACCTCTCTCTTCTTCGCGGGACACATTTTCGGCGCCCCAACCGCAGAAGCCCAGAATACAGGACTCGGGGGTTTTCACAACGGGTGTCTGCAGCAGTACCGCGTCTTCCATGAGATGAGTCTCGTGCATGCGCATGCATGCGCCCGCAAATCTCCCGGCGGTGGATGCGAGTACCCTACCTTGTGCGGTGTTGACAGCGTGGAATGCGTTGTATGAGCTTAAGCCGCTGGGGGCGGGGCAGGCGGTGCTTGTGCAGGGAACGCGTGGGGTTCCTTTCTTGCTCCGCAGGTGAGTCCTTCCACCACCTAGGACTAATGGGTGAGGGGCGATGTATGATGTGGTGAAAGAGGCTGATGCTGATGAGTACATGATGGGTGCGTAATTGGCTAAAGCAGCCGGTGCATTAATTATTGCGACCACTTCCCCAGCTGGCAAGGCGCAGCGCAGCGGCTGATTGAACTGGGTGCCGACCACGTTATCAATTACCGCGAGGACCCGGGATGGGGGGCGACAGCCCGAAAGCTCACCCGCGACGGGGTGTACCATGTCACTGAGGTGGGCGGGCGCAACACGATGCGCCAGAGTTTGAATTGTGTGAAGAGGGAGGGCGTGGTTTATGTCATCGGTTATATCGGCGGCACGGGGCCTGGCCATAACCAGGACCAGCCCCCGCAGATCCTGGACACTTTGACAGCTGCCGCTATCGTACGAGGCATCCAGAGCGGGAGTAAAGAGCAGATGCCATGCTGGACATGGTCAAGGCGATCGAGGCAAATAACATTAGACCAGTGGTCAGTGAGCGGGTCTTTGAATTGTGCGAGGCGCGCGAGGCGTACCAGTACCTGTGGGATCAGAGACATTTTGGGAAGGTGGAGATCCAGGTTTGATTAGTATCGGCATAAGCATTCACTCTAAAATGCATCATGTACTTTTGTCAGATTTTGAAGGTTGCGTAGGAGTGTTTGACCGCCATACGGAAAGGCAACCAGATGCCTAATGGCTAAGGTTATCGTCCTTTGTGTTGCCGCATACGGATTCCTGGTCCCAACAAATTGTCTGGGAGAACTAGCAAACATCACAAGTGCTAATGCAAGACGCAGATGTTTGCTTCCGGCTACCTTTGGCACACGTACCGATTGCGTTTACCGCTTTTAGACGCTTGCTGAGACGCTAATGTGTCAGGTCATTTGAGCGTGGGGTTTGTCCTTCGCGTACCCACAAACTTGTTCGGGGACACACTGATTGGGTGGCTGAGCTTGCGTTTAGCCATAATGGTCGATATCTAGTCAACTCAGCTTCTACAGTGGTACTTGACCAACTTAACCTCTGTGGGTTACATTAACAGTGACGGCTTGACCCGCGATCTTCCCGTGGAGCCACTCGCATCCACTGCTCTATCTCACGGTGGCCACCAGATGTACCGTGGACAGGGAACCCTAGCGACGGAAGTTCCTGCCGACCAAACATCTTCACGAGAGGTAAACACTCCCTGTGTATGTTGAGCAGAGGTGGTTCACAAAGGAGGGCAGAAGCTTTTGCTGCTTCCGCCACAGGATCAGTACCTGGTAAGACTGTCGCCCTTGAGTACAACGCGGATTAGGCCATTGTCATTCGATGGAATTGAAGCTGCGTTTGATTGCGCAAGTACAATGAACGGGAATTGCAAACAGCAAGCACAAGCAGCATGGTTGCGTTTGCATCGCTCTGGTTCGTTCTCTTACGAGTTAAGTGCTTCTTTTCCCAGCCGATATACCCGGACCGATTGAAGGCCGAGGCTCCCCTGATAATATAATCCGCTCTTCTCTCGGTTATCGACGAACAAGTGGTCGTCTACTCCATTGTCTCCTAAAATCAGTTCCCATATCTGTATCTGACTCAATATCGGATCTGTATTTCATGGTCGGGCTGTGCTGACACAAGTTCTTTCTTGGAGAAATTGTCACTCCCGGAACGTCCACCATGGCTAATCACCGAATGACTTCTATCCCGGTCCGTCCTGCGACCCAGAATTATGATCCCGCTATCGACGACTACACCATTGGGTGGGTCACCACGACTGATGAGGAGTACCGTGCAGCAAGCTGGATGGTCGACCAGGTACATCTGCCCAATAGCCCATTCCGCCAACTGAACAAGAGACGAAAATTCAACTACCAACTCAGCCGGGTGGGCAACCATTTCGTCGCGATATCGGTTCCTATACTTGGATACATCCTCAACGCGGCAGACGTTATTGATGACATGAGGGAGACGTTCCCTCAGATTCGCTTTGTCCTCCTCGTGGGAACCGCTAGCGGGGTCCCGTCTCTCGGAAACGATGAGCGCCCTGATGAACAGTGTACCGTTCCCGATGTGCGACTAGGTGATGTGATTGTGGGGACTAGGACAGTTGTTCCTTGCAGTGGGGAAGCTGTTGAGCCTCCAGAAACTGAGCTGGAAGGAGGAAACACCCGAGCCATTTTCACTACGATCACCGAGTTCAGACGTAGGCTTTCAAGTGGCGTGGATACAGAGCCATCTGTGACCGCCATGGTCAAACAAAAGTGTTCGCGGGACCGTCGTTTCAGCCGTCCCCATCTACCGTCGGATCGTCTTTACCGGGCCGAATATCCACATATCTCGGACCGGTGTGAATGCCTGATTCCGACTGCCCGCCAAGACTCAGTGACAGTATCGCGAGCCCAGCGTCCTCCAAACCGGCAGTTGGAGGTTCACTATGGATCCGTCTGTGCCGTCAAGCATTGCATCAGGGACGCTTTGAGACGCGAGGAACTTGCCCTCGAAAACGATGTGCTGTGTTTCATCCCCGGTATCGACGATATGACGGACGAGATCGATTGCCTGCCGATCCTCGGAATTAGCGATTATGCTGACTCGCATCAGTACAGTCGTGCATGGATGGAATACGCCGCTTTGACTGCCGCAGTGTGTGCGAAGGAGTTTCTCGCCTCCATGACGGAGACTACGGTGGATGAGATGCAAATATGTGGATCTATGGAGGCGACGAAGTGGTTGACTCACAACTCTATTGTAGAGGCGCAACGCTTACTCTTCACCGGGTCCGAGGGGTCATTGCCTTCCTTCCGAATGGTCGTGGAAAGGATTCACAAACGTGTAGGGTATCTTGAGAAGATGACCCACGACATACAAAATGAATCAATGGACGCGTTTGGTTCCCCCCCTGACAAGGTCGAGTTCTTTGTTGCACAGTTGAGAAAGACACTTAACCAGCAACAGCTCGAGAACCAAGCTAACCTCGACCTTTCTACCGACTGTATCGCTCAGATGCAGTGGGATCAATTGCAGCAGTTGGTCTTCTATAACGTGCGTCGTCTTGGTTTACTGGATAACTATATCGCTGTCTTGAGCAAGGCCTTCGACCTGTAGGGAGAGATTCTGGGGGTGGAAAAGACTAACTTATCTCGCTCGGTGAGAGAAAGACAACGACGTGGCTTTCTTCTGAATCCATGACAGTGATGTAGCCCGTCATAGATTGAGCTACCCAGATTGCCAACCGTCTCAAGGTCTATGCGCGTATGATTTTGATGTCCACATCTTTGAGCTGATCAAAACCGGGTGACACGATGACACGATGTATGGTATGGAAATAGATCATGGTATTTGGACGGTGAGAGGCTACTCTCCGCATGACAGAATCCCAAGCCCAGCCACACGAAGCAGTCCAATCAGCTCGCTACAGCAACCACTTTCATTGCACGCGCGAATGAGGGCATCAGGGCCCCAGTATCTCTACACCCGAAGATCACCAATCTTTTGCTGAGAATATCCGATAACACGCAACTCATAAAAGGAAAGTATGAAAGAATAAACAAGCCTGATAGAACCGAGGCGCAACTTCCTCAACAACAACCCAAAGACTTAGAGCATATAAATGCCATCGAAGCAGCGCCCCACAACAACATTGCGCGCAGCCCCGCCCCCCCACCTCCTCCCTCCCTCCCTCACAAGGCACTTATACCATCGAACTAAACCTAGCCCATCCCATCCCGTCCCATACCAACCTAAAACAGTCCGAAACAGCCACATAACGCCACGGCCAGTAAGCATGTCCCGAAGGAAAACTCGAACTCCAACCCGGCGCGCGGCCACCACAGAGCCGGAGACCATCGACCCAGCCACCGCAGTCTTCGTCACCCACCCGCTGACCTTCCACCCTCCCATGGAGGAATCCCGCCGCATCCCCGACGGCAGAACCCCATACTGGTACGTCAACCTCCTCTGGCACCCATCGTCTAACACCTACAGCGTCGACATCTGCTGGGTCACCGGGAACAGATGGCCCGTCAACTGGGCGGAGCTCCCCCTGCCGTCGTTGCTGCAGGCCTTCAAGGACCTGCGGCTCCTATACCGGAACGCCGGGCGGTTTTTTGGGGTCATCCGGAACGCACAGCATATTCGGCTGTTCCGTGAGGCGCCCACGCAGCCGGAACCGGATGAGGAGCTCGGGGAGTCGCTCCGGGAGGGCTTGTGTATGGTGGAGCAGTTTCGCGTGAATGGGCTGCGGCAGTTGAACATAGCGAAACATCGCGATGTGCTGGAGCAGTGGCAGAATATATTTCCTCGCAATCCAACCTTTGCGCTGGAAGGGATTGCGCCGTGTGTAGGGTTTAGAGTGAGAGAAGAAAGAATCAAGTGGTGGGAAGAACGGTCGGGACGTTATTACGGGGTGAGAGGGGAGATGAAGTGGAATCATCGGTTTTGAGGTGATTGCCAGATTGAGATGCACACTGTAGAATTCAATTGAGACAGGGGACGATACACGAGCAACAAGGTAATACAAAGAATGACCATGCGAGGTCAGCATCAGTTCAATGAAATTGAGATCACAGTAAAAGAGTATACGGTTCATTCATATAGAAACAGCTGCGCTCGAAGCGGAAGCTCTTGCCGTAGCAGCAACATGGATAGATATTGATTGTATGTTAATGCTTGACCATCTTGCAGATACCATACAATATTTCATCTGGATGCACCATGCAGCTTGTCAGGTTCTCGTGAAAACAGTCCACGACAATAGTGTGGGCAGCTCAGGATATCCATTGCCAATGTTTTGCACTTGGAGTGATTTGTACTGCCATTGCATTAGCTCTCCCCAGAGCACTGATGCATCAAATGCCAAATAGGTGAAGGTGGTATCATTTCTTCCTGACTTAGCGACACTTGCCTTGACTGCCTTATTTCTCGACGCTTCGAATTGAGGCAGACTGGAGTTGATCTTTATTCAGAGCTATTCAAATTGACCATGAACAGATGGAGAAGATCTCAAAAGTCGATTATCGTCCCAATAAATCGCACTGGTGGATTTATTCTTTGAAAGTGTGAAGAGGCGAGTGCGAGTATGAGTGCAATGTCGGGTCACGTGGCCTGTTCAGAGTGCCTGACTTCCCATTCGTTCCACGCGAGGTGATCTTGCATCGTCATCAACCCTATCTTCTCCTTCACCATCTGCTAAAACAAGGATACCTTGCTTCTTCTGCCTCATATACATCGCTTACTACGCACTTATTACGCACCAAAGAGAACGCAGTGCAAACACCATTCAATTTCCGACATCATGTTCCTCAAATCGCCAGATCGGTGCCTGGGGATGTACGCCTGGAGATGTCCGCGGGGTGAATGCTGCGTGTATAGCAAATCTACCTGTCTGTGCACTCCATCGGGTGATTCAAATTGACTGTCGATCAAATCGGACCAAGCAGGATTATCCTTGAATTCACGCAAATCTTCATTGGTACCTGATGGTCAGAGCGCAAGCCGACTTTACGGGTACATTCCATGATTCCATAGCGAAAAGTCGGTCAACTCGCTCAGTTCTACCCGTAATATCTCCAGTTAATGGATCACTACATATTGTGGCTCAGGAGGAAACGAATCATGCACAGCTGTTCGTGGCGATGTCCGGCCCAAATTTGATTCCTGTTGACTCGTCGATTGTGGCAAGCGACATCAGCGGCAGTCTTCTTTGTTCTCTGGCCCTGGCTTAGTTCGCGCAATTCCAGGTTCATCCCGCCCTGACCACATTTACTTTCTTTGTCGACAAAAGTACCAAGGAGAACCAGCTCGACAATAAAACCAAACGGTGGGTCTGCTTCTTCGCAGTGTGGTGCGGCCATTCAGCGTCCCGTTGAAACATCACAATGGCAGTATCGTCGCGGCCCATAATTTTTATTGTCCTGTTGGATCTTTTCGGTGGGCTGAGCGCCCTCATTATGTGTTTGAGGCTCTTTCTGCGCAAGTATCGCCATCAGCGATTCGAAGCAGGCGACTACTGCACTATTTTCTGTCTTATAACCCTCCTTGCATGTATGGGCTTGCTTACCGCTGTGAGCGTTATCACCTTGGGTCGTGACATTCGCCTGCAGGCCCAGAACCTCACGGATCAATTGCTCAATGACCAGCTTCTTGAGAACAAGATGCTGGTGGCTCACCAAGCCATTTTTCGTGCCTAGTAAGAGTTCTCTCTCGAAACCTTGCCCTGGCGCTCGCTGACCGTTACAGTCTTTGGGGTCAGAAAGCGGTTGTTCTGCTTTTTATTTCTCGCGTGTTGGAGGGCCTCCCGTGGCCCTTCATATTCGTCCGTATTAGCTGGGTAATCCTACTTCTGTCTTACGGCGCCATCGAGCTGGAGATGTTTATGGTCTGTGACTACCGCAAGACGAGTATGGATCTACTACTAGGATTCTCCATGTCAATCGGACTAAATCGTGCCCTCTCAGAACCCTGCCTCGGCCGTGTCGGCAACCTGGTCGCCTACATCCTCCTCAATGGCTTGACAGACCTGATGCTCATTGTGCTGCCACTTCCTTGGCTGGTGCGAGTGAAACGACCCTGGCAGCGGTAAAGTGCCCCTTCAATGACGTCGGTTCAAATCCGTCGGCTGACCAGCCCCAGACGGCTTCAATTAGTCGCACTCTTCTCCGTCGGTTTTCTCTGCATCATCGCCACTATTCTTCGCGCACCTATCCACGGCAACACTCAGGATCTTGTCGGACAGGGCTACTGGACCGCCGTCGAGTTCATTGCGTCTGGCATTGTCGCCAACTTTCCCACGCTGTGCAGTCTTCGCCGCGCCCGAAAGCCGGATACCCCACTATATCCCGAGTCTCCGTATCCTGCGCGGTCCCAGGGCTCCAAAATCCGGTCGGCGACCAGCATCGAGCTGCATGAGTCGCTGGATTTGGATGATCTTGATGGCGATGCACGAAGAACTGGAAATATCGCCAGCCAGGCGAGCAATGAGCCACTGTTCTTCGAGGATTCGGAAACGGATAGTCTTCGGGCTGAAGGGCTCAGGTCTAGAGGTTGAGTTTGAGATGGCGAATGGTATACGTCGTGAGACGGACAATTGGAGATGCCGGGGTGTTGGATATACGGGACTTTAAGCCTGTTGGACGTCATAGGAGACCTGGAAGGGTAGACGGTACGGATATTGTTACCGTCTTCCATGTACACACTTTCTTCTTTGTATACACATGTTTGATCATTTACGGGTGGTTTTGTTACTCGTCTGACCGGTCTGGTCACTCAGTACTCCCTACGCATGTATTCATGTCCCCTGCAACTTCGGCAAAAGTTCGCTTCCTTTTCTAAAGCGAGATGGGCGAGATAGAACCTGGATAGTAGATTCTTTGTCGATGTTCACATTAAGATGGAGTTGCAAATCACGCTCCTGAGCCAGACTACCATCGTATCTCTACCAAGAGTACAGCCATTCATTGCCTCCTTAAATCTAGCCAATGTACCGGTCTGCGCGTCACTTCTGGGGAGACTCGGTCCGGCCATCCGCCATCCGCCATCCAGCCACTGGTCTGCGGCATTATCTCCTAATCGGGCAAGAACACCAGCCGCGGGCGGGGGATCGGATCATCCGACGCTTCTATTTCTCCGTATTCAATTCCTTCCATTGCTTCAATTTGCCAGGGAAGTTCCCCAGGCTTGCAGGGGTACATCATCTGCGCCATGCTTACTTCGTCCCGCAATTCCGTCCCAAAAGTCGGCTCGCTAAGTTAAGTGTCCCGCGTTCTGTCCCGCAAATTTGTCCCGCGGTACCCGCAACATGTGAGATTTGGCAGTCGCAAATCATCTCGCTCGATGTTCCACGTGGTTGTCTGGTACTGTATGTACTTGTGCCCCAACCACCCCTCTTTGAATTGTAAGTCTAGTGAGTGTTGTAGTTACTGCAAGGTTGACAGAACTGACGTTCAGTTGGGACATTCGTGGGCCAGGTATTCATAACCCTAGTAGTATTCACATTATTTGGAGATTCTCATCCCACATTACCAGGTTTGGTCTCAATACTCAGAATGCTAAATATATCTCACATCTAACGATCTGGCACCCAAGGAAAGATACAAAGAATGACTCATAGTAACTAATCTTAGATTCATTTCCTTAACTGGTCGTCTCGAATTAGTCAATAGAAGATCTCCGGGTAACATAAAGTCGATCAGATCCCAACTATGTATTCTAGAAAGGTCAGTTTTGGACGGGTGTGATCGGCTCCTATTACATGGAGACTCTTAAGAACAGAATCATCACTAAGTTCGAAGATTATCTCATGGAAACATGTAAGAAGTGGCTTAGATGAAGTCAAGATATTGTAGAGATTCGAGCCCAAAAAGGGTTAAACCGGGAACGAGTACATTGCCAGGAACTAGGTTAGTATAGTCGATGATATCCCCGTCTCACTATTGAGATTTTTCCCTATGCTGAAAGACGAGGTGGGTGAATCTAGGACAACTTGCTCGATATATGGATGACCATTATGCGCGCTATCGGTTGCTCATAATCTATAAGGATCTGGTTCGTCAAAACAGTTGATCATGACCTTTTGGCCCTGTCTCTGCCAATCAGCGCGAAAGTGCAGTCCACTGCCACTAACGTATCGCTGCGAGATTGTATGCTTGCATTTGCTCTCAGGGCCAGAGGCCGATACAGTCGATACAACAAAAGTTTGTACGTCCTGGTGCGTTCAATGTTATCTCCTGTTATTGCTAATATTTCTTTCTGCCAGACGCGCTGCCTACCTTAACCTTTTTCAGAAGGGCATCTATTAGGGACTCATAATTGTGCCTACTGGCTAGTATGATTGTCTTATACCATTGAGCAACGCCACAAGGAATGGACGAAGTTAAGAAAAGAGAATGTCACCGCAGCCTATAACGCTACAACAAAACACTCCAGTTTTCATGAGAGAAGGTCCAAGAAGTACTAGGCTGGCCCCCTTGATTCTTTGGCGCCTGTCCTGATGACATTCATCCGTTCTTACCGTCTTCAACTTTATTCACAATCGGTATCCATTCTTTCTTGATCCATTCGAGGGTACACTTACAATGATAATCCCCACAATATCTTTCATCTATTGAGGAGAGCAATTGCTAAGACATTCCGGCATCTGTACAATGAAAGTGAGGGTGAAAGGAGATGAGTTTTCTCTATGAAAGACGGATTTCATTGACTACAATCTGAACTGGTTTGTCTCGTACTAGATTTCCGTTTTCCGGGTATAATCCGTCCGTGATACTCCAATTAATCGAAGAAATGCATGTTATACATGTTCATGGAAAGTCGCCCTCCAGTAAACCCTCGATAAACCAATCCCCAATACACACAACAACACCACGAACTAGTCTATATAAACGACCCTTCCACCGATGTTCCAATCCTCTCATTAACCACTTGACCAACACCCAAGAATTACCCATTGCAGAAGCACCAGCGCGACATCATGCTTGATACCACAATAAGTGACATCGTGGCGTCTCGCTCCTCCCGGCGCACCCGGCGAACCCACCGCACCCGCCAGACCCCCCGCCGCCGCCACACTCCACCCCCACTGCCACCGCACTGGATAAACAACACCAGCCTCCCCGGAAGTGTAGAGGCCGCGCGCAACCCCCACGTATTCGTGCCAAAGATCATCTTCGTCCCGCTGGATGAATATACCTGGACGACGATGCTCGTCTACTGCGACGGGCGAGCCTGGTACGACAAATGCCCCAACAGTTTCGACTGGGAGCTGGCTGAGCAAGACATGCTCATGGTGTTCCATATGCAGCGGGAGCTCTACCCCAATGCCGCCCCGTTTGGCGGGACAGTCTTGTACAATAATTCAGTCCGGGGTTATCTTGAGGTCCCCGCGACCATCTCGGGGCATGAGTCAGATATTATGCCGTTCCGTCACGAGGGGCGCTCCGTGTTCGACCTTGAGACCTCAGCCCGTGACGCGGAGTGGGCGTTTCTGGATACACTGCAGTACAATACGCCTGAGATGGTGGATTATGACGACTTTGGGAATATTGGCAAGGATTCCGATCCCGAAAACAGTAACGAGGAATAAGGCCTAGGCGTTTTGTGGGGGGGGGTCCAGAAATGCGGGTTTGGCGTCGATGGTTGTGGGGATTCTGCATATTGGTAGCATCAATAGGAGTTGATTTGCTTATCTTGTTTTATGTTTTGTAAGAGATTGTGTCTAAAGTCTAAGACAGAGTGGGTATTGTTGTGTCGTCGATATAGAAAGTCAAGTTCCCAGGTCTTGTGTGTGCCTAAATGTTCTCTATTACTCTTCACAAATAACATCGAGAATGACATGAACACGGCTTTGTCTCCACCTCTTCGATACTCGGAGTTTGATGATGGGCAGCGGACGCGGGACTGCGAGCGGGACAACCTAAGGGGAAGCTGGACCGCTGCTTTGCGCAGGTTCCGGCGCTGCGGGATCCGTTCAATGTGACGGATTTTTGGCGTGCGACGGAGACGATGGATAGATTGGAGGATATTGTTATTAACCCTAGTTTGGTTCAAGTGTGCGGATATTCAGGGGACCGACTAATTAGCAAAGCTGGAGGTCACCGAATCTTGACACGAGTGGAGGTGATACTGGATCATCTGGTACTCCGTACACAGTTCTTTTTCTAGTGTAGGGGTAATGAGAGAGCTTTGATGAATTACGGATTTGGGTCTGATTTAGAGAGATATTTTTTGATAATTGTGTAGTGCCTACCGGTCCTGGTACGAGACCAAGTAGAGTACATGCATCTAGCACTGGCCTTGGTAGTTCATGTTGATCCATCTGCTCTTAGTCTGCTGCAGGGAAGCATATCAGCTCTGCATGGAATGCTCTTGGGCGCCGATCCCAGTCCGCTCATTGGTGTGGAAAAGCTAAATCTGAACGCCCTCTCCAGACGGCCTCACTAAAAATACACTGGCTCCAGACCGTGAATGCTAATCCGGCAATAAGTAAACATTGTAGCCTATACAATCCTGGTGTGTTTCATGATCATCCAAACAAACGAGGTTCCCGGCCCCATATGGATTGATCTGCAGGCGCTGCCGCTTCGTACTCGTTCACTATCAGGTATACCTAAATAACAATGAGCAAAACTCAACGCTTTGTTCACTATACTCCGACTGATGATGATCTGCGTCCTGCGCATCGTCATCACTGTGATGGCCACCTCCAGGTTGAAACGTTTATTGTGCCAGTGGTTGTGAGTCGCGAGGGTAAATACCGCTGGCTTTGCCTCCACTTCCTGGATTATGCATCAACTATCGCCACTTTCAAAGAATACTTATCAGTCTCATCATGAAGATCACCCTTCCTATTACCCTCTTCCTGGGCGTAGCCATTGCCCACCCCCATTGGGGCGCAGCGGACATCTCCCACTGGAAACCTGCCGGACCAGATGACGGTAAGCCCGCAACCTTCACAGCTGACAGCAATTGAAAACAATTGAAAGCAAATAGAAGCAAATGAACGCTACTGAACTGACCCAAGAATGCAGACCGCGGTCCCTGCCCAATGATGAACACTCTAGCGAACCATAACTTCCTCCCTCACGACGGCCGCAACATCACCCGTCCCAAACTCATTGAGGCGCTGGGGGCCGCTCTGAACTTCACCTCTTCGCTTTCATCGGTGATGTTCGACATGGCGATTGTTGTGAATCCGGAGCCGAATGCGACATACTTTACTCTGTACAGCCCCACTAGTCTCTTTCTCCTGGGCCAATGATATTTGCAGCTTGCTAACAAGAGATAGTGATCAATTGAACCAGCATAATATTCTCGAACATGATGCCAGTTTGAGGTTAGTACCTAGCCTACCACCCCTCAAATCAAATACGATTCAACAACGTCATTCCTCTTCTAAGATCCACATCCCCAATTAACCAAAACTAACAAAGAAGACAGTCGTGCGGATGCATACTTAGGAAACAACCACATCTTCAACGCCACCATCTTCGAGCAAACCCGCCAATACTGGACCTCCTCAATCCTTGACGCCACCATGCTCGCCAACAGCAAGCTGGCCCGGCAGATCACCTCGCGAGCAACCAACCCGACCTACACGTTCACCGCGAAGACGGAGGAGTTCAGTCTCGGCGAGGTGGCGGCGCCGATTATTGTGTTTGGAAACTTAACGGCTGGGACGGTGAGGAGGGATTTGGTGAAGTATTTTTTCGGTATATTTTTTCGGTATGTTTTCTTCCGTTTCTCTTCTTGTCTTGTTGGGGTTGGGGGGTGCAACACCTTCTCTCCGTCTTATCCTGAGTTAGTGGTAGGTGATGACTAATGATTTCTTGTACTATGGTATAATAGAAAATGAACGACTACCAGTTGAGCTAGGGTGGAGGACAAAATCTGAGGCGGTGGGGCTGGAGGCCATCACTGCGATGTCGAATATGATTCGGAATAAGACTTCTTTGTTGACGGGATCTGGACCGGTGTCCGGGTCGGAAGTGAGTAAGAGGGACTTGCATTTTGGGACGCGGGGTTAGTTTGATGTCTTCTGGTTATGTATTAGGGATATCCTGTTGTGTCCTTGAGATCTGCTGTTCGTGTTCGAGGGACAGGGATTGGGAGTGGGGAAGTGGGGGAGTGGGTGGGTGAGTAGGTGGTGATGCGGCAATGCCTATACATAGTAAGTGGTACTCAGCTGGCAGCGAGAAGATTCATCTGGTATCATTGTTGGTAGCGAACCGAAGACACGCACCTTGTTAGCACTGAGGAATGTGTTCTAAGATGTACTGTACTGTCCAGAGGTCAATCCGGGCATACTGCAAGCATGGTATTGTAGCCCAGCTTAGGCAACAGCCCGATCCAGAATCTTAGCACCTTCAAGGCTTCGCCGTTCCTTGTCATCCATGTTTCCTCATCAACTCAACTCATACCCCTTCGGATAATTTCATCTATCTCAAACAGTTAATACCCAATCTGGCACCGCGATTCTATTTTCATCCACCCAGTTAACCCATCAAACCGCCAAGAGGCTTGGCGGGTAGACTCCGGCCTGCCAAGCCAGTAGCACGACCGAATATAGTCACTGAGGGAGGAACTTGTCGAAATACGGTGGACGTAGTTCTTCTGGATCAGCAGGGGCCAACCTGGGCGGCTGGTACGGCCCGGGATCGCAGGCGAGCCTCAGCTGATATCGACCGGATCTGAGTATAGTTACAGTATATTGACTCGCATTGCGCCCTGCTCAAAGTGTCGGAGAATATTTCAGATGGCACGGCAATTCGCAGAAATATCTGTCAGTGAACCGCAGAGTCAACAAATGCGCATGCACAATTAGTAATCACACCAGACCTTCTGATTATTATTTTCTGAGATTAGAATAACTAGCTACTAATCCAATCCAAGTCAACCCGGGTGCTTTCTCCCACCCCATAACATCTCAAATCACCTGTTTAGCAAGAAGCACCGCTGGGAACGTTCTTGCAGGACTTCTTCTCCTTACCACCGGAGATGGAAACGCCCTTCCAGGTCCAGTCGGAGCAGCTGCCGGAACCGCACAGAATGTAGACGGGCTGAGCGGAGGACTGAACGGAACCCGTCACCTTGTTGATGGTGACATCCTTGATGGGAATAGAGTTAGAGGGGATACCGGTGGGGGAGCCGTTCTCGTAGTCCTGCTCGACGACGATACCGTACTTGGCGATGTTCTCGAGGGTGATGTTGTCGTAAGTCACATCGGTCACGGAGCCGGTTTTTTTGTAGACGGTCTTGATGCGCACGCCGTTATCGGAGTTGACGATGTGACTGTTGGTGATGTGCACGCCCTTGACGACGTTGTTGTCGCGGCCGCCGACGGAGCCGATCGACAGGCCGTGGCCGCCGGAGCAGTAGCCATCGTCGAAGTAGATGTTCTATCCCGTCCATTAGTTCTTGGTTCGGCTGCAGGGGATAGAGAGGGCCTACCTCGCCGGAGTTGATGGCCAGGCAGTCGTCCTGGTTGTAGACCTTGGCGCCAATGATGTAGACGCCGTTGGACTCGCCGACATCAAAGGCGTCGGTGTTGTGACCGCCCTTGCTGTCGCCAGCGGAGTTGTCGATGGTCACGCCCTCGATGTGCACGTCGTTGCCCTGCACCGAGATGGCCTGAGCGGGGGTGTTCTTGATGTGCAGGTTCTTGAGGTACGAGCTCTGCAGCTTGTGGGCGTACATGAACTTGGGCTTGTCCTTGCCGCCGTTGGTGCCCTTGCCGTCCCACCAGCGCTCGCCCTGGCCGTCGATGATGGCGCCCGAGGCAGCAGTGAAGGTGACGCCCTCACCGCCGAGGCGGATCAAAGGTCCTTTCCACTCCTTGTAGCCGAAGGTGGTGGTGCCCTCGAAGGTGACCTAAACAGAAAATTAGGATTGAATCAAGGAATCGAGGAATCAACGTACGGTGGAGCCCTTCTTGGCGCCGGAGAGATCCAGGGTCTGGCCAGCAGGGACCTTGATGTTCTTCAGGACCGAGTTGGAGCACTTCTTGACACCAGCCTTGGCGGAGGCAGCCTCAGTGAAGGTGCAGGAGGATCTCTCGGCGAGATCTCTCTCAGCAAGGTCGTGGGGGGCAGGAGCCGCAAGGGCGAGGGAGCCAAGAGCGGCCAGGGTGAAAATATCGAAACGCATTTTGATTCGTGTTTATTCTGGTCAACAGAAACGAATGAATAAAAGAATGACTGAGGTCTGATCTGATCTGATCGACAGAAGGAAAGAGAAAGAGAGAATGTGTGCGGGTGATGAGAGAAAGAAGATCTTGATGGATGGGTGCATGCAATGCTTTATACCCATATCGAGCTGCGGTGATATTCCATGATCATGCAGTCGGTCGATGAATCAGGGTTGTTCAGGGTCAGGGGAGATATCCGGAATATCCACAGGGTGTCAGTCTCTAACGGTGGCGTGTAGAACGAACACTGCTTCGGAGAAGTTTACTCATCAAAAGCAGGCTGCAGAGGAAACGGTTCACTGCTGGTGTTTTTGCGATGGGTGCAGTGAAGGGCTCGGCAGCTTGGTATTGCTTCACTTCTTCCCCACAGTGGGTGCGCCAAGGAGCAGCTGCTCGAACGGTCTTGTACCAAGCCCAGCAGAAGGAGAGTGCTCATTTGCCAGGTTCCGAGCTGAAATGAAACCTCAGCAGATGCCAGTGGTTGGTCTTTGGGCAGTCATCTTGTTACCTAATATCGAATGTTCGAATGTTCGATGTTTGCCTGTCGATTACTCGATTGCTGGTGCTTCAGGGAGAGATTTAAACCGCGTCAACCTCAAATCCTGTTCAACTGAGGCAACACCAGTTTTACTCCCATCACGACCCAGATACAAAAAAAGAAAACAAGCATTCTACAGAAACATCTATAGCCGACTCTCTAGGCATCCACAAAGACCACTACATCCTCCCAGGGCCCTTCTCGGCTGAATTTACGCTCAGGGTCCGGGCGGTGTGCGCCTGTAATTTCCGCGGAGCACGCACCAAAGGGTCCTCCAAGCCACTAAAAAGCTTGTCTTTGCGCGATTGCCGGGGAACCTGCTTCTTTGGGGGAAGACCTCCTGCTTGGCTGTTCCCTGCCCCCAGCGCTCCACGCGCCTGACAATCCGGCATTTTTGGAAGCTGCCCTGAGAAGACCCCTGAGTCTGCTTTTCCGCCCTGTTCTTACCGGTTATTCCGGCAAGGGGGGAAATAAATTCAGGGACAGATTGAACTGCGAAAGCACGGGCAGACGGGGCCGGTCCGTCAGCTCTGGGAAATCATAATCGCATGCGTCGCAGCTGGCGATCTCCCCAGACAGAATCTTGTACTCTGACTGAATTGACTCATACCGCCTATGACAGCTCCTGCCTTGAAGTGTCAATTGCCTACTAATTTACAGGACCGACCTTTCTTGCCAGTAAAAGGTCATCATCTCTGCACACTGCTATTCTGCTGGTCTTAACAGCCGTCAGTATAAGGTTGCTTATCCAGCTTATGTCCGGATAACGAGGGTCTCCTGTTGGTGCAAAACCAAACTAGACATTCGTGGTGAAATTCGGGAAAAATAGATTAAAGAATAGATTGTATATAATCCCCCCCCCTGTCACCTGACTGCGTCCGTACGGGGCCTTCTTTCCCTGGATCCTCCTGGGGATCCTCTTAGAAAAAACCAATATCTTCAAAACATTCATGATTTCATATCCCCTACGGAATAACCCGTAGATGACACCCCCAAGCGCCACAGCCACCTCGAACACCATCCTTCACACCAAGTTCCCTCATTCTGTCATGGAGTCTGAGAAGGAGCGCTACTCTAATTGCACGCTCTAGAGCAGAGTACTACCAGCGGCAGCATACTCGTGTCGAAGACCCCACGTCCTCCTGTCTTAGCCAAGCTCATCCCACGGAATGTAGTTGGGCCAAGGTAGCGACAATTGCCAAGGTGCCTGGATCTGGCGGGTTTTCCCAGACAGTGGCTCGGGGTTTTGTGGTTGCATCCGCCTTCATGTTGCTGTATAAAATCCGCCTTGTGATAAATACTCAGGACCTGTTCGGTATGGGTTGTGGTTCTCAAGCAGGTTCTGGCTAAGCAACCGTGCAGGTCCACATGCACTTTCACTCAAATCAGGAACGGAGTAAGTCCAAGCAGTACATCTCGCCTTCTAATCAGAATAACAACCCACCCTCGCCCCGGGATCTGTCGGCAATGGATGTACTAAATGCAAAGTCATCGCGCCAGTCTACCATGACTATCCTTGTTTGGCTCGTATAACCGAGACTTAGCCTGCTCGGTATGGCGATTTCTCCGACCCGTGGGCCTTTTCCTCTTCATTTCGTCTCTCATCGCACCACTTCGTCAATACTTGACTTTTGGGAGCGATGGCTTCGCATCTATCTACCGTACAGAGCCATAGCTGGCATGTCCTGCTCTACCTCCCTGTGACCCGCCCCTTTGCTCTCTCGCCACTGGTGTTCACCCCCAGATCAGGGGCTGCGAACGTCAGCCTACGTTTTATCTACATTGATGCTGCATGAAGAGGGTAGGTCAGAAGGATCTCTGTATGTTCAGTATATTCTCATGATTATTCTAGCTGATACTGCGGTCGGAAACTGGCACTTGGTTCCAAGATAGGTACACCCATGCGTAGTCCGCTCGAGATATAATATGAGCAGACCCGAATCACCTCAGTAAATCCTGTGGTGCAATTCGAAGGTAGATAGACAGGAAATGAATTGAAGAGCAGGTGAAAGACAGCAGCGACACCGTTGAATACAGCAGCACGGGGACGGGGGGTATTGAGGCATATGGTGCTGCCGAGGGTAGAGAAAAAGAAACCTCGTGCGCCGGGGTATAAGAATCTGGCAACATGCCTGCTAATCGCTGTCATGGCCGTACTTTTGCAGACGGTGAGCGCTACTTGCGCTACGCTCGGTCGGCTTTACGCCGTGAGCTCAGTGGCTGACTCTGCGACCACGGAAGTGATGGTAGCACAACTGAGTCAGGGTTAGGTTTTTCAAAAATGCCTTCAAGACAGGAATTCGACGGTCCAAAGCCGAAAGGACCATTCCGCTCATCCCTTCGCCTGATCCATCAACTGCGTCACCTTCTTCAGAGACACCGGCTTTGTGACAAAGACATCAACGCCGGCCGCATAGGCCTCTGCGACATCCTCGTTTGATCCCAGACCAGTGAGTGCAATGATCTTGGCGGGAAATGCAGGTTTGCGTTGCTTTTCAATCGTGCGAATCGCTCTAGTAGCCTCAAACCCATTCATGATAGGCATAGATATGTCTGCTGAAGTTAGGAGCTGCTCTAAATTTCATTTGAAGTGACTCACCCATGAAAATATAATGGTAACCCTCAGGCATGGACTCGACTGCTTCGACGGCCTCTTTGCCGTTTATAGCCTCATGCACGATAATGGGTTGTCGCCGGCTAACGATTCGGTTCAGTAGTGACATGTTGACCGGATTATCTTCGACTAGAAGCACCCGTGGTACTTCTTCGGCTGCGCCGGGAATTGGCTGACTGCAAGCAGTTCCGTTTTGCTGTATGTGTAAGTCAGGTTGATTTGGCGATATGCTAGATCCAGCTCCGAGACCGAGCGTCGGTGATGACACAGCCGAATCAGTAACATCTGCTGGAACGGAAGATGGAATTGGACGAAGAGGAAGAGCTAAATCGCCATCGCGATGAGGAGTGGTCTCCATCCCGCTCTGCACACCGTTCACGAAGGCCGTTGGCGACGAGCCATCCTCGGATCCCTGAGGATGAGTCGGTGCTTGCAAACATCTCTGAAGCGTTCTAGCCAATCGGTAAGGACCGCACGGAAGGCTCAACCATTCAACCCGCACGCTGATCTCCTTCGGTGAGAAAGGCTCCAAATGCACAGGCCGCCGATCACGGTGCAAAACGAGCAATGTGGATCGTTCACTCAAACCCTGCATCCGAGGTAACTCCGCTTCGTCGACGATCACAATGTCGGCGGGAACATCAGGTGACCATGGTTGAAGGGTTATGCCATACCATTGCGTGAGATACCTCACCACAGAAATGGCGGAGGCGGTTTCACCAGGCTGAACAAAGCACACTGTCTTCCCCGTAAATTCTTGTTTCACATCATCAATGAGACCTTCAGAGCTGATAACAAGTGGATAGTCGAGCACAGTCGCATTCTCCAAGGTGTCCCGTCTCTCTGGCCGCGTAAGAGGGATCGAAATTTTGACCACCGTGCCCGTTCCTACTTGACTCCTGATCTTGATGCTGCCTCTTAGAGAGCGAACGATCCTGTTGACGAGAGACAAGCCAAGCCCTGTGCCGGGAGTCAAAGGATCCTCTTGCATGAAAGGTGTGAAAAGATGATAGCGGAGATACTCGTTGGATATGCCCCGACCGGTGTCAGAAACAGTCAAAAGCAGATTATCGCAGCCCTCACGAGACGTGCTTTTAATGTCCTTTTGAATCTCCATGCGCACAGCTATGGATCCACTTCGAGTGTACTTAAGGGCATTGCCAAAAACATTCATAACGATGCGCCGTAGCGCACCTGGCTCCAGAACAAAGACCCAGTCATGCATGCCGACGTCGAGAGTGATATCGACCTGCTCAGAGTTGCCACTGTTTCCATCCTCCGATGGAGAGGCTGGCTTGGAGGTCGACGAATTACCCGCACGACTGATCTTGAGATGATTAGCCCCGGCGCAGATACTCTCAATTGCATCCTCGACAATTGCCACAATGTCCACGACTTTCAAAATATACAATGACCGTGGACCTGAATAGGTAGTAACAGAGCCCCTATCCTCGTGCAGAAGCGAGGAGCCGGCAATACGAGCCTTTCGCCGGAACGAATTGATTTTGCTGAAATCTAGAATTTGCTCAAACGTATCCAGAAGTGTTTGACTGCACGCGCGGATAGTGTCCAGAAGCATCCGAGCCGAGCCGGACAAACTTTGTTCGGTGAGAAGCTCGATGGCAGCTAGAATACCATGTAAAGGGCTCCGAAGTTCATGTCTGTCTTTGTGGTTAGTCTCCCAATATAGAAGCCAGGAACAGAGACACTCACGAGATACTGCTAATAAAATCCCCCTTCTTCTTGTCTGCTTCTTGACTCCGCAGGCGGCTATCCTCCGTCATCAAAGAAGAACAAAACCCGAGCACACCACCCAGTTCTACGTGGGGACTGAAGATCCGGGTCTCAACGGAACTCCAACAGAAGCAGCCACCAAACCAACGCGAGTTAGATGCATCCCACAATGGTGCGAAGATGATCCGTGTGGCTTTTGGGAAATACGTCTGCAGAAGATCTAACTCCCTCCCGTTTAGCGCCTTGCCAGAGGGGTGAAGCGATGAGGGCAATTGAAAGGTCGGCAGGCTACTGGTTTGAGAGCTTGTCTCGTCGTCAGATGAAAAAGCCGTACCATCACGATGGAAATACCACAAAGCTCCTTTACCGAAACGCTGCATCATCCGCCAGAGAAACCGTCGGCTCATTACCCTCGCAGAGAGTATGTCGGACTCGTTTCCCGAGTCCGATTCACTGGCATCTCGCGTCGAAAAAGCCCAGGTAGTAGCGGACCGCGACTCTCCGATTTCATCTTCTAGCAAATCCTCGTCCTCGTCAAGGTTGTACCTGTCCTTGAGAGCAAACATCGCGACCCCTCCTTCATCTCCCAGAGCCAAGCAGTCTCGCATGATGTCTGCGGCGCGTTGAAAGGTCTCATGTCTTTTGCCGGATGACGAGACTCGTGGCTTGATGACAGGCCGGTGGGGTAGATCCTGTTGTTTCTGAGATTCTGGTGACATTGAATCCGAGGATGAAGTATCATTCAGCACTGGGCTTGCAGCCCTGGCGCACGACTTCATAGTTCGCGGGGAGTCGCTCGGATTGATGTCCGGTGAGGAGACGGGCCGAGGGCTAGGAGTGCGCGACCGCTCAACTTCGGACGAGCTGGCGCTTCGTGGAATGGATACCGTCGGCGACTCATCCTTGCCCTGATCCTGAACAAATGTGTTGAGCCCGGACAACACCTTCATCAAGCGAGCACTTTCTAGTGACTGTCTTGACGTTTCCAAGTACTCCATGACTGCGGTCGCTATCACCCCTAAGCTTTCCTTGTGGGCAGCCGTCAATAATAGGTTGGGCCGCGGATCAATAACATATAAACTGCCAATATTGATTCCATTACTGGTCATCAGGGGCGTGCCAGCATAGTAGCGGAAAAAAGGCGATCCAGACACACAGGGTATGTGACAGAACTTGGGATGTAGTTGTAGGTCGTCGACAATAAAGAAAGGATATTCATCCGCGGTCGTCGGCGTCAGGGTGATTGTTTTCTAGCAAGAAAGAGGACATGTCAGCAAGAAGGATCAAAAGACGAGTATTTGTTAGTACATACCTCACACAAAGTGCCGGCAACAGGGCCTCGAGAGCAGCCCATCCAAAGGCCATCGCCATCGGCTTCATAGAGACTGTTGTCCCCGAGGTTCAACGAGCGTGAGGCTTCGGCCACAACATAGAGCGTCTCGCGATCGATCAGACTGGTGTCAATTTAGCCTTTAAAACCCCATGCGCAAGCCATATATGGTTATCAAAGCGACATACCTGATAATAGCACGCTGGACGCCTACTTTCACGGCAGCCAACTGGGCTAGGGCAGTCAGGACAAGATTCGGACTGGCTCTTGTTGCCGCACAGGTGTCCGAGACTTGCGAAGCACTGGTTTGAGAAAGAGCAGGGAGCAAGGCAGGGTTGTCAGGTTGGAAATAATGAAACAATTCCCGGGCGCGACGGTCCGCTTCATGTTCTTCCTGCTGTGAAGCCGGAGAGGAGAGATCCTCCGTCATGTCGTCGACTCGGCGCGCGTCAACCTGCAGCGTAGCGGTGCGGTGCGCTTTGGCGGTTTCGTGTAGGCAGTGCGTCTCGTGAAGTCTTTGTTCCTGTCATTCCATGTTATTCAGCACACCCTATCATGCGACAAACCACAATCCCCGAAGAAGAAACAGTATAGTTGAGGATTGACAAAAGACTCAGAGCGTGTGGGGCGAGGAATAATTGTCTCTCCCCCCCGACTTCCGCTGTTTTTTTCGCCCTTGAGAAAAGTCCGGGCGGCAATTGCGTCACATGCTCTCAACGTGCAGTGTCTGGCTTTGGCCCGGTCAGGCCCGGTAGAATTCTAGACCGTTGGGCCGCTGTCCCGCGTACCACACCGCCTGCTGTTCCGGGGTGGTTCTGCGGGCCAAATCCAGACTGACAGTATCCGCTTGCATCCAATAAGGGGAAGACTCGGCCTCCAGAAGATCAAAGAGTGGCGAGTGTCCGTCCTGACTACTTCCACAGTACAGTTCACATACCATACATTGACTGTGTGGAGGTGCAGCTTAGATTAGCTAATCTACAACAGCTGTTTGTAAGCAGCCATCCAACGGTGGACATCTAGCCACCCACCTTACCTCATATAGTGTAGACGCCGTGGAGATTGCATGAATCGGACTTCTAGAATCTAGACCGATCCCTGATAAGTTATAAGCTTAATGTTTGGAAAGCGTGAGGGGAGAGCTCTCTCCACTCCTCCACGAAGAGAACAACAATGGAAGAGATTCCTTTGTTCATTCACCAAGAAATAGTCTAGCTCATCCTTGTGACTTCATGCTCAATTGTCCTCTAGTTCCTGCACTTCACATGTTGTGCGATGAATTCTATGTCTACCTCATTAGTGTCCCTATACCTCCGGGACTTATTAACTTCGATATTATCAGGTATTATCAGGCAATCTAAAATCGACATCTCCACAACGGACCAATGAAAGGGCGTCGCTTCAAAGCACAGTACTCCGGCACAGCCCCAGCAAATAATGTGGGGCGATCTCTTCAATTCCGATCTCGCCTCCCCTTCGCAGTTGGCACTGTGAAGTCTAAATCGTGTACAAGAATGTGACTTGCACCTGGCTGAAGGTTGGTCCGGGAGCAGGTCCTAGAATGGTCGGTTCTTGTAGGAAACACAGTAGGACTATCGACTGCTGGTGGAGAACATCGCTACAGCAGATGCTTTGCGCTAAACAAAATGCACAAACACGACCTGAGACAGTCCAAGCATAAATCTTGGAACGAAGGCTTGGCGAAGGATTCTCGAACGCTGAACAGGGTCGCGCATTATAGAGGAAAATCCGACGATGCAGTTTGAGTAGAATAGTAGATTGAATGCAGAGATCGCACTTCTCTGACGGACAAAAATATATCTGTTTTCCAAGAAAACCACCTGTCCCTACAACAGGGGCTAAAGGAGCCTCATCGAAAAGCCACAAAGGCTCTTCCTAAACGCCGTTTAGGAGTTGATCGAGGATTTGCAGTATTCGTCCCATCCTGACTTGATGCCGTTCCCTCTCCCTTGCTTCCAACGTGACTATCATGGCATTGCATGCTCGCGATGGTCGGCCTGTCGCCTTGCAATTGCCGCAGATCCCTTGGAATGTCAGCGGGTCAGGCACATGGAGGCACATGGGAAACGTGCGCCTAGAGCGATTCCTCCTACAACATGAGCAAGTCTGCGCCGGTCGAACCCCTCTTGATTGGATGAGAATGGCCTCAATGATTGACCTGTTGTTGATGTTGTCGGCATTGATGCGACCACGGTAGAACTCCACGTCTTCTCCGTCCATGTCCAGCAAACGCTCCCCGACGCCCCTTACTCTTGAGCCTATGTAGTCGCGAATTTCGTCCTCGGTCAAGATGGGATTCCCCCCGGTAATGTCGGCATCGATTCGCTCGAAAAGAGCTTGGATATGCCAGTAATTAGGGGGTCTTTCATAAAGTGTCATTTCGGTGATCTGTGATTGGGGTCCGAGGTACCGATACTTCGCGTTGGAAGACCAGGCCTTTTGTAGGAGTGGTGTACAAAGGCTGGATCTGTTCCTTTTTATAGACAAACTTCAAAGTGGTGAAAGCATCGAAGAAGAAGGCATATCGGATGCAAAAGCATTGTTAATTCGAAAATTGAGGATTGTGAGAATGCCGACATTGCCCAGCAAAAGTACCGTGTTCGACAGGCGATGGCGTTCAAGAGATAAGTCAATCAGATTAGATTCAGCTTCACGTTTCTCAGACTGAAGAGGAGGGCAAGGCACTCAGATCGTCCTACTCTTAGAGGCCTGATGCTTCGGGGTCTCAGCTTTGGTTCTTGAATCTTTGTCATCTACCGATTAACCAAGAAGAAGGCGAGGGGCAGCATCTTCCAGGTTCAAGTCAACGAAGCCGGTCAGAGTGGAGAGGGAAAGAGCCCTGCAGCTGAGGGACCTCTCGACTGACTCATGCGACGTCCCTTGCCCACCTCTTTGCGCGTGTTCTGACCTTGTACACTGAATCTCATGGGAACGACCCAAAAAACTGGAATTCAAATAGAACCTCCTCCCCCACCTTTCATAACCATCCCCTCCGCCCCTCTCGATCACACCGCACCAGCCAACTTCTGACGCTGACCTTTCACATTCAGCAACCACTGGAGCGACCGTTTGGTGATCGCATTCCCCACCGCCTCCAAGAGGTTCGCGCTTTTGACATCGGGATCGACCTCGACCATCGCCCGACCGAGCGCCCGCTGGTCCTCGGTTGTTTCAGCGGACGGCCCGGGCGTGGTCACGCAACGCAGTTGACGCGATTCTTTTCCTTACGGATGGTGTATTTGATGCCGCTCAACGAGATCTCGGGATTCAGTTGGGAGATCTTTCGCCGCTCCCCAGCCGATGGAGTGGAGCTTGCAGAGATTCGGACCGGAGCTTGGGGGTGAGTTCTTTGCCGCGCATCATTGCGTTCAGAGCGGGGGATGGAGTGCTGGCTTTTGTTTGGATAAATTGTAGGGCGTAGATATGCGCCTGATCCATGGCAGGATAAAAGCATTCAGCAACCTGGCTGGGCTATTTTACTACTGTTTTGTCTTCAGCGCAAACGCGAGGTCACGTGACGTATGGAGGTAATGCGCGGGGCGTGATGCTGGATGACAACAGAGAAGACTGACACCTGTTTATTTTGTTCCTCAAAATCAATGCTAGCTATACCAATGCATGCTGTATGTACTTCATTTTCTTGGTCTTGACATGCTCACAAGCAGTTCAGATTGGGCCTCATACAGCATGCGACTGTCGCTCACACTCCAACGGTGCCGTACCAACCACCCATTGTACCTCTCACAACCTCGCCATATCCCTGCCCATCGCCCAAACCAGCAACGGGTCCTGCAGAAACCGCTGCATGTCCTCCCTCTCCATGGACATTCGAAACTCCCAGGGCGCCATTCGCGTCGGGGCAGGCAATACCCAGCACTGTCCATTGGTGCGAAAATCCGGGAAATCAAATCGCGCAATATTGCCGAGCGCTTTCCCAAAATCGAGAGCCATCGTATTCAGCAAGCGCATGTTACTGTAGACAAATTGTCCCTCGCTGGGATAATAGGACTGCCAGTCTTTGCTGACTTGCTTTTTCCGTATGAGTGCCTGGATGTATTCTTTGTCGACACCAACAACCGCCTTGTAAGCACGGAGGGTCAGCTCGGCTAGGAGTGCAAGGTCGTAGGTGCTGAGTCCAGGGATCTGGCGGTACATATCCGAAGGCTTACGATTGGATTCTTTGTTAGTGTCCTTGGCAGGGGAGTTGACGGCGGATGATAGAGGTGCGGATGCGGGGACAGGAGCCAGGGCGTTTCCGATGTAATTTGGTGGAAGTATGCCTTTCTGACGGAGCTCAACCATCATAACAATGCTGGTTTCATCGGGTCGGGAGGTGAACCTCTTTTCGTGGTACCGTGATCGCGCCCAGCAGAGCCACATCAAAGCTGCGGCTACGTCGTTATCAGAGAAAACAGGATGCGCCTGGCTTCTGTTCAAAAGTTCCGGCTCGACCTCTCCGGCCGCAAAGCCTAGTAGATCTGTCGTGATGGCTTGACAGGCTTCCTTGAGACGACCAATCACCTCGAAAGGGACCGTTACAAGCTGACATTCCACCTCCTCACGACTGGGGTCGGGGGCTGTCTTTGCACGAGGAAAGATGTCCACAAATTTGGTCTCTGGCATGTTTTCTGCCCGTTCGCCCATCTCGATGATTTTTCTGCGACATTCCATGTCAACCGTCTGGAGTGAAATCTGACGCGTGTGTTGCAGGCCCCGGCAACATACAGCCAGAGCCTTAAGGAGGATGTATACACCCATCCCATCGACGAACATGTGATGGAAGCAGACATCCACGACTATTCCATCTTCGAAGATATTTATCTGCCAACGAAGTGCGGGTGCGCGTTCCTGGTTGATCGCCTCTAGTGGAATGGGTCTGTACTTTGCTTGGCCCAGGATGCTGCCTGTCACTCGATGGGAAATAATCGCCTTCTGGCGGTAAAAATACTCTCTGGTGTGCACATGCGTGCGAACAAGGGGATACTCTTTGAGGCTTGTCTCTGTCGGGGGTCGAACTTCCAAGGTGTTAGTCTTTCCATCTGGGCTTGAGGCGGGACAGACATCTCCCGCAAGGATGGGATTGTGTGCAACCAGGACCTCGATCCCATTTTTAAGAATTAACGCGTCCTCAGTCGGCGATTTTGTCGCAAAGTACGGGAAGCATGTCATATAAAGCCTGGGTAGTAGGTGGTCCAGCGGAGTCAGCGGGAAGGGGGTGAAAGTGGGAGACGCGAATTCACTGTTTATGAGCATTTTTGATGCCGAGACGGCGAGGTATGTCTGAGAATTTAGCTAGAGTCCTTGGATTCCACGAAATGCCACTCCCACTGATTTATATGCACATCAATCGTTCGACATCATGCTGGCCTCAGAAATGAGACGCTCCTTGCTTGCCTGTCACTCGGCTAATGATTGTCCGATGGTCCATGAAGTGTTGTACTGTTGACGTTTCACTACATCCGTAATTGGATTCTTGCATCGACATGCGGAAGCTGGAATGCACTTTTGCAGGGAATCCTTCAGTCTTGTGATAAATGACGCCAGTCTTTGAAATGCCTGGTGCATGAACTTCGGAACACAATCACGTTGTTTCATCATGATTGGAGGCATCTCGGTCCGGCATGGGTGCCGATCTCGCGAGCTGGGAGACTCAATACATGTTCGTTGGGCCACGTCAAGAAGAGTTGGTGAGTCCAGGCATACTAGTTCGGCCGGGTCAGATGTTGAGTTCTTCAGGGACGTAGCTAGAACGTGAAGAATATTTAAGCAGCTAATCAATATATTTGTTCTCCGAACCGGTTTTTATTTGCACTAGACAATGCACGATGATTTGTAGGTTGGTTGAGTTGTTGTTGCTCGGCCCGAGGCAGTCATGTTTGTTGTGTTTGTTGCTGTTGGTACCGGTGGGGAGGCGGTAATTTTCTGCCGCTCGCTTAGAGGCCACGACCGCATTCGAAAATCCTGCCCAAATAACGGCGCGATATCAATAGACTCCCTTTGTGCTTTGTGAGCTATGGTCACCCCATTGCTGAGGTCATGTAGAGGTTCTGAGTGATTATGTCTTCTAGATCCCTCTTGTGATACTGAACTCTCTAGAACTTTGTATTATTCATTCTATGTGACTCGGACCATCATGCTGTCGCGTAGACTGAATATATACCAGATTCTAGTAGTCTTTCAACGAGACTGCGATTGACGTCACTGCAAATCTTTGAAAGCTAACTTGCTTCAAGGAAAACTGTGTGAAGGATAACGATATGTGCACATGTATTCTTTGCCCAAGGGTCTCAGGGATAAGTCCTATGTTGTTTGAATCTGCATATATTTGGTCAGGGGTGAGTGGCATAGTGTTTTGGTCTAACACCGCATGTCTTCTGTCAACTATACTAATCAGATATCTGCAGGCTCAACCACACCCCTAGGGGTCATAATTCATATGACGCCCTTCACGATGATCATCCACATCTCGCTGAGTCAAGAAGGGGTGGTCAATGCTTCTCGCATCGCTGTGCTCAGCCCCGAGTGGTGCTGTGAGCCCGCCTGGTGGTCATTGTGCATACAAGAGCCCCCCTGGCTCTATCGCCTGCACTTCCTCGACACTGCTGGCCGCTTTTGCATCCTGCCGCCGCCCTGCCGCCTCCGTCCTTAGGCCACCAATTTTGGATGCCTGAAAACGTTACGCAGGCTCCCTTATGCCCCCCCGTTACTGAATCCCTTCAACACCAGTATCCGATGATGGCCGAACGGTCTAGGGTCATGTTCTACTGCCAGATACTCGCTACAGCGTTGGAACTCGCATGGGACCTCGCTTGTTCGAATCTCGCTCAGGCCACTACCTGTTCGAATTCTAAGCCGGTATGGGAGCCTTCCTAGTGGTGCGGCCACCGATTCAACTCGGTGGTTAGACAGGGTGGTGGTCAGCCCGCTGTCGCTCGCACGGAGGATGTAAAGGAGCATTATGGCATGTACAAAACACTGGTCTGACCCATTTTTTGGGATTTTTTCCCATTTTCCACTACTGCTACGCGTGAAGTTATACAGACTGCGCGCCAGCAGGCTGTAGATGAGGAACGAGTAGTTGTGTTTGGATTGCCTTACATTGCCAGCGATTTGGTGGTCAGGAGTTCGGATTGCCTGCTTCGATCAGCATGAAGCTATTTCAGACGGTCATTTCCATCAGACACGTCGATTTACAGGATGATGAGCTTGCGATGAGTGGTCTATGCGTCTGAAGCTATTCCTGCGCGTCCTTTTCGTAACCTGCGTTGATCCGCGCAACTGCCCATTCCCCATTCCCCATCCACATTCACCACTGCCATTCCGCTCGCACCCCACCACCGCCTCTTCCAGCTCATTCTGAGGTTATTCCCATTTGTTTCCAGTACATAGGCTCCGACCTTGAAGCTATCTCAGAATTTTACGTTCTACCTACCACTTTGCCTTTCCACCACCACATCAACTAGACATGCACGAAATGATAATTACTTTATCCCATCATCATAATAATTGCCTCACATCAATATCAGTCTAATAAAATTCGATCGCCATTTCATTGCCAAAGTTTCTCTACAAAAGACCTAAGTATGTTCTCAACCCAGCATCGTGCCAAGTCTCTTCATCGCTTCCTCTTGGGGGTCACGTGTATACGCAGGTGAGTGTCTCCAGCTCATCTCTCTCCGTACCCGCCTCTCCCACAACCTAACGACAACATTGACCCTGAGCCTATTCAATTGTTTCGATGTAAGTGTGCCTGGTTTATAAGTCTTGTCTGTTGATGTTGACATCTGACGTCTCACTATAGCTCTTATCTTATCGTTCCTTGCACTCTGCATCATGCTGCCCGCATTCACGATAAGATAACCGTCCCCGCATTGCCTCAACGCAGTGTCACAGAGCGCTTCATCTGCGGTCCAACGATGACGAAAGGATTGCCATGGTGCTGTCAGTGCCTCTCGCAATCCCTGGCGTAAAAATAGATCAATGCGACCGTGTGTTTTGATGATTTTGGCGATACTCATTCAGTGGTTGATTTGTTGACGACGCGATTAGCTTCTCATTAGTATGGAACTCCCTTGACGAAATCATGCCTTTCGAAAGTCTTTTCCGATAGTGGACTACGTGCTTGATACCATCATCTCTATGTTGGAGCTCCTGGAGTCATTTGCGCAGGTAAGAGGACGACTGTGCAGTTGAGCCTCATTAGCCTTGCAGTGATGACAGCTAAGCAAGCGTTTAGAGGGGTATAGGCTGAACGCTACACTCGGATTAGCTCTTGGCTTGAGCTTCAGCCTTGCCCTCCTACCTCCATACTCCCTAGTGGATTTGCTCGCATTCGAAATTCTTTATTTTCTAACCTCATTCATGATGGAGAACCCTATCTCTACAGCCCTCAAAGCGGCCGGAGTATTTCACTTGGGATCACGGTCTTCCAGGATGTCGTTTTATACTACGGCACCTACAGGGTTGTTGATAAGGAGATCATGGGTCTAATCTCCAGGATGAAAGGTTACCCGGTATTTTGAAACATGATACGAGTACTCTGCGCGTTGAAGACACAGCACACGATACAAATCTTGTGAGAAACAACACATCGCGATACAGGGCTTACGGAAGTGGCAGAATATGCTTACAGGCTTTAGGCGTACTTTTGATCCAGCACAGAAGTCATATCTGCGGAGGACGTTGTACTTAGATTGATGAGAGGCCCTCGAAGACATAATTCCACGGTCGCCGGATTGCGGTTCAGTTTGATGCTAGTATTACAGTCTGGTTTAATGTCGTCATTCTCTCGCTTTAAAACTCTCCATACCAGGCTAACTCTCTGCTTGACTTTAGGATCAATCATAAGCGCACAGCTTGTGCTGTCTAGGGTACTCGAAGCTACATCGAAGGTCACTGCTATCGATACGCGTGGTTTGTTGGCTGTCAACGAACGCCTTCGGCATGGGTAAGAGTCGTTGAAGACCTTTGAGTACGTCTATCATTGGCAATCAATATCCATGGTGAATAATGGCCGTTCCACTCTCATGCGATATCCAAGCCAACATGTCCATCAATTAATCGTTCTCAAACCTGGGACGGAAACGCTTCGTGAACCTGCATCTTTGAACTCTCTGCTCGACATGGACAACAAGGTCATATGATAGTACTTTCTCGAAGACTAAAAAATCGCCAGCGACCGAACAGTCGACGCTGCATATTTTATGGGGTTGGTGGAGCAGCTGCAAGCCTATTTCCAGGCAGATATTGTCAGCGATTGGAACGAGTGGCAGAGGTCAAGTCGGGCCATTGTGGCTCTCGAGCAGCGGTAGTACTCGAGGCTTAGCGCGCTCCTGGTAAGGGGTATCTCGGCTGGGTACAGGATTTAGGGGTTATACTGGAGGATTGAGTTGACTGAAGTTCTCCTTGCAAGTAGAACCTTTCGGCCACAGCTGAACGGAAGATTTCATGGAGTATTTTAGCGGCGCTAACTCCATCCGCCACTAGTGCTACTAAGCAATCTATAGTGCGCCCCAATAAGCATCATCATCTCTAATGACAGACATAGGTAGGTCAGCACTAATTTTCCATCCAATTATACATGGACCTTTACATTTCTAATCAGTTACCAATCACAGATAAGAAATTGACACCTTTCCACAACCCGTTGCTTGACTATACCCAGCGCCTCAGTCTTAATCTACACCAAACCCTGGACATACATCACTTTCTAAAAGAAATAACACACCACATCCATTGCGACAACCGAGACACCTCCCACCGCCACGCGAACAAGATGTCATTCATACTTACCCCCTGCACCCCCGCCGATTCCCCCCAGATCGCCCGCGCCATCATGCTCGCGCGTCTGACAGACCCCCACTGGGTCTTTCTCTGGACCGACCCAAACCCCACGCGCCTCATCACCGACGTCGCCGCCCGCTTCCCCTACACTCTAGTCCGTTCCCGCGACCACACGCGCCACCAGATGGTCTCCTACGTGGACGAGTCCGGAGAGAAGACAATAGTCGGCTACGCAAGGTGGACATTACCCGACTTGCTGCTCGATGCAACTCATCAAGCTCTTGCTGGAGAAGCAAATCTCGAGAAACATAATGCGGCGAACGGAGGACGAGATGTCGTCTGGCCAGAGGCGCAGGTTCAAGCGCCTACCGAGGATGAGCTCCGCGAATTTAAAGAGCGATTCGATGCAGCCAGTGACGGGGGCCAAGTCCCTGGGATGAAGCGGGACGGGATGGTGGAGTTTCGGAGTCGGCCGTTGGAGGAGGCGGATGAGCGGGTAACCCGTGGGAAGGAGTTTCTGAGTAAGTTCAATTATCTTGCTATTTCTTCCGTTTCCTTCTAGGGCAGCTCTTCTGCTTCTCCGTTTGGAGCTCGAATTGCTTGCTTGTCAGGTAGAGATCATGTGCTTGTGTTTGGAGGTGGAAGATGTAAGTGTCTAGATTCCGAGGGTGCCGTCTCCTGTCCGGACTTAGACTATGGATGTATGCTGGTCCGTCTTGCCTCTGGCATTCTGATTGTGCGAAGGGAATGCTCGGATGGCACGACTGAGTAGTGGGACTCATTCGACTGAAATCTACTGTGATCAAACGACCAAAGGATAGAAGACTGATACGATCGACCGATATTTCCAGCCCTCGACTACCTCTGCACCCACCCGGACTTCTGGCGCCGAGGTGTCGGAAGTATGCTCGTGGCAAGCGGGCTGCAGGTGGCCGATAGGTGCGGCCTCAGGACGTATGTTATGTCCGAGCCGGCGGGGTTGAAGGTCTACTCGAAGCATGGTTTCAGGGTGGTGGAGACGGTGAGCACGGATTATTCCCGATTTGGGGGTCAGGAGCCCCAGGTGCTTTATTTTCTGGTTAGGGAGGTGGGAGGAGGGGTTTAGTTGCTCGAATGCTTGAGGATTGAGGGAATGGAGTGTGTGGGGAGGATGGAGGTTATCTTGGGGCTTTTGTGCTGTTGATCGTCAAGACTGATGTGCTATACCGGAGGATCATGGGATTGCAATAGGTTGGAGTAAAAGGCTCATTGATAGCCTTGCATTGCGGTAGGTGACTGATAGAGCAAACTCGATGCCAGGTAGCGGAGTCTAGTGTAGAGCTGGTGATTGCACCTCTTGCATGAATAGGACTATTCTGGCAGGGCACTTTTGCCAACAGAACAGCGCGGCAAACACTAGGTAGATCACCAGTGATGCCTGAATATTTGACTTCAAGTTATTTCTACCAGCAACATCAAAGTCAGTATCCCTGTATATCTTATGTTCATGATTAAGATACTCAATCAAGAAGAAAAGAAAAGGGAAGGTTATCTACTGCGTACTCTTTAAGGGATTGGAAGCCTACTATGTAGAAGCTAAGAGATTATTCCCCATCACTGTTTAAAGAGGAAGGGAGAAGAGTAGATAGACTATCTAGGAGAGGCTTATCTAGGGAGACTATCTAAAGTTAGAAGAGTAGATCAACCGCCCTGTTTTCGTTTAGCCGAACTGCCCTGTGGGATTAGCCCGCGCTTGCATGCATTGGCATCTATTGTGTTGGATGACAGTAAAGAAGATATATCCATGTTTTCAACATTGACTGGCTAGATCAACTGCTGTACAGTTCAAGCGTCCGAGAACGTGGGCGTAGCAATCGGACAGAAGTCGGGAAAGGATCGGCTAGGCATCAATGCCGAACTACCGGGTCTCGGATTTGTGGCGATCCCACACAAATGCGCACAAAGTCTCTGTACGGAGGGATAAATCATCAACCAAACGTGTTTCCACCAGGAACACTGCTGAAATGACGTCACGGACCGCTATCCCAAATGAAAACTCAGATCGTTTCAAAAAGCACAAGACGCAGAGACTTCTAGAAGCTTTTTTAAAGAAGACGCCCCAATAGGGCCACCATCCCGGTGGTAGCGCGACCGTCAGCATCTTAATGCTTCTTAACTCCGGCAGTGGGGCGTCAGCAGGTTGCAGATTCACGCTAGCGCCCAGAAACCACCGCTCTTCCCTGGTTAGTGACAGTATCTTCTATGGATGGGTTCCAGACTCGGCGGGCAGTTGAACGCTCAATGTCCAATGATGGTGCTGTTCCGCAATTACCGGGCCCAATAGATTGGCTCAGTCGGTTCGACTTTGCCGGTGACAATGAGGCAAATGGCGCATTCGCTGACCGTCTTGTTTTGTAAGCCGGACTTTACTCGTAGATGACCTGAATCATGGCTGGACCGAGGCATGCCCCTGGCGCCACGATGTCGCTCCCGTCTTATCCACATTCTTGGAACCCGGTAAGCCTACTGACGGCCCTTCTGAACGGAGATTCACTCGGAAGACATGCCCCACAGCACGGCAAAACGACGCAGAGAGAAACAGAAACACTTTTCTGCGGAATTTATAAGCAGTTCCCTGGTTTACCACGATCTGCGTTGGAGCACGCAAATATAAAGGCAGCGAGGACCCGCGGAGACTCAGCCATCCAGACAATCGTCATCTCACACAGACACACACATTCACAATGGCTGCCACCGATTACAAGTTTGAGGGTTGGATGGGTCTCGAGCCCAAGGCTGCCGAAGGCCACATGGTCTGGCAGGAGTTCGAGCCCAAGCCCTGGGAGGAGACCGACGTTGACATTAAGATCACCCACTGCGGTATCTGCGGTTCTGACATGCACACCCTGAGAAGCGGATGGGTATGTACCCATTCTCGATGAGATAGTGTTCCGTCTGCTAACTTGCCTAGGGCCCCACGAACTACCCCTGCTGTGTTGGTCACGAGATTGTCGGTATTGCCGTTCGCGTCGGCTCCAAGGTCGAGGGCATCAAGGTTGGTGACCGTGTTGGTGTCGGTGCCCAGAGCGAGTCTTGCATGGGCCGCAACGGCGACTGTGAGGCTTGCGCCTCCGGCCTCGAGCAATACTGCCCCAAGTCTATGGTTGGCACATACAACGGCGTGTACGCCAACGGTGGCAAGTCGTACGGTGGTTATGCTCGCTACAACCGTTCGCCTTCCCGCTTCGTCGTCAAGATCCCCGATGCCATTCCCTCCGCTGAAGCCGCTCCCATGCTTTGCGGTGGTATCACCACCTACTCTCCCCTGAAGCACTTCGGCTGCGGTCCCGGCAAGCGTGTCGGAATCATCGGTGTTGGTGGTCTTGGCCACTTCGGTATCATGTTCGCCAAGGCTCTCGGTGCCGACAAGGTCATCGCCATCTCCCGCAAGGGCAATAAGAGAGAGGACGCTCTGAAGCTCGGAGCTGATGCTTACATCGCTACCGACGAGGATTCCGAGTGGGCCTCGAAAAACGCCCGCTCCCTCGACCTCATCATCTCCACCGTCTCCTCCTCCAAAGTATGTTCATTCGTCCCGGTTGTCTCGTCGTCCGTTGAATTGCCTACTAACTTCCGTAGATGCCCATCACCGATTACGTCCAGCTTCTTGACCTCGACGGTGCGTTTGTTCAGCTCGGTGTTCCCGAGGACGGTGCTCTGGCCATCCCCGCCCCCGCTCTGATCTTCAAGCGCGTCAAGTTCAGCGGCTCCCTTATTGGTTCTCCCAGCGAGATCAGCGAGATGCTCGCGTTGGCTGCAGAGAAGAACGTCCGCACCTGGATCGAGGAGCGCCCCATGAAGGACGCCAACGCTGCCGTCGTCGATATGAATGCTGGCAAGGCCAGATACCGTTACGTCCTCTGCAACGAGCAGTGAATCGACGTAACTTGAAAATCATTGTGTATATAGACACCCATAGACTTAATGACTCGATGTGATTAGACAGACATACCATTCAGGCAGGAATCCCCTCAAAGGCACGTAGAATATACTCCACTCCAGCAATTGTGACGGTCTGTCCAGTCTTCCAATTCTGCGGCTCGAAAATATCCTTCATCGAGGGCAGCTTGCTCGCTTTCGGACCGAGACTGTACTTGGTGCACCACCTTTTACTGGGGTCCCATTCTTCTCGAAGAGCACTCACCTTTTCTCCATCTTTGACGATGATAGCATTCGACTCTGGGGATTGAACATGCTTCTGCACCTGACGCAGAGCGAGATACGTCCCCCAGACGCGTCCAAGAAACGTCCGAGTGACCTCGCCCTCCTCACCGTCCTGGAGATCAGGACCAATCTGTGACTCCAAGACCCACGATACACCCCGTCCTGCCCCCTCAGGGCCCCGCCTAAACTCCAACTCCCGCCACACTTCCTCATACTCGCAAACAGGTTTGCCGGGTAGATCCGCCCGAGGCATGGACCCCTTTTCAAGATCATCCCCGTTCGGGAGCGTGGAGAAAGTTCCACAATCGACGTCATCGAACGAGTTGCGCGAGTCGAGCTCGTGTGTAAATTGTACGCGGGCTAAGTGAGAAGTTAGTGGGCTGGATCGGCGGCGAGCAAGGCAGGCCAAAAGGATGCATACTCGAGTCATTGGAATCCACGACACGTTGACCAGCAATGGCCCAGTCAATTGTCTTTGTGGCTTGATCGACGCGCAGGTCGACGTACCAGCCTGCTACCGACATGACGATTGTGTCGGTGTTTTCGAAGGTGGGGGCCGGGGGCCAGCGGAGGGATATGCGGGTGGAGAGGCGGCTTTGGGAGGGCGGGGGAGTGATGGGTGACATTTTTTCGGATAATGGGACTGCTGAGGAGAAGTTGCATTGATAATAGTGTCGAAGGGAGACTTCAGGTAGAGAGAGAGAAGAAGTAGAGAAGTTGAGAGAAAAGGGAGTACCTTGCTGGCAACTGGAGGTGCTTTATCCCCGCTGGCTGCACTCCGATAAGCCGCCCGGGGAAGGGGATGGAGGGTTAGTCCATTTTGGGTTTAGTGGCTTGTGCTGCTGCTGCTTGCTGCTTGTCGTTATCTGTTATCTCGCTCCCGAGACGCATGCAACACCAATATTCACCATTGCATGAAGTTCTACAAATGACGGTGACAACGACAATGACATCTGCTCCCACTTGAGCAACCTCTACCTCAATACTCTGCCTTTCTGCTTTCGGGCAAAACTATTACCCAGAGATGAAATCTGCCGCCCGTCAACGCTCTTCATGGGCTGCAAAGCGGGAGACAACCGCACCGTGCCAAAACTATATCTGTCTGCACGATGTATTGGAATAGGCCAGTCAACAAGGTCTGACGTGGAAGACTTGTTTATTGAAAGCAAGCCAGGAAGGCACAGGGCTAGCAATCGCATCTGGAATATTGACCGCCATGAGACAGTCGATCGACGAAAGGCCACTGGGCCAAGTATGACATATTTTTCCGCAGCTTTGATGAGGTCTTCTTATGTCGGATGTACAATGGGTGCGAAAAAAATACCGAGCCAGACAGATCGGCAATGGCTGCAACAGCTCTCAGCTACTCGGATTCTGATCACGAGAAGAATATCTGCACAGGCTACGAAACACAAACTGAGATTACGGTAGATATTCCAAGTATTTCGAATGGAGACACAAGTCAATTAACATCTCCTATAGATCATCCTTATCACGGCGGTGACCACCTACAAAATTCTATAACTATACCCCCCTTGACGGCGTGGAAATCATGCCAAGCCTACGATCAGAACAACTCAATAACATTGTGGATTCAGATTGGCAATCGTTTGCTATCAGTCCATATGATGGGAGCACATGCATCAAGCACTGTACGGGCCTGGTTCGTCATCGCCTTGAGACAGCTGATACTCCTAGGCGTCCAGATCGGCCGCGGCTTCCGTTCATTCGCCATATCTCAACTTCAAAATGGTATAAGGTGATGATAAAACATGGACTATCCTACGGTGCCTGCTTTTGTGGGTTGCGAGAGACAACCGCAGATCTGCGCGGAGACCGAGCTGTAGCCATTGTGTCGTATAAAGTAGCTCTTGGCAAATCTCGGTAACAGATGCATCCCAGGTCATTGACCAGTGCTTGCAACTGCTGGGAGTTGCTGCCAATGCTGGCCTAACGCGCAATTTGAACAGATGCTGCATTCCCGCCTCGTTCAGTAAGGTATTTATCGGCCATGAAGCGCCGAGTCTCACTGTCGAGGCAACAGTTCTAAGCAATTGCCACCACATTCAAGGGAACACAGTCGCTACAGATCACGGGCAAACAATACCATCAATCACAGAGGAAGTATTTGTACCTCTTGATGACAGCTTTGATCACTGTGCTGATCCTGTCCCGTTCATTGCTCTTCTAAATTGACAGCCGGATATCGAGCTGGGCCCGATTGAGGGCCTTTTGTAGAGACGAGAATCCGTCGACAAAAAATAGTCGAATGCGTCTGAAGAGGGGGTAAATATGGACTGCTCTGTCTTTTAGAGGCAGTGGAAGAAATTCATGGTCTTTCCACTTTGCGAATCTCACTTGCGAAAAGTGGAAGAACTGGATTCTATCTAAGCGGAAAAAGCGCGCCGGAGCTAAAATCCGCTGTTCCCAAATTCAGCTACTTGGGCATCAATGACATCAGCTGAGAGGCGGTTCTTGATGGAATCCCTTGAATGCGCATCTGAAGAGAGCAGGATGGATAGATAGACTTTATACGCGATGCCAAGTTCATAGGGACAAGTTGCCGCCGTATCATTAACGGAAAAATCAAGCCACTTCGTCGCAGTGGGGATAAGAAACTGGATGCCGCGCGATTTCGGTCTCGATCTCGGCTGACCGCAGATCTCCAAGGCTAAAAACAATCGGCGGCCTGATTGATCTGGCTATCAAACAATTGCAGCTAAAGTTCCCCCCTCGTACGGGGCGGTAAATTGGATAAGGAAGAGGTAGTTAGAAGAATATACTTTGACTAAGACGGAAGCATAGCAAACAATGGAGGAGGATTCGATACGAAGCCAGGTGGCATTATTTCTTCATTTGACAATATCATTCACTTGACGCTTTACTTTGGGACTGGCTGGTGTCTCTGGTTCATCATCGGAGCTTTCGGTTCCGATTCGCTGCCTTTCTCATGCTTCTTTTCTAGTTAAGTTAGCAAGTAATGGAAAGAAAAACAAAAGAGGAAAGATACGGCCCGAGCCGCGGATCGAACGCGGGACCTCTCGCAGATATGCTTGGGTTTGGAATCCCTAAGCGAGAATCATACCACTAGACCACCCGGGCTTGTATGTGATTAGTAATGGAGATCTGTATTGATGTAACAAATTACAATGTTAGACAGCAAAGGTCAACACCGCGGCATCGTATCAATTCCCCAACATGCCATGCCATAAGTCAAATCATGCAATAACGCGATATCTATGTTTCCATACTCGTCTCAAGAACTATTCTCAGTGTGCATGATGGAGATATCTAGCCCGTATAGATCTTGGAAATTGTGCGGTGGTTTGGAGTTTGGAAGAAACATGTGAAGTTTATATACCTCTCCTCACTGGGAACATGCTTCCAACATTTTGCCTTTATTGGCATTTCCAGAAGTGAGACTGCCTACCATCTGATGACCTTTTTGATTTACATCTAATCAAAAGATAGCTGCTTGGGTCGGGAAGTTGGTATTGTGCGTAATGTGACACCAGTAGCAATGTCCGTCGATATGGAACCACATATTATAGTACATTATCTATGGGTCTATATTAACCTTAGTAGTATAGATGACCGCTGGCAGAAAGGCTTCCTTTGCAATACCTCCCACTCGCTCCGGGCTCATGCATAGTCTCTCTCCGCAAACACAGGTGCTCATTTCATCATCACCCGGAACCCATTCTCCAGCCCAACATCCAATTCCAAGAAGTCCGCAACCAGCCCCAGATGATCCACGCCCCAGAATCCCTCCTTCTCTCCAGACGGACTCGTGCACATCAGCCATGGTAGTCCGAATGCTCCCTCCTGGAAGGCCTGCAGGGTGTTTGATTCCAGCAGAGCTTTTCCTTCGGCTTGTTGCTCCTATTTCATGAGTGAGTACTCGCTTGTCAAGTTCGTTATCCGCCTATCTCAGAGAAGAGAAGGGGCTGGAGAGAAAAATACCTGACTCATTAGGCCCTCCATAACGTCGCCTCCCAGAACGTCCGCTAAAACCTCCTTATACCTCTCGGGAACCGTGGCGAAAGCAGAGTCCCCGGCTGCCCAAATAGAAATATACAGGCGCTCCACTATCTCCACTAGCTTCTCAGGATGCGAGACAGCGACGAGCGCGAGAAGGGATTGAATGTCTGCTGTCGGGAAAGGAAAGCCCGCGGGAACGGTCTCGGTCATGGGGATGTTGAGGCGATGGGACCATACTAAGCGGTGACGGTTGATGTACGTCAACTTATCTGAGGCACATTAGCACTGTGTTTTGGGGCTGATGGAAAGGACCTAGGGATATACTTTTTATAGCGATAGGAGGGGGGTTTCCGCATGTGACGAGTAGAGTGCGCAGGGCGACGGGGGTGTACGTTATCTTGCAGGACTTATAGACTAAGGAGTTCTGGGATTGTTAGTTGTTTCTGGGGAGATTTGTCTGGGGAAAGGCGAATGTTACCCTGAGGACCTGGAATGCGATGTAGCTGAATGGGCTGACGAGGTCGAAGTAAAGGGTTATTTCGGGGGTTGTCTGGTGGGTGGTCATGATGGGAGATGTTTTTTGCGTGATGAAAAGCGTTGCTTCTAACCGAGCTCTAGTATATGTGCATCATAGACCCAGAGAAGATTCTTGCTGTTTATGTAGAAAAAAAAAGTATACCATCGACTGGGTGTGGCCTGCTGTGGACTGAAGCCTGAGGCATGGTTGATGACTTAGGCATCATTTTTCGAGTGGTTGAGACGCAGCTTGTCGGCCCCAACCTAACCTGATTAGGGAATAAGGGTGACTCACCCCCTCAACCGTCATTTTTGATTATTCTATCACTCCGACTGTGTTTCTCAACTCTTTGCAGCCTTAGGCATGAGAAAGGCAGGAACACAATCATAGAGAATCGATCCATCAGGGATGGCAGCCAAGCTTCGATCTGCAGTTTCATCTGTAACAGATCAGATCATCGACAGGCAAAACAAGCTCTTCCACTACGCACGTTTCGTTGTCCTACTACAATGATCATACTAACATGTCAGCTCTCTCCATGAGTCGGCATAATAGAATGTCATAAGTGAGTCGGTGAGTCTGAAAGGAATCTCCTACTGCTGGAATCATGGGTGCATGTTTTCACCAATTGAGGACATAGATTGCAGCACATGCAGGGGATGGTAGTTGCACTATAATCGACGAGACCATATCAATCCCATGCACAGCTAGGTGCAGGTCTGCCGTGTCATTATCATATGCCAACGACTAGCATTGACTGCGAATTGTATCAAAATGATATTCTTCGCAAGTCTATTGCATTGTAACTTCTCCTATCCTAATGCTCCCTACAGCGTAGAATGAAGTTGACCAGAACCTTGCCGCGAGCCCATATGATTATTGCAACAATCCAGTCAACCGGACTGACCTAGTGAATCTTTGTGTTGCCATTGGCGTTTATCATCTCAGAGGGTCAGACATTGTGCAGGAATCAGACGAAGTGAATTCATGTGCCCACCATAGATCTATCTGGGCTCGTCACGAGGAGAGAAGAAGTTGCGAGGAAGGGGAGGTGAGGTATCTTCAGTGAGCTTTGAATGGTTGAATATAATGCAAGGAGTGCTCGAATGAAGAGCAGGTGGTTACAGGGCTACACTGCCTTCTCGTTTCAGTCTCTTGTAGCCTTGAACTTCACTTCCTTTATCCCACACCACCTTATGGAACATGCAACTCTCACCGAGTAGCTCCGACCAGCTCTTCTTGTGATCAACTGAATCAATCAAGAGAAGTTCTATCATGTCGTCCGCTATGGTACTACGTGCCACCATCGCTGAAATACTATGTAATAGTCCAATTCTGCTGACCCACTGTAGTCCCATCGGCGCCCCCCCTATCCTCTTCGAACAGTCTGTTTTAACTACATGGCTCTTCGCGGCTCAATTAAATTAACTCTTCCTACCTCGGAGAATCTGTACGATCAGGCATAATCTTGGTCCTCCTGCTTTTTACATCGCACACATTTTGAGTCCAATCTCAGGTGGACTCGCGTGGGGTCCGCTGAAATGTCCACGTCAGCTTCAAAACCCCGCAAATTGACCTGACTTGAGTGGTAGCCAGTACTAAGTGTCCTGTCATGCGAATTGGCATTACTTTCTTCGAAAAGCAAGATAACTTAAACTCCGATGGCGTGTAGGTATTCGGAGCCAATCATGAACCTAGCTCCACCGCCCGTCTTGTTCACATCCGCGGATACACGTCAGCTCATATAAAAATCCTCACATATCATCAGGGTTTCGGTACTTTGGCGCCGAACCGGCAATTCATTTGATAATACACAAATGAGTTTCAGGAGGCGCGACCGGACATTCCTGCTCTCTAATCAGTTAATGAAACCACGCGAATGACCCATAGGTGCAATATGTGCGATATGAGGCGCAGGATCCTCTCCGGACACGGACTCAATATCGCTGATGACGCCAAGAGACATGTAAAAAAAAGATGACTACGAAGCAGAACTGCTGACGCAGGAAACCAACCGGTGAGGCGTAATGCGATCTGATGCTTGCAAATTCCTCGCTTCCCAATGAATCGAGCGCCTTGCCGCTGCTACCGTGATGATACTCGTGGAAGAAAAAGTGTCTAAAACGTGCCGCATCGCGGAGGTGGTGTTCTGCAGCGACGGCTCATGCGCAACTTGCATGAGATTTCCGGTGCTTGGTTCCGGTATTCCCGCCAATGAGTTACCCCGAAACTAGCTTGGTATCTCAGGGGCAGAATGGTGTTTGAACACGGACACAGTCCGAGAGAGGCAAGTGTAACAGCCTAAGATTGCCCCTTGAGAACATGGTATCAAGTCACTGTGATATTATCAACCTCAATATGCGCTCTCAGACCGAGTCGAGTTACGAACATGTCTCTGTCCGGGAAAGACCCTGTTGCAGTGGTTGAGCGACCCCTGGATGCCCCCCACAAGCCGACCGTCGGCGATCGGCGTTGCGAGCAGCCCTAAAAGCTCTCCTATTTCGGATCTGGTGTGGGTCAACTCTTCATATTCGTCAAGACCTTGTCTTGACCCATTCCTCATGCTGTTATTAAGCTTAATCATTGGAGGTTAAACGTTGATATTAATCAAAGACAGGGATGGCTGTGATTGCACCATGGTATATGAAACGGAGAAACTTGGGCGGTGATAGGCTCCACTAACCTTGAGAAGCATCAGAAGCTTCCCCGAACGCCTCCACCGGTCTTTAGCCGCCGGCGGACTTGCCTGAAATTTCCTAGTGATTTCAGATATAGCTATCTTTACTCAACTCGGGTTTGCAGACAGCCCGCTGCAACCCCCCACCCAAGTCTCCTGACGGATATGAGACGAATATGGTCCTAACAAGGAAATGCTCGCGCTCAATTCAATTGATCCGGCTGCTGAGACAATGTATAAAAGCCTTTGACTTTCTCAAAGACTGAACATCATCTCGCCGATCCAGTCGATCATACACTCGCAACATCGCAGAAATGGTTAAATCAGTCTTGGCTTCCGCTCTCTTCGCCGTGTCCGCACTGGCTGCCAGCCGTACCACGGCTCCCTCGGGCTCCATCGTCGTTGCCAAGTCTGGTGGTGACTATGACACTGTGAGTATCTCTGCAGAATCAAGACTGGCTATGATACTGATTCCCGGCTAGATCAGTGCTGCTATCGATGCTCTGAGCACCACCACCACTGATACTCAGACCATTTTCATCGAGGAAGGTACCTACGATGAGCAGGTTTACCTTCCCGCCATGAGCGGCAAGGTTATCATCTACGGTCAAACCGAGAAGTAGGTTGGTAGATCCTACCCCCGGGGAAACATGCTCATTCTCGTCATAGCACCGACTCCTACGCCGACAACCTGGTCACCATCACCCACGCCATCAGTTACGAGGAAGCTGGCGAGGAAGATGACCTGACAGCCACCTTCCGCAACAAGGCTGTCGGCTCCCAGGTCTACAACCTCAACATCGCCAACACCTGCGGTGCGGATTGCCACCAGGCCCTGGCCGTGAGCGCCTACGCCACCGAGCAGGCTTACTATGCCTGTAACTTCACCGGTTACCAGGATACCCTCCTGGCTCAGACCGGTAACCAGCTCTATATCAAGTCCTACATTGAGGGTGCTGTGTAAGTAGCCTTCAACACAAGGGGATACCCGCGCTAACTCGTCCAGCGACTTCATCTTCGGCCAGCACGCTCGTGCCTGGTTCCAGGAGGTTGACATCCGTGTCGTCGAGGGACCTTCCTCCGCCTCCATTACCGCTAACGGCCGCTCCTCCGAATCCGACACCTCTTTCTATGTGATCAACAAGTCCACCGTTGCCGCTGCTGAGGGCAACGACGTTGCCGAGGGCACCTACTACTTGGGTACGTTGTACTCGGTTGAAAGCGTTCTCATTGAACCAAGCTAACGTGATTGCAGGCCGCCCCTGGTCCGAGTACGCCCGGGTCGTCTTCCAGCAGACCGACATGACCAACGTCATTAACTCCCTCGGCTGGACTGAGTGGTCCACCTCTACCCCGAACACCGAGTACGTTACCTTCGGCGAGTACGCCAACACCGGTGCCGGATCCGAGGGCACCCGCGCCAGCTTCGCGGAGAAGCTGGACTCCAAGCTCAACATCTCGTACATTCTGGGCTCCGACTACACCAACTGGGTCGATACCTCCTACTTCTAAGCTTGAGCTCAGATGTTCGTGATAAAGTTTCGATGGCGTCGACGCCCTTTAGCTGAGCTGAGCCGAGCCGACCGTATGCGGTGCATACCTTATCCTTACCCTTCTTATTAGCTACTCTTCTTTAAACAAATTTAATTGGCATGCATAGTTCGTGCTTCATCACACATTACTTTTCTTGCCATTACCCCTCGGAGTTCATGTAACCACAATCTGCACGTATTGTCTACGGTGATCGAAACACCCGACTTCTTCCCCCTCGCTTGATACCCTTGCATTCAGCAACCGCATCAGCGGCATCTCTTCCCCTTCAACTCGATAAATTGCCGACAGCAACCTCATCGTTCCGATACTCGATGATATTCAAATCCCTTTTTATCTCCATATGAGCACTGCATTATGTCTCTGCATTTGTCCCAGAGAGATCACTTTCGTCCCAGGCCTCTCATCCTTGTATTCATCTCCTCAGCAACCAGGTGCATATCCATGATGGTGCCCAAGTAAATAATCACGTGATCATAATCACCACCAATCTCAAACGATCGCCTTGGCGCACCTCCCCTCTCTCTTCTCTGCGCTGAAGAAACAAACACTTACAACCGGAAGGATCGATATAACTACCGGCATTCACGTGAGAGGGGGATCTAACTAACTGGCTAGTCAACTAGCTAACTGATCAAATTAACATTAGTATCCATGGCTTAACTATATCATTAGAAGGGTGACTAAATTTAATTCGCACTTAATAACCTATAACGTAATTCCCGGTCGGTCCGCCCACCCCGATCGTTCCGCCCACCTCATCGATATCATATATACTCGACAACTTTGAAGCTATCTCCATCAACCACCAACTGTATAAAATTGATAAAACTAATTACAATGACGATTAGGACAGCTTATTCTTTTATAGCCTTGAACATGATAATCAGAACATATTGGTGGAGTATATTTTAGTGGTTGCAAAGATTCTATAGTAGATTCTGTAAAGAAATCTAAACCACTACTATGCTTATTTAATTACTTATTTCTTAATGTAATTGTATCTCTAGCCTCTTGTACTTAAAGGTCTTGATTAGGAGTTATTTAGTACTTAGATCGACTCTTTTTCTACTTCTAAACTTAACTTTCTACGTGGAGATCTTATAATTCTTTTAATATAAAGGTAGTCTGGTGTATTATAAATTTGTACCTCTTAATTAGCTTATTAAACTACTTCTTTAACAGTAAGAAAGGGCTCCTAGAGCCTCTATATAGAATCTTCTTAATTAATAAAGTCTTTTTATGCAGATAACGGATTATATAAGGTATGGTAACTATTAAGAAGCTTATTAAGGTATTATCACGGCTGGAAGGGGATAATAGAGTTGAAAATAAATAATTTAGCTTATTAAGCACCTGGCAAGGCTTAAAAGACTCTATTCCAGCTACAGTAAAACTGCTCTAAATATTCTGAGCTGTAAAGACTATCTGATAAGCTATAGAATATACTTTTAAGAAGTCAAGCTTATTAATATAGCTGAATCCTAGTTATATCTTTACCTCAACAAGCTGACTATATGCTTGTTTTAGTAGACCAAAGTAACCGATATCCAGTGGTTGTAGGAGATGAGATGAATAAGAAGATATGTATAGATAAATAATATAATTATCCTTATAGAGTTTATTAAACTAAGATATAAGATAGCTTCCATGGCTATTAAGAACTAGTAATTAATATTTTCTAACTATACAGGGAGTTGTTGTAGGAATAAAAATATTTTAAAGTCATTAAAGATCTATCTTATCTGTAGTCCAGCTATTGGTGCTTATTTCAATCCTCTAAGATAATAATAGATTAATTTCTTCAAACCATCCCTTAATATAGACTCTGTCTTTAAAGATAATATATATAGAGAGGCTCCAACCCCTAGTATTAATATATTTAATAATAGTAACCCATTCCTACTGTCCTAGTTGAATAAGGCGAGGCCTACCAGGCATATTAAATCTAGTAATCACCTTAGTAGTTGCTATAAGACCTATAGCAAAGCCAGTTTTATTAAAGTTGTATATATTCTTAGTAGAGATGCTATATTATATCTGAATTTTCTTTAGATAGTTAAACCACTGCTTTATAGCTTAGAATTCTTATAAAGCACTTACTAGTAGTTATATCTTCTTACAAATCAACTTCTAATCTCATTATAGTATTTAATAAACTCTGTAACCCAGTTCTTTCCTACAGCTTATTGGCCAGATATAGATTCTTCTTAAAGAAGAATATTAGCTATTTCCTTTACCTAGCTCAGCCTAGGGGCTGCTCCACAAATATCCTAAGATATTATTTATTTAATTAAGGCCTTTTCCTGAGTCTCAGATAGCCGGTATCTAACATTACAATGTTCTGGTCGAAATTAATAATCTAATAATCAATCTTAGAGTATTAAATAAGGTATATTATAAACTTCTACGGCATAGTAAATACTTAGAATTTCGCTATTATTCAAAGCTCTTATTGTAAGTTGAAGCCTTTCCTCTTACTCCATTAAATTTTAAGATGATTAACACACTTTTAGTAGTATAGTAGTTGTTTGAAGATCGATTATAATTATACGCGTCAAAACTCGATGAGGTGGGCGGAACGATCGGGGTGGGCGGACCGACCGGGAATTACGTTACATTACATAGTTATGTCAGTGACATTAAAGCTAGATTAGTGCTTGCCATGAGTTTATCAGTTGAAGAGATGGGATACCCTGTGGTGTACGTACTCGACCGCATGGCTTTAGAGCAGTCAATTCATCAATCCAGTCCGAAAGTCACGGTGTATCCGGATTCAGCCAAACACCCCCCACCCCCGCCGGGGCGCCATCATCATTACCACCTTCTACAGTAAAAGCTAGGTCGAGAGTTTGACCTCCTCCGACCGAAGGGTTTCAACCTCTATGCTAGATCCGATTAAAGTGTATCTCGACGAGCCGAGTTAATTAAAATGACGGCACATCTATTGAAGCTATACACAGTACGGACCGAACCCATAAGCCCAATGAATCAGTCGACAATTTTTTGCCACGAAATTAGGCTTGCTCAGTTCCGGCCGAGAGGGCGGTGGCCTTAGGTACAAGGAACGGTTGCCTGATTGCAGGGGAAGTGAGAGTTCCCGCTGAGTCAGGGGGTAGTCAGGGGTGGACCCGCTTGCGACCGACGAATCCCGAGACAATCATCCCGGGCGTGACTGGTGTGATTCCGGCCAACAATAGATGAGTGTTTGAGTCAGAAAGAGCTGTGATTGGGCAATGTCTAGGCTAGTACGTGACTACCGTAATACCCGTGACTACCTCTAGGTACCTAGTGTGATAATTTGGCTTGCGGGCGGGTTTTGACCGCTGCTTCTGAACAAAAAGGCTGAGTCTTGGGTTCCGCCGAAGACTGATCCTACGGAATATGGATTGAGGGATATCAATGAGATGTACTGAGTAAGAATATCCATAAGATGGTCAGACAGTTCGTGCTGGCACCACTCTCCGTCATCAAACCTCCCCGTACAGATATCCCAGCATCGACTCCACCGCCTCCTTCAGCTCCGTAGCATCATCGCAGGCTGCAAACACAAATCGGTCCGGTCGGACGATCACATATCTGCCTGGAACCCTCTTCCGAATCGAATACGGATCATATGACAAGGGTGCAGGACGATGACTGCATAAAGGTGAGGTGGAGAACTCTTCTGCGCTGGCGATCCGGTACACGTTCGGCATCGGAACAGAGCTCGTCGGGTTGATGGTCTCCACTAGGATAGGGACCTCTTTGCTATGGAGTTCTCCGCGAGACAACTCTTCAAGTTCGTCCAAAGCGTCCCTTGCAGCAGCGACCTCGCCCCCATCTCGTAAGTAAATGAACAAGCGAAATAGAGATCTGGCCCCGGGTCGAAAGATAGCGTCGTCACTGAAGACGACTTTGCCGGTAGCCGTTCGGCAGTATACCTGGGGCAAGTAGATACCTCCGTTAAGCTTAGGGATGAAAGGCATCCCCTTGGAATATTCAAGTCGAAAAGAGGCGGTCTCGCGACCACCGTGTCGTAGTTGATCCCGATACTTTGAGAAGAGCTGCTGAAGCCAAAGCGACCAGTTGCGCCAGAGGAATTTCAACAGATTCCTTTCGCAGACCAGTTTGCCATTGCGAACAGTCCTTTCTAGAGACACTTCGAGTTGCTGCTTGCGTTCAAGATACCATGCGGCCAGCACGTTCTCGTGATTGCGTTTGTATGACTGGTATCGGCAGAGCATGGCGAGTCGCCATGATAGAGAGACTGCATCGCGGAAGCCGGACACTATGCCTTGGCCGCCAACTGAGCAACAGGTGTAAGCATTCAGCAGGATGAACAAGTTGAGTGACCTTACAAGGCGGAAATACATGTGCCGCATCGCCGCACAGAATCACCCTCTTCTTAGCCCATACATTGCACGTACCAGATGAGGATCGGAAAGGGCGGCAACGAAGGACGCTGATGCAATCTTCAGGGAATTCTACATCTCGAACCAGTCTACCGAGATACCAACCAGTGTGTTTATAAGGCAGAGAAAACCACTTACCCGTATCGGCTGCCTTTGTGCGTCAGGTAGGGAAGAACAATCCGCTTCATCTCTTCTGGTTCGGTCTTTCAAATCTCCATCCTCACTGCGATGGATAAGATACTCAAACCTCTAAAGCCTATCCTCGAGGAGGCCAAAGCGAACACAAACCGCCGGTCTCTTTCGGTTGCATAAGAAACGAAAATCGGGCGGAAAGAGTAAGTCGTAAACATCTTCTGGTTTGTAACCCAGGTCCCATAGGGGAAAACAGGGATGTGTTTCGGGCGTGGGGAGGGTCATCTTCCAATTTAATGCCACCTATCTCTCGTCGTAGAACGCTCTGTAATTTATGGTCAGTATCTGCTCTTTCTAAAGGCCAAGTGACTGACTCGTGGAACCTCTCCAAGACCACCCGGGGTTCCAGATATTGTTTCCGGGTGTACCCCGTCTTGCCGTCTGCACCCATCAAAATATCGAGTACGCATATTATGGTCTCTCCCATCCGCATTATGGTACGTGCAGTATACCCAGACCTCATCTTCCTTGACCTCAACGATGGTGGATTGGCATCGTAGGGAACAATACGCGGGAGTCAGGGCGTCTCTCAACTTCTTCTCGAGCACGGGCTGGTTTTGGCCGATGTATCCGACATGGCCTGTGGCACCAACCGTCTAGTGGCAGTGAGCATCGACCATGAAGTGTGCAAAATCCGGGTAAAAAAAATACTCACCTCGTTGTAATTCAAGTGGAGAATCGGGGATTTGTGTAGATCGTGATCAGCGCCACTAATGAACATGAAGTCCCCCATGCCTGCGACATGTTCGTCAGCTCAATGCATTAATCCGTAGGCAAGTAATGCGAACTGGTTCCAATTTCCGTGTGAATCGAATCGTACAAACCCAGACCCTGGATCAAGCGAATGCCATCATCATCCAAGGCGATTCCTCGCGGGTCGGTCGTGATTTCGGGCTCTTTCTCGATAACGACGTTGCGGATTCCCATGCGACCGAGGTACGCGGACAGAGTCGCTCCCGTAGGGCCGTAGCCACAGATGATCACTTCGGTGGTCTCCCAGGCTTGTCTGTGAGACATTTTGATATATAATGAGTGGGATCATGAGAAGCAGGTTCAGATGAGAAGCTGGATGTCATTTCTTCTCGATGTAACTTCCCAGGGAGGACCGTTGATAAATGCAGGCCTACTAAGCGACTGCAGGACAGCTCATGGAGAGCCACGGCATTACAGCATTGCGGATTTGAAGCTCCTGCATGCATAATCGCTGTAGTTCAATCGCAACGCATTGTTAGCTTGTGAGAATACCCGGATCGCTGTCTGGGGTGGTAGTTATAGAGAAGGGTTTGGGGGGGGAGGTGGGTTGTCGGAGGTAAGTCGGGAGCGAGCGGAGATGCGGAGAACTGGCCGAGGGGAGATCGGACCCATTTCACCCACCACTGAAATCACTCATTGACGGAATCTATACAATGCCTATTAGTGAACGAAGGCCACTGTAACCACCAACGCCACGCACAAGCCATGAGCACGCCTACCTATGTTAGAGCCTAGGTCATAACCCCTCGGCTCGAGAGGCTGCCACAATGCAGCTAGCTGTTTTATAGAGAATTGACTGCAATGCATAGACATTGCCAAGTCACCACACTGCAGGCTTTAACGAGCAGTTTTACACGCCAACTCATGATGTCATGTGAAATTCAAAAGCTTCTGTAGGTCGCCTTGTGGGATACATGTGAATATTAAGCGGATTGTATGTTCTTTGATTGGAAGATATCGCTTGTCGCTGATCACAGTGGCCTTCAGATTCATCTTATGAGCGTCATCACACTTGGATAAGCACTATGTCAAAGCTAGATAGACTTGGCAGCCGTCCGGCATGAAGATCACATACAAAGGGACGTCTTGAGACATGTAGTGAACATCAGCTATGGTACGTCTACTCTTTAATTACTGTGAGCAAAAGCATCATCTTTTATGGAAAGCGACTTGGTAGCGAGCTCCACCTAGTGGCGTGATTGGTTTCGCAGATGCCCACACCCCTTTCTTCCTCTAAGCTCACATATAGACACCACGAACTTGGTGCATCGGCTATGAGATGACCTAGAAACAAGGAGGGTCCATCGCGTTGCTTCGCGTCCCCTCCGTCGAGACGCTAGACCAAATCGTTACGGATGCTCTTAGAGGATATTCGGAAATGCAAAGCCTGAAGATTTTTCGTTATGGGCTGACGAACGGAGCCCATTGGCAAATACTGTTGACAGGCCGAACTGCAACCCGGGTTGCAAGAGCTTCTCAAGCACTAGAATGACGATCTATGATCTGTCTTCCACACCATGTCATTTGAGGCCAAGGACGGGGATTGATCTTTCGGTCCTTGCTGTCGGGAGCCCATTTGGCCACTCTTTTCAGGTGAAAATTGTATACATGAGCCTCGAACCTATTGGGCAACGCTTGCCGGAGCGCACTTGGGACAAATCCAGCACCGGCTTGTACGGGAATTGATCTGACCATGCGCGCGCCAAAATTTCATCGCAAGCGACCTCCAAGTCAATCACGACCGGGCTACCACGATCCGACGAGCACGCGAGCGTTTAGGCAACAATGGCTCAAGGACATCCGGCATCGTTCGACCGTACCGTTCGTTTTAGCCCCAGAATGACCTCTGCGGCGCAGGCATTGTCTCGACCGTTCGTTTCCCCTAACCGACCAATGACAGCACGAGTGTGAAGAACCAATAATGAAACACATTTTGTATGCATTGGAAGTGGGCCATGATGATCTGACCAAATCCGGGGAAAGGGCGGTTTGTGAGTGGCGGCGGGATTTGAGTTGAATCGTTGATGGGTTAATTTAAATTCAGGGCACGGATCGGGATCAGTTGATGTCTGCCCGGGATCCGGAGTGGTGTGTCCCATCAGACCATCCGGATCCCCACCAGGGCTAGCGTTCACCACAACCGAATCAAAAAACTACATATGCTCAACCTGCAGCTCTTTTTCATCTATGGAGCGAATCAGCAGCGTGACGGCATGCGCTGATAGAACACTAATACAGCATGGACTACACCTTCAACACCACCCTAGCCGCGCCGGCGACGGGCTCTTACCACGAGCTATACGAGATCGCCAGCCTGAACCCCAAACTCTCCTTCCTGGAGAAGCTGTGGTGGACACACTACGCCTACTGGGACAACGACATTATTGCAACAGGTAAGACTCTGCAACCAAGTCATTGATCCATCCGTCTTACCACCACCCTTCAGGAATCATCACCTTCCTCGCCCACGAGATCCTTTACTTCAGCCGCTGCATTCCCTGGATCATCGCCGACGCCTTCCCCAACCTCTTCCACCGCTTCAAAATCCAAGACACCAAAGCGCCGCCCTCTGCCCGCGAACAATGGAACTGCGTGAAGTACATCCTGGCGATTCACTTCATCGTGGAGCTCCCTCTCATCGTGCTCTTCCACCCGATGATGGAATTCTTCGGACTGCAATACAGCCTCCCATTCCCGAACCTCAAGACTCTCGCCATCCAGACCGTCATCTTCTTCTTCGTCGAGGACACCTACCACTACTGGCTTCATCGAGCCTTCCACTGGGGCCCGCTGTACCGCGCCGTTCACCGCGTCCACCATCAATACGCCGCCCCCTTCGGGTTGACGGCCGAGTACGCCAGTCCCTGGGAGACAATGCTCCTGGGCTTCGGCACCATTGGTCCTCCCTTGGTGTTGGGCTGGTGCACGGGTGAAGTGCATCTGATGACGGTGCTGGTGTGGGTGGCGCTAAGGCAGTTCCAGGCCATTGACGCGCATTCTGGGTATGATTTCCCCTGGAGCCTGCGGCGGATTTTCCCGCTGTGGGGTGGCTCCGACTGGCATGACGATCACCACCGGTATTTCCGGGGGAATTATTCGAGCTCGTTTAAGCATTGGGATGGTGAGTATATTCTTTTCTTGGAGCCGTGAACGATCCGAAGGCTAATTCGTGTGCAGTGTTGATGGGAACCGTTGCTGGACCGAGAGGCAAGAAGATGAAGAAGAGTGAGTGAGTGAGAAAGGAAGGGTGGCAGGCGAGGGCCAGGCCATGCTGCTTAGACGGTTGTATTCTTGTGTATGATATTCATAATAGTTAATGTCTATTGATATGTGTATACGAAGCATTCCACGAGAGCTGGTAACGAGGCACGCAGACGGATCAACTGGTGTAGTCCCCGTCTCCTCGTGCACAGCGCGCCTACCTGGTACTGTACTTGGGTTTTAGTCTATAATCTATGATTGTTCTTGCCTCGAGCGAGGGACCCCAGCTCAGCTTCACCCTATCAATATGAACGTGACAACGTCTGCCGGGACGGTTCGATGCTGGCCATGACCTCCAGATCACCCGTACTTGCACGTGTTCTGCGCAATTTACCTGCAAGCAACGATAACCACCCACTGCGTGCCGCTTGATACCTCAAATATCACAAGAAAACACACTTGAAGTCGCGAAAGTATAAACTACCGAAGCTGGGTTGCTGAACCGACGGGCAGAAACTTCGTTTGGATTAATGGCGACAACTTGTTGGCGATAGTGCACCGGGGCTATGAAATGGTGTTTTTTGTGTAGGTGAGGTTGGTGTAGTAGCTTCCCACTTAACAGAAAAGAGGGCACGTGTCTACCTATACCTTTAGCGACGTTTAGCCCGTCATTGAGGTACGGACAATGTAGAGTAAAGGCAATAATTGAAGGTAATGTACACGAAGAAAGTAAACGAGTGACGGAATGAAGAATGATTGCAACGTATGAACTAATTCCCTTCTATATAGCAACACGATACAACAGGGGGCCGCAGTACGGATCTACCACACACTTGCACCCCCTTACAACATGATCATAGCCAGACCGGCAGCGACGGCGGTGACGACGTAGGCACCGAGCTGGAGAGGTCCAACAGCAACCATGGAGCTTCCAGTCATGTAGCCAGCGGAGGAGCTAGAGTCAGAGCTGGAGGTGGAGGTGCTGGAGTCGGAGTCGCCGGTGGCGGTAGCGGTGGCTGAGACGGAGCCAGTACCGGCGGTGCCGGCCTGGGAGAGCAAGGAGCTGCAGGTGCTGGCGGTGCTGGCGGCGGTGGTGGTAGCGTAACCATCGAAGCTGCACGCAGAGTCCTCCTTGTCCTGACTCACCCAGTAGCGGTTCAGAGCCCAGTTGAGCTGCTGCTTGGCCTCGCACATGCTGTAGTCACCGTAGGTGCCCGTGGTGCCGTTGTGGAAGACACCCGTGCAGGTAATGTAGCCGCAGACTTCGCTGAAGAGGGCGGCGTACTTGCTGCTGGAGACGGAGTCCTTGACGACACATCCGGCGGCGGCGTCCATGCAAGAGCAGAGCTCGCTGTTAGGGGAGGGAGGCAGGGGAGACGCCTTCGCCTGCCAATCGCTATCGACGGTCGGACAGCTCTGGAGCGCCGTGTTGGTGGGGGTGTAGGATGCCTTGTTGGTACCAGTGGGGGTTGCGCTCTGGATTTCCTCGGAGTAGTAGGTGAAATCCGTCAGCTTGCTGACACTTGTGCTGTCGATGGCGGAGACCAAGCCTGAGATATATTAGCATTCACCTTTCCATTTGTCCTTCGAGCAACCTACCGTAGTCGTTGTCAGTCTGGAAATACATGTAAACAATACCACCGGACCAGACATCGTTCATCTCATCGCCGAAAAGAGCCTTGATCTCGGTGAAGCGGCGAGGAGTGACAGTGTTGCAACCGTACTCGGCGAAGAAGACGGGCACTGAGTAGTTGCGGAACTGCTCGGTGCGTTCCTTGTAGCCAGACTCCTCGTAGGTAGAGTTACCGCACCAGGAGTAGATATTATAACCCCAGAAGTCGACGCCTTGATCCTCACTCTCACAGTTGAAGTAGTCGGCCAAGTTGACGCGGATATCTGCGTCGTCGTTGGTGGCGTAGCCCACACCCATGGAGCGGTATCCCTTGTCCTTGATGTAGGCCTTCATGTCCCGAACGGCAGCCTTGACGAATGCGCTGGCATCGGTAGTGTCGACAGTGTTTGAGACCTCGTTACCAGCAAAAAAGCCGATGGTGTTGTTGTATTGAGACAGGTCGTCAATCACGTCCTTGTAGCGAGTGTACAAGCTGGTTTCCCAGGTCGGGTCGTCCCGATCAATGGACTGGGTTGGGTCGGACAAGTCGGAGATGACATAAATTCCGGCTTCAGCGAGCATGTTCATACATTCGGTGTGGTTCTTAGTAGGGTCGACAGCATAGGTACGAATGACATTGGTTCTGATTTCTTGCAGGATGGGAATGTCACGCTTGCAGGTGGTGGCATCAGCCAGAGGGTCGACATAGCTGCTGGAGCTGCTGTCGGTGGAGTTGGAGTCATAGTCGGCTTCATGTGGTTAGAGCTTGATGATTTGACGTGTTGAGATGACATACCCTGATAGGCAACACCACGGATATAGCTGGACACTGTCAGCAAGGCCAAGGCGATGGAAACAGGGCACTTACAATTGGGTATTGTTGCTGCTGTAGAAGAATTTGGAGCCCTTGAAGCCGTTAGCAACGGTCTATCAATGCTGACTGCTATCATCCTACCTTAATGATAATGGGATCAATGTCTGCCAGGGCAGATCCCGCAAACGCTGCCGCTCCAAGAGCGAGGGAAAGCTTCATGATGATGAGAGATTATTCAAATCAGGTGTACAATAGAAGAAAATGCAAAAAACGACCAGGGATATGAGTAAACGAGTGGAATGAAAGATGGAAAACGAATGACAAGTATATCAAAAACCTCAGTCCGCACACAGCAGGGAATTGAGAGGGGAACATATAGCCATCTTCCAAGGAAAACCTGGCACAGGCTATTTTAAAAGACCAGCATATATTTAGCAGCTCTTGATTTCTCTCCTGAAGCAAGTGCAAGAGCTGTGGCCTCTCAAGCCTCCTGGCTGGGGCCCGCTATACAAGCGAACGCGTCACCCACCAACATGGCCGCTTGACAGTTGTAGTGGGCAAGACGGTGCTAACGAAGGACTAGCGATTAGAGTTGTTCGGAATCGTCCACTCGTGGTGAAGCGGAAGGCCACTGGAAGCAAATTCGGTAGACCGGGTTGGCAAGCGTGTGGACAAACGATGGTAAAGTGGGACAGTGGCCGAATTGGTGGGTGGAGGATGCGTCGTGGTGGTGCCAAAGTGGATGCCTGATCTTAGAGAAGAATATTTTTCCCTCGAGTGGGGACAGCAGTCGTCGTGGCTATAAGTACCAGTAATTTGCGCAATTTGCCGGGCGTAGAAGAGGATGAGGAAGAATTACTCTTTGATGCAGGTTGCTGTAAGAAGTTAAGAAGGAAGTATTCGATATTGCAGCAGTAGAAACGAGTAGATGGAGTGCAGAAGGAAGTAAAGCTGTCAGCGATCATGGATTGACGGGCTGTCGATCCCGGCCTGAGGCAGCGAGCGGTTCGACGGAGTCCGGCAAACCCCAGACACGCCCGACCGAAGACTACACACACTACGCAGAACAAAACACAGCCTTAAGATCAATCATCGCTTCCATTACATCATTTAACGCCTATCCAATAATACATGTCTACAGGAACCGGATTCTGACAGGAAATCATACACACCCCCCCATTTCTGCCCGTTCACCTTTTCTCTCCCCTACAAACCAGCATTCTCCCGCCTGCGTCGTTCGATGGCCGCTTCAAAGGATCGAATTGTATCCAAAGGCCGCTCGAACCGATAGCGAGTCGGGTTCGACAAGTCAGGATCCGCTAGAAAATGAGTCAGTCAGACCGGCAAGTCGAGACCAGAGAAAGGGGCAACGCACTGATCAGCTTGCCTTCGCGGTCGCGATGCTGCATGGAGCGTAAAGAGAAACCGTTCGAGCCAACACTGTCCACTACAACCACGCCAGTCAGTGGTCTGGTGGCGAATAAACAATGCAATTTCTCACTGCATCCACATACCTGCACGCTCTCCATTTAGGGCCTGATTTGGGTCGGCGCTGTTCGAGAGGGAGGCCTTGTGGTTACTCGCTGCTGAGCGCCCGGACTCGGGCCGGTTGTCACTAGACTCGATTGAAGGTGCCATGTTTTGCTGCTTTACGCCAAAGATCGATGTGCGTGTCTACTCCGTGAATTCGTGCGTGATCGAAACAAGGAACCACGGATACAGTGGAAAATAAATGCAGAGATGCTGACGTTCAGGAACAGGACTGGGCAAGCGTCTAATAACTAACTTCTTCCCGACCCTCAGTCATCACACCTCTACGTATGCAGTCAGCAAGTTATGCATGGGTGCTGTTGACCAATGGCACAGCCTGGTGAGAGGCGAAACACCAACATCAGCCCTTGAAGTGGCTGTTTTTAGAAGCGGCATGGGCGATACATTCATCGCTCATCTGCAACCTCAGATCACGCAACTGGTACCAATGATGAAACTGGATGCCTTGGTGCCTGCGCGCCGGAGTTGTGACGCGGCGGTCGGGGGGTCCGTGACGTGGTCTCGCCTGCTGTTGGCTGTGCCTCTTGAAGCCAAGCTTCCACTAAAGCAGAAAACCCAAGGCTTAGCACCCCCGGTAGCCAACAAGAATCACTTCTCGAGGCTCCGCCCACGTTGAGGCCACGCAATCACATTGGGGCAGTGTGAATCTAGGCAACCACAATTTCTGTCCGTGTCTGCAGACTTGCCGTTCCTGAAGTTAAGTCTGAATAGCCACTGAGTCGAACAAAGCAGCCTCCAATGTTTTGCAAGGACAACGTTAAACTTCCAGGGGTCGCCTCATCAGGATTGCTTCAGCCCAAAAATGCGAAGGGGATGGCCAAATGCGGCTGATCATGTCTCCTTCCGGAATGCTGGGGTGGCGACCTACAAATCATTGAAGTTTATGCGCATAGGTTATCCGAATCTCAGCCCACGGAATAGGTATTATCAGATTAGGACTAACGTTCTTCCCTCCCAGAGAAGGAGTGCCGTGCCGCTTCGACTAGCATAATGCTCGACTGGGACTAATCTCCGTTCGACTTGCACGTAGCGACGACTGTCATGGTGGCATCTGAAACATCCCGCTCGCTTGTTTGATCTGCAGCAATCTCCGCCCAGACATCGGTTCGGTTTTAACTATCGAGCCAAGGCTGTAGTTACGTACTCTTTATCACCGAGGTTTTGTTCATCTTCATGAGCAAGTTGCCGTTCTCCACGGAGTTTTCCTTCTGCGAACCACACAAGCTCTCACTCGGTACCCCGAATTGTCTACCTATTCGGTAAAATCATAGACGCAAATTCAAGGTTTCAGAAGGGTGGGCAACGCTCCACCACCCCACTGCATTCTACTGCTGCCGGTGTCGGAGTTGCTTACCACATCAGGAAAGCACTGCATCAGTTTCTCCTGAGAGAATATCCGAATGCGATATTCAGGAACAAATCTCTGAAGGGGCTTGACCTACAGTACTTGAAGCATCAACAGCCCGTTTCATTAAGTTTCCGATGATCTTCAAGACTGATGGGTGTGTTTAGCGCAACCCATGATTGAGAAAGCGGGTAAGCATTTACAACTCACAGCGACAGAATATGACGATCAGCCTAGAATTAGCTTGCGGGCCTAATACTGTAATCCTGTTGCCTTGAATCAATCTGAGACATCGATGTATAGTGGAGCGTTGGTGCGAAATGACAGAAAGCAGATAAGTTCATGGTGTCACTATCCCGATAGAACCAGTGTCCAGTATATCTTTGAGTGGGTTCTGTCTCCAGTGGGTTGCTAGCATTGAGGTACTAACAATAGCTGATCACTACATAAAATGCAGACGGATCAGGGGAATGATTATCAAGATGTCAGTATTGCCTACAGGTCGTGGAATCGTTTTCGATCCCACGAGTGGATGTGTTTGGGCATCAGGATCGCATTGAAAAGTTCGTAAACCAGGTCGGAACGATCCTCGCAGGGCTTCAGCATAGTAAACGAGTGTATAGTGTGAACTGCCCATGATGGGTCGAGCAAAGCGGGGAGTCTCGAGCTGCTTCGCCCAATGTCAATCTCATATTCTATCATTCTCACCCATAGCCTGCCTCTTTCAGGATGGTGCGTGTCCCTTCCACTTTTGCTGAGCACAAAGGGTTTGATTGTTCGACCTTTAGCCCCATTCATGGAGACGGTGATCATGGTAGGCAATCCCCGAGTCTCGGTGCTTTTTGCGGCAATTCGGCGTCTCACTTGATGTCGTCCGGCATCCTGTTGTTCCACTTGGAGTCCCATCGGAAGAGGTGAGGACAAGGCTGGTTTTACTTACCGATCATAGGGAGGACTAGATTGAGGATGTGGTGCGCATCCTTTGCTGAGGAATCGATCATGAGTCGGGGGAAGTCGTGGTTACAAGTTTGTCTTGTTTGATTTTGTTGTTGTCTGTATCCTCCGGATGTATTCCAGCTATTCCTGAACCTGTCGCTGCTGCGCTGCATGAGACTGGGCATTGAATCACAACGGCGACTTAAGTGTCCAGAAGTCACATGCTGCAATTGCCTTGCCTGTTTGTTGCGACTGCTGCAGCATCTCGGTTACTCACCCAAGTGACTCTCCCAATCGCTCCTTGTCTTTCACAAATGATTGACGTTGCTTCGTTGCACGATACAACAGCTCATCCGCAATATGTCACGATGCTGTCTGCAGCATCCGTCGCGCCGTTCTCGCTTTAAATGGGCTCGGATGAGACTCGAATCCGCCCGCCGGTGGGAGACACAGCCATCATGACAGGTATCCCTTCACATTATCCTGACTGAGTCCTAGCAAGCCATAATGTCGGTAAACAAACCTCAAGCCCACGTTGGAACCCACCGAAACCGCGCAAATCGTTCCACATGGGGATTCGAAGACACACGGTACTCTGTCAATGCGGCGGGGAATCTGGAGATTAGCGGCTCTCGCTACTGCACCAGCGGACAAGAGCTGCCGTCACTCTTCCTGTGGGCCAAATCGGCCTTAGGATTGAAGGACGATACTTTTGCCGTGCCGCAACCCTCTCTCTACCCACCCCGCCTCTTGCCAGCGACCATAAATGAAGACTTCATCAAGAGGGTTACGGCAGAGGTCCTTCAGGATAAGGAGCAATTGAGCCAAGAAAAAACCGTCCGGATTCGTCATGGGCACGGTCAAACTCAGCAAGAGATCTACGGCCTCAATTTCAGCTCTAAAACCGTGGGTAGAGTACCTGATGTCGTGGTATTCCCCGCCGGAGTGGAGGAGGTATGGCGACTGGTACAGCTTGCTACCGAGTGTGATGTTTGCATGATTCCGTTCGGTGGAGGCACAAACGTGAGCCAGGCGCTCCGATGTCCCGCCACCGAAGCTCGCATGATAATCTCAGTCGACATGCAGCGCATGGCCCGCATACGATGGGTGGACAAAGTCAATCGACTCGCATGCATTGAGGCTGGAGCGGTGGGTCAAGTGATTGAGCATAATCTAGGGGAAAAGGGTTTCTGTCTTGGCCACGAACCGGACAGCATCGAGTTCTCGACTCTGGGGGGATGGATTGCAACGAAGGCAAGCGGGATGAAGCGCTTGCGCTATGGCAACATCGAAGACCTTGTCATGGACGTCGAGGCTGTCACTGCAGCAGGTGTATGGCCATTTGCTCCGGCGCTCGTGCCTCGAGACTCCGTTGGTGCCAACCCTAAGCATTTGTTGTTTGGGTCGGAAGGCACAACCGCTATCATCACCGCAGCGATCGTCAAGCTGCAGCCGCTTCCTTCTGTGCGAACGTATGACTGCCTCTTGTTTTCCTCCTTCGAGACAGGAGTACAATTCATGCAGGCCATGAGCCAAGCAAGTCGCCATGTTCAACCAGCGAGCCTTCGCCTGGTCGATTCCGCGCAGCTGCAGCTAAGCCAAGCTTTGCGGCCTCGGCCTGGACGAGCTGGCCAGGTGAAACAGCGGTTGCAAACGGCTTATCTGCAATACGTTCAGCGCTTTAAGTTCTCCGAGACAGTCGCTTGTACCTTACTCTTCGAGGAAACATTGGAGGAAATCCGTTCTCAACAGCGTCTTGTGCACAAAACTTCTCGATCTTTCCATGGACTGCACGCTGGCACCCAGAGTGGCCGACATGGTTACGAGCTCACCTTTTCCATTGCGTATCTGCGCGACTTTATCATGCGTTACGGCATCTTCGGTGAATCGTTTGAGACTTCCTGTCCTTGGACCAAAGTGAATGCGCTGCGGAGGCAAGTCCGCGAAAGGGTGGCGAAGGAGCACCGTGTCCGTGATTTGCCTGGCCGTCCTTTTCTATCCTGCCGCATCAGCCAGGTCTACGAGACCGGAGCCACGGTGTACTTCTATCTGGGCTTATACATGGTAGACGTCAAAGACCCATCGGGGGTGTATGCAGAGATTGAAGCGGCTGCTCGCGACGAGATCCTGAAATGTGGAGGGTCCCTGTCACATCACCATGGAGTTGGAAAACTCCGCCAGCGATTTCTGCGTCGTGCGGTGACTGATATGAGCTTGACGTTGAATGCGAAGATCAAGAGAGAGATAGACCCAGGAAATATCTTTGGATGTGGGAATCTGTTAACGACATCGAATGATGTACTGTGTCTTGATAATGGAGTGTGATAGGCGGTATGTTGTTTCTCTTTTGCGGTGGAAGTGTGGCTTCTTGTTGTGCTGGATGGCTATAAATCGTGCTTTCACCATTTTGAGCTGGTGATCATCGTGATTTCTCGTGATTCCGGTCATATAGGCGGTGGGTGATTCTTTTTTTTTTTTTGGTGATATTTCTAGGTTCACGCGTTTCCAACAACAAAGGAGTGAACGCCCTCGCTAGCGTATCACATGGTTGAGCTTGCTCGAGAACAGTCACTAGCCAGTCTTTCTCTCGCTTCAAATCTCTGTTCATCCCACCCCTGACACATCTTCTACTCACCTACGTTGACTGCAAATATCCTTACCGAGGCGGTCTCATTATCAACATCATTTCTTTTATCGGCAAGCAATATCTTGCCAGCCAGGATTCCCACTGAGCTTCACAAGTGATCTGACGAGACAGAGCCCATATCAATACCTACCTGGTGAGTCCCACCTGAGAGGTTCTGTGCCTGGCATAACTTCTGAGAGTAACAAACACTAGAAGGCTCCTATGCTTACATCCTGTTTAATCATCTTCATCATGTCCTCAACAGCGATCCCTGTGTCCAATCCAGAGCGGATTTCCGGCCTTCCGAGAAACGCAGCGCTCTTCCGCAAACTGGCAAGGCCTCTGCGCGAGTTCTATGACACAATCTACGTGCCTGGGTTTTGGAAGGCTATGTTGCATGTCTGTGACTTCACCAAACTTGAGGACTTTGTGCAGCAGCTGGAACTGAGTGCCATGAACAAGGAGGCCTTCGAGGTCAAAATAGATACCGTCAATAAGATCTTCAGGGACTTGGAAATATCTTTTGTGGGGGGTCTGAGCCGTGCTTCCGCGGAGCGTCTGGCTATGTGGATTTGAACGGCAAGTTACCTGCTGGGGAACGCCTGAAGTTTTCGAGGCTGTATCTACGCTTGACGTGGTGATGGATACGTGGTGCTTCTGGGAAGATATGGTGAGCATGGAGATGAGGTCAGACTTGCACCTACAATGGATCAGGAACTCAGTCATGGAGCCGCTTGAGGCATGTTTTTAACGAATGGCTTGATCCCAGCAGCGTTTGGTTTGTAGATTCTCCACCCACATGGTCTTTCCTAGCGAACTCTTACCCACCTGGGCCACTCCATCGTCATCCTTGATTATCCCCAACTGCCGCGGGTACTTGTTTCCAGTACGTTCAGAACCTGCCCAACCAGCCTTGCGTCTGCTGTTGCCGAGCTCTTATGTCTAAGTATCCTTGATCTAAGTCTGCGCATTCACTTGTCTCTCCTCTTGGGTTTGATCCGAATATAGACTGGCCTTTCCTTTTCTTTGTGGTGGGGTATCTGAAGACTGATCTGCTGTTACCTTGTGATTGTGACCTCTTCTTCGTCAAACTGGCAACAATATTCTCCTTTTTTAGCTTGCTCAACGCAATTAATCGGCCTATCAGGCCAGTTGGCGGGCGGAATCCGCCAGTTGGCTGGCCGGCTATGGTACTTTTCTCTACGTTCCTTAAATTGGGGTACAAGCAAGTACATACGACCATAGGGTGTGGAAAATAGGGCTTCCCGTCCGCTCAGCCGTACTCAAGCCACACGCCGGGAGGTTAGTAGTTGGGTGGGTGACCACCAGCGAATCCCTTCTGTTGTATGTTTTTTCTTTCTGCCCCTATCTTTGGGGGGGCAACTTTGTTGAACTGTCTGTAGTGGGCAGAGAGCAGTGAAGCAGAAAGGAAGGACTGTCTTTCAACAATCCCCGATGTTTATTTATTAGATGACGGAAATATCATATGGTCGGATCAGACGTGGGATCATAGTCGGAGGGAAATGTCTGTGAAGTGTATGCGTTGATCCTTTGCAGCGTCTATCTGCCGGTTGTCGCTCAGGTTGAAACGTCCTAGAAGAAGCACCGGTCGTATGTTCGTACCTGAGTTTCTCGAGTACGAGTTTACGAGGGTAAGTTCACCAACAACGCGGATATACCGCCGCCAAAGCGAATGATGGTGGGCCCAGAAAACGAAATGTGGACTGGCCCCACATTCCACTCTAAACTTACCTCCGTAGGGAAGACCATTGCGGCCACTCGGCAAATAAGAAATCTGCCGGTAAAATCATATGCGGGAGAGTTGAACACACATATGACTCTTAACCACGCGTAATTAAAAAGAATAATAAGAAGTATTCCCTAAATAAGAACATCAATATTAATAACCCTAGGGAAGAAAAGGCGGGGGGGGGTGGGGGGTCATAGTAACTGGTAGGCGGTTACCACTGCGGTGAGGATACTTAGTGAGAGAAATTCCTTTCGCCGAGTGGCCGTAATGGTCTTCCCGTAGCTGCGGGGCTTTGTGGTTGCCACTGTAGCCCAGGAGTGATAATGAAGATTGTCGACGACCACCCAAAAAGAGGATGTGATAGTCTACTTTTCCGGGTTTCGTACGGTTTTTGTGGCATGTAAAAGACAACACTCTGTTGTAAACTTGGATTGCGACATTGCATAATCTATAGAAACAAACAATAAAAAAGTGACATATGCTACCAGGATAGCAAGCTTTGTGGTAAGGAGATAAAGAAGGACAGCTTGAAGGTGAAACAACCCTCGAATAGAATCATACACGCCACGCGCGCACACGACGGAGCACCGTATATCTCCCCACCGCACTACCCCAAAGTTATGCCCAACCCTGAGCAGCCTTAAGCAACCGTGAAATCTACATATCCCCTTCCCTTGAAACCCTCGAGCGTTACCATCTGGAAGACGGGGTTTCCAGGCACGAGCCCCAGCTCTTTCCAGCGTCGGAAATGCGCTCTCACGTCGACAGTCCCTGTGGTGCGCGGGGTACGGCGAACCGACCACAGCTGGTTGAAGTTGGTCACCCCGTAGATCTTGGGTACGTTGCGGTAGGGCAGGCTGTAGACGTCGTAGACGCCGCCATCGCTGTACACCTGACCGAGGATGTGGCCATTGCCCGGGGTGCCTGTGCCGTGCGACTCAACAATATACCATTCCGTCACCGGGTTGGTGGTCCAGCCGTAGACGGCGAGGGTCCAGTCACCTTCAGCGGTGAAGTAGCCGTTCCAGGTGAGAGATCTTGTACGATGATCAGCTCAGCAGGATACTTTTTGGAAGCGAGAGAGTTGAGAAGAGAAGAGATTAGGGCAAATTGATGCTGCTAGGGAAAACATCATACCGCGGATTCCCTCCCCTGAAGCCTTTTCCACCGAGGAACTCGGCTTCCTTGGAATTCGTCGACCACCCCAGCTGGAACTGACCGGTTGCTGGAGACTCGGTGTATCCCACCTCGGCGCCGTTGGCATTGTACAAGGAGTAGTAGAAGCCTGCGGAGTCGACCCCGTCGCGGCTAGTGCTGAAGGTGGTCGATCGTTTGGTCAGCCCGGCGTCCTCGGTACCATTCGCAAGCATCTCTCGAATCCAACCGATGCGCTCAGGGGACAGAGCCCTAGGAGCGGGTGAATCAACGATTGGACCTGCAATGATGGGTAGGGCTAAGGCAACCAAGATGGGAAGGGTAGCGAGCTTCATTGTGATTGGATTTTTTCGGGTATCTTCTGTTCGAGAGTGGAATGAATGGATGAGCTGGTTTAGTAGGCAATGTCTCAACGTATGATAGGTGCTGTTGGACCTTATAAACCTTGATTCGATTGTCAAAGCTTTTGATTAGGTGATAGGCGTATTAGGAGACTATCAAGCTGGTCAAGCATAGAGTGAGCATTAGGCAAGTTCGGGCAGGTTTTAACTGTGGGCTCTGGGAAATTAGATATCATTCCACAAGGGGTTGTTGTTTCACACAATCTTTCTCAAATTGCACGAAATGATTAAACAGAGTACTATAAGTGGTGCTCGGTAAGCTTTCTTGAGAACATGAAGGACTTCTTATTCCGGGATTGCGGTCTTTTCCCCAGTCATGACTGCTATTTGCGGAAGGCCATCATATCTTCCCTGTAAAGGACGCAGTCAGAATCATCTAGAGCGGGCACACAGTATTGCTACTGAGCCTATATATGCTTGAAGGCATTCAGACATAGAGAGAGCAGAGTAGCGAGCATAGGTACTAGTATTTGGGCTTCTGGCGTGTCTCAGGGTCAAACGAGATTTCGTGAGTTGGGAATAGCTCTCAAGAAAGAGAAATCCCGCTACTGACTGCCGTGTTGAGTTTGTCGAAAGGATTTCTGGTGCGCATATCGATCAGCGCAGCTGTTACCGTCTAATCAAGTGCAATTGGCCAATGCTTGGGCTACAGGGACCGAGGCAGGTCCAGCCCAGGGTTCGAGGCTGCAAGCCCCACAACACTAGCAATTGGTCGCATATCGTCGGCCTACCCGATTACTCCAAAACGGGGATGCCCAATTGGGACCGGAGTGGTGCGGGTGGAGATGCAATTTTTCAAGGGCTGCTGTAGCATGACTGTCAGTCAGTTTAGCCTTAAGGCGGACCGTACTTAATGATTTCGCTGCTGCCGTCCAAAAGCCCAGATCTTGAGTCAGGCTGCAGAATACTAGTGATGAATATAACTCTATCAGCTGAGCACAGGGAAAGTGAAGGCGCTATTGTGGTGAGACTGGAGTGCCTCGGCTCACTCACCCAGTGCGGTCACCGGAGAGTGACCAAGGCCAAGAAAGGGTCTAGAAAGATTGACCTTGGCCAGGCCCTTGGAGTATGAAAGCTAACGTTTAAGGTGGCAGAGTCAATCTGCTCGGGAGGAGTTTTAACACGTCTCACTATACAGAATAATGCATTAGTGTGGGTGAAAGGTTCAGCCACATACTCGTAAGCGCCCATGACTTGTACTTACTGAACGCCTGATATCTGACTTGTTGTTGCATTGAAGTGAGACAGGTGACTTGATCCGATTGTTTCTTGTCCAGTGCATTGCCGTTCTTCATCCCTAGGCTTGAAACGATGAAGGCTTGATGCTTGATTGATGGAGGCTAACGGTGGCGGGGAGACGATGAGCCGGTGCAGGTCACATGACCTCGACAACCACGTCGCTGGCGTTCTTTCTGTTTGTTTGGCGACTCTATATCACACATGCGCTCATCACAGGTTGTGTGGAAGATGAGAGCCAGTGCCTCTGAGGAGCAACAGGCATATCTCGGTAACAGCTGGAATTGGTGCATGGATCAGGGATGTGTTTAGAGATGAGACATGTGGAGCATGCTGCTCGGGTACTACTATAACTAGTTATGTAAAGGGTCCTCCCTGGTATCTTCCTCGCACTTCCCCGGCACTTCCACCTTGCCGAGGCGGCGAGATTCTATCTATCCAGGGTCCATGGCTCTGGCCTATAGTAAGACTCAGATTAGTTAATCGAAATACGCTTTGCTGATGTGCTACTTAACCTACTCAGACTATCTCCTGACTAGGGGCCAGCTTGGGTGGAGCTATTGTCACAGCAGCTCGCTTTACAGTCAAGAGTACTGATTTGACGGAAACCCAGTCATAAACTCGAAACAGCGGTCGAGATTAGTTTGCCGATGTAGTATGTGTGGTTTTGCTACCGGCAAGGACGTCAAGCGTCGATGTCAACAAGCGTCAAGCTTCCCTTGGCTTGGCGCATGTATATAACCTCGACAGACACCTTGTCTTACCAGTTCACAAGCACAACATATAGTCATTTTTTCTCTTTCAGCATCCCCCTGACCCGGTGTCAGACTTTATTTCTCGTGCTCTCAAGTTCATTCCCGTTTCAAGTTCTTATACTTTTCTAAGTCTAAATTCTACATCATCACCATGAAGTACCTCCCTGCATTTGTAGCTGTGACTGCGCTGGCTGGCCAGGCAACGGCACACTACATCTTCAGCAAGCTCGTCGTCAATGGCGAAGTCTCTGCTGACTGGCAGTACATCCGTCAGACCACTCGTGACAAATGCTACATGCCAACCAAGTTTACCTCTACCTTCGACAACCTCACCCCAAACGACAATGATTTCCGCTGTAACCTGGGCTCATTCAGTCACGCCGCGCAGACCGACGTCGCTGAGGTTGTCGCCGGCGATACCATCGCCATGAAGCTCTTCTACGATGGCACAATTGCCCATCCCGGCCCAGGCCAAGTGTGTACGTCTTCTCCTCTCCCTATGTTCGCATCTCTTATCTCCCAAGCTCCTTCTGACTATTCTCGATTGTTCTACTCTGAACAGTCATGTCCAAGGCACCAACCGGAAACGTTCAAGAGTACGAAGGTGACGGCGAATGGTTCAAGATCTGGGAAACAACCTTCTGCGACCCCAAAGGAGATTTGACCAAGGATGCCTGGTGCGCGTACGGAATGTCGCAGTTCGAGTTCCAAATCCCCGCCGCCACTCCTCCGGGCGAGTACCTCGTGCGAGCCGAGCACATCGGTCTGCATCAGTCGCACATCAACCAGGCAGAGTTCTTCTATAGGTTAGTTCACTCAATAGCCCTGGATGTTTGAAGGGAGGCTTGACGAGACTAACGATGATAACGTGATTCGCAGTTGCGCTCAGATCAAAGTCACCGGCTCCGGTAGCGGAAGCCCCAGCCTCATGTATAAAATTCCCGGCCTCTATAACGACAAGATGACTCTGTTCAACGGCCTAAATCTGTGGATGAACTCGGCGGACCAGATCGAGGAGGATATTCTGGATACCCCAATCGGAGATGAGGTGTGGATTGGGAAGGGGTCTGCTTCTTCTGCTTCTTTGTCCTCTGCTACTCATCAGGTTGCTGCTGCTGCTACCACTGCTGCTGTGCATGTCCAGCTCCAGACTACTATCGTCGCCACCGCCGCCAAGACCAGTGCAGCCAGTCCGACCGGTACAGTTCCGCAGTGGTACCAGTGTGGAGGGCAGGGCTATAGCGGGCCAACTGAGTGTGAGAAGCCTTACGTCTGTGTTGAGCAGAATCCGTGGTATCACCAGTGTCTGGCTTCCATCTAAACATGCCAGCATACCTGACGCTGCTTGGAGTAGCCGGGAAGTATTGCCCCACAATGAAGGCATAAGCCATTGGTGAAGAACAAATGTACTTTTATTGTAGGTATCCTCTTACCATAGCAAGTATATGATGAGATGTTTCCGAACGCTCATAAACAACATACGTTAATTCTTTTTCGCAATTTATGTAGTTCTGAGAAGGCAAGTGCAATGGTCATCTTCCAATCTGGATGTGTAGAATCAGTTCAGGTTACTGGATCTTCACAGTTCGTATTCAACCCCACGGTGGCCAATTGCGGAGAAACTCACCCGCAACCATAATTAGCTCTATACTTGGTACGGTGCCTTGAGAACCTACTGAGTAGCAAAAGTGGAAGAGGGTTATATAATCTCAACTCTTCTAGTTTTACCATAGTCTGGATAGGCCTTCGTGGAAGGGCTTTATACCTAAGTCTCCTCAGGGTTGCCTGTGGAGGAGGAAGCGGGGAAAAGACTCGTATCGTCAGGTGGTCACAACGACTCGCCACCGGCCCACATTAATGCTCGAAAGGCATCCAGGCGTTGTGATAAGATCTTCAATCGCCCGGTTAAATCCAGTCTCTGACGACGATGACGACGGCGATTTACCTCCATCTTCAGATTACACAACCCCAGTAGAGCATCAAACTCAGGCAAAAAATATCTACTCCTGGAATCCTACACATAGCATCATCGGCGAGCCCGTGCATAACGGTAACGTCTCTTCCCAATTATTGGTAACTGTCGTACTAAGTAGGTGCCAATAGTTCCATATGGAAGAGAGATTTTCCCTGTGTTTTTGTCTGTTTTTTTTTTTTCCTTTTCTGATTTCATTTCTTTGGTCTTGTTTTTATCTCTCCCAGTCACATAATATGCATATGGTTGAAACCCGCATACAAACAACCGATATATGATAGTAAACCTCATAACCTCTTAATTCCCTGCGGATCCCACAATCCGAGCTCTCGGCCGGCTGGATGTCATCATATAAGGTCATCATCGGGGAGCATTCACCGTAAATAAAGTACCTCGAAAACAGAGTCAACGTCCAAGTCCCTCGCTACTCCACTGATCCAGCAAGTTCGAGATCTCTCGCCGCGGGCTGGGGTGCACTCAATGCTCTAGACGTCCTTCAGAACGAGGGTATGCTTAGTTCGAATTCTTCCACGGTCAACGTGAGCGTTAGCAGCGTTGAGGATAGTGCAGTTCCGAGGAGTACAAAGAGGGAGGAGACAAGCAGCAGGTTACTGAGTTGAACTAGGAATCTGGAGAGCCAATCCGCTTGAGGTCCGGCAGTAGTTCGCACTGACGAGTCAAAGGATTGGAAGTCTTTCGTATTGGAGCGCCGACGCCTAGATGACAGAGCGAGGAGTTGGCTCAAGAGTCCGGAGGGTGAACCTACTCGAACTTTGGCAGTAGCTTAGATTCAGCTCTGTAAAGATAAAGGAGGTCTTTCGTATCGAAGCTCTACGGTCTAGACGACGGCGTGAGTGTTTGTCGGGTCATCTCATCGCACTGTAGCATACTGTTTTGACGACAACGAGTAACTAATCTATGTAATGTTGTTCCGGCCCGGGCTAAGGAACCTAACAAGTATGTCAAAGCTTCACACGAAAATGACATATTGTATTGTATACTAGACTCTAGGTTATGGTTATACCTAATCATAAGCAATGCTTAAATTTAGGTTTGTGGTAACCCTTCGTATCAGCTGTTCGTGTTGGCTGTTCGTGTGAGCTTTTGTTCCCTTTGTCTGTCACCCGAGCTAAACCACGTCGGACTTTCCGGGACTGGTCTATTGTGTACTTCCTACATTGCATTCATCCTTTGCAAGTGCCGTTGAGGTGGAAAACCGTAGATGGTTCAATTTCAAACTCCGCCTTGAAGATTGATTAGGTGGATCATCCGAAATCAAGTGATAGACTCCCCATCACTGTTATCCACTGTGGTTATGTATACGAAGCATATTTATCCACCTTCGAATAGCGCGTTAGGCTGTATGTGGATCCTTCTCAGTCATTTCGTATAGGTATTACTTTGATTCTGGGACAACCTCCATAGACCGCCCGGTCGAGGCTTTGTTGCGCTATTACCACTGACGCTTCCAAGATGAATAGTGGCGGGCAGTCTTTCTCGAATCCTGAATTAACATAAGGCAATGCGCATATACAGCTTGATGCAATTGAGGGTCCAACGCCTTGCATTCTATTTCCGGCATATTTTATGACTTCCAGAATGGTTGTTTACAACATACTCAAGATTTATAATGCAGCGATCAACAAGACGGCGTTTGGGTGTCATTCACTGGAATCAAGCGCTAGGGCTGCAGTATCATATCCATAGAACCTCGTCTCAAGTAACTAGATTCTACAAATCAACGTTACCATGTGGACCTACCTGTACGAACCAAGTCCACTTCATCCCGTCCTGCGGCAACTGTTCGTATTGGTGATCGTGTTTACCTGACAGATGACTCCAGCGTGCGTGGTGCATCCATTGGTCAATGGGTATCCGTGACAGACCAGAGAGCTATAAAACAGCAGCAAGAATCCTGCCTTCTGTTGACCCTTTCGCCAGAATTCAAGCCAACAATTCTCTACCAGCACAATGAAAGGACTTCTCATACTCGCTTCTCTGGCAGTCGGTTAGTTCCCTCAACTACATATTCCCAAGTTCCACGATTTTTACAAAATGTATTGTACTGACTGTATATACTCAGCTGTGACTGCAGCACCCCAGAGTGGGAATAGTAACAGTGACTGCGCCCAGTGGTGTGCAGCAAACTTCCCTCAGCCTGGTAGTTGTACCTCTCAGGCTACTCAAAATAAAGGACCATGCTATGATTGTGGCCCGGGTAAAAGTCCGCCCGGAGCCAATTTGATGACAGATCCAAAAAACTGCGGAGCTTGTGGAAACCCCTGCACTGGAGGTGGATCTTGCGTCGCTGGCAAATGCCAGACTCAGAACCAGTGTTCTGACGGTCAGAATAATTGCGCTGGCCAATGCGTTAACACAATGACCGATGTCAACAACTGTGGCACATGCGGAACCAAGTGCAGTAATGGCCAAACCTGCAGCAACGGGAAATGCCAGACTCAGAACCAGTGTTCTGGGGGTCAGAATAATTGCGCTGGCCAATGTGTTAACACAATGACCGATGTCAACAACTGTGGCACGTGCGGAACCAAGTGCGACACAGGTGCAACTTGCAGCAATGGTTGGTGTCAGACCCCAACCTGCACTGATGGGAAGACGAAGTGCCCCACTGGGTGCGTTGACACTAATTCCGATCCCCAAAATTGCGGATCGTGTGGAAACAAGTGTCCATCGGGAATTTGCAAATATGGTTCATGCCAAAGTGACACCCAATGTATCTTCCCTAAATACCTTTGCAACGGCCAGTGTACGGACACCAGCACTGACTCAAGCAACTGCGGATGGTGTGGAAACAAATGCTTGTTAGGCACAACTTGCAAGTATAGTTGGTGCTTCTGGTGGTTGTAGGCACCCTGGACCCTTATCATTGATTAATGTTTTTGACTTGTGTGTACGAGACTTAGTCGCCATGCTTCTGAATCTTGCTTTTGAAACTACCTGCTGGTAATTTTCTCTTCTCTTTCTGACGCCGTGGTTTTTGTGGACTATTCGGGCGTTCCGCTGGAGTTGGTGGCTTCTCATACTGTGCTCACTCGAAGCTTTTGTGTTCACTTCGTAGTGAACATTGGAGATTGAAGGCGGATACGTGATTGCTGGACTATCTCGAAGAAATGTGCTGATGTTGAATCACTAGTGTCACTGGTTGTTCATTCTGGTTCTCGTCCGCAGGCCTTGGTATGGGTTTTTTCCCCCTCGGGTCGGGGGTTTCCCCATGCTGTCATGCAAATGCAGAGGTAAAAAGCAAGCAGCTGTTTCCAATATTACTTGCTATAGTCTTGATCGCGTGGTATTAGCTTTGACGTAAACTGTGTTAGGGTGGTGTTTTCACAAGAAACTTTCAGTGCAGGTGACTGAATTGACGACTTCAAATGGCAGCGTGACATAACCTTCGTCCCGAGGAATACCGATTGATCTTGAGTGGAGTAGACATTGATAAGGAGAAGATTCTGAGAACTTGTGTTGCATCGCGCGAGATAAGATAATATCCTGAAAACGGGGTGTTAAAGAGTCGAAGGAGTCGGAGAGTAATGTTAAGAGGAGAACAAGAGAAGAACGAGAAGGCGGCTGCAGATTCCCCCAGGCGAGCCTAGTATTTCTACTCTTCTTGGTCTCACCAATCTCTCTTTTCCTCATCCTTGATGCTCAACGACGAAACCCATATTCGCGACCTTCAGCCCCCGAGCAACTGACCCAACAGTGTCTGATCAAGTCCCATACATCCGTCTGTCGACCGCATCGCCCCTCTGCTCCGCCATATTGAGCCTTGAAATCTCTGCGGTCTCTAAAAGTCCGCTCTACCGGTCGCTTATCACAATTTCATGGCGAGCCCCTAGCACCCAGACCACTTGTCTCTCAATCTGAACTTGTACTTGTAACCTTCTATAGTCTGATCTACGTCGATCTCAGCTGAGAGAGCCAGTGACCGTGCCACGCTTGCGTTCTTGCCGCATGAATACGGAGAGTCCGTGTTCAGGAGCGTCGTGCATTCTTTTTCCCTCTCCAGGGGATGTTACTCTTATTCGTGGGGTCCGGGAGTTAGTCTATGTGGAGAATAACGAATCGAAATCACATTCATGCTCGACCCGCGATGGTCGTAGGTTGCGGACATGATTGCGCAACGCACCACATTCCACGTGCCCAACTGCCCAGCGCGAGAATGTGCGTCTCCAAGTCGCTAGGTGCACGGAAGTTGAGTCTGGGCTTAATTGTGGATATGTTGGAGGTGGTGCAGGTTTTTGGATCAGTAGTGGGCTCACCCCATGACCGGTTTTCTTATCGCAAGCTGGCTTTCTCCCCTGAAACAGCTATATAGACCCGGACCCTGACGACCAGGAACCAGAACAGACAAGCAAAGCAATCTTCAACTTCCACCTCCTCTCCAAACCAATCCAATTCTTTGACTCTCCCCGCCCTTTGGGTGACGGAGTAGTGCCGACTTCACAACCCCTGTCTCACACACACACACACAAGCAGAGTTCACTCTTGCACCGGCAAAGCCCTACCTATCATGTCCTACACTTCGTCCTTCCTCTTCATCAAACCGACCCCTCCCCCGCCAGTACGCCCCAACCGTCGCTCCCGAACCGTCGCTCCCCCTTCGCGACCAAATCCTCGCTTCACCTCCACCTCTGTCTGGTGTCCGGAGAGAAATCGCCAAGCAGCCCGACCTGCGCCGGTGCATCGGCCACGCCCGGATCCATGACAAGTCCATGGAGCTCGTCAAGCGAAACATCTCGTCCCACCTTCGCTCCATGGGCAGCGACAGCGATGACGACCTCGACAATGATCTCCCCATCCCCTCCCGTCGGTCTCTCCGCGGCTCCAAGTCCTCCGCCTCTGCTCCTGCCCCCGGTGAAGTCGACCGTCAAGTCTTTACTTAGTACATATCCCAGATATACTTGTCTGGAATCAACTATGGAACAATACATACTTAGCTATTCTGTTATGGAGTGGATAAATAATATTGATATAGTAGGTATATAATCCTGTGTATCCTGGGTATATGCTGTAAGCCTGTAACTAGTAAAAAGTAAACTACTCTAAAAAGATCAGTATAGGCCCCCCACTTTCTCAGAAGTCAATGTGGTTCAAAAATGTATTTTGGCCTATGTTGAGTGTCGGCTTGGCATACGCTCAACGTAGGCCAAAAAAGTGGTGAGGAAAGTGGCAGAACTTTCGGCTATGATGAACTTTTTCCGGACCACGCTGAGCTGGCCCCCGCAATGGGCAGTTGCGGAGCAATCGCTTCGAAGATGGTGTAATCAAGATTAAATCCGTGCAGATTATGTGTTCGTCATCCTCCAAGGGTACTTGACGCATGAATGCTGTTACCGAAGCCTGCCAGTCACACGCCATGCCAGGATAAAGTATCTGGTTGAAGAAGCTTTTTAGAGCCCTGGATTTGACATCAAAAATAGGTCAATTGCTTCGACAGAGATATACATTATCGCGGTATGCCAAACAATGGCTTGCAGATTTGAGTGTGTCGTGGACTTTGAGACCGGGTCATCCATACTCTCTAAATAGAGTCTTTCCTGGAACTTGCGACTGTTAGATAGTGTGCTGACCTGGCACACTGAGGATATCATATACAAATGGGAATAGAAGCAAAATATCATAGCACAAGTTCATAAAGGCCAGGGGTAGTTTCCTGGCGAGCGAAAACATGACTATCACGTTTGCTAATAAGTGTCATGTTGCACACGGCCTGAGACCTGTTAGCGACTATATCAAGCGCAGAAAGCAGCAGGAGTTAGAGTACCTGGCGTCTCTGGGCAAAATCGTCATAGACACCCAGCCAGATATCACGAGCGCGGCAATCATCGTAAAGTCCAGTTTCAGGATTAATGTCGCATGTAGGCTGCTTCTCCTCGATCAGCTTTGGGTCGGCTCTAACCCAGGGCTAAAGCACTTGTGAGCATTCGTGTAAGCTTGCGGGAGTTCAGCAATTGACTCCTACCTTAGGAACAGGCCAGTCGGAAAAATGCAGAAATTTGGCCTCGCTCAAGACATCCATGGGATCCCAGCGTTCAATAGCGTTGCCAAGATAGGACGTATGATTCTTGGATCGAAATTCGCCTGTCAGGAGGTCATAGGGACGGTGGGGGAGAATAAGCGCGCTATCCTTATACAAATTGTTCACAATCTCCATGTCATAGTCATTCGACCCGGCGTCAGCGATGCTTTGTTTGATACGGTTAAACTCGAACTCAGAAGGCTGAATAAGAACAACTTGAGAGCTCATGGTCCGATCATTGGGGTTGAGCCAGTATGCCCGGGGAACGGCCACGGGGCACGGTGGTAACAAGAAAAGTTCATCCATGGACTGAGCCAGTTTAGTAACTGTAGTGAGACATAGATATCAAGACTCTTACTTGTAGAAGAGTTGCATCAGAGTCCAGGCTGAGTACGCGCTGGTATTGGGTCTGGTTAAAAGCCAGAAGCTTGGTGTAGCTTTCTGCCCACGTCGCTGCGCGTGTGGTCAGCGGGAAGAACATGGCAAAAGTGGTAGGCTGTAAGTCCCGGAGAATGACATACAGTCGGCGCTGTCTCGACTTTGAATCTCAATCGGCGCTAATTTGACGCCATACTCATCTCTAGCTTTGCGAAGTAGCTTGCCTTCCACAGAGTCATTCTCCGTCGAGAACTCGGCAGGATACATTATCAGGCGGTCGGCTCGACTGCCGAGGCGATGCAGGGTCTCGAAAAGCATGACCGAATTGCAGAGATAGGCCGTGTTAGTGACATATTGAGTGTACGCAAATCGCGACCAGTCGACATTAGTAGTTGAGCCATGAGCATGGAAGACAGACTGGGACGGGAAGTGAAAACTATTGAGGCGAAGTCGCCACAAAGTAGCGAGAACGAAGAGGCACACAAGCACTTTGGAGACGGTCCGAACCGCCTTGGAAGTCATGAGTTGCATTACTGTTGCTTCCCATCGCGCGCCCCAGGATTCGTCCTCAGAAGGAAGATGTCCGCGCTGCGGATAGCGGATTTTATCTATCGCGGCCCACATAGTGCGAGGTAGGGCGGATGCGTAATTGACAGCGTGAGAGGACAGGCTGTCACTTGGCTTCGAAGAGGGGAAGAAGAGCTTTGGAGAATGACAGCCTTATGGGCCGGGGTCGCAAGAGAAACGAACGACTGGCAAGGCTCATCAGAGCCGGGCGGCAGCATGAGCTGGAAAGTTCATTAAAACATATGGTGCGGCACGGCGGCTGGACAGCGCCTATCGAGCTTGCAGGCCTATCCCTGTTCGGGAAGGCTGTGCATTTTTCCAAGCGTGATGTCGGCATCCACTGGAGGTGGGAAACCGGTGGCCATTATTTGGACGGGTTTGGCCGGTTCGGAGGTGGTTTGGACGTTTGGACGGGTGACTGGCTATTCAATTAGCCAAGCCGCTAACGCATGGATCAAGGCTCGGATAGCGAACACAAAGAAGGGTCCGAAAGAGGGTCGGTTAGAACCTACGGAGTACTTACAACCGTTGACAGCTTATTCACTGAGGCACGGTGCCAGAACCTGGAATCAAGGCTGAGAGACTTCGGGCGGGTCGGTCAAAGCGGCGATGGTTTGCTGGAGATGAGAGTTTTCATCTTTTCCCCCTCGCCCCTTTTTTTCGGAGGGGATGGGCCCCGCGCTGCCGGGCCTAAACTAAAAACTTTGTTAGCGCTTACATGCAATTGAGGTTACAAACTTACAATACATAACTAACCACTCCGTACGTGTGCATCGCCCTGTCGGAAATGAGCTACTCAGCAGCTACTGGCAGTAGTTCGCACGTGTGGGGCCGGCCGCCTGCTGTCGTCCTTTCCGGAGGCCCGAATTCTACAAGGCTGGCTCCCCGGGCCACCCCCCGCCGCTACCTTTTTTTCTCCCTCCCAGTGGCGTTCTTAGTCCCTAAGAACCAGCGGCTTTATTGGTCCTTGGCCCAATCCCTGCAACTAGCTCGGATCAGGTATCTGGTTCTTTGTCCAGCTGAGTCTCCCATAGACCAGACTTAGCCGACTATGCGCGTATATGCGGTCTTTGAATGGCTGCAATGCTCACCCCATCACGGATCCGAATTTGATAGCCCCTCATACCCCATGCCAACATGACCCAGTAAGAAGCCCGCAAACTAGCCAACTGCCTGTTTCGAGACAGCAGGCAAGGGTACTACGGAGGCACGTACCTGGTTCCCTATGGCGCTAAACTGCATTATGAGACTCGCCTTCAGTCCTTTGCAATTCTACTTCTCTCAGTGACGGGGGTTAAGGGTCTTAGTTGCAGATATCACGCTCTAGCATGGATGGGCGTCACTCGCACAAATGGGTTCCTCTCACGCACGCAATCTCTATTCTCGTACTTTCTTATCAGGAACGCTGCTACCGAAACCTAGGGAACCCGTGGGTTTAAGTGCAATACCTGCTCGTCTTCCCTGTCTTCCCGGTTCTCCTCTACGCAGATTTGCCATCTCATGCTCGGTCGCCCTATGATTTGATTAGTGACTGTGTACTCGTGCTCGCTGATCTCTCCTACCCAGTTCCCTGGGTGACAGTGCCTTCACCCATGGTTTCCTATTCTCTGCACCACGCCAGGTCTATACTCTTTGTCGGCATTTGCATTACTTCAGTTGTCAACGCGGCGGTTCCATTCGCGCTCACATGGTCGGATAAGAGTTATGGTCCAGATGGTCCCTGGCATGCAGTTGAGGTCAAAATCGGCTCGGCTGAGCAAGAAGTGTGCCTCTACCCAGGAGGGGTCTGGCAGAGTTACATTCTTCTTTCCTCAATCTGCTCAAACACCTCGATCTCTTCCTACTGCTATGCTAGTACAGCTGGCGTATTCAACAACTCAGCATCAACATCATTCGACGATACATCCATAAGATTGGAAATAAACGATGCAACCTGGGGACCACTTCACTTTGCCTCAGCTACTCAAACTCCTATCTATGGCACCGCAAAGTGGGCCATGGATTACGTCGATATCCTGGGAGTCAGCGCCCCTAATGTCAGTCTGAACGTGCTGGACCAGGGGTACCAGATATACCCCGATGGAACAAACTACCCTCTTGAACTTGGAGTTCTCTCATTGGGAGCCCCAGATCTTGAACAAACATTCAGCAATTCTGATGGTACGTCTGTGAACAGCACGTTTGTCAGCAGCTTTATATACACGTATGGTGGCGGACAGGCCACCCCGTCCTACTCCTATGGCATGCATATCGGCTCGCCCACCTTCAACATTGCGGGGTCCTTGTGGCTTGGGGGATACGACAAATCCAGGGTCCTTGGGAATGTCTCCTCTCAACCTTATATTGACGCAACATTTCCGATCAAGTTGCGGGACATAAGTCTCGGTGTTGTCAGCGGGGGCTCGCCGTGGTCGTCGTCGAGCAATTTGACCGGTCTTCTTGCAGCGGGTAATTCCTCACTCTCATCCAACGGAATAACAGTGCTATCAAGCCCCGGTGACCCTTACCTCTACCTCCCTCAAAGCACATGTGATGCCATCGCAGCCCAGCTGCCAGTCACCTATCAAAGTAAATATGGCCTCTACTTTTGGAACACCTCAAGCAAGGCCTATTCGGATATTGTAACATCACCGAGTTACCTGGCTTTCACATTCGACAAGGACAATTTGAATCTGTCCAACATCACGATCAAGATTCCGTTTAACCTCCTGAACCTCACATTGACGCGGCCGCTGATCGATACTCCGACGCCATACTTTCCCTGCATGGGAACGGACGGTACATATGCGCTGGGGCGGGCCTTTTTTCAAGCGGCCTTTGTGGGGGTGAACTGGGGATCGGGGACGGGGAATTGGTTCCTTGCACAGGCGCCAGGCCCGAACCTGCAAACAACGTCGACGACGGTCATCCAAGCGTCGGACAGCTCGATCACCGGCTCCGACAACAGTTGGGAGAACAGCTGGGCCGGGTACTGGACCGAACTCTCCAGCTCAACGGCGACCGCTACCAATGCGACACACACGAGGTCCTCTAGCGCCACGGCCACGGACACCAGTCTCTCTACGGGCGCAAAAGCAGGAATCGGCGTAGGCTGCGGGGTGGGAGCCCTTGCCGCCATTCTGCTCGCCCTCTGGTACTTCCGGCGTCGCCGGCGCGCCCCCAAGCAAGTGAGTAGTAGGGCCTACCGCGATGCCCGCGGGGGTAACGACTTACCCGATTTGGCGCAAGCTCAAAGCCGGGGCGGCCACAGCTACCGTAGTCGGGCGCCAGACCATTCCATCGTCTCTTCGGCTTCCACCGTACACAAACCTCCTGCCGAGCTCTACACGCACCAGAACGAGGGCCCGTATGAGATGTTATGAGGCTCGCAAGCCTCAAAGTCGTCGACTTGTGGTCTTCACGATATGATCTCCGTGACCGTAATTCATGATATACGAGGGAAATGGCCTTTTGCCTACTGGATTTGTTCAATACACGGCTTATAATAGGTGCAGAGGGGTTGGCATGGTAGTCGTCGCTCGCCTGTATCTTGGCTTGCGTTGTATATACTAGTCTTTCGATCTCAAAGCTAGCTGTACTTGATTTTCAATAGCTTGGGATACGAGCTTTCAAGCCCCTTCCGCGGCACTTCTATAGTAGGAGATTGTATGATATCTAATTCGACTAGTGGGAACGATGCCAAGTTAAATCATATACTTGAAAAGGCTTCCGAAGGTGTTCAATTTCGACTACAACATTGGAATGAAGACGAAAGTTTTGTATGTAACTCAAGGAAGAAAAGTTGACGAATACTAGGCCTCAACTGGTAGCTGTTAATACGCAGGAAGAGGATAAGAGAGTCAACGACCAAAAATCGGCAACCTTGACCGGTAGCATACGTAAGTAACCATGCTTCCAGCCCCACTCGAGACCTTCCTTCGTTCGATCAAGGCGTTGTAAATAATTTGACCTTTGCGGCAGCGGGTCCGCTATTCACCACTACATTGACAACACGAGCGAAGGCCTTGGATCTAAGGTTTCGACACGTAGATGATCTGTTACTGATATCGACAATCATCCGATTGTTCTTGGGGTCTGGTCTCCAACCGTCATCTACAGTATCGCAAGTCTGTACTGCGTGTGAAACATATGTTGGCTTACAGACTCCGTTAATAGTCTCATGCAGAAGGCCGTTACAGTCTGAATATGTACAGGGGCTTTATGGAGTGGAGAGACCGAAAGCATACCTCAAGATTGGATGTGGAGCTATTTGACTGATGTCAGACGGCAAGCTGCGTTGGCTGTGCTATCGCCGTCTACAACGGGGTTATCGGGACTGATATCGAGCCGGCGAACTTTACTTGAGAGTTGGACCTACAAGAGCTTAGTGTGGGATGAGAGAGGCCGGCATAAACATGAATTATCATTCAGCACCTGTCTGCACTGTTCCTCTTAATTGGGAAGATGACGAGATGTTTCATATATACGCATGGATCTATCAAATACAACAACAACAACAACGAGGACAACAAGTTTTACAGTAACAACTTCTACCTCTACCTAACGTCTCCGCCGCCTTATTAACTGCTGACTCGACGCCCACATGCCCCGCACGCCCTTGGCGATTTCAAACCGCCCGTCGTACAGCGGATACACCACGATGGCCGCGAAGGCGCAAAACCGCCAGATAATCACCACCGTCGTCCACCCTGCAAAGATCAACTGGGTGAAGATAAAGTTATGGTACAGCGGCATCAGCCACAGGGGTGGCAGACATCGTCAAGATAGAGACGGGAGGACCGCGAGGAGGCCGGGCTGGTGTTGGAGGAAGTAGCGGAGAGGACGGTGTTCTTCGTATCAGGCTGCTTGGGCTTTTCCTCTTCGGGGGTTATCGTGGACTGCGGGGGTGCGGACAGGTCGTGATCAGTGATCAGCTCAATACAGAGAAACTCACAGCAATTGAACTTGTGGGAGCGGAAACAGGAAATAAGAACAGAATAAAGAACAGGTAAGAAGAAGAAGAAGCTGATAGTACTATAGAGAGCAGACAGCTCCTCGCTGGTAGTAGTTATATTAACGCTACTATACCTTAGTAGTAATGAGTTAGATAGCCAGTCCCGTCAAGAAGCCCAGTATAGAAGAGTAGATAGTAGTAAATCAGGTTTAGCTGGACTAGAAGAGTATCAGTCCTAGCAGTATAATACCGGGAAAGAAGAGAATCGGATAGAATCAGTTAATCGAGATTATATTAGCGCCGCTGTAGTTAAGTATAATAGAACTACCTGTAATAAAGATAGTATAGAAGATAATAACAATATGGCTGATGTATAGAAGACAGTAGTCCTCAGCCTTCAGGTTAATATAGATCCTGTATATATTGAAGGAGATAATACTACTGACAGCGATTATTGAGAAGAAGACAGCACTAGTCAGTACTATAAATAGAAGTATAAAGAAGACTACTATACCAAATCTTTCTCCGCCTCTGCTCCTTCTCGGAGAGACCTAAGTATTTGTTATATAATATACTGATTTTCGATATAGGATTGCTTTTAAAGTTATTTACTAAGCATAAGTACATTCAATAGAAAGAAAGGAATAGATAACGAGGTTAAATATCTTATTCAAATTCAAAATCTTTCTCGCTTAGTTGTCTGGCTGGCCCGCTTGATTACTTGATTACTTGTCTATTTACTTACTTTACTCACCCCACTCACCCACGCTCTTGACATCATCACCCAAATCACCTGCACTCACCCTTCGTCTTAGCGTTGCTCACCCATAAAGCAGCGACTGAGGAAAGGGCTCATATTCCACTCGGTCGCGTTCAATAAGTGGCTTGAGTAAGGCTGAGCGGACGGGAAGCCCCATTTTCCACACCCTGTGGCCGTATGTGCTTAATTCCAGTAGAAGCGCATACATCAATGACAGTCAATTTCAATCAATCCAAGTCTCGAGGTTATCAGTTACCTACGGAGTATAGTTTGGATGGATCATAGAGGGAAGTCGGAAGTCGCACTATTCAGTTCCAGCGAAGCTTCCATAGTATACTGTACGGACCTTTCACTCTGCGGTCACCTCCTTCCCTATGTGCTCGACAGCACTCTGTCTACCAGCTCCTTCCTCATCTACATCCCCTCGAGTCATCAGTCAACAGTTAACACTACTTCTCCCGGCTCTCAATTTTGATCTTCTTCTTCCCTTCTTCTTCTCATCCCCACCTCGCGGTGTTCTGATTTTAGTATCTTGCTAACAGGTTGATGTCTTTCCACTTCACTCCTTACTCTTAATCCCGTGTCCGTTTCCTTTGAAGTGTAGACAAGATGGCCCGTCTTTGTCTTCCTTCGTTCTTTTCTTTCCCCTATTTCTCTTCTATTTGCACCAAGAAGGATCTGGTACGTCCTTCTTGTCCCGCCTCACCCAAAACACCCTCGTGCCCATTTTCTCTCGGTCTCCGACCTTACGCTCCTTTGCTTGCCTATCGAGGCGTCTGTCTTTCCTGGGTTTGCAGTCTGCCTCATTGCAGCCCCATGGTTGGAATGGTAAGTAGTCTCATTCCTGTTGATGTTCTTGAAGAAGCTTTCCCCTGTGCCCAGCGATATTTCAATCGGTGGCACGTCCTCTCTTTCTTCTGCCGATAGCACATCCATTCCTTTCTTGCCAAGCCTTCGAGCCACATCCATACCTTCTCTGTCATCTGGTGCTCGCTTTCGCTTTCGGGAGAGACGAGCTCGGTCTAACGCACAGGTCCGGCAAGGCCGTGAGCAGATAGCAGCCTTGGAACGCAAGGTTCAGCGGATTCATGCTCTGCATGAACTTGCCTTTGCACCAAACGCAGCTCCGCCTGGGGTTAGTAAACTCAAGCTCAAGAGGAGCGTGAGGTTTGATGAGAACATCACAGTAGTTACTGCAGACCCTTGGATTGTCAAGAAAAGGCATGTTTAAAATTCAAAGTGTCGTCATAGAAAGCTTCTTGTCCACTCTTTTCGTTTCCTTCTGTCACTCGTTTGGGATCTTCCTTGCCTTTTAGGCTTATTGCACCTCTTTTGTCTCTTTGCTTCCCCTACTCAGCTGTACCAGAGCCGCGTTGAGCTCTCTTTACTGCTGATCAGGTTACAGATTGGGCATCGGGACGACATCCTGCAGCACCGAAGAACGATAAAGATAAATGGCCGAGTTCAATCTGATTTGTTTACGGTTTGGCGGAGTGTCTAGCGGCTGGCATCACCCAAGGACGACACAGCTGGACGACCTCGGGAAGGTGTTTGGGAGTGTTGTAGTTGAGTGTCTGTTGGGTAGCAGCACGAGACGAGCAACCACTTGTTCCTGGGGTAACGGTATCGGCGGTGTTTGGTTTGCGACAACACTTTCGCCTCGAATGACAGCAACAAACGACGATCTTCAGCAACGATTATCGGCGGCTCGAGAAGTATTCGGTTTAGCGACAACATTCCGCGATACGACAGGGGCAATCAAGAGGAGGTTAGGAATTGTCGGTAGTTCTAGCGGTGTCTCGTGCCAGCAGCTGCCGACGTCGTTCAGAGCGTCGGAGTTCAGTCAATTCTTCAGTTCCTGGTACGGGTGTCGGGGGACTAAGGGGGACGTGCGTGGGATGGAATTTGGGTATGTTTGGTTAAGGAGGGCATATAGGACTCACCCCAATAGGTGTGCTTTCGCTCTTTGTAGGTCTCTTTGGTCATTTCCTTTGTTTTTTCTGAAAGTTCGGGTAAGTGACAAGGACTTGTATGGCGACTCCGGCGTGGGTTAGCCCTGTTTGCTTTCCTTTGTCATTTCCTTAGGTGTCTTCAGATACCTGGTTGAGAGGACGTGTGGACCAGCTCCTTTGGAGTGTGAGTATTTGTAGATTCTCCTTGATCTTTTCCTTTGTTCCATCACATGAAGCCCAAGATGGGACTTGTATGGCAACTCGGGCGAGGGTTTAGCCTTTTTGTACTGAGGGAGCTGGGCTGTAGTTTGTCCATGCCATGTGTCATCTCTTCCCACTTGCTTCCTATGTTTGAAACTTCAACTGTGGTAAGAAGCCTGAAGGGGGTCGTAATTAGGCCTGGCTCACTTCGCCGCCGAGGATATACAATATTCAGCACTGCTGTGGTTGAGAGAGAAGTGGTCAAGAGTACCATGGTAGCTATGGGTAGATGAAAGATACCGAGTGATAGGAGCTACGCAGTCTCTGGCCCAAATCTGAATATTAGAGAGTGCAGCAACACTTATGTAATAAGTTGACATGTAACTTAAGTCAACTATTAACTTATAGAGGTAGCGTTCAACTGTACTACTAAGAATAGGTTTCTCCCCACCTCAGAACTTCCAGAAGGGTCAGACAAACCAGTCAAACAAAGGAAACATGCGGGTAGACTTATCCGTATGTGGCTAGTCTCCCCAGATCAGTCAGCCCAGGCTCGGAGGTGGGTCTGGCTCCAACTTGGGGGAAAACTCAGCGGCCCGGCGAGAACTTCAGTTCAGTGTTATTATCCTCTTTTTTTTTGTTTCTGGTTTTCCGCCTCATAGACAAATTCCTATAATATACCCCCACCCCCCCACCCCTTCTGTCTTTCCTTCGTTTTGTTTTTCCTCGTCATGAGCAGTCGTCGTCTTCTATCTCAACTGGTTTCTGTCCGCATTAGCTCTTCTGTTCTCCATAAACCCTTGTGGTATTCTTCTCGTGTCGCAGTCACCAGCCCCACCAGCACCATCACCACCACCACTGTTTCGAAGATCAGACTCCCTTACCGGGTCCAGCATTTCACCACCACGCGCGCTATGGAAGCTATCGCTGACGCGGGTGGGGCTCCCTACAGCTCACTGGCAGGCCAGCTTGACCCCTCACTCCTCAAAGCCATTGATATGTTGGGCTTCGACCATATGACTCCCGTGCAGCACCGTGTCATGACTGAACTGCAGCCCGACGGCTGGCGTAGTGACTGCCTGGTCCAAGCCAAGACCGGCACGGGCAAGACGGTCGCCTTCCTCCTGCCCGCCTTGCACCGACTGGTGAAGGGCGATATCGCCGTCGCTAGGGGCCAGGTCGCCGTGCTCATCATCACCCCCACACGCGAATTGGCGCAGCAGATTGCCAAAACGTGTGACCAACTGACCTCCCAATTGACGGGCCGCGACAGGATCGAGTGCCACGTCGCCGTTGGCGGCACAGCCAAGGCCACTGCCCTGCGCAAGTTCCACAGCGGCGACCCCAAGGTTCTCGTCGCCACCCCGGGCCGTTTGAAGGATTATCTGGGCGATGAAGAATGCGCCCTCAAGTTGAAGGACGTCAAGACCGCTGTACTTGACGAGGCTGACACCATGCTCGAGGTCGGCTTCTTGCCAGATGTCAAGTGGATTCTTCGCAAACTCCCCCCTAAGGAGGTTGCCAAGTGGCAGGGAATGTGCTTCAGTGCGACGCTGCCGGACAAGGTCAAAGACGTGGTTGGCGTCGTGCTTGGCAAGAACTATCATCATATCTCGACGATCGATCAGAATGAGTCACCCACGCACGAGAGGGTGCCGCAGTATGCGGTGGTCGTGCCCGACGTGGCGCAGACGTTCACCGGCTTGCAGGCCCTGCTACAGGAGGAGATGCGACCGGGCGAGGGCGCCAAAAAAGTAATTGTGTTTGGCGCGACCGCAAACTTAGTGGGATTCATGTACGATCTGTTCAAGGAGTTGATGCCGCGGAGCCAGGTGTTTGAGATGCATTCAAGGATGTCCCAGGCGGCGCGCACGCGGACGACGCAGCAGTTCAAGGAAGCTAAGACCGGCGTCATGTTCGCCAGTGATGTCGTCGGGCGCGGCATGGACTTCCCCAACGTCGATTTGGTGGTGCAAGTCGGTCTGCCGGCCGATCCGGAGCAGTATGTACACCGAGTGGGCCGCACAGCACGTGCCGGCAACGATGGCCGCGCCGTCATCTTGCTCACCAAGCGCGAATCCTTCTTCATCAACGCCAATGCGCACAAATTTCCCATTAAGCCGCACCCGAAGACGGAGAGCCTCCTCGCCCAGGCCGGCGCCGAGTGGTCCCAGCCGTTCACCAAGGCCATTTATGCCGTCGACGAGAGCACTAAGGCGCGGGCCTACCAGTCGTTCATCGGCTACCTGGCCGGCAGCGGCAAGACCAAGAAGCAGATGCAGTTCGACAACCCCAGCCTTGTGCAGTATTGCAATGAGCTCGCCATCAAAGGCATGGGATGTCCCGAGCAGCCCGGCATTAAGAAGAGCACCATCGCTAAGATGGGGTTGAAGGGCGTTCCTGGCTTCATTTACGCCTCCGAGGGCCACGGCGGCGACTCCCGGCCTCGCCGCGAGCACAAGCCCCGCGACGTGCTCAGTCCTGGCCAGAATGGCGTGGAGAAGAACAGTGCCAACAAGAAGGAACCTTCCCGCAAGAGACGGGGTCCGAAGAGGGGCTAAGTTTTCTCTTCCTGTCTGTTCCTTCTCTCGGGTCTTCCTTGGTTTCGGTTGGGTTGCTTTTCTGTTCGATTCCCCCGTGTTCCCATAGACTTAACGAAGAGCTGCTGTGTTTGAATAGCTTTTGTTCATGCATCCATGGTTGATAGAGTATTTACATTTCGGGGATTTCATGTTCATTGCTATCAGGTCAATACAACTAATGTGATTGGTATCAGAAGAGCGGGTTATGGTTGTGTAAAACTACATGCAAATCCGGACCACTTTAAGACCTGGTTCAGCCATCCATCCTCCCTTGGCCGTCATCGGCTGTAATAATTGTTTCTACACATCAAATCTCCATCTCGAGGAACTGAATGCCGGGTCTGCAATACTTTCAGACGACTCCCGATCCAACCACCTGTCTCGATTAACATCCTTGGTAAGCAATTTTGATATTGCCATCTGAGCAGAAAACAGAGACTATAGGTACTGACAATTAATCCTTCCGTGCCAAACACCTGACCTCCACGAGCCTGCGGTAACCATTTAGCGATTAGGAGTGCATAGCGATACGTATTCTCTGTCTAGAGACTGAGAACCACTATTACTACATAGACCCGCGGCTACAAACCAGATTCATCCACTACTATCTCACATGATACCAGCACCTACACGTACGTATTTCGAATTGCTAGTATAGTTCCCGGTTGGCTAACACCTTGGGTCAGATCCTGATTTGTGATTTTTAAAGGTTTCCTGCCTGCTGTAGAGACTGATATGGTGGCACCCATCTTCCACCCTCATCGCAGCCTTTCCTGCCAAGTCTATGGTTCGAATTTGCGGGGAAGAGCTAAAGCGAAACAGTGCATGAAATCCCATATTATATCAACATGAAACAAAACGAAGATCTCTTTGTCAGTGGTTTTGTTTTGTTTTTTCGGGCTTTTTTGAGAACAGATTATCTTTCGCATTTCCACAGCGGGACAGAGATGTGAAGTAGTGAATCCTGAAATTCAATCACAGAAAAATCAAATCAAGTTAACGAAGGGGAAGACTGAAATGAGAGCTGGCGATACATTTACGTACGACCGCAGAGGGAATTTGGGCGGGGCCTGGTATTACTCGTTTATCGAATATGACCTGACTCCCAAGGGCGAGAAAGATGTGGCACAGTCTGCTCCCGGAGTTATTCAGTTAAGCCCTATAGTGCGCTGCATGGCGTTTGAAAGCCTGCACTAGCTGGACGTTCGGCATCCCCTCCCCTCGTAAACCGAGCCAGCAAACCCGTGCACATCCACCCCGCTCAAACGGGTCAGGAACAATTTCGAATACGCGGCCGCCGTGGCAGCTGCCCACCTCTGCCACATCAGGTGCCGATGGGTGTCCGCGTAATCGGCGGCGCCGCGGATGAGCATGCAAGGGAAGATGCTCATGATTCCGGCGGCTTCCGTCTCGTAACATAGGGCGCCGTACCTCTGGCCGAGTTCGTCACGGGCTTCGGGTACTGTTATTATCTCGCGGCCCGAGATGATGAGGCCGTAGTGAATTCGGGGGTGAGTGGTTCCTCGGGGAGTTCTTTGAACCTCGAACGTAGTAAAACAAGGGTTGCAATCAGGAACTGGATACGGATGGCTGGGAGACCATTGAGAAATCCGGTCTTCTTTTAGTCCCGGGTGTCCGTATTGAGGTCCTAGCTGCCTAATTTGCTGAAGGTATTGATTTAGTGGTGTAGAAGAGTGTTCAGGGTCAGATTCGAGGTCCCTGATCGCAGGTAGAACATGAATAGGGGGTGGAAAAAGTAACCATTTGACGACAAAGCTCCGCGCTCTGGGGCTATAGGTAATAGCGTGGGGTATGACTCCCAGATATTTACCGCGGGGAGCGCTAACGACCACATCTCCTAGACGGACATCGTTCTGGGCCGATGGCAACGCCGAGCCAATGCCAACAAGGAGACAGAAACACACCTCAGTCAAGTTGCGTTTTAGATTTGAAACAGAGGTCGTTGAGGTGCTGCTATTCGACCGGGCGGTAGGCAAACGCCGACTATGTTGTGCTCGGCAATGCGTCCCAAGGAGTACGAGTCGGAGTCTCCATCTGCCACAACAAACGAGTCGAAGACTTCGTCAAAAAGAGCGCGAATTGCCATCAGTTCAAATTCCGCGGTACAAATGATTCCAATCGTGAAGTGCCTGGCGAGTACAAGCCTTGTTCTTACTATTTCGCGTAAGACTTCACCTGGATCAGTAGCGGAGCATGGGTCAATCCCGGGTTTTTCGTGTAATATTCGTAACGGCTTGGGGTTAAAAAGGTGCATAGGGCTACTGAAAGCTGGTGAGTCAAGATTCTGGTCAATGCGGATGATCTGAGGAGCAAATTGGTCTCAAGTCAGATTGACCGCCCGGCCTATATCTTGTCGGAGGGCCATAATCGCCCCAGTACCATGGATCGTTCTCGTTGGGTCCGAATACCCAAGCCTTTGCCTCCTTGTCGAGTGTCGCAGTATTTCGAGCCTCGTGCTGCCTTCTATATGGCAGAAGCGCATGAACATGCTTCATGCTCTCTGGCATAGGTCTGTTATGTTGCGGTGGAGGCGTGCTGTCAGATTTCGCAACGCACCAGACAATGTCGCTGGTTAGCTTGATAGGAGTTGATTTCTCGTTACCTTTGGTTTTCATTAGCTCCGTTATGTCTTCCGCGCTCGCTGCGAGGTAATATTTTCCGGTCGGCACTCTAGTCCATAACGCATCTGAATGTGGCCTCTTGGCTGGTAGCACGAGGTCACCGTATCCCCGACCAGACAATGCAGGTGCACAGATGGACCGAGTCAGATCTACCCAAGACCGATCTTCAGGCTCTAGGACTGTCCTTCGCAGATGAATTCGATCTTTTTCCAAAACAAGATCCCGAAAGTCCCAGCCGTCCAGAAACGACCTCGGCTGCTTGATAGCCTCGCGCTTGCCGGCCCTGAGCCGATGATCTATCGCTTGTTCCGGCAAGGAGTAGTATTCCTCCACTCGATTCTGAAATGTGATCGATACTCTCCGTCAAGGGCAATGTTAATTCGCCGATTTAGCGGATGCGACAGATGATGGAACGCTGAGTTCCACTGATACGCCGCTTTGGCCTCGAGTAGCTGATCTTCTCGCACCGATGCAGTGTTTCGATCACCACGGCCTTCACGAATTGACGCCCGAACGAGGTGTAGCAGGGCGCTAGGACCATTGACGAGCCATCCCCGCTGATCCCCAACATCCCAAAGAACAACGTAATGCTGGGATAACCATTTTATCTTTGCAAAGAACGATGTGCGCGATCCTCCGATTTCTCTCTGACCCAGAGCTAGGTTTGTGCCATCAGTGACGACTTCTCCTGTGGAGAGATCAGAAGTAATGAACGAGTCGTTCTCAATGACTTGCAGGAGAGCGGTATTTTCAATGCTGTAGCTCGCGTCACGTTGGCCTAAAAGGAAAGCGTTAGTGTTAGCTGTCAGACAAAAGCCACAGTCTTAATGGAAATATGGACCTGCATATAGCTTCATCTCCGGACACCAGCCTACTATATGCCGAGCGGCCTTCAGATCTTTCACTGCCACGCATATCCCTGGCCACTCCTCACTAAACAAATGAGAAATGCGGAGGCCTTCAGAGACTCGGGAGGTCCAGGCGGAAAAGGGGAGGACCCCGTCACGAGCTACCGCAAAGACAAGGCGCGAGGCGGCGGTGATAGCAATGGCGGTGTTGAGCCATAGGGCGACAATAGACAGGATGTTCATGACGATGTGACCGCCGCGGCCGAGGACGGCGGCGTACAGTGGGACGAAGCTTTGCGGGGCGTCGTAGGAGAAGAGGACCTCGATTGGAGGCTGGTGAGCCGCAGGACAAAAAAGGTCAGTTGAAGCACCACGTGCTGGGCGCGCGAGACATGGATGACTTACGGATGTGAATAGAAACAGGATCACAGCGGAGAAGCCCAGCACCCCGCTGATGACAGTGCTCAAGAAGATGCCCTTCGCTGCGTTCAGCGACGCATTCTTTGTTTCCTCTGCGACGTGGCCCGATGCGTCAAAACCGATCAAAATACCTGCGGTGGCGAGGTATGAGAGGCACCAGTCCCAGCCGGCCGGGGCTCCAATGCCGTTGTATGTTGTCATGAAGGCTTCATGTGCAGTGCGCAGACCGTAAGTGTTGTGGGCACCCAGCGGAAGCCAGATGAGGTTGAGGATGAAGTCCAAGAAGACGGCCGCGGTTGAGAACCAGAAGACATATCGGAATACTCGGGCGGGAGTTTGTTAGTTGTAGGAGCTAAGTACTCAGGTACACTTACGCGACGCAAGATTTATCCATGCGGCCAATGCTAACATCACCTCAGTGCAGATCCATTGTAAGGCGCGGAACTTAATGTTTCCTGTGTCTGTGGGGAAGTCCAATTCGAACACGGTCAATTCTTGTCAATTGTTAACGTTGCTTTCTACAGCACGAAACATGTTTAAACGGACTGATAGCATATAATTGACCGTGGATTGGGTATTGCCTGCCTATGTCAGCACAATACAGAGAAGAGGATGAGATTACATACTTGCACAGAACGTTGTCCACGCGGTAGTACTCCACTATGCGACGATAAATCCGAATAGTCGGCCAAATCGACGGCCTTCCGCCTCGGCGGCCCAGAGGTAGCTTGATCCTGCTGTGGGAGCGGCAGAGCACACTTCTGCAATGACAGCAGCGGTGATAAATGTGAAAACACAAGTCACAATATAGCTCATCCTGAAACCCGTACGCGCAAGGCCCTACTTCCAACTGCAGTCTGTTTCAACTCACCAATAGGCCAGGGGACCTCCAGCCGCGATGCCTGTGGAGAAGGTAACACGAACACCACCAACCAAATACAGAGCCGCTAGAGTCTCAGTCAGCTCTATCCATGAGCCGGTGGGGGACAGGCACACACCGAATGAAGTGGAGAAGTTTTTGAAGAGTGAGTAGCTCCGATGGAGAACCTGAGCCAGTCAGAGCGAGACCATGAACACTCGTTCCCACTGTTACCTGTTTATATCCGAGGCGCTCCTATGATATGTGAGCTTATCAGTCAGCTTGTCTACATGGGTTCGATAACCTACCAAGACGATCTCATCGTTTTTATTCGTCTCGACGATCGTGGAGCTCGTGTCACTTTTGGAGGCCATGTCTCGTAAATGCGCCAAGCCCTTTACCTGTTTGCTCTCAAACCTAATAACAATTTACAGTAATGGCAGATTGTGCAGACACGGCGCGTATTAAACAAGGGACCCCTATTGACTAGTCGAAGGCCAAAATGTGTATTAGACCGAACCAAAGGGTTGAGTCACGCCTTCTTGCCCCGCCTTTATCCACGTTGATGGCGTTTTATATGCATGCTGAGTCGTGGAAGTGCAGGATTGTTGATTCTGTATGACCTATCGCGCCATTGAAAGGCCGGCCGAAATGATAAATTGACATTGCGGCTGCGGATGACGCGATCTCCGAGCGGGCTCTGGAACCCTAACTGACCCCGTCTCGGAAAGATCAACTCGAGACACAATCGATGAAGAGTCATCTCTTGCATGGTTACCCTTGATGTGCACAACCTTCGGGGCCCGCAGGCGGAAGTGACATATAAACCACATTCCATGGGTCTTGGAACACGAGCAGCAAAACCCGGGTAGCACGATGTGGTTTATCACATCCAGTGCCGTGCGTTGCGCCGCACTCGTCGCTTGGGTGAGGACAAACCTGTATTGACCTAACGAGGTTCATCCGTACTAACGAATAAGCTTTTATACACTTACTTTCTCTCACCACTGGCCTCCCTCCCCAATGCAGGAATCCTTGCTCCCGTGTCCCGTCTTCTATGGGAATTTCCCGCCGAGTATCGAGGCAGAATCACCCTGGATCTCCCGAAACTTCATAGAGCCCTTGGTAAGGATACCGCCATCAGACTTGATATATTGCTGATAGCTATGGATGGTGCTTAGGTCCTCTCATCCGAATCGGGCCGAATCAGGTGTCCTTTTACTCACTTGAGATATACAAAGCGGTGCACGGACCGATCAGTCTGTTCTTCAAGGATTCTCGAGTTTATAGCCAATTTGTCCAGGATGGCCACCCTGCACTCTTCTCCATCACGTAAGTGATGCCCGCCGTATCCGTTCGTAATACGGCAGCTGATCCGGAAGCCCGCCCAAGTGACACAAAGGAACATGAACAGCGCCGACGACACATGGGTATTCTGTTCAATCGCAGCAAAGTCCCCGCGTTGACAGAGATGATGTTGCGACAAATTGATAAATGGATCAATTGCTTGGCTATTCTTGATGCAAAAGGGCCTCTTAATCTCGGGCTTGTGTGCCGTGCATTGGAATCGGATATACTTTGTGAGTGCTCGCGCCATTCACTTATCAGCCCGGCTAACACCAGTATGCAGCAACATTTGCATTTGGCGATGCAATCGGCGGGATCGACTCGCTTGAGACGGGAGAAGAACTCGCTATCGTCAGTGAGAATGATCTCAAGTCATCAAAAATGCCGGTTGCAAGTAGCCGTCCAACTTTGGTCATCTCTACTGACATTGTTTGCTCTAGTATGTGAACTTTCAAGACCTGACCGGTCTATGGCATCTTGCTGCCGCACTTATCTTCCGCTTCTCCGGCTGGGAGCTGTCTTCGGTCATTAGCTCACAGCGCTTTGATAATGTAATACTTCCGCATACAGTGAGACGTTAAGTGGTATGGCTGACTTGGAGACAGTGGGCAAATGCACAACTTGTCGCCATGAAAGACAGCGAGAAAGGATCTGGTCTTTCTTTCCTGAAAGTAATGGCCGGAGCTCGGATGCCAGAGCAAACAGCGCTCTCCGAAGCCAAGGAGATGTTGGGTCCTGGCACTGACACTACTTCCGCCACGCTAGCCCATATACTCTACGCTCTGTCGCTTAATCAAATCTTTCGAGCAGATCTCGTTACCGACCTCGAAGCATCTGACTGGCCGACTGACATGTCTGCATTGGAAGCTATACCCAGACTTGTTGCCGCTGTCAAAGAAGGCATAAGGTGGACCGGGGCAGCAGCAGCCATGCTTCCTCGAATTGTCCCGCGGGGAGGTCAATTGCTTGCAGGCAAGCATCTTCCCGAAGGGGTACGTACATCGCCGACCCGCAAGCCAGCAAGAGACACCTTCTGGTTCATGACTGATGAGCACCACTCAGACAATGATCTCCAGCTCCCCGATCTGGTATCTCCGCGACGAAATCGCCTTCCCCAACCCCGAGCTCTACAGACCTAGTCGGTGGCTGGACCCGGGAAAGAATGAGGCAACATCTCTGCGAGATGAATACTATATTCCCTTCTCTAGGGGCGCGTCAACTTGTATCGGTAACCAGTACGTGCACTCATGTCGTACAATGAAGGACCAGCTGACTCAGCGATGACGCAGTTTCGCATATTTGGAGCTGTTTCTCTCGCTCTCGCAAGTGCTCAAACGATATTCCATTCACCCGGGAGATCAATCCACTGTGACTGGCCCAAGTCACGAAGCTGTTCTGCCATCGCGGCGAGAATGGGTTGCTGCTGTCCCTGTGCACAGATTGAAGGTCACTCCGCGGGAACGACATTGACCAGGAACGGACAAAAGCTCACTAAATGGAATATTTCGTATTGTCGAATGATTACACCTAGGTAATACCATGAGCACACTGAGAGATCAAGAATAATTTACTCGCTGATAGTAGAGTGTAAGATATGTAGAACTGTAAAGTGAGCACTGGGCCACATTAGTATCACGTGAAGCTAGGCTGGGGTCCGACTATCGTATTTGTCGCGGTCCTTCATTTCTCCGGATGCCCCGCACTCCCCATTGGCACTTGTTGATCAGACAATTTCAGCCGCCTAGAGTCAGATATGCAGGTTGTCCTCATGCCGACCGAGTCATCTCCAGCTTCATGATCAGTAAAACTCTCGTATCGTACTTCTCCCCACTAATATCTTCTGGCAAGATGTTCTTCTCCCCGTTTGCAATCAAAGCCTCGACAAGAGTGCATTTCCCCGCCTCCGCAAACCCCAAACTCCGGTAGAGACGAACCGTCGCCTGATTTTCCGCTCTCACCATCAACCGCACCCAGACCCCAGGTGGCGATTGCCGAACGGAAGCCAAGTAGTCCAATGCCTCTTAGCAGAAACGCTTCCCGTTTATGGCAAGGCGGGCTACCCACTCCTCGTCGGTAAGGGCTGTTTCGATCTCGAGGGTCGAGGAAAAGGAGGCCGCGCTGACGGATAGAGCGCGGAGGCGCAGTTATTTGTATTCTTGTACTGATGAGGCGATTGTATCATTCTTCAGGATGCGGAAGAAAGAGTATTCGTAGGTTTGAGCCGCCATCTCAATCATGGATGGCAATGAAGCGAGTAAGACTAAGATTCAAACAACTACAGGAGAACCTACGAGAGTAAGATGCTAAGCTTCATTGACTGACATTAATAATAGCAACCAGCTACGGAGTTTGAAGCTTCTAAGATTGGAACGGGATAGTGGAAGCTTTGCCTCTGGAATTTTTGATCACCATATCAATAATCCATGGCACTAGGTTGATCTCTGACTACGAGTAGTCAGCTACCGTGTACTCTACGAGTAGTACTGTGACTATGAGTGTGTACTCTTGCTGGCCGTTGTGTCGACAGTATTAATTAAGTAGTAAGTGGTCTTTCAGGCGGTAAAGCTTTCAGCGTTGGCTTGTCGTAGTTGGCAAGCATTGGTACTCAGTTACCCTCTTGCGAGCTTCCTATCGGGAATAACCTTGTCCACGATTAATGCACAGTTGCCAGACACTTCCACTCGGCCAAAATCCATCGCAGTGGGAAATCGCTTATACAGGGGCGATCGTCTTCCAACGACATTCTTGTGATACCTGAACCACCAAAGTTGAGGAAAAGTACTCCCATGTTATACTTTAGCATCTATAAGCGTACACTCAAACTGATGATATTCTTGTTGGTAGTAAAGATCGAATTATCGACGCAACAGACAAACGGGGCCGGCAAATACCTGCATCACGTGAGACAAATTACGAGGGCCTTCGCTGCGGGTGCCTCCCTCAGCCAAAGGCGTTGCAAAGCACACTAAGTTAACGCCTTTGGGCGGATACATACGATATCCAGCTGAGCTTGAGCATACTTGAAGGAACTTGAAGTGATCCGAGGTTATAGGCTGCTATGCAAATATGCTTAACTTCAAATGTCCATATAGATCGACTTGATCTGAATCTTAGCACATACGACCACAGGGTGTGGAAAATAGGGCTTCCCGTCCGCTCAGCCGTACTCAAGCCACACGCCGGGAGGTTAGTAGTTGGGTGGGTGACCACCAGCGAATCCCTTCTGTTGTATGTCTTTTGTTTCGTATCTTTTTTCTTCTGCAACTCAGCAACCAGCATGTTCGACTGTTATCACACCTCTTTATGCTTCTTCCAATAGTACATACAATCTTACACTACTGGCGTACGTACGGCAGAGCCTCGCCATGTGGAGTGATAAACGTGCATGATCACAACCAGAATGCTCGCGACTCCCTCACCGCGGAGGACTGAAACCCTTCACCTTGAATCTAAACCGAGCTTTTGGAAGTGCTGAGACGAGATCATAGTTCCAGCTGCCACAGAGCGTGTTTCAAGTCGCACTGGAGATGATTGCGATTCAAATGACAGGATGGAAATGGACAGGTTTCCGTAGAAAGGGAAAGCAGGGAAGCTGTTAAGCAACGCAGAATATGACTCAAGAGAGAGAGATCACAGACTCCGGAGAACTGTTGTGGGTAACTTAGGCCTAACTTTCTGAATTCTAGCGGTAGTCAATTGTCTCGTGTCATGTTGGCAAACTTCGTTATCTTTACTTCTTTCAAACCAATATAGGGCTTGGAATCATTACCTTCCTGATCGCTAAATCATGGATTGTCATCTGCAAAAACAATGGCTGATTGGAGTTGAATAAATCACATTTAAATATCGCCTGTATCTAGAGCCTACTATATATCAACCTCTTGCCCGTGTGTTGCTTTTCTATATCTCACCTACATCACTGGAATATCCCATTGAATTCATGAGTTGTGAAAGCCTAGTAAGTCATAGAGTAATAGATCACTATTTCCACAACCCCACCAAAGCACCAACGCGACCTACCAGATCATATGCCCTTTTGTACTCCCTAAAACTAGTAACAACCACAAGTCACGTGGCAGGGGGTTTGCACTGAACGCCTGCTTGATTCAGAATACAACTTTTGCTTCTTACACGACCTTCCTACGCTTCTCTTCTCGACTTCTTGTCTATACTTCATTTGAAAGGCTTTGGGGCTGGTTAGTCTTTCTTTAGAAGCCATGCTGCCCAAATTCTTGCAGAGTAGCTATGCCCGCTACAAAGCAGACACCAACACATCTGTAACATGGTTACTCGAAACAGCTAATCGGTGTGGCTATCACCCACCAACCCTCTCTGCTACGCCTCCCACTACGAAATCAAAGGAAAAATTCAATAGCAAGAGCGATGACTCTGATTTAGAACCTCTTCAATCCACCGCGACCACCAAAGATCTACAAAAGTTCGCCGAGATAGTTGCGGGCTCAGCTCTTCCAGTACCGAAATCGATCCTTACCCTTGCAAAACGCGCCATCAAGCTGAGAAAAGAGGTCACTTCCTGGTTCTTGGGCAAGGGGGACTCCGCGAACAATGAGAGCCATGCTCATTTCATTACTGCGCTGGAGGAAATCTGCGATATTCTGGAGTGGAAGACCCACTGGCCCTCGAAGCCAGATGCCAAGCAGCCACCACCGACTTCACCATCCCAAACTGATGACATCAAAACTGATTGGAATACAAACAAATTTGCGGTCCTCACAGTTGAAGAACCCCAAGAGACTGCGCAAACTCAATTGAAAAGCGAAGAATTGAAGAAAATTGTCCAGGTCACTGTTAACGAAGAGGACGACGAGAAGGCAGCAGACGCGGATCTTGGTCACCTGTTCTTTAAGTCCTTCTGCTTATTCCAAGACTTACATGATATGCGAAACTTCATTTCTTTCACTTTATCAGAGTATCGAGACAAGAAAGTCGACCTCATGAGCGCCGAGATCGTGACTGACAGTGCTTTGCAACTCGCCCGAGATCTTGTGGAGGAAGTGGAAGCTGACTGGCGCACTTCCTTATCAGGGCAAGGGGATGACGTGCAGAATCTTGTCTTCAATCTTTCCGTTTTGTCCCGGGGTGGATCTGCGGTACCTTCCTTAGATATTGGCCTGCCATACAACAAAAACATGGCTGATATAGCTGACTGGTGTTACGTTCCCACCAAAGTCTTGCTTGAGTCCTTTGCAAATGTTCTACAGGCCGAGCACGTGCCAGTCTTCAAGAAAGGTCACTTCGGCACCTATGATTCAAAGGCAGATAGAGGCCGAATGTCTCCAGGTCAGAAGTTCGAGGAAGACAAACTAATAATGTTCTCGTTATTGCCTGAATTTTGCATGGTCCATACATTCGATCTTCATATGCCTGCTCAAGACACGATTACTGGAGGCCTCACCGAGTTTACCAAGACCAAGAAGGTAACCTTGTGGCTTTGTTATGCCGTTCAGGTCTTCCTCGATGTTCATCACATGATGCGATACTCTGTCTTGGGTGCTTTTGAAGACCTCCGCATGTCGGGACTTCGTATCCAGAAGACTATTGATGACTATCTGCAACTGTCTAAGACACACCATCCGCCCGGATTCTGGCCAAAGGAGGGGCACAAGACAATTCAGAACATAAGTTCTGACGTGCAGTCATGGATCATACAAGATTTGTTCCTTGATAATTCGAGTCATGCCTGAGCTTAGTCATGTTGGTCCTCTGCCCGACAAGCACATACTTCTCTCGCAGCACGCTATCCTTTGCGGCTTGTTTCTGTTTAATCTCAATGTTCGTATGCAGTAGATGGGTCAGCAACTTGTGAGTCAGTGGTACGATGTCCAACTGTTGGCCTTTTTGCACAACCTCGTCATTAACTGTCCCCCACACAAAGACCTGAGATGGCCCGACATGGATGCATTCATCAAAATTCATGGCGAGTCACACATATTCGTCGGATCGCGACCTAAGAATGCTAGTGAGTCGCTAAACAGGCTTGAGTTGGCCACAGGCACCTCGTCGGCTCCTCATTTTGCCCGCAATTCCGGGGAGAACTACCCTTTTCATAAGCCAGATGGCAAGAATGCTCGCTTGCTCAAGCCCACAACCACAGTGGCCGAATTATTCTTCGCCCAATATGTTCGTGGGTATTCGAGGGACGATGTCGGGATTGCCAACGTAGAGCTAGTCCTAGACAAACTTTCGCAATTCGAATCAGATGGAACAGATCTTCAGAGATGTAATCCGAAGCTTATTCTTACCAGACAGTGGTCTAGTACCCACAGAATCGGCACACTGCAACTTCTCGCCTTCCTGAGAATCAAGCTATATGAAGAGGAGCCAGTTATTTTATACAACTACTTCGGTATGCATAGACGGTCCATCGAGCTTCTCCGTCTAATTCGACACAAAGAGCATCAGAAATTTGTTCAATAATTCACTCCATCCTATAATATGCCTGATGAGTCGTGCATACCCTACATTGTCGTTCTTATCCATCATGTTGCGCGGGGCTCCGCACAGATTTTGCGTGAAATGGGGCTTTGTCCACCAGGAGCTAAGACGTGGAGCCGTATTGTTGTGAGCGCTGGCGACGTCATGCGGGAATACTTGAAGAAGAATGGTGAAGTGGCCTGTAAAGAGTTGAGGGTTTCTGCAAAAACAAGAAGCCCATTCACAACGCCCCTGTCTATCAGACCAGCGAATCGCCTGGGCCAAAGTACTATGGGTTTGGTCTGGAAGACATGCTGGGCCCCAAGGGAATGGCCTCGCTCATGACTGGGATCCCAGTGGCCGATTAGGTACGATGGCTGACGTGATACTATCGTGAAGTTCTGCGTGTCTGAAGATTCAGCTGTATTTCTTGCATGTGGTGGCCCAATTTTTTCGGTATATGCAACATCATCCCTTCTTCATTATTTAACGACTAGCAAATATTAAGCCTAAACTGGGATGTAACATGGATGGTCGTTCTGCGCCCATTGTATCTTGTATCGGTCGTGGTGGATGACACGATGGATGACAAGTCACTGTAACCCCATGTAGCTACATCGTTCCTTTCCACTTTCTTCAATTGTGGTCATTGATTCTCGACAATATAATAAGCATATGTCTCAAATAAGCTCGCGTTCAGCAGGAAATATGAAAATTGGAAGGTTGGCTTCCTCATACTTCGGACAGCAATGCTATTGGAAGAATTGAAAGCAGCAAAACCAAACATCGTGAACTAAAAAGAGCTGTGATGATTGACTGAAAATCAAACTAAAATAATGGCCTTCATCTCTCCACCTGCCGCCATACGGAAATTCTCCTTCCATTCTTCCATGCAATTCTCTTCCTGCACTGTGTTGAGCATGAAGTACCCAACTCGGCGGAAGCTCTCCTTATCGCCAACAGCCTCCCTCAGGACCAAACCGCTCCACTGTCTCAGCCACGAATCTTCCACAATCACTGCCAACCACAGCTCTTCCAAATCTTCAACCTCAGGATCCCACTCTACCTCGACCCAATATCTGTCCCCCTTCAACCCCGCTACCTCCATTGCATTCCCATCACAACTGCTGAACTGCGTCTTAACCACAAAGGTCCTCAAGGTGAGCTGGACGATCCAATCTTCCTCTGTACCCTTGCTATATTCTACCCTCTGCGCGAGACACCGTTGATCGGTCTCGTCTCCCCAAGCAACCGGTGAGTGCATTTTTCCCCCTCGTATAGATGCCCAACTCCAACTAGGCACACACCCGTCCTTTTCAGCGTCATCATCGTTGACTGAATCTCCGACCCTCCAGCCAAGCGACAAGGGCATTGAGCCCCAGAAATGACCTGCCAGATACTCACTGTCGTCCTTCGACTGAGCGCTAACATCATCAGCCGATCTCATCCGCCTCGCCACCTCGTCTGCCAGCCATTCCACCCCGACTAGTTTTTCCCTCGCACCTATCCTCTCTCCGCTCGCTGAAACCGTGGCTGTATACTCGTCGAGAATCCTGTACCAAAATCCCAGCAGTGTATACCATCCTGCATCACTGGGAACGATGGTGTCACGGTGTGGAAACCGGTCCGGCCCAGTCAAGAGTGAGGAAGGGAGGTAAGGGATAATTCCGGCGGGAAGTGATTCGCTTGCTGGGTTGAAGCAGCTGCATTCCCAGAAGATTTCCGCAGCCTCAGAGTCGATGGTCAAAAAGCGGGGGGTAGCTAGGCGAGACTGGATGCCCCCTGAGTGATTGCCGTTGTGGTGAAGGGTGTCGGGGAGATACGACCAGGGGATGAAGGTACAACTCAGGCTGTTGTTTCTGGGCTCATCAATCTTGCCGCTGCCTATGACTATTTGACCCATGACTCCACTTATCGGAGTGACCTGGAAGGGGAGCATCTGGTTTTGCGAGGCCATAGAGTGGTTGAAGACGCTGTGTTTGGCGTCTCCGGGAATGGACAACGCGATGGTGAGGATCGCGTTGGAGTAAAGACACATGTCCTCCTTTTTCATTGGAGAGTATGGCTGCTCTACAGACAGATTGCAGACTTGCGGGAGCCAGATATGATTGATCCCGACCGCCTGAAGTAAGGTGAAGACTTCACTCAATGCCGCAGGCAGATCAGAGATACGCGCGCCACTGCGCAGGGTCTCCACAACTAGCAGCCAGTCTTTCCCGGCGTGGTCAGAAAGCCCACAATGCAGCACCGCATAAGGTGCTTTGAACCTGTTTTTATCCAGGATCATCAATCGCACATTTCCCTCACGGGAAATCTTCAAGAGCTGCGACGGGTGGTACTCAGGTTGCAAGTTCCGGGGACAGGCATGCTCGCGGAGACAAACCTTCAGCCAGCCTTCGACTGCCGTTATAGTATCCGCAAGCCGAGCAGAGGAGTCTCTCATGCGAGGACCGGGGTTGAATGAGAGGGTCTCGCTGGGTACTGCGAGCAGGGTGTAACAGTACGGGGTAGTGTCATGAGGCTGCGGCTTACCGCTCTCGTTGTCGATGATCAATTGGCTATAGCCTGCATCATTGTAGATGCGGTAGCTCCAGTTACCGTCAGGCGAACTGTCATTCTGAGTAAGGTCATGGAGGATCGACTGGCAGATGTAGCAGCCATTGTGGGCTGCCAAGGTCAGGGAGGCGGTGTTGGGATGATGAGGACCGTTCCAGGCCGAGGAGTGGAAAACTTGGTTGCAGTACGAGCAGAGCATTTTGTTTGCGTCCTTGTCTTGATTCTCGAAGAAGGATTGATGATCAGATGCAGACGATTCCTTGTCGAGGGCAATGAGCAGGTTTGATAACTCCTCCGAAGGCGATGTTGCAACTCGAAGCAGCCAATCAGAAGCTTTCTACAGCGCTCCTGCTAATTGGCTGCAGGTTCCCCACGGTTCAGCCCTAATCTGATCCTCGATTTTTCGTCACGCTCTCTCTTTCGACCTTCGACGGCGAATTAGAATTGCTCGGCCCCTGTTGGCAAGCCATTGGCTGGATTTACGACCTTTGCTCCGCCGTCAATTGCTGTGCAGCCTGCTGCAGATCATCTGAGGGGCCACGGGACGCCTTGTATCACCGCCGTGCTTTATCAAAGCGTGCTTGTACTCTCCGAGTGTGCGGGGACATGACCAAAGTCATAGTGGCAAGGTGTGCAAAGTACATCACTCAGTCGTCTCTGAGTTTTGAGGTGATGCATCCCCGCGACGAGGGCGGCTTTACCCCATGAATATACGAGCATTGTGTGACTAAGTTGGGGTGTGGTCCCCTCAGTGCGCAGCTGTATGGTCGACACCAACAACGCCGACTGCTTACGTTGGATTCAGTTACTCTGCCAGGAACACTGATTAGAGATGTGCTAGAATCAACCTAAGCTGTACACTTCCTTTGCGGAGTCAGTCCCCCAGATGCGGGTATAAAAGAACGCTCGTCGTCTGCAGACTTTGAGATATTCATCACAGGCCATTCATCTACAACACCACAACGCCAAATCGGTAGACTACCACTGGCACCTTATTGCACCATCATCATGAAGGTCAACATCATTTCTCTCTCCCTTCTCAGCCTTCTGTGGGCGGGAATTGGCCTCGCCGCCCCGGTCGACAATGCTGTCGACGATACAACTCCGGAGGTCGGTGGAGAGGATTCCATCCAGGAGATTCTGCGAGGAGTAAGTCGGCCTTGAATCTTTTGCTGGAATGTTGTTGACCCAGGTGATAGACCTGCAGCAGCGTGACGCAGCAGTGCACGGCGCAGAAGCGTCCCGGAAGCGTTTATCACGCTCCGTGTCCGAGAGACCACCGAGTGAGTGTCCTTCTTGCTTGTTTGAGAGACCGTGCTCATAGGACTAGTGTGGTGCGCGACACACCTGCAACATCGATACTATCCGGCTTACGGCGGTTTGCAGCTGAGCGGCTGTGGTCGATTAGCTCAGGATCAAAACGGGCGATTCTGTGCGCTACAGCGACGGGAAATATAGGCTATGTGTCGGAATAGCTGTATATGGATTGAGATGGACACGCGTTGAGTTTAGTTCATTCAACATGAATTGGCTCTGTTTGGTTTGGCTTTGTTGAATTCAAATATTGATTTCGTACCAGCTCGCACCCTCCGTAGACTGTCCTGTAACCTTGACATTGGTAGACGGAGAAGCATTTGACTCGCAGGGTTGGCATCTTGAGTGAAGAGTGACCACGCAGGTGCTCAGCTGTCGGCACAGAAGAGTAAAAAGACCCTAGATGAGATGAACGAGCGATTGCTGCGGAGTTGTAAGCTTACTGCCGGCTCCCTCGTTGCAATACTGATGTTTACCTTGGGTCTGATCCGGGTGGGTCATTTCGATATCACAGCCAATATTAATCCTTCTGTAAGAAAACCCACCGCGATGCAGAAAGCTCCATGCTGACATCATTTATCGGACATGTTGAACCTCAAATTTTGGTTAGATTGTATCAATGAAGCTCAAAGATTTGATTCTGCTATGATGCCTGGTCGAAATCGCAGTTACTCTCGCCAACTGAGACAGTTCAAGCACCTTGTTGATTAAAGAGTGGATTGGCGGTTACTCTCTAAAGGTGCTTTCTTTCATCAATCTCTGAGACATCGTGAGAACCCACCCTGCTGTTGTAGTCTACGCCTACAATATCTTCTCTCAACAACTGCAACAGTCAGTCACCAACAGTTAGCACATACACAGCACACCATGAAGTTTACATTTCTCCTTGTCGCCGTCATCATCCCCGTCACCATTCTGGCAGCTCCAGAACCATTTCCAGAACCCGAAGCCGGAGCTCGACGCTCGACAATTCATGACATGCCCGGTCTCATGCTCGTTGTTTGCGAATGTGGCCGGCAAGAAGCTGCTGGCACCGCGTGCCGCTGATGGGCAATCCTTCATAAAGAATACCGGAGTAAGGTTCCAGTGCTACGTGTTTACTGACGAGTATATCCCAGCCATGCTTTCTTTGCTGCTTTTCAAGGATTGTCTACGAAGCACTTCTGTAGGAACAGGGACGAGAGTCGGATCTGCAGGCCCTGGGATCCGACGGCTGGATCCTGCTGTAGTTCCGTGTGCCTCTAGTTTTAAGCAAGCCTGAATTCTCTTCATTTATGTTACCTGGCTAACTGTGAGCGTGCGTCGCGAGTAGAATAATAGTAGCAGTGAGGTTACCCGAGTGCTGAGAACATCTGGCGGTTGGGTTGTTTGGATTTCTCGGAGTTTGTCTGGGTAGGACGACGTGTGTTCATTCATTCTTTTAGTTCTGTAACCCATTCCTGGCTGTTTGTCTTTTCATCATATTTCTCTCCCTTCGCTAGTTGTCGCTCGCCAATATGTTTCAATTTGCAGTATATTATTTATGATGTACCCATCACTTCAAACTCTTCATTGTCTAAACAAATGCTAGACTTTTCGATGCTTCCGCTGTCTGCTGCAATGGCCTATAGCAAATGGCTATTCTAATTCAAATAAACCCTCGAAATAGTCTTCTTTGTTGAGATATCGGGGTCTATTTCGCCGGGGTCTATATCCCCAGTAGTCATTTCAGTTTCAGCCTCACAATGATACGGAATGCGATCTACGCTGAATCTAGGTGAAACCCGTATACCCCGGCCGCCCCATGGTTCCGTGTACCCTCTGGGCCGCAGAGGGGACCCTCTCTAACGGCTTTAGGAAGACGAGAACGATGGCAGTGGAGGAAGCTTAACAACGATACTGCGCAGAAGCTACCTACCTACTACCCATGGCAGGTCGTGGTTGATCAAGAGGTGAAGGACTCGGCTGTGCACTGTGTGTAGCTCGTACACCTACACTATGTAGACAGCTTCATGAGTAGTCTGGAGGACATACATTGGAGCTGGCTTAGAAATAAGAACGGTTTTAGCGGTGTCTCGACTTGCAGCATTGGGTGGAGAGGGCAAGTTATCCACATGCACAAAGGACGTATATATTATGCTTACCCAATGCCGATGCAGCGCACACTAAGTTAGCGGCGAGATGCGGGGTAAAACAAGCGAATGCGGGGATGATCATCATTGGGCTGCTCAACCGGCTGGCTTCAGCGGCACTTGAAGGCAATTCAAACACCCTGTAGACTTGGGTAAAATGAAGTATTGTTTACATCAATACCACATCTTGTGTAGCCCGAGGCAGATCCCAATTGATCTACAATGAGCATGCACGATAAATATCGACATGGTTTTCGAATAAAAGTTCCACTACGTCGACTCAATGACTTCTTGTTCCCTCCAATCTCAACCGCAGAATGCACTTCCCAGTCCTCTCAGCATGGCTAATCACCGCTCTCTCGCTGTCTCCTCTCGTCACAGCTAAGACAACCCCCAAACCCCCGGCGCTCGACTTCCTCTACACCGTCTTTGTGGAATGTACCAATACCCTCATGCTCTCCACCGGGCCCCACGGCATCCGCAAAGCCATCCCAATTGTCGGTGGGAACTTCACCGGTCCAAGGTTATCAGGTACTCAACCCAATCCCTGTTCTACATGCTCAATACCTTGATGATCCTGGAGTCTAACGCTTACAGGTAAAATCCTCGACGTCGGCGCCGACTGGGGCCTCGTCGACCCCGCAACGGGAATTTTCTCCGCCGATACGCGGTACAACCTCCGCACCGACGACGGGGCGGACATTTTTATCCAAACCTCCGGGCCTCAGTCGCCGAGCGGACAGCTGCATCTGCGGTTGGTGTTTGAGACGGGGAGTAGGGAGTATTACTGGTTGAATAATGTGCTTGGTGCGTATCTTCTTTTTCTTCTTGAGGAGGGGCTCCTGACGAGGTTAGGGGTCGGGGTGCTGACCCATGTGGCGGATATCAATTCGACCTCGATTTTAAGGATTGATGCTTGGAATGTGAGTTCCTCTTCCCTCATTGTTTGATTAGTAGGGAGGGAAGCTAGCTTCGGTTTTACTCTGGTAGAATGTGCTAATGGTGGCCTTAGATGGCTTCGGATTGGAACTCGACAACGTTTCTGGATGCTTAGGGCTTGTTCGGATATGTTGCGGGTAGAATTGCAATGGATCATGGTGCTCGTTGGATATCCCTTGAGAAAGGAGAATGTTCAATGACAGAAAGGCTCATGCAGCCACGTTGAAGATGAATTAGACCCTGGCGTTGCATGAGCCCATGTTCCATAGACCACAAGTCGACACAATCAAAGCATAAATTCACATACATCCACTAATAGTTGTCCCTGGCCGTGAACACCAACCTGCAAGTCTGACCCTTTGGTCTCGAAGATATTTTTTTGATCATCTATATCCATACACCCGGTCATATCCGCTGCCACCGTGGTACGATATTTTGAGTACACCTCCCGCAGGAGAATCTTCATTTCCACCATGGCGAGGCTGCAAATGTCAGCGTATATCACTCCAATAACAATGAAATAAGAAAGCCTCAAGCACAGCAAGAGACACTTACTTTCTGCCCGTGCATCCTCGTCCTCCGGTCCCAAAGGCAAAGAACAGCCGATTACGCTCAATTGCCCCATTTGAATTCATCCAGCGATCTGGGTTGAATTTATCCGGATCAGGAAAAACATCTTGGTCCAATCGATGAAGTGTATAGGGCTGACAACTGACGATTGTCCCAGCAGGAATAAATGTTCCGTCGATAGTTCGTCCGCCGCTTGGAACATATCGAGGAAATGACATCGGAATGGGCGGTGCACAGCGGAGTCCTTCCTTAATTACGGCCTCGAGATAAGGCAGCTTATCAAGCGGGGTATCGGGTGTTGCAGAGCAAAGTTCCCCGTGTAGATGGTCCGGCTGAGATAGTTCCCACATCAAAAAACATAGCCCATCTCCGGTGGTGTCAATTCCGGCAGCCATGTGATCTTTGCATTCGGCTGCAATCAGAGCATGGCTAAGTGAAGACTCTTTCTGGGTGAGACGGCCGAGGAGACTGTGACTGTCTGAGTGCTCTTGTGCAGTGATACTCTGGACGTACGCGTTCGTCTTGGGCGCACGACGTGGTTTAAACCAGCTGGGGAAGTACGGGGCCAGCTTAGGTAGGTAATATTGCAGCAAATTCCCTGCATGAGTCAGTATATTTCCAGAGTAGTGGGCTCGACAAATGAGAGAAATACTCTGCAAACTGTGATGATAGGTCATCTCTTCCATGATTTGGAAGTTCTTCGCATCGTTAAGAGAACTCAGCCCTCCAGGATGGAACATAAAATGCGTCACGCAATCGAGGGCATAGCAATGGAGAAACACCTGAAGTTGTCAGCACTCATACTTCTAGACAGAATACGCGTATGCTTACATAGACGTCTACACTCCTAGCCAAGGCAGCACCTTGTAAGACAAATGGTTCTGCCCGCTCGCGAATGGTGGACACGTGAGGCTCGCGTAGGATATTTGACATGGCATAGCTATCGGCGAGCTCACGTTTGCGTTGGCTATGCTGCTAACTTATCAGTGCTGATCTCCGTTGACTGGGTAGCCACTGACTGTTCGTTTGTCGAGAGTTGAAAACATAGTCCTAGAAAATTAACATAGTACCAGACCAAGCAGGGTAACCTACTTCATCCCAAACTGACGGAACATATCGTAGAATTCGGTCTTATTGTAGCCGCTCCCACCCGAAGCATAGATCTCACGGATGGCCTCCAGAGAAGCAAATGACACCTCGTTTGGGCTCAAACGAACAATAGGTCCGTACTGCTGATGCAATCGATGGATGTACATGCGACGGCCGGGGATAAATTCATGATACTTTAGTGGCAGACTGCTGACCTTGGTCAACCAAGGACCAGGTATTTTGGCGACAGGTGAGATCAATAGCTTGGCAAGGGAGCCGCACAGCAGGAGTGCGGCTACCACTCACAGCAGAATCATCTTCGCTAGAGTTCATGTTGTAGTTGTGCCATCGTGAAGCTCATGATATTTATCAGATTGGTCGACTGATAAGCGTCATCCGCAAAGGGAAGCCCAAGGAGATGCAGTGCGGGGTCCCGATAAGCCACTCCGGCAACGAATTGGAGGTCTTGCTATTCCTTCATGGTCACGGCAACACCTCCAGCATGGCCATTTTCGTTGGGAATTGATATCTAGAAGGTTAACTCAAGCGGCCCGATGAAGACATTCAGTTGAATCTGCACCTCCACCACTGTTCGACTAGTATTATGGTTCAATTGAGAGACCTTCCTTAGAACCTCAGAGATGATGCGGTCATAAATCGCAATAATCACAGATGAACCTATCGACGCAATATTGACCGAGGACTGGGGAAGCCCCAGATCGGTTTGCGCATCTCATGCAGGTCACGGGGCGACCAAATCGAGACACCGACAAAACATTAAGTAGCCTCTATCTTTCTACACTATTCCAACTCACTATTCATCTCATCCTAGTCAAATACATCATGAATCAAAGCAGCATTGCCGTCGTCGGGTAAGTCTACCTCAAATCATCTTTCCGATACCCACGACCACTGACACTCACGCAGCGCAGGAGTCATTGGACTTAGCTGTGCCATCCGCCTCGCCCAACATGGCCATCGTGTCACCGTTATTGCCAAAGAATTCCCCGACGACGTCAATATTAATTACGCCTCCCCATGGGCCGGAGCACATTCCCGACCCGTCCCCAGCACCAAACCTGAGGATTCATCTCGAGCAGGAGTTTGTGCGTGAAACCTACCTAGAGCTCCAAGTTGTGTCGGAAAAATACCCCGAGGCCGGCCTCAGTTCGTTCCCGGTGTAGAATATTTTGACGTGGCGGACCCAGCCTTCTTCTGACCTAAAGCTCACCCAGGAAAACGGCTACGCTTCGTGGCCAGGCTTCCGCGTCCTTGACCCTCGCCAATACCCTGAGGGACATCCGTCCGTCAAGCTTGGGGTGATGTACACTGCTTGGGTGCTGAATTCACCCGTGCATTTGAAATGGCTGAGCCAAGAAGCCGACAGACTTGGAGTCAAATTCATACGCAGGAGACTGGTCGCGCTTGAAGAGGCAATCTTCGTCCCCCGAGCGCAGGAAAAGCGCCAGGATATTCTTGCGGTGGTTAATGCCAGTGGACGCGGTCTCAATGATGCCAATTCGTTTCCCTCTCGCGGGCAGTTTATTGCGGTCTCCAACCGCTGTGATAAGACCGTAAGCCACCATTGGTCTGACGGGTCAACAACGGTCGTTATCCCGAGACCTCTCGGCAGAGGTACCATTATAGGTGGAACGAAGGAACCGAATAATTGGTGAGTGTCGCAACCCTGTTCTTATGGTGGAACTAACGAGCGAGGTCACACACAATATCTAATAATGCAACAACTTCGATTCTCGCCAGAGCGGCAGCGCTTTGTCCAGAATTCCTGGGAGGCCCTGCAGATCCAACCAGCGAAACTTTAGGATTTGATGTTCGTGAGGTCTATATCGCTCGACGTCTCATGCGGCATGGCGGACTCCGGTTGGAAACAGAGCTTTTGATTTTTCAAGATACGGCTGAGAACGGTATGGAGACAGAACAAAGTTGTGTGCCAGTGATTCATTGCTATGGAGCTGACCCAAGCGAATACAAGCTGAGCTGGGGAATTGCCGATCGAGTTGATCGCATGGTTTCCGGCCTTGCAAAATAGAGATGCGTTAGTCTCATCACTTTAAACAGGTGAAGGAAATCTAAGGAGAATTTTGCGCATGGGATTACATTTCTGCGTTTCTTTCATACCTTTATTTGCATCCTTGGATGGGGATTAGCATGGACGTACCCTCTCAAAGGCGGTCTCACACATCATGGTCTTCGCGAGCTAGCAAGAGTTGAGCAGAAAGAAAGTACTATACCTCTCTTGTCAACATGGCAGCAATTTCTTTATTTGACAGGCCACGATATCGGTATCACACGTCCGCATTATAGTCCAAGCGTTTGTTTCTCTTTCCGGACGGAGCACCGTATCAGAAATTACCAGTATTGTTTCATTAAACCTCATGTCTTCCAGCCAGTCCGGCAGGAACGCCTAGCGTAGCTCAACGACTGTACCTCATTCCATGTCGAAATACGATATTGTTCGTTCAGGCAGTTATAATTTAGTACCTTATACTTATTGCTCAGGTTATCAAAAATACCACGAAGACTGCTGTCATCCTTTCTGTCGGTTGGTGACAATGACCTCTTCCTATTTCTGGCGGAAGGTATCGGATCTTCCCTGGCTTGATCCGCGGAAACACCTGTACAGTAACCTCATTTCCCGTACCTCCAAGCTCTCCGAATGATTCTCGCAGGCTGTCACCATTTCACTACAACAAAAGTTGTTTTAGCGTGTCAGGTAGCGTCTTGATTGGAATTTTCTGCATACACTGTCGGACCAGTTTGAGTTTCTGCTCCTCTACTATGGGCCTAAAGCTGCGCGAACTATACATATGATATACCTCAGCCAAGAGGATCTTCATTAGACATATTCACTATCCTAATTTATGTAATCAAAATGTTATGTATATATATGTAAACATATCACCTGACAAGACTAGATATGGAAGGTATCCACATTTTTCAGAATAAAGTCATACGTTTCGTTTCGAAAATTGTCCGCCAACAGGGCCACCGAATTGGCCTGGAAGTTCATCAACTGCTGGCCCTCCTGCCACTCGGGCCATTCGGGATAGCTGCCACGATAGACATTTGGGTCGAGGTCATGCACGAAGCTGAAGTAATAGGTGTGGCTGGATTTGGCCGCATAGTTGGGCCAAATGCCGTAGAAAACCTGTAGCAGGTCGCTGCCGTGGAAGGTTCCGAGGATTGGTGTGCCGTAGTCGTAGCTCGACAGGTACGACCAGCTTGGTAAATTGGGTGCTATCTCAGCGGCGTAGGCCAAGAAGGCCCTGCGGGTGATGGTGAAGGTCAGATCACCGAGGATAGCAGCGAGACGCTTGAACTGCGGGTACAGGTTGTTGCTGGTGCCCGTGCGGAACGGAGAGCCATATGTTGTGGTATCTGGGTAAAGGCTGATGAGCTCATCGAGCTGCTCTTGACTGGCATCGTAGAAGAAGTAGTCGCTTAGGTACTTGACTAGCTCGTCGGTTGTGGTGATGTTGGACTGGAAGAGAGCAAACAGTGTTCCCTCGTCCTCTTGGTCGCCCACAATGAAAGGTACGCGCGCAAATTTGCCGGCCCTTCCAAGAACGTCCGGAGATGCCGTGAGCACTTTTCCGTCCGGTCTGGGAACGTACGACAGGGCAATAGAGCTATAACTCAAGATACCAGGAACAGAGTTTGCGGCGTTCAGGAACTCGTCATATGACAAGTCCCGTAAACACGCAAGCGTATCGTTGGCGGAGGAGCATTTGGCCGACGAGACGACGTGGTCGTAAACAGCTTGTCCCTTAACCCCATCGACCGGATCAGCAGGTACGACACTCCCGGAATCCATGATGCCTCCACGAAACAACGGCTTGCCCTTATAAGTGTTGTCGCCGTCATAGAGCACCATCTGATCGAAGACAGAGATTGCACCGGCTGATTCACCCCAGATCGTGACTTTTTCCGGGTCTCCTCCAAAAGCTGCAATATTGTCGGCAACCCACTCCAGAGCCAATCGTTGGTCCAGCAAACCAAGATTGGAAGACCCGTCCTCCTTGATCTCTTTGCCCGGGAGGAATCCGAATCCACCCACGCGGTAGTTCATCGCAACAAAGATAACGGGTAGGTTCAAGTCGATCGATGACTGAACCAAGGATGTGCCGTCATACATTGACTTCGAACCAAGCTCAAATCCACCTCCGAAAATCCAAACCAGCACGGGCAACTTCGAGTCAGAAGTAGTTCCCGCCGGACGACGAATGTCGATGTTCAGACAGTCTTCACCGGCATTTGTCGCAACTTGTACCAGTGGATTATCGGCAAGAATGCCTAGGACTGAGGTTGGGAGATCACTGGTGGAGAAATAGAATTGCGGGCATGACTGGGAGCTTCCAGTGGCTTGAATTGTCCCAAGCGACGTCTGAATCGGCTGCGGCGGCTTCAGACGCAGCGAGCCGGTGGGTGCTTGCGCAAAAGGAATGTTGTTGAAGACTTCAACATTGCCGGCTGTCCCAACGATAGTAGCAACTGGACTAGGAAGAGTCACAGTAGGGGCTGCAGCGCGCGGGGTAGGCACCGCGTGAACCACCCACGAAAAAGCAAGCCAGACGAGAGAAGGGGTCCTCATAATTGCCTGCGAGTCGAGCCTCGACGTTCAAAAGAGCCACTGGATAGGCCATCTTGCTGGGGAATTATATAACTCTTTCCCTCGTCTTCGTGGTCCCATTTTTGGTGTTGCAGGCCCCGTTGAGCTATTCTTTTGGGCTCCATAATGCCATGACTCTTCGCTTTTCCATGTGTCTCCTCGGCTGACACCCTAGTCTGCTCCTCTCTGCGGTTGTAGTGAGAACATCGGTCGCATTGGCAAAGTCCGACGGAATGGTCAGGAGACTGTGCCAGCCGCAATCTAAGCTGGCAAGAAGTGGAGGTGCTGAGGAGGGAAGTATGGTGAGGAACCGGGTGTCAGAGATCTCACACATGAACCGAGGTTTGCGAGAACCAAGATGCCAAAAACGGATAGGGTCGTCGGTTCCAGGGCTAGGTTCCTGGATGTCAGGTTGAAGAAGAGGGACCATGCACCCTTTCCCCGCAACTCCATGCACTGTGCGGGTGATCATTTCCATGTGGGGCAAGGAACTCCTCCGAGAGATTTGGTCTATGCGTTGTCCCTACTCTGATCAAATTCGCGGTCTGTTGTTCATTCGTCGACTTGTCGTAGAAATGCGTACTTGGTTTGTCGAGTCTGCATTGCCTTTTAGCCGGTTGACTGCTGTTCCTGGCGCAGACTGAGTACCTGAGTGGAGATGTGAAGAATTGGTTGTTTGGGACTCCGAGCGATCCAACCGAAGAGTAGAAACACGTGAAAATCAAGGTTCATGATAGTAGATAGTGGAGTTCATCCGCGGTTCGTCGATTCTAGAAAGCCAACAAGTCCCAAAAATAGGTGTGTCATCCAGCCAAAGTCTAATCGTAGAACAGATCACGCCCCTGAAATCAAACCTAATGACGCTCAAAAAGAGGTGCGCCTAGAAAAGAACCCAAATGCGACCGACCACAATCCCATCACTTTTCCCATCCGTTCCATCGCTCAAATTCTCCAGTGTCCAGATTGAATAAATCCAACATCCGTCCGACACTCTGGTCGATTAATTCATCAATACCTGCTGCTTTGATGTAGAAGGCTGGGACGGGCGGGAAGATAACCGCTCCGGCGCGTGTCACCTCGAGCATGTTTCGCAGGTGAATCTCGCTTAGTGGCGTCTCACGCGCCACTAAAACTAATCGCCGTCGCTCCTTGAGCATCACATCCGCCGTGCGAGAGATCAAATCGTCACAAAATCCTGAATGAATAGCTGCCAAAGTTTTCATGCTGCAAGGTACAACAATCATCCCGTCCGCCCGGAAGGATCCGCTCGATATCGGTGCCGCCATGTCATTGATATTGTATACGTGGTCGGCTAGAGCCTTCACGTTCGATGGATGGTAATCGGTCTCGTATTTGACTGTGGCTTCGGCCCATTTACTCAGAACCAAGTGAGTTTCCACATTTAGGCGTCGCAGAGCAATCAACACTTTGATTCCGAGCAACGCTCCCGTAGCGCCCGTCATTGCAACCACAATGCGACGCCGACGGGGTGTGGGTGCAGGGTGCGGCGGACGACTCTGTTCGGAGGCCATCCCGTGAGGGGGAGAGGCTGAGCGACCGGAGTTAGGAGTAGCGGTACCGGGAAGGATTGAGCTGAACATTCTCGAGGATAGATGCGACCAAAGGATAGTTATGAGCACTTGAGATCGATTGTCTCCGATAGGACCTTGCTGGATGATTATATAGGTTTTTCATGGCGATGAATCTGGAGTTCAGCAAAGGTTTCCGTTACTTCTTCCCAGATATCTCTTTGCCTGGACTCAGATCATGGCACCAGAGAACAAATGATGTCCGAGTTCCCGAGACCTCCGAGTTCCCGAGGGGATCGAGAAAAGTGCCTGATTGGGAATTACACCATACCTTCCTAGTCGGAACTGTCGACTCAGGAGAAACCAATCTCTTGGGATAGGTCAAACATGGGCACTTTTGTTGTTAGCTCCATCAAATATACCCTTACGAATATAACCTACCATTCATGATCGAGTCGAGATAGGACATGGGGGAGAAGTCCTGTCCCAGAACGTCAGGAAAGCCGGTGGAAAATCTGCACCGTTGTTAGCACCCCATCAGGACCCACACGTGGGTATGGCCATGTGGGCCACTTACCCAATTGCGGGCATGAGAGTCTCGACTAGCTGCGGATTATTCGGTGGCCCGGCGTCGCCCTCTTCCTTCTCCCTTTCCAGTGCCGCCCGCACCGCGTTTCGCAGTGTAATTAGCGCCCGGATGTGCCTCTCGGACAACCATTGCCCGTTCTCCGAGCCCGACTTCTCCACTGAGCCGACTGAGCCGGCCGCAGAAAAGACCTCGATTACCTTCTGCTGCAAATCACGACATTCGGAATCGTTGCGCGTCTCTTCCCAAATGCAGAGCAGCAACGTCGAGCTAATCACTGTATGCACCATGGACCATGTTCGCAGGGGGACCACGCTAAGCGCCTGAAATTCGAGGAAAGTGTTGGACGCGTCGATTAGACTGCACTTGGCGCGCATGCGCAGGATATCCTGGGCCGAATCCCGGACTCCAGATCGCTTGAGTGCCGGTCGAGTGACAACAGAGACAGCGAAGGCTATATGCATCTTCAAGGCCAGATGCTCCAGGTTGTGATGTAGCGTTCTGCATTCTTGTAAGGTCTTCAGGTGAGGTTGCGCCCGCTGACACACACTGTCTACAGTAGCCAAGATGTCAAGCAGCCGTGATGTTTGATGCATCTCTGTCTCATTGGCTGTCAGTATGTCCAGGGCGGTTCGACATAGGAAATGCATCATATCCATATAGTTCAATTCCCGCCCCGAGAAGACCGAATTGTCAAGGGCCCAGCCAGTGACAGTCACAATTGGTGGGCGATCATAGCAAAGGCACAAGAGGCTGTCCTGCCATACGACAGTAAACCTATCATATATTAGCGTGCTACAAACCACGGAATCAGGCGGGTCTCACCATAATCTTCTCGCTTTAGACTTTACATGATCTGGCAGATGGGCAACGCTCTTCTCTGTGTGAAGTCCGATGGTCTGAGCTAGCCGCACTGTGCTGCCAAGTAATGCCCAGGCTGAATCAGATTGTCCAGTATTCTGCAATGTGTTTCCAAGGACGAGGAGTGACTGTATGATGTCAAATGTCGGTCGGAACAGAAAATTCGCTAAGCGTAAGGCTTGAAAGGAGCGCCTGGCTTCACGAAGTGAGCATAGATCATAGTCAAGTTCAGGAGAGTGCATACCAAAATTCAGGCATAGCTCAGAGCGCTGGATATGCTCCAAGTCAGAGTAATGTGCTCCAGCAGCCAGGGTAGCAAGTAGCAGGCTTATATGAGCGACCGACTTCTCACTGGACCAACGGTCGGAGATTCGAGAAGGGTCTTGCAATTCTCCCGCGGCCAGTGCATTCAGATAGGAACAAAGATCTAGCTCAAACCGTTCGATATCTACAAGGATAGGGTTGAATGGGTACGCCGACAGGCGATAAAAGTGAAAGAACCTGTATTCAGTCAGGAGAGCACACACGTCAAGCAGTGTGCACTTACTTCAAAACCTCAGCGCGCTGGGGAAGGATGCGAAGAAGTTCTCTCCATCGGTCACCGGGAGTGCGGAACTCCATGAATGGATAACTATGATAGGTGTTTTGCAGCCCGAGGACCGAGCCTACCTCACGGGCCATCGAACCGTTTGCATCGTGTGTACGGTGACGCAGGATGGAAACCACTGAATTGTCACCGGAGTAAACAAATTCATTCTCAGGGCCATCAGGTGGATGAGTTCGAGCTGGATCAACTTGCTGGAACTGTGAGAAGGGGGGGAGGATTGGCTGGGTGGGAGCAGGCGCCTGTGCCGGTGGCTGGATCGGATACCCCAGATTCGGCGCTTCCTGTGGTGCGGGAGGTGGACTGAGATCGCGAGGGGCAGCTGTAGAGGTTCGTCGACTTGCCTTGCGAGTGCTGCCATGTTTCGGTGGGCTCGGATCATATACACAGATCTCGGGATGACCACGTCGACGACAGGTCCGGCATGGCTGAGAGTTGTCGCATTTAACCTTGCGTTGGCGACACGGATAACATGCTCGAGCCTCGCGTTGAGTGCGTTTCAACTGCAGTACGCGATCAATCTCTTGGCGATCGATGGGTGCTGACATTGCTACTTGGGGTCATTTGACAGGTGGAATAGCATCTCTTGGCACAAGATAATCAATAGATGACCTTAATGTGGACTCCGTATGACAGGTCTTTCTGCTTGGGCGAGAGTGAGAGTGATGGAAATGCAGCTATCTTTCCCCGACCTGCCCACAAATTGCCCGGATGCTCGGATCCGGCTGAGTCAGCTGCTCTGCAGCAAGTTAACTAACTCAACACAGACAAGTAGGACAAACAAATTCAGAAATGAGCATAAAATGTTTGATCTAGCCAGGCAATAAGAGCTGTACAGAAAGACACAATTTCAATTGGCTAGGAGTGTTCGAGTTACGCTAGTTGTCGATCCCAGCTAAGTCCGTCTCCTTACAAGCCGAGCTGCGCAGCTGCGCTACTGGGACCGCAAACGTGGCGACGAGGCGGAAAAAGAGCGTTCAAGCAGCATCAGCAGCAACGACAAGCAGAACTTCCTAGTCTCATGAGAAAATAGGCTACTTTTACCTCCTTGTTTAGAAAAAATCTGCAACAACTTTTGATCTGAAATCAAGGGAAACAGCAAGCACTGCCTCGGTATCCGGTAACCAGTCTCGGAGGCTCGGACCCTTCGAAGCGCAACAGCCCCTGAGGGGGTCTTCGCTATTACCACGAGGACATGAAAATAACACATCGCTGAGTAGTGTTATATACCGTTCTTATCATCTCGATAGGGATGTGACGCTCGCCAAGACGATGGCTAGACTCTCGCAGATTGATACAGCTCAGTTCACTTCGTTCAAGCACTGCGATCTCGTTTCGGGACATCTGTTTGTGCCTTTGATTCCGTGAACTAGACTTCAGCAGCTATTATGGAAGCAGGACAAGTTCTTTACTTCCCACCAACTACACGGTGATTTTTTAAAGATGTATCTTTGTGCTTAGCACTTCAAGAAGCATGGAGATGCTTGCGCATATATGTTCTAAGTTTGGATAGAAGTATACAGCATCAAACTCAGAAAAGTATACCAGAACATATACGTGTGAAAGTGTTAAAGCGGTGCTAATACCAATATCACTGATGTAATCATGAGTAGTCCTGTATAAGCTAAGCTATTCACTTCCCTATGACACCACAAACTTTTGAACCGTTTTCTGGCCTGCCATAACACATAACCAAAAAGTAAGAGCAGCTTCGATCACAGTGTTAGTCCTCTGGTTCTTGTAAACCCCATAACTCTCACACATCTCGCTGACTTGTCGCTTAGTCGTTACTGAAACAACACAATCCCCACTGTGATACTGCAACCCCACAGTTCAGCTAGTCAACATGAACCAAGTTTCGCCTCTTCCACCAGTGTTAGAACGTGCTGGGTAAACAAGCTGATCCCCGTCCAAATAACCCCCATAACCGCCAGTCCACCACTGACACAAGCATCAACAACCAGATATTTCTTAAACCCGCTTGCCAGCGACATTACGCTGATCTGCGAGGGCAGCCCTTTCCAGCCCACCCTTTTGAACGCAATTGAAAAAGACCTCCTCCGCGACGACACTGGGACATCGCACACTGCGATCACTAACATGGCCCACCCAGCGACCCAGGAGGCCGTGACCATCCGCTACGCCGTGTGCTTCCATGCTAAGGTCTTCGCACAGGCGGAGTACTTTGGCATTGAGAGCCTCCAAGGCCTTGCGGCAGACCGCTTCTCGACCACGCTGCGGTCACTGCGCCGCGACGAGAACGGGTTCGCGGCCGCGATGGCAGAACTCTATGACAGGCGCAGCTGGGACTACCTACGTCTGCGGCGGCGCGTCATCCCCGAGATCCTCAACAATCAGGCTATCTATCGCTCGGGACCCGGCTGCTACGGCAAGAGCCTTAGCTCATGGCTCCTGGAACATGTGCCGGGGTTGGGGCGTGACTTGGCGTTTACGGCCATGGATGAGATGAGTCGGCTGCGTCTTCAGTTGGCTGCAGCCGAACAGGCGCTGAAGACTTTTCACAATGGCGAAGAGGCACGGGCCATTGATACTGTCCCGGAGAAGGTTGAGAGTCCTGCTTCTCCGGGCCTGTAATGTGCTTTATCCTAGCGTAAGACTGCGTACTATGTGGATTATTGGCGTCGGATTGGTTCCCTTGTTGGACTTTCTTTCTGGATTCCACGTCTTGAGTTGTTTTTCTTGTATTCAGCAACAGGCTCCGAGTGGCAGGGAGCTGATAGTAAACGGTTTGGTCTTTTCTCGTACGAATCAATGATCGTCAAGGACATATCAAACCTACTTGCTTCAGTACGCATAGCCGAAAAGAAAGGCACAGAGAGATATCATTCCTTTCAATATGGTGCTCTTTCACTCAACCTCTTGGACTTATCATTCTCCTCCTTCTCAAGCTTCATCCCCTTCTGCTTCCATTCTTCATTTCCTGTATACCAGTCCAAATACCACGTCAGGTCGTGCTCTCCAGACGGAAATTCCACGTCCATAAACCCGGATCCCAAGTACCCGAACCGGTTTCCACTCCAATATGCGATCTCAAAGTCGCGCAAAGTTGGCGTCCGCAACAGCTCAAAGTACGCCAGCCGCGAGCCGGGCCAAACAACCACTGGCCCATCTTGCCTTCCCTGTTTGAACCAGCTCGAGCACGGATCCGCCCAGCAGGTTCGAGGTAAGAAAGCCCGGGCATGCTCGACAAAGTCCTCGACCGCGGCAGCTTTAGCACTTGGCGACAAATATGTTGCTTGCGCATACGTTGAATGATCTGAATGAAATAATGCGTGATATGTGTGATGATTGCGAGAATAGAGCCGTGGCCTATTGGAGCAAAGGGACCGGAATAGGTGAAATAATTTGGGAACCCATCGACAGCAACTGCGAGGTAGCTTGTCGGTGTGTCCGACCACTTGTCAGCCAGGTTGACACCGTCGAGACCGATGATTGGGAAGCGAGGCCGGTAAAATGTGTCGAATCCAGTTGCGCAGATAATCACATCGACCTCATACTCGACGCCGGTAACGGAGTCTATAAATCCCCAGGAAGTAATTTCTTTGATGGGTGAGGTGAAGACAGTCGTTTTCTCGGATGCTAGAGCTTCAAGGAATCCGTTTCCTGGTGTGGGACGTTGGCAGGCAACATTGAAATTGGTGGGAATGATGGCATCGCGGAGTCAGGTTTAAATCGAAGCTTGGTATACATCTCGCTGTATGCGTACTAGAGAGTCAAAATTCGGCCGACAGTTGGTAGAGAAATACTAACTGCGTTAGCGGCGTCTGCCTCGGCTGTATCGCGTAAAACTAGTTTGATGCGCTGGTTTAACTCATTCTCCACGGCCTTCTTGTACCGATGATACTTTTGTGGGTCGAGACCGAAGTTTTCCTTCTGCTCGAAAATGTCTACGACTGGTCAGACTTTTGCCTCTGACAATTTGAAATGCTCCTCACATTCAAAGTTCCGCCCGTCTGCTCCGGCAAAGCTCTGTCCAAACGCGGCAGTGATAAATACAGGGCTTCGCACTCATGTGTACAGATGAGACACTTCATCGTGGATGCTCGCCACGACCTGCACGCCCGAGCTGCCCGACCCTACAACGGCTACCTTCTTGTCCTTGAGGTCAAATTCTCTGGGTATGCAGCCGTATGGAAAAGCTTTCCCTGGAATGAATGCAACCCGGGTGTATCTGGCCACTTCCGTGTACTAGGTACGTAAGCTTTTTTTTCCTCGGGGCCAATAATCGCGAACACACTTGAGAAATCCACCTCCATTAATGAGTATATCACATTCTTCCTCCCACTCTTCTTCTGCATGACCATTTTCATCACTGCGCTGCAGCCTCACGATCCACTTCCACACCGCCGACGTGACGGCGGTTCTCAGCCGGATGTATCGCATCATCCCCTCTTCTTCCACAATGCATTTCATGTACTCCGATATCTCCTTTGCACCGGAATAGAAATTCGTCCATCTTGGGTTGCTTCTCCACGGGAATGTATACGCCACACTAGGGATGTCACACGCACATCCGGGGTACCGGTTCTCGTATCATGTCCCCCCAATGTCGGCATTTTTGTCATAACAGATCACCTGAACGCCCAGGGCATTGAGAGCTGAGGTGCATAGTGCAGAAAATCAATGCCTGCAGTCCCAGCGCCTAGGACAATGACCTTAAATGTTTTGTGGTCTAGTGGCGGCTCGTTGATCAAGTGGTTGGACACGGTGTATCCGCAGTCGGAAGAGATGTCCCATTCTGGATGGTGTACGGGGCGGGTGGAGGATGCGGAGTGGGATCCCGCGCTGTTGCTTCCCAGGCGTAGAACCGAGGCCGGTATGTTGTATGTCTCGAAGACGGGGTTGCGTGGGTTGACAGAGCCCATCTTGGTCTTGAGTGATCAATATGAAGAAGATTCGCAAAACTTTCAAGGTAATGTTGTGAAGGTATTGCCTGGCGTCATTAAATCAGTCTAAATGCCACGTATGATCGAGGGGTTAGTGAGACCGCGTTCGAGGTGCATGGACGATAACAGCACTGTTGATATCCTTCAGGCTGCTAATTCTGCACGCTTACTTCGATCAGTCAGACTAGCGCTTGATTCAGCACCAGCATGCGATCTGAATGTCTCGGTCGTCTCTCATCCTATCTACGAATAGGAGCTTCGCAATGTGAGTCAACAAGAACTGGCGGAGATCCGTCACTGCTAATACTGTGGTGTGTCGATTGAGGGGTAGTGAGGGGCAGTGAGAGGGACAGACCCGCAATCGGCCCGTCGCGATAGGCGATCACAGTATGATTGGATTTTGCCGGGAAATTTAGCCAGCAGTTCGAGAAATGTTATATATATATCTTCCCATCTGTAGTAGGTAGTAGAATTTGCGTTACTTAAGACCGCAGGTAATACTAGTTTACTCGAAAGATCATTTGGCAAACATGACAACAAATCTGAATATACCACAGTCGAATCGCACGGTTCGAGTGAGGATGGTGGACACTACCACTCAGATGAGCATTCGGACGGATGCCCTTATACAACCTTTACAGTCAGGTCATGAATTCCTCAATTTGACAGATGTCGCCTTCTTGATTGAGAACGAGACCCTCAACAAAAAAGCTATGTTCGACCTTGGCTCCCGGAAAGACTACTGGAACCTTCCCATGGTTGCCAGACAAGCATTGAGTCGGATCATACCCGCTCTCAAGGTGGAAAAGGATGTGAGCGATATTCTAATTGAGAATAATATCCGACTGGAAGAGATCAGTAAGTTTCAGGTATCGCTTCAGGGCATCACGACTGAGAACTCACATATAATACTCTGCGAAAGCATCCATCATATGGTCACATTACCATTGGGACCATGTCGGAGATGTGTCCAAATTCCCATCATCGACAGCATTAGTTGTTGGTCCTGGACTATTGAGAGATCCGGCTCTACTCCCAGGCTACCCCGATAATCCCGTGTCTCCCATCCCGGCAGATGCGTTCCGAAACCGTGAGGTGATAGAGCCTGCTTTTGAACTGAGCATTGCCGGCTACCGCGCCCATGACTTTTTTGGTGATGGATCGTTCTATCTCTTAGGTGCGCCCTTAAAACCCTGCCTCAGACCCAAAGCTCACTCTCTAATCAGATACGCCTGGTCACTGCGTCGGACACCTCTGTGGCCTCGCCCGCACGACTGAAGACACTTTCATCTTGATGGGTGGTGATATCTGCCACTTTGCCGGTGTGATTAGACCCACTCTAGACGTTCCATTTCCCGCTCATTTCTCCGCCGACATCCTGGACAGAGATCCCTTCTTCTCCATCCCGTGTCCATGCAGTCTCTTCGCTGATCATCACCCAAACACACAGACGGACCAACATAAGACACCTTTTTACGATGTATCGGCTTTGGGCGCCAGTGTTTTTGATGACCCTACGGTTGCACAACAATCTGTAGATCAGTTGCGCCGAATCGACGCGTCGTCGCATGTATTGATTTGTATTGCACATGACCCGGATTTACTGCGCTACCTTCCTACGCTAAATCAGCGCCCGGGGCAAGACTTGAATCAATGGATGAGGGAAGGATGGAAGGAAAAAGTTCGGTGGGGGTGGGTAAATGAGCTGCCTCGGGCTGGTAAGCCGGGAAGGAAACCGATCGTTGAAGGGTTTTGGCGGGAAGGCGAGATCTGGGAAAAGGCAATCCAGGAGCTATCTCGATAAAAATGCTTGGATATCTTAGTCCGTTGACAATATCATGGTGCACCATGACAGGAAGATTTGGGTTTAACCCATCATTTAAACATTTTGGTATGCCTAGTTCTGCGAGGGCGATGATGGTAAAGAGCTTGGCATCACGTGCCGTGGGAACGTTCCAGATGAGCTCAAAAAAAACTTCAGATAACCTGTGTTCACACCGTGACATGAGAGCCATTTGAAATCATGAGTTATGTAAGCAAAATGTTCATGAAGGGTCATCAGACAATAGAGCATAAGACTACCGACAAGACGGCAGTACTACCGCGATATGACAACTTGCCGATACAGCAGTACTTTGAGTTGAGTGCTCTTGTAAACAAAGTCTCAAGGTTCAAGGCTCGTGCGCGCCGACGGCACGCACAGTACGAAGTACTAAAGTACTCCGTAACTACAGTCTTATCGCTAAGCAGCTCAGCTCCCTGGCCGGAGGATGGGGCGGCAGTAGTAATTCGAACGCGCGGAAAACACTTGGGCAGAAAACTGCTCCTTTACTGACCGCCCAAAGTCGGCAGAAAAGGTTCGTCAGTCGGGCGAAACTTGGTAAGGAAACTGGTTTTGTGATGACCGCCTTTCTCCATCGGCAGACGCTATGGAATAATAAACAAGGAGTTGCACGTGGCACCTCGAGCTTATCCTTATGACATTTCCAGTGCCTTAGAATGATTACTACAAGATGTCCTAAGTCCCTGACACAGACAAGATTGAACCATATATCAGGCAAGACTATTTGCGGTCAACGGGCATATAATGCCGTGCTTTAGGTATTGTGCTCAAGCCAGGCTACACTGGATCAAGTATCGATGTCGTAGCCACTTCATCTCGAGGTGATATGTACGTTGAATAACCAGTTCGTCTTGTCCTTATTTCAGCTAATACGTCCTTCTGCTGGACAGTCAAACTGTGAGCCGCCGATCAGAAACCAAGGTACATGGCCAAGCTGGGGCCTCCGACCGCAGGACTCTCCGATCACACAACAACATGAGTATGAATGCCTTATCAAGTTATCGAAATAAATATGCCTAGCACATTATGCGCAGCCCGTATTCAATGAGCCCGGTATGCCGTTCACTCAAGTATTGCGTGTCTATCATGAGCTCATCTCAAAAGCGGAGCACGCCATCATGTCTAACCGAGCTCCACAATCATGGGCGTGTTGGAATCGATCGCGAATGCTTTCCCCGGACAACGAGTGGATCTTATCGCCCCGGTGTGGACATGGTCTGGGCCAAGCACTGCAAGGGACCATGAATGATTGGTCATCCATGGTGCAATCCGCCGCTAAAAAGAGCATCACCGCGTGTTATCCAGTTCTCGCTAGCCGAACCACAAAGTTAATGCTCGGTCGGCAAAGTCAAGCTCCCGCTATGGTATCATCCCACCCTATCTTCTCGCCACCCCGATGCAATCAAGGCTCTGATGTGGTATAACTGACTTCAACCGCTACCTACCACCCAACCCCAGCAATTGAGGTCATAATAAATCATGAGATCCTCTCTGGTGCTCGCCGCCCTCTTCGCTGGCTCCGAGGCCTTTTCGGGCCAGCAGCAGCAGCCCTTGCAGCAAGAGCACCTGACGACGAGCAAACCACCCAACTTCCTTTTCATCCTGACTGATGATCAAGATCTCCAGCTGAACTCCCCGGCTTACATGCCACATACTCTCGCCTGGATCAAGGATCAAGGCGTTGAGTTTCGAAACCACTTCGTCACCACCGCCCTATGCTGTCCTTCGCGAGTCAGTCTTTGGACGGGTCGACAAGCGCATAACACAAACGTCACGGATGTACATCCGCCTTATGGTATGTTTGAGTCTATAAATCCAACACAACGTCATTCTAACTTCTCAGGGGGTTATCCGAAATTTGTATCCCAAGGCTTTAACGACAATTTTCTGCCCGTTTGGTTGCAGTCTGCTGGCTACAATACCTTCTACACTGGCAAGCTATTCAATGCCCATAGTGTTAACACCTATAACGCCCCATTCGTGAATGGCTTCAATGGTTCCGACTTTCTTCTTGATCCTTATACCTACTCCTACTGGAACTCCACCTATCAACGGAACCATGAGCCGCCACGCAGTTATGAAGGCCACTATACAACGGATGTTATCACCGAAAAAGCGCTGGGATTCTTGGAAGATGCCTTACAGAGTGATTCGCCCTTCTTTCTCACTGTCGCACCAATTGCGCCGCACACCAACGTGGAAATAGAGGCACTGGGAGAGATACCAGTCATGACAGAGCCGCTGCCAGCGCCGCGTCACGCGCACCTCTTCCCTGACGCGAAAGTACCGCGAACACCCCATTTCAATCCTGCGCAGGTACGCTTCACAAAGGTTTTCTCTAACAAAGCTGATAAATGATAGCTATCCGGTGCCAGTTGGGTTCGCAATCTGGAGCTAAAAAATCAAACCGTGATTGACTATGAAGATCATCTCTATCGCCAACGGCTGCGCGCCCTGCAGGGAGTCGATGAGCTCGTTGATCGTCTCTTGACTCGACTAGCAGCCAGCGGTGAATTCCAGAATACCTATATCATCTACAGTGCAGACAATGGCTACCATATTGGTCAGCATCGGCTGCCACCTGGGAAGACGACTGGGTATGAGGAAGACATCCGCGTTCCGTTCTACATTCGTGGGCCTGGTCTCCCGCGCGGTGTCAGCGTAGATCTTGTCACCACCCACATAGACATTGCGCCCACCTTGTTTGAACTTGCTGGAATCCCACTGCGGGCAGATTTTGATGGAACGCCATTGCCTGTGGCCCAGGAGACGAATTCCATTCCGCATGAACATGTGACAGTGGAATACTGGGGAAAGGCAGTCCTCGAAGGTGAATTTTCGCGGCTCGGTAAGCTTTCTCACCCCTTCCGAACGCAACGGGATAGCTGATAGTTGCTATCTCAAGGTCCCCATGAGAGCCCCACCATGTCCAACAATACGTACAAGTCCGCTCGAATCTTGTCCGACCACTACAACCTCTATTACTCGGTCTGGTGTAACAACGACCACGAGCTGTACGACCTCTCGGTATGTGAAACGTTGCCTAGATCGATTTGGTCTTAGCTAACTTACTGTTAGACGGATCCTTACCAAATGAATAACATTTACTCACGCAGTGGGGTTGAGCTACTTGGCCGTCCTTTGGCAAAAGTGATCGATCGGATAGACGCACTGCTTCTAGTGCTGAAGTCCTGCCAGGGTCGCACATGCATTCAGCCCTGGAATGTTCTGCATCCTTCGGGTGATGTGCATAGTCTTCAAGAGGCGCTGGACGCCCAGTATGACAAATTTTATGCTGACCAGCCCAAGGTTCTATACTCAGTGTGCGAGGACGGTTACTTGATTGACGCTGAGGGCCCACAGACAGGATATCAGTACCGCGATGGACTGAGCTGGGAGGCGTGGACTTAAATCTATACTAAGTAAGATGGTTATGTGATGAAGACTAGCAAGTAATGATAATATGTACGGCTTATGTGTAGCAGAACATCATTGGCGTAAGTGACACATTTACCAATAAGTAGCAATGCTTCAGAAGTGGGTTGAGTTAGGAGGCACAATATAATGACTTCACGACCAGTAAAGTTAGATGGGCCTGGCCTGTTCCTGGTTTTCGACTGTGGTTCGACTCACGCCATGTGCTGGCTTGCTTTGTTCCAGAATTCTACGGTAGCTCAGAGTATTTACAGCACGTACTCGCTGTTCACTGGCCAAGAATACCAAATAAAACTGAGAATGATCGGGTCATCATGAGGCTGATTCTCATGATGCCATAAGTAACCTATGGAATGAATCTTAGGCCGCGTAAGGATTGAGCTCGCTTAGAGTCTCTAGAGAAAAACATCGTTATGGCTCTGTGATCAAGCCTTGCAGGATAAAAGATACCGAGTGAAATCCCGCCCACTGGGTTGACATCAACAGCAGCGGCGATTGCGCCATCCGGTCCGTCATTCACTCAATCACTCCATCCCGCCGCTCCTCAACCGCCGGTCAATCCTAGCGACCCCGAACTCGCAAGCTGCCCATCACAAAAGAGCCCATAAATATCCTACCATCTCCATACAATGTTGTGCCCCAGCCAAGTCAATTTTTTCTGTTCCTCGCTCGGCTCCCTTTTCCTCGGCCTTCTCTCGCTGAGTTTCCCAGCTGAGGCTTCGGGACCCCCTTGATACGTTTCAGCAGCCATGGCTACTCGTGCCTACCCTCAGCACGAGATCTCCGCATTCCCCGAAAAGACAATCATTAAAAATGTGCGGAGTGATGAGTTCAGCAATGATACCGACCAAGAAAGCGAGATCATCAAATACTGGGACGATAAGGAAGAAGCCCGAGTTCGTCGGAAGTAGGTCCCATCCACTTCACCCATCTTTGTCTAAAGGTCGCTTGAACTTACATGCATCTCGATTAGGATTGACTTTATTCTTTTACCTGTCCTTGGCCTCGCTTTTTTTGGTCTTCAAGTTGATCGTGGCAATATTAGCGCTGCCTTGACCTCCACCATCACGGAAGATCTGCATATCAACACCAATCAGATCAATGTCGGGACCCAGCTTTTGTCCGCAGGAATCGTCGTCAGTGAGATACCTTCGAATATCATTCTGCAGCGTGTCGGTCCGCAAGTCTGGTTATCGGCCCAGCTTGTTGCTTGGGGGGTTGTTGGGGTCTTCCAGGCCTTCGTCAAATCATATCCCGCTTTCTTGGTCACCAGACTGCTGCTGGGATTGCTTGAGGGTGGTTTCATTCCTGGTACGATAGACTTTGGGTTTCGGTTGAGCAAATATTTGTAGCTAATACGTGTTGACTAGGTGCTCTCTACTACCTCTCTCAGTGGTACAAGCGTCCCGAAACCAGTTTTCGTACAACTCTCTTCTTCTATGGTCAGATGTTTGCTGGTGCTACATCTAGTCTAATCTCTGCAGGGCTGTTGAAGCTTTCGGGGAGGGGTGGACTCGCGGGGTGGCAGTGGATTTTTCTGAGTAGGCATTCCTGCACACTGCACCACATTGAAACATACTGACATCTATTCCCGATAGTTGAGGGTCTGATCACCATTTTCGCCGCTATTCTTTTCATTCTCTTCATCCCCAAGAGAGCTGGTGATGGTAGTCCTCTCGCCAGCATGGGTCGCTGGAGTTACTTCACCGAGCGCGAAAAGCAGATCATCCGCGACCGAGTCCTACTCGACGACCCGCTGAAAGCCCGCGACAACATTAAAATCACCGGTCGCGATATCTGGGACACCATACGCAAGCCCACCGTCATCCAGCATTTCATGATCACTCTCGTTTCGATGTCCGCTTTCCAGGGCCTGAATCAATATGCACCCAGCATGATCAAGTCGTTTGGCTTCAGTGCTGTCCGTGCCAACGCTCTGGCCAGTGTTGCTGTCTACGCGAGCATTGTCTGGTTGACCATTCTTGCGTGGCTATCGTAGGTTACCTGCATTCGCTATATTGATACACAAAACAATACTAATCAGACGCAGGGATAAAACTGGCGTACGCGGACCATTCGTCCTGTTGTGTATCACTTGGAACGTCATCTCTTATGCCTGTCTTCGCACTGTTCCTGATGATGCTTCCCGCTGGCACAAGTACGCCGTCATCACGATTGCGAATACCGTCTACGCCAGCATGCAGTACGTGTAGCTCATCAACCCTCCGTTGTATCATGCCGTGCCACAATACTGATTGCTTCTGATTACAAAGTGTTCTGAACATCGCTTGGCTCGGGTTCAATTGCAAGACACCTCAAGAGCGAAGCATTGCCATGGCGTATGTCTCCCAATCTATCCCCATTTATGAGGCACAATCACTAACGCCGGGGGTGGGGGGGTTACAGGTTGATCGTCATGGCGGCCAACTGCGCTGGTATCTCGGGCTCGCAGATCTTTCGCACTTCGGACAAGCCGCTGTATTACCATGCGTTGACCGCTATTACTGCCTTGGCGGGCGCCTCATGGGTACAGACTCTGGTGTTGATTCTATGGTACGCAGTCACGCAGAAGCGCACTGGGAGAAAAGGAGCCGTTTAGTTGTTGAGTTTTGAGGTTCGTTTAACGATATTACATACACGTTACGATTAGATAATGCCTGAATAAATATTGAAGTACATAAATTCTGTCAAAATCCAATCTCGAATGTGTGGTAGTCCGGGGCCAATCTAAGGATTATGATTCATACCTCTCGAGTAACAGAAGTCCCCTTGTTACACGGACCCCATATTACTTAGACCTGAGTTCTACAAACTTGCAACCTCTGCCCGAAACTTGACTCCTCCAATTTAAGTCGGGAATCGAAGCTTCCCGCTTGCTGGGGATGCTTCATTTGCATTGTTTGCCCGCAATGGCGAAGAGGCAAACGCGGCACAGCGGCTCTCCTCTCTATACGCCCACATTCTCCCCCTCCCTTTCATCTCCTTTACTTCTGTCATTATCATAGATATCACCCGGTTTGTACCTTTCTTACACTAGTAGGCGTTGAATCTCACCATGGTATCACTGACGCTCTTTGAAAAAAGAATCCAAGGGACTTCGCGTCACTGATAGGCGTCACCTCAGGTCCTCTTCAGAAAGATATCGATGGACTTACCTGTTACTATAACTGATATGAACTTTTTGTGCCCGTGTTGTTACCTTCGCTTGTTTTTGTAGTAAGAACCGAACCTAATTCTAGCCTCGCTGACTGCAATCATTAGCATGTTGTTACCACCCACGTAGATGTTGTGGGCTACCTTGTTTGAACTTGCTGGAACCTACCTTTCTGTCCTCCTTTCCGTATAATTCTTCGTCTACAGATGATATAAATGCTTGGGCTGATATTCTCTCATCTTCTTTGGTCCGCCTTCAGAAACGAGTGTCCTGCCCTCCCTCTTCAAGTGCCTGCCTCTAACCATCTAATTTTGATAAGTATATCGACTGGATCTAGAGTGGCTGAATCAAGCTCCCTCTGAGGCTGTGGTTTACCTCTAAAGCGTCTGGCTCTTACCATTCCCATTTCGATCTCTTTTCCCAGTCACGTCACAACTACCCACATGGGAGACATGAATGAAAGTGAGAAGATAGCCGAGGAATGATACTAAGGAGGGGCACAGACTAATGATATGGTGGCTCTTGTGAGCGAAGCAGTATTGGCTTACCGCGAACACTGCTTCGTGTAACTCAATGACTGAGCCTCATGTGCTTTCACTTTTGCTGAAATGGACAATGAATCGTAATTTCTAAGACTTCTGACATACATGTTGACCGACGCTGCCTTGCATAGTTCGGGCTGTTCTTCTATGGCTACGGGGAATTGCCAGCTTGTTAAATCAGTTGTATGCTGCCGCAATCGAAGGCTTTGTTATTCTCAACATGAATTGTCTTTCGTCACACAATCACTTGATTGCCCAATGGTGCTGATTTTCTTGCTGTTCCACGGTCCTTGAGCTTGAGCTGTTCTCTGACTGGCTTGTGGTCTGAATAATATATCGGGCCACCTGAGTCATTCTGTCCGTGAACTCTCCTCTTACACGGCCTGCCGATTGAGGCAACTTGTTTCAAGGACTAAGTCAAGTGGTAAGGTACTGCTTCACCCGAAACTTAGCCTTGTATCTTTCATCCAGTGCACGGCATATGAAAAGATCACGGATTCGAATGGGACATATCGTCCAGGATATAAATATGGATCTGCTCTCTGGTCTGTGCGGCTTGAAATGTATGTATGCGCCATATATACCAGTGAGCTCACGCGTGAACCTCGGTTTACGTTTCTGATTTTCCTGACTGACAGAGAAAGGAGAAATTGCGTGGGTCATACTTCATGAGTATTCCGCCAATGGTACAAAGAGTTTTGACTGAGATGGTTACAGTATAAGGCTCCATCTTTGGACCACGTCAATGTGTGTTGATTCTTTGCCAAGTAATCGAGCAGGAGCCACTACAGCAAATTACGTCTCCCTCGTCCCGGCTCGGAGATCAAGCGACTGGGTTTGTTTCTGTGATTTATTGTTGACACTAACGATGAAAACTGCTGCACATGGCTAATGCCATGATGGGTCGCACCTGATCACTAACGAGTCAGTATTCTTTGGTCCAGGCTGTAGATCTTATCATGCTTAAGCAAGTGTCATTGTTTCTTGTCTTTCCTTGGGGAGCACTGGTGGGGAAGTTGTTGCGGCACCCATAGGATTTCACTATAAGCCTATGTTGGTACTTAGCCTAGTTCAGATTCATGACTAAAGAGATGGTGATAAGAATTGGGATGTGCTATGCACCATATCCAACACATCTCTGCTGACCCTTGAGTGGAGAGATGATCACTCCGCCGGCTCAAAGTCTATCCTCACAGAGACTGAGCGCATACGAGTCGCTCAGCAGTTGCCAGCGCACGTCCATTTGTCAAAGGTTGAATTAGGATCAGCTTCCCTCCTGTCAACCCTAAGACACAAGTGACGAAGGCTGATCATGCCGTAGGCATGAAATGTGGAGGGCTGTGGGTTAACGCATCCCATGCTTTGCCAACCATGGGGTCTCGTTGCCTGGCAATTGTATCTCTTATCTGAGAAGGAAGAAGCCTTAATTGAGGAAAATCAAACTCTGGCATAGACTTGTTGGCTGTTGGCCGTCTCCGGGACAGACGCTGAAGGATCCACGACCACCAACTAGCTTCTCCTGTCTTTGAACATAAAGTAGAGCTCTAATGTAATTCTAGAGCTCTCCTCGTTGTGCTAACAGAGCTTCACTATGTGAAAATTCTTGTGTCAGTTTGTATTGATCGCTGCGATGATGCCTGGAAGGAGAACTATCAATTCCGTTCTGTGGTCCTGTGCATAAGCGAGACGACGGATGGCTTCTATGATTTGAACGGTCCCTATCTGGGCGTCACACTGAGGGGAAATATGCGGTACTGTGATACCATTCTGTGCCCATACCTTTGAAGAGTTATTTCCAGAAATTCGAATCTGAATTGAGCAGGTACTCCTCAGTCATATTCCAAGAGATAACTAACAAGATGTCCACCCCATTCTTCAGCAGTCCAAGTACTCTGTCCGGGCATCAGTCCGATCCGGATTCATAAAGCACCCACTAGTTGTGCCAGTCTCGAAGCCAGTCTGTGGCCGTCCTCATCTTGAGATTCAGATCGAACTTGAGTCCGGGTTCACCGTCGTTCAACTCCCCAAGCTTGATTACGGTCGCTTTGGGTCGAGCGCTATGGTAGGTGAACTGGAGACATAATACACTCAAATTATCGCCTCTAGCAGAACCAGCTTTCCGGTGGAACAGGATAGACCTCCTGTATATTGTATGTCTCGGCTCGCAAAAGCGGAGTATGACCCCGCCTGGAGAACCACTAAATAGTCTCCACAAGTTGAAAGACCATTGCGGATAGATTTGGGAAAGAGATGAAAGTCTCATGAGATTTTGCGGGAACTGCGGAGCCAGTACGAGATGAAGACGATCGAGAGGAACTGATGAGAAAGGTAAGGGAGGGAAATTAAGGAGGAAGATTGGAGGATGAGAGCCTTGAAAGGGAGAGGAGAGGTAGGCTATTGAGACCGGCTCAGAAGCGATGATTAATGGAGGTGATTGAGGCTAGTGAAACCAACCAAGGCAGGTACGCCGGCGGGCCGGATCAATGAAGAACAGTCAAATTCTTTCAGAACAGGCATATTTGCATACTTTCTGAGCCCAACTTCAACGACGGCAGTCTGTCAAAGTTGACGTACAATATATCACCGACACTTTAGGAAGTTGGTGAAGTTGAAGACTGCAGTGAAAAGTGAATAAGAAGAGGACGATCTAGGTTTGTGATATGCAGCCTCTAGATAGTGAGATCTCAGAATAGGTAGGAAACGTCCTACCTGACTTTTCTATTCTCAGGTAACATCAAATCAAATAACAACTACACTTTTCAAGCTAGCCGGAGCACCTGGCAATGCATGGCTCTCGCATAATCTTCTCAATCTACCAAATGTACTTGGTAGCAATCAGGCTTCCTCTGTAAAGCACACGCCATCCGTATCATTTTCCAGCCTTTTTCGCCCATGGCCCGCCTGCGCTTTCTCATGATGAGAACACACATCATCATTGCAGATTCATCTTCTGATCTAGGAGATTCTATTAAGTCGCATGAGTGTAGTAATGGAGGATTGGGCTGGTTAGCTGCAGTCACATAGCCGCAGGACAGTATATGCATGTCCAGTAGCCTCGGAAATCTGCACAGCTCGGAGAAAAGTTGGCTCCAGGTACCTGCCTGCAGGTGAACGTCGAAGAGATGCAGATGGACTAGAGTGGCTTTGTAGGATTGGATCGCCGATATCGCATCGGAAGACATCACAATCCCTACCAGGCTAAGGTGCTTGAGTGGAGCGTGAGGGGAAAGCAAGGGATAGACAGCGGGCATATCATGCTGGTGGGGGCCGGTGAGTCGGAGACTTTGTAGCCTTTGGCCATATTCGCGAACTAGGCTCTGCCGGTCAAGCATGGCTCTGGGTGTGTTGTCTTTCGCGTTCCACTTGACATATAGATGATATATCTGAGGTAGGAGATCCACGAGTGCGCTTTCTAGGGCTGGTACTTCCTTTTGACTAGCAAGGTCGAGATAGAGTGTCCGTAGCCCTTCTGGCCGCGCGTACTGAAGCGCGTTGAGCACGGAATCGAGTACTAAACCTTCGTCCGAGGTTACGCCGGCATGCAAAACGAAATGTTGCAAGAAGGGTAGTTGTTGAAGGAGGAAAAGGAAGTTGTGATATGCTTTCAGACCCAATCCTTCATAGGGGCTCATAAGCTCAGGGCGCGCGCATCTCGCCTCCAGATATCGGACATAGCCGGCAAACTCGAACTCACAGAGGCGAGACAGTCTACTCTCAGGTCCCCTTTCCAATGGATGAATGCTAGACCATAGACCGTTGCCGGGATAACCTATCTTCACGGCACCGAATAAGATTCGAGTGGCGCTCTGATAGAATCGCTTACTGACGAGGCGAAGGGATTTCAAATGTTGAATCCCAAGGCATGCAGGAAAGAGTCCCTCGACAAAGAGCAGAGTAATCTGGGTCGGCTGATTACCTCACCACGAAGCTGCACTCAGGGAGAGTCGTGGCCTTACCTGATCATAGATCTCGGTAGGAAGACAGCTGATGTCAGTCATGTTTCTCTCTGGAGGAACTGTATTGGGACGCCGGCGGTGGTTGCAGGCGCGCTATGCATGTGGCTCTGGCTGGTGGTTGAGTTTAATGAACAGAGGTTGACTATGTGTGTGCGGTCGGGCTGCGAGATGACAACATGGTGACAGCTCGAATGCTCTGTGGCTCGGCAGATGCTTGTAACAACTTGTAAGAACTTGTAAATACACCCTGACTCAGTGATTCACCATTACATATACCCAGGCTAGTACGGTTGTATGTTGTGTTTGCATTGATCAAATGCTTGTATGTGGCCTGTATGAAAGGTGGGGGTGGAAGCTTGCTTGACACCTGGAATAAAGAGATGTATTCGCGCATGCTGTGTGAGCGGCAAGTGTGGCTAATAAATATACCTGGGGGCTTCAAGTTAGAGTTACCCAGTAGAGCGTCTGGAACTCAAACGCGGAAAAAATAAAAGCGAGGAAAAAAGAAATTCTACTGCATCATCCGTGAATCGAACACGGGCCTCATCGATGGCAACGATGAATTCTACCACTAGACCAATGATGCCGCTCCTGGCTATCTTGGGCATTGTATTGGATAACATACCTATTAACTCAACCTTGCAGCTCATTTCCAACGCCCCCGAATTCGCCGTCTCATTCCCGGTTTTAATCCCTTTCAGCATTTGCCTTCAATACCTGCTCGGTCACAAAGCCAGTTTCGCCTTGCTGCTCCCTAACCTCTCTCTTCCACACTCTCATTTTTCCTTTTGTTCATTACCTCTTTAAAGTAGTACTTCAAATCAGATACTTTACTTTGCTTTGCATGTCTTGAAGTTGGTCCAACTTGTAAATCTGCTGTGGCATTGCACATATATATTTCTACCTCTCCATCATAGGTAGACCCCAACAGCAACGACATTTGACCACACCCCGGTACACTTCAGACAGTTAACAACTCGACTATCACTATTGATAATTTTTTAAGAGAAAGAAACCACCCGCTTTCAACCGGTAGGTTGTTATCGCAAAATACCCATCAAGCATCTGTTGACCCCCTCATCTCGGGGCTTCGGCCGGCTCGGGAATACGGCCCCGGCCGGTTTGTCCTCACCACCACATATGGAGCTGTTGTCGGCACCAGGAGTGTCGATCGTTCAAACTCTGGGTGCAGTTTTGCAGGATGCACGGAGTACAGTAATATAAGAGAGATGATCACCATGTTGTTCCCGCGGCCTCCGCTTCGCCTCAGCATCTATTCTCATTCGAATTGACCTGCAGTACACAAGACCCTGCTTCGCAAAATGTACTACGAACCCGGCGTCACCGAGCATAACCTCCCCCATGACCCTTTTAAGGTATGTAATGTACATACAGTTGTATACTGAGCAACCCATCCTCAAATTTCCTCTTCCATACCAACTCAGAACTAAAACACGCATAATCAGGCATGTGTGATCCCCCGTCCCATCGGCTGGATCTCCACGCAATCCCCGGACGGCCGAATCAGCAATCTGGCGCCCTATTCGCAGTTCAACAACCTCACCTTCGATCCGCCGTACGTGATGTTCTCCTCAAATCTGACCGCGACCGAGACCCGGAAAGACACCGTCGTCAACGCCGAGGCGACCGGCTTCTTCGTCTGGAATCTTGCGACGTACGACCTGCGCCATGCGGTCAACATCTCCGCCGAGCAGTTCCCCTACGGGGTCGACGAATTCGAGAAAGCGGGCGTCACCAAGGAACCTGCCCGGCTGGTCGACGTGCCAATGGTGAAAGAGAGCCCTGTCAAGTTCGAGTGCAAGTACCACTCCACCATCCGGCTGCCGGGGAACCCGCCTATGGGAACGGTTGATATCGTGATCGGGCGGGTTGTGGCGGTGCATATCAAGGATGAGGTGCTGACAAATGGGATTCTGGATGTTCGGAAGACGAGGCCGATCGCCCGGTGCGGGTACTATCAGTATACCGTCATTGAGAATACCTTTGAGATGGTGATTCCGGGATCGTCGGAGGATGTGTTGTATGGGTTGGAGGGAAGTGCGAAGAGGAACCGGCTAAAGAATGAAGAGGGCCAGAAGAGCGAAGAGTAATCGTGGCGTGGTTGATATTTAGAATATAGAAACTTTGACTTAAACCCCGCCTTTGCATGGTTTCTGCACAGCATACGTACAGTTTTGGGAAATCGAACACTTTTCTCACACGACTCAGACTTTGGCGGCCCACTTCCAACGCCATTCCAGCAAGGCCCATCGCGAGCAGATCACATTGATGAGTCCAAATACCAAGACTCCAGTATAAAATCCCACTAATGCTTGGGGCGACGTGGCCTGCAACATTTCACCACCCACGGGGACTGTCAGCAAGGTCCCAAATGCCCCAACACTGTATACTGTTCCATAGAAACGACCATACTCTTTCGTCCGACACAGCTGGCCCGCACATACCGGAGCCAACGATATCCAGCCGCCCGACCCGAATCCAAACACCGCAACGACAGCATACAAGGTGGCATGCATGACTGGCTAACGCACGTGCAGTATCACCCTCAAGAATGGGGACATAGATGGGTGGGCTCGGAGACAAGATGCGGAGCGGTAGTGAGTGAGAAGGGTCTGCTGCAACTGTGCTTTTGTCGATTGAGATACGGGGAGAGCAGATATTGCGCTAGACCTGACGACAACACTTATCGCACGACCCCGTCATACGATCTGTCCGCCGACCTCGAAATGCTCATACAGCAGCTTCGGCCGCTACGGCGATTCTGGTGCCTCCATGCTGAGCAATTTGGAGCTTGTAAAAGGGTTGAGCTCAAACGCTGCAACCCGATTCACACTGGCAAGCGCAGAGCCCATCATATCCGAAGCAGATGGTGGCATACCCGGGGTCGAAAAGCCCTGACTGCGGCCGTTTCCAATGCTAACCCCTCCGCTCCTGTGCATCCAAATCACCCTGTTCTGCTTGCTTGGGCCGTTCGTCTCCGGGCTCTGTTTCGCGCCTCTCAGGGCTTTCAAGTGAGCATCTCTCATTGCGATGAGGTCGAGGGTGTGACAGGAAAGAAGACAGCGTACGAGTGTATCCGCATTCGCAAGAAGCAAGACAACAGCCGAGTGGCTGCCGTAATGACAGCGATTTCGATGCCCACGTCACACTCTCTGGGAGCCAAAAAGCCCTCCAACACCTTAGTCCAGGACCAGATATGGTGCAACGAGGCCGAGGCATTGTGTCAGTCCGGCCGGCCGGCTTACCTCGCCACAATTGATTCCCCTTCGGGCGCATTGTCTTTTTACCAAATCCCGAACCTGTTGGGACCCTTCCTCCCCGTACGATCAAGGTTTCTAACAATTTGCGGTACCAGAAGCGCCTCTGAGCGGCTTCATGCACGCCTCTACCTTAACGAGCTCCTTGCTGACTGCACGAGGCCCCGTGTCCGATTCGCTGAGCAAGAGGATGAGAGACTTGATAAACGGAGAAGCTATACCACCAAATTCAAAGGGTTTTCTGTAGGTCTCTGGTGACACTTTCGTCGGAATGCAGTGCTATCGGTGCATAGAGTATAGCAAAGGGTGGTGAGGCCTTTATGTCATTTTTTGGTACTGGTTGTACTTTTTGTAACATCGGTCAACATGGTATTGTATGAATTCCTAGGAAAATTGTAGCAAAACCAAGGAGGATGCTCGGGGTGCACAATTCAACGATCTCCCATCTCGTGCTCCACACTCGAACCCTCTTCGCCCGCCTCACTCACGGGCTTCTGCAGCGAATCAAGTATCATAAAGAACAAGTATTCCCCGGGCCTTTCTCACTTCCGATCCGAGCGATGGTGGAAGGTGAATGAGACGCAGCGCTGGCTGACGGGGCCTACTTGATTCCTCAGTCGGCGTTGTCTGGGAATGGAGTTCATGCTTCCTATTCCTTTTCAGATCAATCCAACCGTCCGACATTTGTCATTAAATCGTCTTTTATGCTCATAGGCAAAGCGTGAGATAGCAATCAGATCAGACGAGGTAGGCACTTCAGCCACGCTCTTCGATCTTTATGTCTCTTGAAAGTCAAAGAAGTAGTGTTCTTGTTCTTCATTTCCCATTACAATCCTAATCGTACAGGCTTCCTCATCAATATACTAGTAGCAGGAAGCTCGAGTGAGATTCCTTGCCGAGCGGTCAGAAGTTTGAATGAGCCCAGATCACAATAAGGGCCTCAACGCCTCGCCAGTCCAGTTCCATAGTCGCTTGGCCAACTCATCGTCCCTGGCCGCACTGTCCAGCTTGAACGAGAGTAATCCAACTGGCTCGTAGAATTGGCCGTTCTACAAGTTAGGCAGAGCGGTAGTAGCAGCCCACAGCTGATTATAGACGCCTTGCTCGGGTTTCACCATCTGACCCAAGGTGGTCATCCACACGAATGCACGATTCCAGCAGCCCAGACTCCCGACGAGCCCCGTATTGACCACCCCGGGCGTGAGAGAGATGCTGGTCAGCGCGGGATATCGGCGGGCCAGCTAGCGCGCATACAGCAGGTTTGCCAGCTTGCTCTGGCCATAGCAAATCCAGCCTGCAAGAACCGGGTACTCCTGGGTGGTGCGGAGATTGCTGAAGGGGATTCCGCCCGGTGGATGGCCCCGGAGCCCAAAGGATGTGAGGGTGATGACGCGGACGTCGCGTCCCTTGGCGGCGGTGGCTTCGAGCCGCGGGAGCAGTTTATGGATGAGCAGGGCGTGGCCGAGGTGGTTAGTGCCGAATTGGATCTCGTAGCCGTCGGCCGTCAGACCCGCCGGGTGGGCCATGATGCCCGCGTTGCACATCAGCACGTCCAAGCAGGAATCTTGCGCTAGGAAGGCCTCCGCCGCGCGCTGCACTGAGCTCAGGTCTGCGAGATCGCATTGCAGAAACGTGACCGGGGTGGTGCTTCCGCTCTGTCGAATCTGTTCCATGACGGTCTCGACACCAGGCCTTGCGGCCGCTGATATAGATGTGCGCCGGCTCATGCTTGGCCAGTTGTTGCGCCGTCCCCGCACCCAGTCCGGCGGTTCCTGAAAGACTGTGAGTTGTTAGGTCTTCGTGGAAATTAAGATTAGAAAGAAAGTACCTCCAGTGACCAAGATGACTTTGCCCGCAAAATTGGGGATGTCTATCTCTGGGTTGAAAGTGATTCCGGGCATCAAGGAAGCTTTGGTAATATGTTCGAATGACAGACAAGTTGAGATGATGAGAAAATGAAGCTTGAAGATGAGGGAGAAGGAGGAAGAACACATGTCCTTATATACTCCAGAAATCAAGCGGTGACATGTCCTACACTGATTGATTCTTTCTACAGGCAGTAGAGCAGGTGTAACCAAATCCCCTCGTATACTGTATTCAGGATACCCGCATGCGTTTGCCAGTGGCTGTGCACTACACTCCACCACAGCCGGTGATTAGGTCTATTGCCCACCGCCTTAGGGGTCGCGCTCAGTTTAAGTTGACTACTAAGTTACTAGTAGCACTTAGGTACTATACGTACGTAGTGTCCTGACTCAAGCACATTTCCATCTCCTCCCATCTCCTTCCAGGCTCCCCTGAAGATTCTCGCCCATAATAGTTCGCCCATGATAGACTCACGGATTGGCGCACGGTCATCATCATCTCACTCACTGGTAGGTGGCTCATGCTACCACGCGCATTCTCTAAATATGCTGTGCAGCTGACTAAATATTGATGAACAATCTTATGACTGCATGGAAGTGGCCGGGATTAACCATGCAACAAGTCCCTTCAGCTTACTCATGACAATCGACCCGACTCAAATATCACATCGTGATATTACCAGATCGAGTATCATATCAGTTGGTTTCCTGCCGATGGAGCACACCCAAAGGACGAACAGTAGAGCAAGTACGCGGCATCCATCCAATTACTGAATCATATCAAGTGTAGATCGTGATACAGACAGATAGATAATCGAGACACATGGACTGGCAGCTAAACACGGGGTGACGAGTTTTTTTCGGTTTTTGCTTTTGAGTTTTGTACGTAATCTATATCAAGGAACCAGACTGTGAAATCAACTCTCCTGGGAGAGTCGACAGAAAATGCGGGATATCGACTGTGGGGTACAGCAAGTGAGCGGGTTCGGTGCTTATAATTCTATCCCGGTCCCATGCAGCCGGGCACATTCTCCGACTACTGTTTACTGTCTAGGTCTCTTTTCGAGGCTGTCAGGCGCAGGTCATGGCTCAAACTTTGAATTGATGAATCAGAGACATGGTCCAGTTGCCACTGATAAGTACAGTATCTCTTGCAGCATAGATAGTGATAACCATTGGAATTAGGTGGTAGCATCCACTATCACTGACGGTTCATCCAGCATGTTCGTGCAAGATATCCGGCTCCCTGTCCAGCCTGAATCTTCTGAGCTTGCTAACCACCAAATACTAATAGACTCGCCACTAGCTTGTCCCGAGTACAACCGCTGTGAGTTAGAAGGAGATAGAGGCGTGTTTGCCTCATGCGAAGAACATTCCGTGAGTGCACCTGCCTATTTTAGTCTGATAGGATTCAAGCCCCGGTCGGTCGAGAGTTTGAGGTCGCGTGCATGAGTGGCTTAATGTAACCCACCCCAAGCTCAGGTCAATCCCTCCGAGCCGGAGTGATTGGCTGACATCCCCGCCAGCCAAGGCCTTGGGGTTGCACTGGGCGCCCCTCGCCAAGTGTGCCAAGGCATCCGTTCCGCTGGACGAGCGACCAGTCAAGCCCATGCTTATCTGGCGTGCTGCTTATTGGGGATGGTCCAATATGCCCAGCTAAGAAACGTGGGTTGAACGGGTTCGGCCGATTCCAAGCGAATCTGCGGTGACCCCGAGAAGGGAAGCATCGCCGGTTTTGGCCCTCTTGGCCCTCTTCAATGGTCCTCTTGGACCTCTTGGACCTCTTGGACCCTGCAGGTTCTGATAGCTCTTGGAATTGGTGCAATAGTATTTAGTGTATCGTTGATGATAGTCTGCCGCGGTTGTGCCACCCCGGTCCCAGTCAGCCCAAATTTAAAGCCTCTTGCCCGGCCACCTCATTCACTTCTTACCCTCTCGAGATTGTCGCCATCCATATCCCCTCCCTCCCTCCACCCCACCTCTTCGATCCTCGCTGGTCCTCCTCGACCACTCTCCAACCATGAACAGCTCTGATCCCGTGGAGGCCGCAGAGGTCGCCAAATCGGCGGCCTACGCTCATGACGCTGCCCATCACGATAAACACAAGCATGCTGTGTCCGACGTGCGCCCGGACATCTCTTCCGATGTCGATGTGATTCAAGCATCCTCCGAAAAAGTCGCGGTTGGCGCATCGGAGCCTGCATACGATGAGGACACCTCGCTGCAAAAGACCTTCCCCAACCCAGAGGAGATGCAGAATCTGCGTCGAGTAGCTGGCAAAATCCCCTGGACAGCCTATACTGTCGCCTTTGTGGAGCTGTGCGAACGTTTCTCGTACTATGGCACCACTGCAGTGTGTACGTCAGCTTGACATCCCACTAGAGACAGTTCTGACAGTCACAGTCGTCAACTTCATTCAGCGTCCCCTGCCCGAGGGCTCCAGCACCGGTGCGACTCATGGAGTGGGTAACCTGGTGCCAGGTGCTTTGGGGATGGGCCAACAAGCATCGACAGGACTAACTTTGTGTAAGTCCAATTCCCTCTTTCTTTTGACCAAGGCAATGGAACTAAATCAGTAGTCAACGCCTTCTGGTCATATATTATGCCGCTGGCCGGTGCTTTGATGGCGGATCAATACTGGGGTCGATTCCGCACTATCATGTTCTCCATCGCCGCCGCACTGGTGGGTCATACCATCCTTGTCATCTCCGCCATCCCCCCGGTCATCAAGAATCCCGACGGGGCTATCGCTTGCTTTTCGATCGGTCTGATTGTCATGGGTATCGGCACGGGTGGTTTCAAGTAAGTCAAAAGTCGCTGATGGTCCTGTCGCAGCATCTAACCAGCATAGGTCCAACATCTCCCCTTTAATCGCAGAGCAATATCGCGAAGACACTCCTTTCATCAGGACCCTCCCCTCCGGAGAACGAGTCATCGTTGACCCGTCTGCCACGGTCTCCCGTATCTATCTATACTTCTACATGATGATCAACATCGGTTCCATTCTGGGCCAGGTCAGCATGGTATACGCGGAGAGATACGTGGGATTCTGGTTATCATACCTCTTGCCAACGATCATGTTCACATTTTGTCCAACCGTGCTCTTCTTCTGCCGCAACAAATACTATCTGGTCAAGCCGACTGGTTCCGTCTACCTCCAGGCCTTCCGCACCTGGAAGCTCGCCATGAAGGGACGCTGGTCCCTGAACCCAGCCCGGCTGTAAGTTATGGCGCCATCCATTCATCAGAGCACGCTAAATCCGTGTAGCTTCAAGAAGAATCCTAGACCATTCTGGGACTCGGTTAAACCCAGTGCGCTTGGAGCGAACCGGCCCGAATGGATGACATTCGACGATGAATGGGTGGACGAGGTTGCCCGCGGATTGAAGGCTTGCAAGGTGTTCCTGTGGTATCCTCTCTACTGTGAGTCTATACCTTAGCCTATGGATGATTCTTCGGCTAATCCAGACAGGGCTTGCGTACAACCAAATGTTGAACAACCTCACATCACAGGCAGCCACCATGCAACTCGGCGGTGTCCCCAACGACATCATCAATAATCTGAACCCCTTGGCTCTGATCATCTTCATTCCCATCATGGATCAGCTTGTCTATCCCTTTTTGCGTCGGGTCGGAATCAAGTTTACTCCCTTGAAGCGCATCACTGCCGGTTTCTTCGCCGCCGGTCTCTCCATGATCGCCGCTACGGTGACGCAGTACTACATTTATAAGTTGGGCAAGTGCGGCAAGCAAGCCAATTATTGTCTAGATGAGTACAATTCGCATTCTCCGATCTCCGTGTGGGTGCAGGCTTTGCCGTACGTCTTGGGTGGTATTTCCGAGATCTTCGCTTCGGTGACCTCGCTCGAGTATGCGTTCACCAAAGCCCCGCGCAATATGCGGTCCTTGGTCCAGGCCATCGCACTGTTCATGAATGCGTTCTCGTCGGCTATCGGACAGGCTTTGGTCAGTTTGTCGGAAGATCCGCTGTTGGTCTGGAACTACACGGTGGTGGCCATTCTGGCGTTCGTTGGCTGCTTCGGATTCTGGGCGACAAACTATAAGTTGGATCGCCAGGAGGACGAGTTGAACAACCTGCCTCAGAGTCATTATGAGGGGCGCGGAGAGGGAGATGCGGAGCGTTGAGGAAGCGTAAGGCTTTGGCAGCGTGGAGGGAAGTGCAGTAGTATCTCAGTAATTGTAAGACATTCACTTAATGGCATGACACGATGGTTTTACTTGGTCTTTTGCTTCTTCTTGTCTGGTGCGTCGCCTTCAGCCTCGGCGTCATCCTCTGCTCCCTCGACCTCGTCTTCGTCTTCGTCTTCGCCTTCTTCTTCCTGGTATTCTTCATCGTCCTCATCCAGATCCTCATCCTCTTCCGCTCCCTGGTTCGGTTGTTCCTCAGCCTCGTCGTCGCCATCTTTCTTCTCCTGCTTCGTATCCTTCTTCACATCCTTCTTATCTTTAGCTGTCCTCTTCGACTTGCCGTTCTCCTTATCACCATCCTCATCATCGTCCTCCCCATCAGCACCATCCTTTCCATTCTCCTCTCCCCCTTCCCTCTCCTCCTTCGTCTTCTTCGACACCTCCCCCCTCTTCCTCTTAGCCGTCTCCGTATTCCCAACATACTGCTTCCCTTCCTCCCCACCTTCCTCCAATTTCTTCTTCTCGGTCGCCTCCTTCTCGCCCTCGCTCATCTCCTCCCACGCCTTGCGCGGCAGATACCGTTTCCGCGCCCCGCCATCCTCGGCGCTCTCATCCGTCTTGGCCTTTCCCGACCCTTCCTTGGTCACCCAGTCCTCCTCCCCCCACTGCGACAGGCTCTTCTGGGACTTCGACTGCTCCTCCTTGGAGGTCGTGTAGTCGCCGCCCCGGGACTTGTACTCTTGAGCGGTGAGTTGGGCCTACATTCCTCAGCCCGGGTTGTTAGCTGTGTGCTTGAAGAGGAGCCCGCCCAGGGGGTGGTCTTATTTATTGTCTGGGGAAGGTGAGGTATGGGGCAGGGGCAGAGGCAGGAACAATCCGCCAAAACGAAGGTTCGTGAGGAAGGTGGGGGGGGAACATGGGAGGAGAGGTTGAATGTATGTACTGTGCTGTACTGCACGGTATCGTATCGTACCTTTCGCGCAGACCACTGTCCGGGTTTCCCGCCCTTGTCACTCTGCTGGACTTCTTCCTTGACCTCTTGGCGGAGTTCCGGGTCCGTGTAGTTGTTGTTCTTGCTGTTTCTGCTTTTGGAGGGCATTGTTGGGTTTCTTTCTCAGTTGTCGAGGAGGTCCAATTAAGTGGGGTTGTCGAGTAATGGGTTGAAATTTTGGGGAGGTGTTGTTCTGCTATAGCAGGTTGGACGAGTGACTGCACTGAATACGCATCCAGTACTGTCCTTAAGGATTCGGTCAGTTAATTGTTGAGTAGAATCTCGGGATCGGTTCAATGGGAGTGACGACGACGGGCTTGAAAAGAACTCGTTCCCTAGCAAATGCTGGTGAACGCAATTTATATAGCCCTCAATGACATCATGACCATGAGCTCATCTTCAATCAACTCCTCTTGGTCTTCTTCAGGAAAATGCATGAGATCATCTGGAGCCGGAGAAGACAGTCATGGTGGGTCCTCCCGACATCGCTCGCTTTCGGTAACCCGCCCGATCCGATCCTTGCTTTCGGCGACAGATCGCTGGGTCCAGCAAAACTTTATTTCTCCGCGTGTGGACTGGCAATTCTGATCTCTACACAGTGCAATCATCGATGTTCTGAAGGAGCAATCAAGAACTTCCATTACCAGGTGAATTAAGTACATTTCAAAAATATCATGCAGCCGAACAGGGGATATATCAGGCGAAAGAAAACATCATCGAGATCACAACTCCTCCTCAACCTCGGCGTGATGCTGGGTATCAACAAGCTCCCAAGCATTGAACTTCAAGTCCAATGTATCTTCATTACTCTCCGCCTTGCCGCCACCAAAGCTCTTCAAATTCCACTTCTCGACACCCTCAATTCCGGTCAAGTGCTCATTGTACTCCCTGAAGACATCCGCGTTCAACTTCTCGTACTCAACGTAGTCCTTGGGCCAATCGCCAAGACGCTCAACCGAGAGCTTCAGAAGGTGCAGGTGCTGACAAACGTGCTCACCCCCCGCCACCGTGCCGTTGTGTTCCTCAAGACCGTCTACCTCACCGTAGGCAGAACCATCAAAGCTTCCGCTGCTATCGATTCCTTTCAGCTCGGCATAATCGGGATCGCTGAAGACGCGGAGAATGTTTTCATGCACGGCAGCACTCTTCTTATAAAACCGGTTAGCAATTTCCTGCCCGTTCTTTTCGGCCTGGTAGCGCTGCGCGTTGCCAGTGTACAGCTGAGACAGCAGTATAGACATCTCCAGAGTACTAGGGTGGCGAGGTCCGTGCACCCGGCGGCAATTGTACACAATGTCCTCCGCCAGGCGAAGGGCAGCGGAGTAGTCACCGACCAAATAACGGACCATGATGAAACGCCGTCCCAGAGCAAGAGTGATGAAAGTAGGCCAGTTGCGCTGGGCCTCTCGACTGTTCCAAAGAATGGTCAACAGCCAAGCTAGGGTGTGGTAGTCTTGTTGTTCTCCGAGGAGACCAATCAACTTATTCAGGTGGACAAGTCTGACGCCAGCCAAGTTGATCTTCAGGCTGGTGATCACGCGCAGAGCATCCTGGATAATCGTACCAGATACTTGGAGTAGCTTCTTCTGAGTGGCCTCATCAGGGCGGGTGGCTACGTCACGACCAGCAATGTTCAGACCAAGGGTAAAAACAAACTTGACGATCTCAGGAGTATGGTAGCTATCGTGGGCGACGATGTATTTGTACGCAGCAAGAGCAAGATCGCTGGCAGTCTCCCACCGCTGGTTCTTCAGCAGCTCGAGAACATGGTCATTGCTCGTAATGCCCACGGACCGGATGAAGTTATCAGACTGGTGGGTGCTGAAATGGCCTAGGATAGATAGTACAAAGATTTTGACCTGAGAGACCTCTGTCAACTGCACTCGCTTGCCCTCAGTGTTGATAAAATAAGCAACGAAGTCATCGAACACGCGAGCGGCCGCGGTGTGGCGGTCGTGGGCAATGAGGAATTGATAGAGGCGAGCAGCTGAGACCGAGACACTGTTAATACTGCTCTTCAACTTGGTTTCCTTTCGGAACTCCTCAAAGTATACATATTCGGTAGTCAAGGCAGCAAGTATCTCAGTAATGGTGGTCGACGAGCTACGGCGCAGGCTGTACTCAAGCTGAGCCAAGAAAACCAAGCTCTGGCGCTCCTTGGAGGAAAGATCAAACTCGACAGACTTGGAGTTAGTGGTATCCTTCATGACAATCTGACGGTAGATCTCCTGGGATAGCTCGGTAGCCTTCTGGATCTGATTTGTCACGATGTAACTAGAAGCGATGGTTGTAGCAGCCGCAATCAAGCGAGTAGAGGAGGTCTCGGAAGTTAGGATCTGCACGGTCGCCTCTTTGAGTTCTTGTACCACGGTCTGGATCTCATTGCGCTCGGCGTGAAATTTGATAATTTCTTCCATCTTGGTAAGCGATTCTTCATGGGCCCAGCCATGCGTCTCACGAGCGGTGCTAATGCGCTTTTTCCAGACCTTGACGGCACGCTCAATTTGAGCTGACGAAAACGACTCGGTCTTGGTCGATGTCACAATGGCAGCCTGTTCCTCGTAGATTGCATCCAAAGTGGCTGAGATCTCTTGCAAATCGAGTTCCTCCGATCGAGTCTTGTACAATTCCTCATACAAGGTAATAGCCTCAAGCTCGTATCGCTTCGATTCCTGGCACAGCTTGGCCAGCGTCAAAGTGGCCTTGAGGGTGATGGAAGCTGTAGCACTGAAGACAGACTTGCACTTAGTCTGGTAATCAAGGGTCACCTGGTGAAGTATGGTAAAATCCGTCCGAACGCTGCGCAGACAGTGAGTGTAGCGCTCAAAAAGTTCATGGACAAATGTTTGATCCTGGAACTTTGGGTTCTGCTTGGGCTCTTTTAGGAATGTGGCGAAGATAATCTGGTAGTGATGCAGAGCATCCGAGTAGCGGCCCTGCTTCCATAGCTCAGTGGCAACAATTATAAGGGGCTCGAAAGCCTCAGGGTGAGAGACGGGGGAGTCTTTGTTCAAGATACGAATAATCTGCTGGTAGTAATCAACAAAGATGGGTCGGGGGCGAGTCAGTTCAGCCAAGGTCCAGAGTATCTTGACTACCAGCGGGTTCTCAGGACCGTAGTGCTTGGTATAATCATTCAGTGTCTCTTGGCGAAGATTTATAATCTTGTCAGTTTGCGCAGTGCGCTCAAAGAGGCGGAGCAGCTCATTGGTAATGCGATCCCGCAGCTTGTCATCGACCTTGCGGCCCGACCGAACCGCACGGTAAATGCGAACTCGAACATTTTCTTCCTTAGTCAAGCGACGGCGAGAATGGTAGCAGTAGCTAAGTCGCTCGGCTAACTCGATGCAGCTTTCCACGTGTTTTATAGGGAGGGTAACATCCTGCAGGGAAGGGGCAAATAGCGAAGGCCAGATGCCATGCAACACCTTCTTTATGACACGAGTAGCATCTTGCCATCGCCGCTGCTCAACATACAAGCTGATCAAAGTTTTTGTGGCACTGAAGGAGGTCTCATCGACGGTCGTTATCGAATTAGATGCCTCATAGACCATTTCCTCCAGTGTGGTTTCGGAGGTCACCGTGGTGGATGAAGAACTGAAAGACCGCATGACCTCTTTGGAGGTGGCCTGGATGCTCTGTTGGATCTCCTGGTAGGTTGAGACCTGGGTGCGGTTGGTGCTCTGGTAGTAATGCGAACAGTGTTTGAACACGGTCAGAGCCAGAGTAGTGAGTCCAACGGTCTTCATGACCTTGGCCATTTCCTGAAGTTGGAAGATTGAAGTCTCTGACAGTGCCATAGTGGTCTGTTCATACTCCTGCCAGACGCTAGAAAGAATGGAAGAGGCCTCGTATTCACGCTTCTGAGTTTTCAGAAACCGGGTGTAGGCAAGGACTGATTGAATTTTACGCTCTTCAACCTGGGTCGAATACTGAACGCGGGACTCCCGACTCAAGTGTTGCCAGATCTCGACATAGGTGCGCTCCGCCAATTCAAACTTACCCTCTGCAACGTAAGTCTCAGCTCGCTTGATTAAAGCTTCAAAGCTCCAGGCTTCGACCTCAATTAAATCATCATGCTCTTCGATGTCGAGCAAAAGAGTTGTGCCACTTCCAGAAGTGACCACACTACCGCCCTTGAGGTGAACATTCAAGTTTCCGTGAGTGTCACGGCCTTGGCCATACTCTCCGGTTATCTTCTGAATGGTTATAGTGAATTCCTCGGCCTTTTGGTCCTCCTTAATCAGACGATAATGCTCGACAAGCTGCTTCAGTGTGTTAATCACATTCTCGTGGGTGTTCCCATAGTAATGCTTGTAGCACTCTGTCAGCACCAAGAGGATTTCCTCCCTCTTAGTCATTATTTCACTCTTCGTACTAGTGACTCGTCCAGTTGTGATTTCGAGAAATGTGGCGGCCATTTTCATGGTGACCATGTGGCGAGTGGTGAGCAGATTGCGACTAATAATAGTTGCCTCATGGAACAGAGAAATAGCCTCCGGAACGTAATCAAGCTGGCGATAAATGAATGCCTGTGAGATAATCGACTGCAGGGTCACAACGTGCTTGTTGGTCAGGATCTGACGACAGACGTTAGTAACGGTGGTTGTGAAAGTCAACAGCTCCGGAGTCGGTTTGTTCTCCCAGAGTGTGTTCTGCAGGAGAAAGACGGTGATAGAAGACGGAAACAGTTTAGCAAATTCCTTGGCGGCAGGAGCCTCGCCATTTTTTGTAAAAACGCTCATTTGTCTGAAATGCGTGATCCAGTAGCGGACGGCAAAGTCAAGCAGTGGATATTTGTTGACGAGGGGATTGATGTCATGCCAGTCAAGAGGTGTAAGAGACGGTTCATGTGGTTCAGTAACAGTGGCCTTGATGTAGACCAGGAGCCTAGTAACTAGATCGGCATGGCGGTCCTTGATATTTGGTACCAGTTTGCCTTTGGAAAAGATCTCCAAGACAGCAGTGCGGATGAGATTGTGGCGAAGAAAAACCTGACCCTCTTGCAAGAACACCAGCGAGTTAACGGGATGCAAGACTCTCAGAGGCTCCTCCGTGTAGTCCGTGATAGTCTGTTTCTCTGGCTGAATAGAAGCCAGGGCCTTCAGTTCCTTTACCAGGAGGGGGCGGTCAGCTGTGGCAAGCCACAGCAGCATCAACTTGGCATCTTCCTTGGTTTGGGATTGCGGCAATTCGTTCAGAATCTGCAAGACCAGATCGGTAATGGTCGGTTTTGCATTCACAAGGGCATCAACCGCCTTACGAAGGTTCTCAGCATTCTCCACATCGCGAACACGCTTGCTAGCAAGCTTGGCCCAAAGGAAGGAGCCCTTAGAAGCGCTGGCAACCCGGCTGACTAATATCGAATGTTCCATTTCATCCAAGCTATTGTAAGCATCAGATCTCTCGAATTGGCCACGCACAACAGCGCAAAGATCTTCATAGATCCCGTCATCTGTGATGCGGTAGTGGCGCAGGCCGGGAAGGCTAGGGGGGTCCTGGGCACCCAACGTGATGAGCTTCACATTGTTAGCTTTAGCTGTAACATTAGCGAGCTTCTGTAAGAGAACAGCCTCATCGCAAGCAGCTTCGTCGACACCGTCAAGGACGATAACGAGTTCCTTGGCTCCCTTCAAGCCAGCAGCCAACGCGCGCTCTAGGGCGTTCCAGAGAATGTTATCATAGTCGTTATCATTTGGAGCCTTTTTGCTGCGCTCAAATGCGTCCCAAAGAATTTGGAAGAGCTGGATATTGCCGATGCGCTTCTCGAACAATTGGAACAGAACAGTCTTCACAATAGCCCGAGGCCTTGTCTCAGCAGGGAGACGGCCATCTGCAGAGAGTTGTGTGAGAATATATAACACACATCACTAGCATGGAACACTCACTGATGGGAATGTACAGTGTCTTATGCATGACGCCACCGATAGGGTGTTGCAGATGGTCGACTATGACGGAGGATAGGACAGTTTTGCCAGAGCCAGACTTTCCATTGATGGCGAAGGTTTTCTGCTGTTTATTTCTCAAGAATCGGGTCAGATGAGGACCGACCCAAACACAAGTCATTTCCTCCCGATCATGGGCAAGGTGAGAGGTGGTCTCGGCAACGTTGGCGAGAACGGAGTCTTCCGGCGCGAGCCAGGAGCGGATGGTCTTGACATCAGAAACTAAAGAATGTGAGCTCGAAATAGAACAATTATTGTGGGAGTCTTTACCTCTTGCCCCATCAAGGTTCTCCCTGAGAAGCTGGTGCCGCCACATGGACTCAGCTATCTTCTCACAACGTCCCTGGAAGGCCTGGATCTGCCCTGGGAACTTGGCATATATGTTGACCGTAGCTGAGTTCCCGGTCATTCCGCGGATGGCCTGATGAAAATAGGTGGCAACGCTGGCTACCAATGTCACAAGGTCAGCCAGAGCCAAAACGAGCTGTTCACGAATTTCCTGGGTGACAGTAAACAGCTCAATGCGTTCAAGGAGGTTCACAAGTGCCATTGAAGTGCTGTAGAAGAATCCAAACGAAATCATCAAGGCACTTTCATTGCCCTTGCCAAGCTATACAAGGGGGGAGTGTCAGCAAGATCCAGATACAAGTCTAGAAGGAGCATCGTACCTCGAGAAGCAAAGCGCAGTATCCATACGCGAGCTGAGCGGCCAGATAGCTGTCGCCTGCAAACTCTTCAATGGCCAAGTCAAAGGAGTGTAGTCTGTCGACGAAGAGCTGTGCCCAAGCCAGCACCTTATCATAGCTGCTACCTTCGGGAGGGAGCAAACTCATGCGCTGAGTGCGAATCCAGTCGATCAGTGAGGCGTGAGTCGCATTTAAGAGCTTCGAGGACGCCGTAGCGCCCAGCTCATCACCACTGCGACGCTTTAGTGAATACACAACATTAGATATGTTGGAAGCCTCGAAAGACTGTAGCTTCCGAGAAGATACCCGTCGGGAGGTGACCGAGCGAGACATCCCATGATTGGAGATGCTATCGCTATCAAGAAAGCCCGAGGTTCGTCGCGACTTAGAGAAGATGCTAGGAGAGAGGGGGGAAGCGACATTGGTCAGGGGGGCTGGAGACAGGACTGCGGGGGCCATGGTCACTTTAGGCTTTGCGTGAGTTTGTTTTGGTCGGGTTTGTATGATGTGAGGCTGTATAAACTGAACTGGTGCTGTTTGAGATATGCCTGCTTGAGCCGTTGATCTTTTCTTTGGGGAATTCGAGATTACTGGACTTGGGGTAGGTGAGTGTTGATGCGACTGCTCGATATACCTGGATGGGGAAACTGTAGGCCGGGGTGGGAGGTCAGGCTCTGCTGTGGTTTCTCCTGAGGAGCAGTGGCGACAACTGACAAGGAGACGAAAAAAGCGACGCAAACCGGCAACTTTAACACATGGGAGAAGACATTAGATCAAGAAGCTGTCCTTGGACTGGTCGTGCCCTGAATTGAGCGGAAAGAAAAAGTTCCCTTGATGCCGGTAGGGGGTCGCACTTTTCCTATATATGCCTTTCGACGGACGAGGCGAGGCACAAGGTCGCTAGCTGCAATGGTCCCACTAGTCATAGCTTGAGAAACAGTATTTCCAGTCAAACAAAAATAGTAGTAAATTGAGCTCTTAAGCCTTGATTATCCCTTCTCCAACATAGTGTGTGGCTAAAAGGGTCCGATTCCGACGGACTCCAGTCCATCCTCAGCTCCCCATGCACCATCATCAGAATGGCTGAGAATTCCAAATCAAATTCGGTGTAGGATGTGATGAATTAGCTATCGGAAGTGTAGTGGTTGCTTCATCCATCTCCTCTGCAGATCAGAGTTTGGTCTCCAGTAGCACTACGCACTGACGCTGGAATATCTTTGGCTGAAGCCATGTGAAGCAGTATCACAGGATTGGGATGCAAGAAGTTCCCGTGCTGGATCTAATCTCACGTAGACAATGATCGTCCGTCATGATGCTGTAACCAGCTCGATGGGATGGGAAAGTGGATCAGATAGCGTAGCTGAACAAACGCAGCCCGTCTTCAGTTTACCAAAATGCCAATGTTCTGGTCTACTTTCGTTGCTTTTTTCGTATCTGCCTTTCACTGCGGAGCTCGCAATGCCAGGCTACAGCCTGCGAAAGCGCGATCACTGACCCCCACCCACGAGATGGAGAAGTTATTTAAGACCCACATTGTCTTTCTCATTGTGTTGCTGCTGCTCACTTCAGATGGCTAAATCAAAGACGTCCCGGGCTGTCTGCGAGCGATTGAGGAAGGAAGATCATCCAGTCGGAGTGCGCGGTCGACCAGGCAAGTCGAGGCCCGACCTTCGTACCTCTACCTAGCCACGTCCTGCAGGCTTAATAGTCGAGCTATGATCCCTGCTGAACTATCAGTTAGTGGCTGCCTGAGCAAGTACTTTAGCAAAACCGAGAAACGCGATCTTGTTGTTTGTCAGGAACGTAGGAGTGGAAAGAAGGAGGGGGCGGGATGGACAAGAGGGGCCCGTGAAATAATTCACTTACCTGTCATGGACCGATGAAGTAGATTGTGGGCCTGTTAGAATGATAGGGAGCTCGCATCAACCAGACGAACTGTCGATCGAGAGCAGAGTCATTGGATTGGCAGGCGGAAGGTCGACTCAGAGGACCAGATTATCCAGATCCTGGTATTGCCGGCTATGCCATAATGTCAGAGCGGGGGCTGGGTTGCCTAGCCAGGACTAGATTGCTGCAAGTCGCTAACCAGCCTCATTCGCAGCAAGCTATCTCCACACACACAAAGACGCTGTGAGAATCTGTCTTACTAAATGCTCTCTCGGTGATATTGGTGACCCAAGTCCTATGTAATCAGGCTCGATCTCTGTGAGAATAAACAGACCGGCATCAGTAGCCATAGGTATCCAGGCAAAGTAGAGTAGAGTTAACTTATTGGGGCAACGTGAAAGAACACAGACACCCGTGTGAAGAACCCGTGCCGGCCCGCTTAGCGCGGTGGGTTTCGCGCGGCCAGCCTTTCTTCTGGTACCTCCGCAGGAGTAGGCAAAGAATAGAACCCCCGCAAACACCACCAAAACTCCCACCCCTCCCTTCGCCAGCACTAACTACCGACTAGACTAAACATACAGAGGATTTTGGCAGAGCTGATGTCGAATTCATTTGAAGTAGTTGAGTTCAGGTCAGGTCCACTTCCTTAGATCGTATTGGTCTTCCCCTCGCCCATACCCTGCCAACTTGGGTCCCCGATGCAAGGTGATGAAGCCCGAATCATGCAAAGCTAGCCCTCGTCCTGGATCGAGTGAATGTGACACATTAATAGTTGAGATACGTACTCTGTATAATGATTGGAAAAAGGTGCGGAGTACAAAGCCAGTCTCCAGCGTGTTGCATCTGTTCGCGGGGAATAGTCTACCCTGTGCGTTAATTGCTGCTTCTGCTCGGGCCTTCTTATCATCAGTAGATTACGAAGTATATATAGTATTGTCCAAATAGTTTTAGCAGGAGGGATCTAAGTATCTGTGTGCAGGAGTAACTGCTTGACAATAATGAGCATCGTCCGCAATTGAGCAGACAAGCTGTCCTGGTGTGCTGGACTTCATCGATTCAGGCATCTAGATCCCTGTACTGTACTCATCGTAAGCCCCCATGCTGACTCGTGGGTAATCGACTTCGCTGCAGCGCTTTGATAACATTGACGAACATAACGCTCCATGGGAACCCACTGGAAAGTGCTGTACTGAAGCAACAGGTCAACTACTCCGTAGTCGAAGAGGACTAGATCAAGTCAGATGGCTTGATATTTGAATGCCCCGCCGACTTTTGGATGTTCATGAAGTTGACCCGCTAGGATCCATTTGGAGCAGGGATGAGAGAGATCATGAATGGATGGAAAGTCATGATGGATCCCGAGTCGAATCACAATTGTGCCCGCAACAGACTAGCGGCCGCGCTGTTCCATGGCATCGGCACCAGATTGTTGAGCTGGCATTTGGCCACCGATTTTCATGAATCAGAGCGACAATGATGTAGATATGATGTTGCCCGCAAAATCGATGAATCTTGACCACAATCGGTGATCATTGCACAGCTTGATCTTGATGAGGACAGAAATCTGCGAATTGCCCCATCAGGTTCGGCTCTCAACAACCCGCACCCATCTCAAATACCCACGAGTTGTTCGGCTTTCCTGTCGCGTCACATGTTGTCACAATGATAGTTTACTACAGGTAGTGGAAAGCTCTCTAATCATCTCATGGTTTAGACTAGACCTATACTCTGTATCATCTATGCATCGTCCACGGAATGCTCTCCTGCGAAGGTCGTGTTGGAACAGCCAAGGTGTTGGTTAGTCCGTCGAAAAAACTAAGCGTGGAGCTGGGAAGTTTAAGTTTAGCAGTAATGATTGCACACACCAAGACTGTCCGGGAGTCCCTTGTAAGTTGCACATATGAACTTGTACTCCGTATCTAAGGACAGAATTGAGCTTTACAAAGTAGAGCGACTTATCCTCAACTGGACTTCGCGAACCTACCTCCTTCCCCCCACCCCAACCGACCATCTGACACACAGCCATTCACGGCCATGTCCGCAAAGCTGTGTAGTGGTGCTGCTCATAGCAGTACGAACTAAGCAGTAACTTCGCCCATTCTTCTCTGCATTAGCTATGCAGGCGATATTGCTATCGAATGGACCCAATTTTCGGGGGCACCAAATGGAAGGGACAGAAGTACCTTTGTACTTCGCACTAATCCGCTTCAGTAAACTTGTGCACGGCCATGCCAGATTAAATGTTTTTTTGCAGGTTCCCCGACGGGTAACTTATATTAAAGATCTTCGAGACAGCTACGGCGGCGGTTCCTCCGGAAATCCCGTCGTTCTCCACGGAGTAGAAGCAGCTTGTCAGCCTATTCTTAGCTGGAATTATTGTTGACATGTACGATTCGCGGATACCACCATCGCTTCCGGGAAATACCCCGCTACGTTGCTTGATGGAAGAGTCTACCCCGTAGAGGTCGAGACTCCCTCATGAGTCACGACAAACACTAGCGGTAGGTTGAGGGCCTATTTGTACGGAGTAGAGCTGTGAGCAGATAGGGCGTCTAATTGACTCGCAACAACCAATCTAGACGAAACATTCGCAGCGGCCTCAGCTCCTAAGAAATCGGTGAATACGGCGTAATGCGTCCCTAATTATTCAAAAGAGCATCTCGGGCACGCCGTTGACCTGTTTCGCTGGGCTCAGGGGAGAGACGGACGACTCAAAACGAGAGAACTGGCTCACGATTCGGCTGGTTGGCTGGCTGGCTGAGCCCTAACTTAATGTAGGTCCGGGATCTATCCTGGACGGTCTAGAGTAGACTGTGACCCAGACATGGATTAAGACACTCACTCAGCTTGCGAAAATGGCCTGAATGTGGTAATGTACTCCTAATTAGGTGTGAAAGATAAGCGAGACAAGTGAGTGAGATAGATATGTCTTAGGAGAGTCGTACGGAGCGGCATATATGGGAGGACCAATGCCGTACGGGTTAGTTCACTTAGTGAGTTTTCCTTCTTTCTGCCTGTCCTACACCCCACCACTTCGATTTCCAGACGCTCGCGCTGTGATCACCACCAACATCACCACCTAGTCCTCCTCTACAGTCCAGCAGCCAAATCCAATTTGACGCAGGAATTGAATTGACTGACGATGATTGATCCGATGATTCATACCATAGGCTATCGCGATTTTCCATAGCATCCGTGCCTGAAAGAGTTCATCGTATCGGCCAGGATTTTCAGAGCGATACGAGCGCAACTGGGAACTATGAAATGAACAAAAGGCGCAGGAAAGGGGAAGTGAAGAGGGGAAATGATGAGGGGGAGACATGGAACGCTGCCAATCATGACCATCTTGAGGATTGGGATTACGGCCTGACCCCTTAGCGGCATCTCGCGCGCTTCTACGGACTACGGAGTAGAGATCTCTGCGCGCTGGACTTTTCAGGTACTTTTCCAGGTTCACTTTGTTTGGGTGTAGTCCAGACGCCGACAAGAAGTATTATTCCTTAGTGAAAGTGCGAGCATCGACAGCACAGCCTTTTTCTGTCGCCTGCGCCACGAACAACAGACACCTCGGTTCGCTTTTTTCCGAGTTCAGTGCTGTGACGGTTCCAATAGTACGATCCAGCTGAGACTCGCTTATGGGTGCATAGCTTCAGGGGTTGCGCATCTACTCGTCCAGTCAGCCTGAAAACTTTTCTAGTCTCTTATTGTCTCTTCTTTCTCCATACCTTCCCTTGCGCCTATCTTCGGACTAATTGTGCTACAGCATGCTGCTCATGCTTCCCGCCAGGCATAACGAATCATAAAAAATTCCGACGTGTTTGCTTAGCACAATCAGCATTCGCCGTTCGCCGTTCGTCCTTTCGTGTGGCATGAGTGTCCGGTACGCGGCGTCCTTTCAGAGATTACAGCTGACACACGCCATCTTAGGGCTGGCTGCCACTTACTGTGTACTCCGGAGTATGTCTCAAATTGGACCTGGTTCTATCCGCACCAACCATAGAAGCCAAACTTGCCCATGCCCCAGTAATTCACTGGGGGAATTTTCGGTGCACAGCTTGGAAGAAGGAAAGCCACCATAAGGAGATTGGTCCAGATAGTGAACTTCGGGCCGGAATCACTACGGCTGAGAGGGATGCATCGAGGGTTATTGCGATGCACAATCTCACGGCCAGATGTGGTAATTGTGACTTATGGCATATGTCGTCCTGTCTCGAAATCCAACGATGAGCAGCGAAGTAATGGGCTCACGTCCGGCACTAAGCATTTTACCTCATGTTGTCCATCGCCACTCTTGCCACTAAGAAAATGATCTATCCGGCATTGTTATCGATCGCATTATTCCTCAGGCGCCTGCGAGCGATCCAGTTCGAATCTGCAGTGGGCGCGTTCCAAAAGCCCTGCATTTGATTCTTTCTTATAGTGTCTTGTATGCAGTTTAGCATTGCCGCTATGTCGCCAACTTATATCGTTCGATCTTCCTCGCCGCAGTCAAACGAGCAACATCCGCCACGACAAGCCCAGTACCACACGGTGGTTTCGCAGCGTCAAAGTATCCCAAGATGTTTTTGCGAGCAACTGATGTCTTTCGAAGGGGCAGGCCATCTGATTGAGTGGATAGATCCGCATTTGTTTGTGACCGCGTCTGTATACAACTCCTATGCAACTGGGGCCAAAACTTCTGTATGTTTCATGCTGAAAATAGGTTCAGCGTTGTGAACTAGCTCAGATAGGAAATTGAAATCGTGGCATACATCATAGACATCGGTTTGACAAAGGCTTGATCAGTCTCCCGGCATCGGTCAGCTGGGCCTTGCAGCGCAATTCTCTCAAAAACCCAAGTGACCGCTTCGCTCGAAACACACATCGGTCACATCATACACGACGAGCCTGAGAATCTTATCTATGAAGAATCGAAAATAAATGATCGCGACAAAAACCGGAACATAGGTACAATAATCCAGCCCTAATTCATTGCGCCTTCTTGGTCTCGCCGAACTCCAGTCCCTCCAAGCTTCCAAACTTCGCAAACCATAGGTCCTGCAAATAATTGTCCCGTCGCACCCACGGACCCTGATCTGCAGTCTTGGGCAGAGTTTCCGCTGCGCGCAGCACATACGTCGAATTAAGGTTCATTAACGGTTTTGGCTGCAGTTTCTGGGCTTCATTGGGGCGCAACCGCGGCACAGCAGCAGCCTGTCCACGCGAGTCCAGCTCGCGTAAGAGGCGACACAGAAACCGGGCAGTAGCATCGGCCCCAAGTGTCCATGAAGCGTTGGTATATCCTAGAACAAAAGCAGCGTTGGGGAGGTCTTGCATCATGATCCCGCGCCAAAGGAACTTCTGCGATAAGTGCTGTGGGATGCCATCGACCGTTATGGAGGCGCCGCCCGCTACCTGCAGACGTAGTCCGGTTGCAGTGACGATGATGTCCGCATCAAGTGTATTTCCGGACTCTAGTTGAATCCCCGTTGCGGTGACGGTCTTGATGGTGTCGGTCCGGACATCTGCCACCCCGTGATGCAACGCTTTGAAGAAATCTCCGTCGGGACAGACACACAACCTCTGATCCCAGGGGTTATAGCATGGGAGGAAGTGTGGATTAAGAGGCACCGTTTGGGGTAGCTGTTGACTGACTTGCAGGCGTAAGATGGCACGCGCGGCAGTCGGACAAGTCTGGCAAAAGAGAAAGAAAAACCGCGCAGTGAACAGCCAAAGAATACGCTGCAGTTGGCGGGACCAAGCTGTCGGCAGAATGAATCGAAGGGGTGAGCGTTGACGGTTTGGCAAGGACAGAATATAAGTTGGACTGCGCTGCAACATGGTCACACGCGCCGCCTTTTCAGCCATCTTGGGGAGCAGTGTGATTGCTGTCGCGCCGCTACCAATGATAACAACGCGCTTCTCGCTGTAATCCAGGTCCTCGGGCCAGAACTGTGGATGGATGACTTGGCCGTTGAACTGGGTCAGATTTGAGATATCCGCCTCTAAAGGCCGCTGGTAGTCGTAATAGCCAGTGCCAAAGATGATGAACCGAGCCGACATTGCTTGGGAGTGACCTGCATGCTCTACAGCCAACAACCAGCGTTGTTCCAACGAGGACCAGTCGGCGCCAAGCAGACGATGTTGATATCGGATGCGCTGGTCGATGCCCTTACTGGCTGTGGCGCGATGAAGATATTCGATGATTGATGAGCCCTCAGCGATCGGATTGTCTTGATCCCAAGGATACCAGGCGAAGCCAAAGGTAAAGAGGTCCGAATCGGAGCGAATTCCAGGATACTTGAAGAGGTCCCAAGTGCCTCCAAGCTGGTCGCGTGCCTCTAGAATGGCATAGCGATAGTGAGGGAACTGTGACTGCAGGCGATAGGCGGCATTGATTCCAGATATTCCCGCCCCAATAATGAGAACATCAAATTGTTCCTCCATGGTTGCCTATTATAAAAGGTCGTCGTATGGTGAAGAAGATGACATTACGAGGAGCTGTAATGCAGGAGCAGAAAGAATATAATGATCTCGAACTTGACTCACATGGCCCCCTCCCCTCCCTCGGTAATTCTGAAACGTGGTGGTTCGTCCGAGGTTGAAGCCAAACTACGGCCATTTTTGGGTTTCTTTCTTTTTAGGCTCAACTTCAGGGGGGGGGGGGTTTGGTTCATCCTTGCCGAAAACGGCAACAGTTGCGATTTCCACCGAGCTCACATGTTTCCTGCAATTCGGGCATTTATTGTCAAGATATGTCCTATCAAATTAATTCCTCATGTCGCACACACATTGTTCTGTGCATGTACGCTTAGTGCATCCCACCTTTGTGTGACCACTTGTCCACAATGACGGCGCTCTCTTGGTTGGAGAAATTGGACTGTATGCCTGCCCTCGCGGCGCTCATTGGCACTGTTCTTTGGGCCTTGGTCACCAGTCGCTGGCGTAATCATTATTATCCTTCAACTCTGCTGTTACACGTGGGTTATGCAGCCATGCGCAAGGCTACATCGCGTTTCTCAGTCGCCCAGCTGCAGTATGCTTCTACCTCGTCGGCATGCGGGAGGGAACTGGCTGGCTAATGACGGGCAATTCAGATATCTGCTACCTACTACTGACAACATTTATCAGCGATTCGTGCAGCGCCATCGTCTCCCTTCAAAGACCGTCGATCTCAGTGAAGGTGCCTTAGGCCACTGGCTTGGAGATGATGAGCATGCTGAGTATGTCCTGATCTGGTATCACGGTAGCTGGCCTGTGTTTATCGCGATCAATCCAGATGCTGATCATATCTAGGTGGTGGCTTCGCCCTTCCCGCCAACGACGGCTATTTCCACTTCTTCACTCAGCTGCTCTCCCAGGTTCAATCTATGCCTAGGCCCAAATCGCTTGCCATCTTCACCCTCACCTATACTTTGGCTCCCCAGGCCACTTATCCCACCCAAATCCGTCAAGCCCTTTCGGCACTCCAGTATATTCTTCGGGAGACCGATCGCTCCCCTTCGCAAATCCTGCTCGGTGGGGACTCCGCTGGTGGGAATCTCGTCGGTGCCGTCCTCACCCACCTTACCCATCCCCATCCAGATCTGCCACCTCTCTCATTATCACCCGGCAGTGCCGCTCACAATATCCGCGGCGCCATCATGATTGCCCCTTGGACGAGTCTCGACCAGACCATCCTGCCTGAGGATATTGCTTCCTCGATTGGAGTCGACGAGTCCCAAATCGACTCCCGAGGAGATATCATCACCCCTGCCGTGGGAGGGCCATGGGTGAGAGCATATATGGGCGCCGGCAAGCATGACTACTACACTGATCTGTCGACGGCGCCAGCCGACTGGTTCGCGTCCTTCCCTGTGGAGAACGTACTGGTCTGCGCCGGAGGCAGGGAGATCCTGCTTCCATTCATCATTGCATTCGCGAAAATAATGCAGGAGGGGCTGGGGGCGGAGAAGGTGGAGCTGTGTGTTGGTGAGGGTGAAGGCCATGTGGCTCCGATCTATAATCTAGCGCTGGGCGAGTGGGCAGAGACAATCCAAGGGAGGAGGGTGAAAGATTGGCTGGTAGAAGTGCTGTGAGAATATCATAGTGATCGCAGCCAAGTCTGTATACCAGATGGTAAGATTGAATTGTATTTGTGTTTGTATTGTTATAATTCACTACTTATTACGAAGATCCCTAGGTTGATTCTGTCGTAATGACGAGCAAGATAAGATAAAAGGCCATCGTGGGTGTTAATGGCGACTATCCCTATCAGTACAAGCAGATCAGAAGAGAGATAAATAAACTTAGTACAGTTCGAGCTTGAAATGGACCAAAAAAGACAAACTGACAAAAGAAATACGTGCTCACACTCGGACTCGAACCGAGGATCTCAGCATTACTAGTGCTGCGCTTTACCATCTAAGCCATGCGAGCTGATTGGATGAAAATCCTTGTCTTTATTTTGAAATATGTACCATTAATTCATTTTTGCTCTATCTCCGGCCATGTTGTGAAGTTCTCGATGGCTCGGCGTTTGATCCGCTTCGTGTTCAGTCCCGCTTGAGGTTTGAACCACCTATCTCATGATGCATATCTTCCTGCCATGATTTCTTGCTGTAGCAAAGGGAGAAACATCACGATCAAGGCGGTCTGTGCGTTGGGTGTATTAAACTACTCATGGAGGGTGTAGTATTCCCATGTCCCCCTTCGGGTTGTTGCTGCAATATACTATAATGCGGCTGTACCCCAAGCCCAAGTTATGAGTTCTTTCTCTTGTCTTTGCAGAGTAAAGTTAAGTACTGACTAAAAACACCCAAACAGTCGCCTTCTGAATGAGATTCATAGACATAGAGCCCCGAAGAGCACACGCTAGCAGACACGTTAATACTATCTGCATGAGAGAAATCGATGCTTTTATTGATTCGAATTTGAATCACTTATGTGAATGCGAATGCCCCTGGTGCGCAGCATAGCCTCCACGCATAAACCTACTAATCTTCCTTTCCCTTTTCCCTTCCTCCGGTTGTCCCTCGATATCCATCGCTTCCTCATTCTGTACACCATCTTCATCATCCTCAACCACGGCAGGCCATTCCTCCCATCCATCCTCCCAAATCCGGCCTACAACTTCCTGCTTCTCCCGTCTTTCCATCGTCTGATCCCTCATGACCCTCTCCCATTTCTTCATCTCCTTTGTACTTAACAAACACTCGTCTAGCAACCCCGTCACACCGTTAACATCTACCCCTTCTCCGATAAATACAATCTCCTGTCGGCGGTCTCCCCACTCGCCTTGAAAGTCCTCCTCGATGGACTTCCGTACATCCCCGTCCTCCGGCCACACGTCGTCCGGAACCTCGGCAAACCATGGACCCCCGCAGTTCATGGTCAACATGGCGCCTGCCTGGCTCCACTCGCCAAATTGGTAGAGTCGAGTGGCAAGCCAGAAAAAGCCTTTGGAGCGAAGGAGGGGTTGGAGTAAGGGGTCGGCGCGTTTGTTGGCTAGGATCTCCTGAGAGGTGGGCTGGGTTGGCTCATCCGCTTCTTCTTCTTTTTCTTCTTCTTCCTCCTCCTCCTCTGCCTCGGACTCGGAAGAGGAGTCGGAATGATGTTCCGCGTTTGATTCTCCGGCTGCGTCGGAGTCTTCCTCCTCGCCCTCGTCGACATCATCCTCTGCTGCATCCTGGAGGATAATAAACTTGTCATGTAGCAAGTTGTATAACCTGCGTGGATGAAATGGTCGCCGGGCGGTATAAACGAAGTTGTTGATTCCATACCTGTATTACCAGCCCATATTGTTAGTTAGATGTATATCGTGCTAGGACCACCTTTGGCCCCATAACATGAAACAGCAGTAAGACACAGGTATGAATTCCATGATGGGAGAAAGAGCTTACTCCAAAATCTCCGGCTTGGGCGTCCACCTCTCCTCCCCATTCCCCATCTTCATTTTGGTCATCTCGTGCAGACTCCGCAACCACCCCGCCCCAGACGCCGCCTTAACAAAGTCAAACCGCCCGGTCCCAAGAATCTCCTTAACATCGACTCGGGAATAGATCGTCTGTATAACCTTGGCGGATGGGTTCAGCGTTGTCACAAGCCGCATGATCCGGTCGCGGTCCTGTGGCCGCGAGGCTAACATGTCCATCTTGTTGATGAGGATTACATCGGCGAACTCAATCTGATCAACCATCAGGTCGGAGATCGTGCGCTCGTCTTCTGCAATGATTTTGTCCGGTCCGTAGCGGTCAGAGAGAAAGTCAGAGGTGTCGAGGTTGGACAGAAGGTTGAAGGCGTCAATGACTGTGACTGTAGTGTCAAGGGTAGAGAGTTGGTGGAGGCCGCCGAGGGTATTTCTTTTCACAGTGTTAGTGAGAAGCTCTCAAGCGGTGGGCCATAAGAAAGAGAGATAGCGGGGGCCGAAAAACTACCGTACATTTGATCTAAGATCTTCTTGCCTTCTTCGTCCAATACGCCTCCTTCGGCTTCAGCTTGAACCATTGCGGCGCTGAACTCCGCGGTGAAGGTCTCGGCAACTTGCATGGGCTCACTAATGCCCGTGCTCTCAATCACGACGTACTCGACTTCCTCTTGGGTCGTTAGTCGCGCGAGCTCAGATAAGAGATCGCCCCGTAGCGTGCAGCAAATGCAACCATTTTGGAGCTGAATAAGGGACTCTTTGGTGTGGGAGACGGTGTGATGTTTGATGAGGGTAGCGTCGATGTTGAGACTATTCATTTTCATTAGAAGGAACAATACGACAATTTCTGGACAGCTTACCTGCTCATATCATTGACAATCACCGCAATACGAAGGCCATGATCGGGTGATTGGAGGATATGTTCGAGAAGAGTGGTTTTGCCACTGCCCTACTGAGGAGTCAGTATATGTGCACATCGTTTGCCATCTCTTCTGTGCAAGGTCAAATGACAGACCAGAAAACCCGAGAGAAGAGTCACAGGAAGTGGTTTCCTGCTACTAGCTTCTAGTTTGGCATCAATGCCAATGGCTTTTGGCCTTGACGAGGCTTTGGCTTTGATGTCACCCGCCTTGTAGGAGAGAGTCTCCCGTCCGGAATCGATGGTCATTTTCTTGCGGCCGTACAAGTGCTTGTTACCAGAGAGAACTGTACGTAGCACAAACAAAAAGATTGAATATAACTTCTGTATACCTCTATACTTATAGACCAAGACTACCAAGGTGCTCTCATGATCCTAATTAATCACCAGGGCTCTGATTGGTGCTGGACGCTCCCAAGGTCCTTGTTTGCAAGGTCTTGGTGACCATGCCTCCAAGGTACTTCACAACCAAGCACGGGGATCAATTCAATGGGAAAAGTCAACTGTTGGTGCAATTCCAACTATCGCTTGGTTGAGGTCAAATTGGTCTCATTCACGCAATCCACCCCAATGCCCCCGGTAATGCCCGAGCAGATAATCTCCGATGGACTGCCAGCGGAACTTGTCAGCGAGATATCCTGCAGCGTGATATTCGTGCAGACTGCGGCAGGCGAGCATGTCAGATCGGCAACCACTAAGCCTTCCTTGCCAGACGAGGTACCCCAAATATTCTCGAACAGAATGTTCGTGATGTTGACTGCAGATGGATACTGGGCGCACTCCGTGGCATTGATGTCGAAGTAGCACTGATCCAACACTACTGGGTTATCCGTATTCTGGATCTGGATGTTCTTGTACGTAATGTTGTTGATACGGCCGTAACCGACGTCCTGTCCAGCCCATGCTTTGAGACGAGCACCGTTCTATGTCGATTAGCCCCCATTAGCGGCACAAGGTCCGGCAGCACCTACCTGACCGTTCAGCAGCGTCACGTTTTCAATCCAGGCATTTTCGATGATATCCAATTCTCCAGCATATTGACCAATACTACCCATACTCACACCATGCGTGTTATTGCACCACAGGTTCTGGATAAAGATATTGGTAGTATTGGGCTTGGGCGAGAAGCAGTCATCGCCGATATCAACCCGCGTGTTGGTGACCGTCAATCCATCAACATTGTACGAATCAAATCCGTCGGTGTTTTTGGGGAGGGCCTATGCCATTAGCCTAATCCTGAGGTTGGGAGTGCTTTGACGTACTGAGGCGTTAGTCGAATAAGCATGTATGAAAACATCATTGAATGAAATATCCTTGGTGTTGACAAAGAAGTTGGTCCAGCACGGCGAGTTCAGCTGCGTGATACCTTCTACGGAAACACGCGTCGCGTTGTCAGTCAGAAACAGGATCGGTCGGTAGAAGGTATTGGACGAATCCTGCCTTGTCAGCTAATGTCTTAGAGCATCTGTGGGAAACTTACCAAGATCTCGAGTCCAGCAAATGCGTTGTACCAAGCTTGTCCATTACCATTCAGCGTACCACTGCCGAAGATTTTTATATCATTCCCGCCCCAGCGCCAGAAAGTGATTGACTTCTGGAAGTCATAATAGTAGTTGTTGGCTTGCCAGTACGTGATGTTGTTCGTGAACTATACGTGTTAGCGCTGACTCTTCTCCCTCATCACGGTTGCTTTCTGAGCTTTCGACAACATACCTTGAGCTCACCGTCCAATTGTACTTCGATGTTGTCCAAGAACGTCAAATCCAACTTCTTGCCAATCACATACTTCTTGCCCTTCTCGAGCAGCAGCCGTCCACCATGGTTGGCTTGCTTAATTCCCCAAAGAAAGTCGCTTGAGACATCATCGTAGTCGTTCTTGGATGGTCGGATTGTCACGGTTTTGCGATCCGGATACTTGGCGTAATGGGCTCCCACGCTTCTTAGACCAGTCAAGTCGGAGACAGGTATAATCTTTGCTCCATTGGGATTTCCACCAACTGCTGCACCAGTCACAGCAATAGGAATCGCGCTTACAAGGAGCGCGGCAAGAGAGACGAGCTTCATGGTTTCTCACTTGCGGTCGAGCTTGCTTACTCCATCTTCCCCTGAGCAAACATCTCAGCCTAGTTATTTATATTTTTCCTTGACATCAGGGTCTGTGTTTACCCGTTGTCATCGTCAACCCCAGATTTCCTCTTTAAAAAAGAAGTCTGGGGAAATATGTCCGAGGAGCAGCTCGATTTATCCACCTGTAGAATTCATGCTACAGAAGTGAACTGACTGATATCATGGCTGTCTCGACCTCTTGGCCTGTATTGGCAGCTCTGCACCAAGACTTGGGCATGGACTGACACTGGGGTAATTTCCCCGGAACATTGCTTGGTCTCTGAGGATCTTCCACCAATGGATGGCCTGATCGTTGACTGAGCTTGCAGATCGTGGTCTCAAGCTCTGTAGGTCTATCAGGGCCTTTTCATTGTTGATTTGAGGACCGGGCTCGTCGAGCTTGACGCATCGACGTGAGCTGTTGACGTGGTGAGAGGTCGGCCGAATACAAAGGAGACATTAAGCCAAGCTGGAATATGACCGATGTACGGAGTACAGTATCTGGCTATAAACGAGGCCAGTACTGCCCCGCAAGAGAGATGAAGTGCGGAGTACAGAAAGATATCCGGGGTCGATCCCCGATATCGCTGTTATCCCCGCAAAGGCCCACCAACACCAGCCACCTCCGACACCCCACCTCGATCGGGAACATAAAACCATTCAATCAACCAAGGCTGCTCTGGCACCATTACTACACACATTGACAATGCTTCCACATATCAGTCGTCTACCTGTAAGGCAGATCATGTTTTCCAACCACCACGGTAGCAACGGCACAAAGAGTTACCACAGCCGCGAGTGCATATGCCGCCACCGTCATCGGAAAGCACATCCCCATCAAGTTGATCATCTCGGTCGGATCTCCTGCCTGAAGAGTGGGAAGCACTGTGTTGGGACTTGGGACCCGATAATCCATGCAGTGTGCATTGCGACATTAGCATTGCCGCTTCAGGGTCACTTGGAATGCGACGGTCAATACCGTGGGACAAGAAACATGCCGCGGCAATGAACAGTGGAGACTCCTCGATGAAATTCCTGCAAGCTGCTTCTCGCTGTCTGAGTCGGCTCAGTTGTCCCCGATTGATCTTGCCGGCTTCACTACTGCTTCGCCATGTTGAGCAGATTTTCGCCTGCTGTTTGACTGCCCGAGGATTGAGACCGCCGTGAGCGAGGTACCAATTCCCAATCACATAGCCTGCGCATGTTTCGGAGTGGGAGAGCAAGGTGTGGCGCGCAGGTTATGTGAAGTCATCATGGGTCTGGTAAATACTGAGGATCGTAACCAAATTCCACTTCATGGAGCGGCCTAAGGCGTACTGTGTAGTGAAAGATTCGGACATTTTATCTCGTCTTGCCTAGCTGGCTCGACCATACTCAAGCGTTCATAGGAGAAAACCAAGCGAGTTCCGAAGCTGATGGTCTACGCGGACTGTAGAATCTAGAGGCATCTAAGCCTCGACCTTCCTTGTACAGGCCTTGGTCTGTCATATAGCTTACCCCCGAAAGTCCTCTTTCGCTGCAAAATGATAATATTCATCCTGGAACCTGCACCGTGTCGTAGACAGCAAGAGCTCATCTGATCACATATGACGTCATCACTGCTTTCCGCTGCTTGCTGGCTGTGTCCAAGCAACGGACATCGCATTTAATCATCAAGTGGACCCGGACACCCTTGATAGAATTATTATTATTAGGTAGTACAGCAGTGGCTAAAGCGCGGCTATTCTATGCTTATCGGATCTACGGTTAACCTTTCTCCGCCCACGCCCGGTAATATGCTGTCTGGACCTGTGATACCAGCATGTTTATACCCTGGGTAACAGATTCCAAATATGGATAAGCTTTGTCGAGCCCTCAGCATATTTCATCTCTACTCCAGAAATTCTCCCTTCTCACATAAAACTCTGGTTTCAGTCACGGAGATTGAGATCATCAGACGAGAACCTGTCACCTGCTGGCCGGAGTGTAGAGTGTCCTTTGCCGAACGCCACATCGGCACATTTAGCCGTACCATGGAGCAGACTCCCGTCCAAAGACATCTGCAGAACAGATCCCAGAGGATCCAAGCTATGACCGTGTCCTCATGACCCATTCCTGCCTGTTAATCAGGTCAAAGTGTACTCCGACCAGCACCCAATCTCAAAGCGAAGCTGCGATTAATAATGCGAGCGGAGCACCACGGATGCGCAGGCGCATACACCATCAGCCGCATTGCGGCCAGCCCGAATATCAATTGACTAACATAGCGTTGCGCTGCCACGACGATGCACCAGCCCGTTAATTTCATGTTATCTTGTTGCTGACATCTAGCTTCTCTAGCAACAAGCTTGTATTGGAATTTTGTGCTTATTGCTTTGTTCACCCAGCTCTTGCGCAGCAAAATGTTCACTTTACCGCTGCTGGTGGTCACTCTGTTTCTTCAGGTCAAATTCCACCTGCGGCCCGGTCTGAAGTATGCACTTTATGCTTCTCTCATCATTAGTGCCCTCCACGCCATCTTCATTCCTCTCAAAGGACTCGGAGACTTTGTGACATACACTAATGCCTTCATGAGTGTTTCATTCATCATCCGCGCTGTGGAACTGCTTCTTCTGCAGAACCTCGATGAACTCATGCACTTGGAAAAAGTATCTCAAGTGTCCTCATCAATCCTATACTCCTGGGAACCCGTACATAAATCGCTAGGCTATAGGCGGTTTCTTCAAGTTTGTAATCTGATCGCCAACCCGCGCGCCATCGGCTGGAATCACGGCTCCACCAAGTATCTACCACCATTACGTCCTGTGGAAGGAGAGGCTGGTGGCGAGCATTGTTTCCCTGAACATCAAAACATGGTTCTTATCGCCGACGGAGACCGTCGCAGCTTTCTCCTGGCGCATATCTGGACAGTAGTCATGGCCTATTTGACAATGGATACCTATCAGGCTGCATTCGCGCGCAATTATACCCAGATTTGCAACAGTGTGGATGGGTTCCTGAACAAGGTGATGGGGCTAAGCGTCTCCCCAGCGACAAGCGAGATGATGGTAAGAAGATACCTGTTGTCACCCGGATGTTGGATCGCCTCGTATGCGTTTGTCGATGGTATCCATTCTGCGATAGGTGTGTTTTCCGTGGGCATCTTGCGAGTCTTTGGGGCCAAGTATGCCGGAGAACCTTGGATGTACCCTCCGGTTTTTGGATCTGTTCGTCACCTACTTGCTTTTAATCTGCGTGGTATGACACGGTGACATCCCATTGTCTTGAATCCCCTTTTCCGGTCGTTTCCGTCATACTAACCATTGAAATCGTTGGTTTGCAGATATCTGGGGCAAGATGTGGCATGACTTGTGCCGAAATCCCTTTTTGACGCTGTCTCGTGCAGCCATCATCCCGCTCAAATCAATTCCAGTGGGCACGCAGCGGTTCCTGGTTATCTGCCTCACCTTCTTTGTGTCAGGGGTGGTCCATGTGGCAGGAACCTATGCTGTCTCTCAGGACGTCTGCGCTGTGGGCATGATGATGACCTTCTTCTGCATCTTGCCGCTTTGCATCGCCGCGCAACATCTCCTCTCCGACCGGCTCCTTCCCCTGGTTCTTCCTCACAATGAGCTCGCTCAGTTCGTTATTTGGCTGGTTAACATGGCCTTTGTTACAGGTTGGGGTCACACCACCAGTCCGTGGTTTCTGGATCATAGCAAATTGCCTGAGGCTATCGGATCGGTGCCTCTACCAATGAGTTTATGGAAATTGATGGCCGATGTCTAGAGTCTTATTCTCTTCTGAAGACAGACGAATAGAAGTTTAGCTGTCTTGAACGCATGCGCTGGGGTGGTTAATCAGACAAGATCCAATCTTAGATAGATGGGCACTTGCCGAGTTGAGTACCTAATTTTCTTTCTTATATAGAGTGATTAAATTCTTAGGTCTATTCTCCAACATAGCCTGCATGCACTGACCAATAGACAATTTTCCTCCAGAACAGCTGCAGAAAAGATCTTATCTACAGAATGCCAAGTTGACATGTATCACATTAAAGATTTTACATAAGTCACTTGATTCCACTCCATGACATATTGCCTCCATCACCAACGATGCTCAGCTCATAAGTCGCCGTGCTTATACATCTCCCACCCATCGCAGTCAACTTCGAGCTCAAAGTTAACATCGTCGACAATATTTTCCAGAGTACAACAACCGGTCTTGTACTGTTCACGGAACCAATAATCTTCCTCAAGATCACTAAAGGAGTACGTGCCGGGGATGTCGAGCATGCCGCTCGCAGGCGGATATTTGGGCCTCAGGAAAACATTTTCGAGGCATGGAAAGTCGACTTCGTAACACTGTACCAGTCCATCCATCATTTCATAAATTGGATAGTCGCAGGAGAGAACTGTGACAGATTCGATATTGGGTGGTAAATTCCGAAATTCATGTAATATGCCTTGTTCCACTTCCAGGTGTTTGAGATTCTCGAATTCGCGGAAACTCCCATACCGAGGGCAGCGGTGCCAATTCTCGATGGCTATGGGCTCAGCCACATCCAAATCGACGCGCAGCGACTTCAAATTCTGTTTTTGGGGCTCCAGACAGCGAAGTAGCTCTGGGGCTGCGAACTGAGAGTTTGTCCTCCTTCGGTTGGTCCAGGTCATGCTTGATTCGTATACGAGTACCTCGAGGCGATTACACGCTCGCATGATGTTCGTCAGCTGTGTTGCACTTAGTGTTGCTTTCAGGAGTTGCAACTCGGAAAACCGGAACGAGCCGGGTGGAAGGTTGAAGTCTGGGCACCCTGAGCCATTGCCATTGCAAACTGCCAATGAGAATTCCTTTAATTCAGGCAAGCACATCATCTCAACCAGCTGCTTCATGTTTGGATGTCGCGTTTTCGCTTGATCCTTAATATGAAGAGACTTCAGCCCAGAGAGGTATGGAGGTCTACCAGCAGGCCCCGGTTCGTATAATGGCCTCATGTAACTCAGACCTTCTAGACCACACACTAGATCTAAGTGCTCGAGGTTCGGTGCTAGAGCAACAATGAGTACAATAAACGGATTCATCCTTACACCATTGAAATCAACCACGCGGTCGAGCCTGCAGGGAATGCGCTTCAAACGAATGACGTCGTCCAGCAGTCTAATAGTATCGTTTCTTAGTGCAGCTTGCCAGTCGCTTAGCGAGTTGGACCATTGGTGATTCGCATTGATACAGAGGCGTAATAGCCCTGCAGCCAAATCAGGTCGCAAGGCAAGGGTCCTCGCGAAAGCGAGAAGAGGACCAAGCCGGCTTGATCGCTTCTGGTATTCCAGGCGGTGATAATCAAAGACGTATTTGTAGAACACTTCGAAGAGGCATGGCTGCACAATGGTTCGCAACCGCCTCGATGTCAAGCAGAGATTCAGCAGCGTTCTTATATCACGAGGACCACGTAGCCAAGAAAGAACTTCCAGCAGAGTCTCTGTGGGAAGATCAAAGAGCTGCGCCATTATCATCAAGCGCTGAAGCACAGGAGCTCTTGGTCAGCGAGATTTAACCGCTCTGATGAAAACTGTCAGAGTTTGTAAGGTGCATTGGCATGGGTGCAAAGCATCTCCACCAGGCGCATTCTTTTGGATAGAATGTTGACCTGAATGCAGCCTCACCAGCTCGATTAAAATCTCGCTAAGAAACTCACATCTTAACTCGAGATACTGGCTCCAAATGCCATGTTTTGACGAGTTCTAGTGGTCTAGATATAGAAGTGGTCGGTTAGGACCTTGGGCTGTATCTTCCGGGTAGGGGAATTGTCCCAACAATGTGGTGTGAAAAGAAGCACAAGCATATGCTTCGAGCGACATAGGAAAATGAATGGAGGCCATGCAAACTGGGCCTCTTTATCATTGTCACCGCAGGAGGCGGCTGGGGAGCATCAACTACTTCCACAATTGGAGGGGATAACACATTGTGACGTCACATGCAAACCGGCCAAACAACAGTCTGCCACTCTCGCATCCAATCATTCACATCTTTTCACGACCTCAAAAACACGATCGAGCAGAAGGCAAAAACCACTGTCAGACTCCGGTCAGTTACAGGGAACCAGTCCTAATTGACCCCGCCCTCCTACTGGTCGAATATCCCAAAAAGGTAAAATGTTTTATAATGCTCTCATCCGCACCCACCACATCACCTCACGCAAGAAGGTCTCCGCTCTGAAACGGGCTGCGGACATGCACGATTGCTTCGTGCTTCTATGCTCTGGAGGGTGTCCTGGAATCATGTATGTGGAAGCAAGAGAAAAAGCCGCTGTCGAGTCGTGGGTGAATGTCGTGCGGAGTTTGCGGTACAAAGATTTCCAGTTGGTCACTCGTCCGGGGCTGTTGGAGGATGAACATCTACAGGAGTGCACTGCAAAGCGGGCTGATCCCGGTAGGCAGAGGCCCGGTGTCTCTGAGGTTGATACAGTCAAGGAGTTTGGGAGTCTCATGGAGCAGCGCGGGGTATGGAAATGGTGGAGAAAGGGAATGGGCTATCTAAGTTGATGCTTGTGTGGCAATTCCTCCAGCTTCACAGACTCAGTGTCTGGAAAGGCCTGTTTGCCATCATATTACATCACTTCATTCTTCTCCGTTCGATCAGGGGTGATACAATGAGCTGTCAAGCAAACATGAGGCGATACCGCTGCGACTGTGATCGCTCTGCCAATGTGCGAGAGCCTATAGAAGTACGCCTATACCTGCCGCACACTATGAGGGGCCGGAAAATCTCAATACTTCACCGCATTATACTCCAGCTCGAATGTGCCAAACCATGATAATGCTTTTAAACCTCGACTTCGCCACCGCGTATCAACGGAAAGTGATCAAGCCTGTCGCAGGTCTCGTATGGGTACTGAGAGTCCATCACTCCACATCATCCGGCCCTGTGACAGGGTTATGTCCTGGCAAGCTGTCAATAGGTCCACTCTGGCCTAGCTCATTTTTCGGTTCCACGGTATCCAAGGGTTGTGACAGGGGCGTCAAAGCTCTCCTCTGGGTTTTTGTTATGGAGCACTCTGGATCCTCTAATCCTTCAAGTCCTGTGCAGGTGTCCATAGCTTGCTGCAAAGCATCTTGATCAGTCCAACCGTGGATAAAATCACCGTGAAGTCCATAGCCAGTCCCATCACCCATGGAGTACACTAGGCTTTGTTGACTGCCCAAAGGAGCTGTGTTGAAAAAGAATTCCAGAAAGATCGAGTATATAGCCACGGGATGCGATTTGGGACAGACTCCTTTGTTGTAGTCACCGATCGCGGGATATGCCATCTGGACGGACACGTCAGCCAAGCTCTGAACGATGCTTCAGCAAGGTTGCATACATGACTTTTATGATCCGCAATATCGAGGTTCTTACCATCCCAGCAGGAAGGCATGAATACCTGCGACCGCAGGGTTTGGCAAGGCTGTCGCGGAAAATGGTTCGTCTCGTTGGAGCTCCCGTCATACTCTATGCACATATGCGATATGGCTCGTTGGGTCAGATCCGAGTCATTGTATGATCTATCCCACCCAGTTAGTTACATTCTTCCAGTTAAAACCATACTGTTGCTGCTGCTCGAACCGAAGGTCTGGATCTCCAGCCACCATCCTCAGCCCCTCCGGCGGTGCGACTGGATACTTCGATGCATCGCAACTTGTCGCACCAACGCTATAATTGCACGCTCTATTGAGATAATATATAGCCTGATTGACTGAGTCATTGTCAAAAAGATACTGGCCATCGGTGGAACCTACTGTTGACCGATACTCCACGAGCTGGAACGAGCCATTCTGTAGCTCGTTATATAGCTGCGGGACCCAGTAATTGCTCTTATCGATGGTTACGCCGCAAGAGGTCTCTTTGGCGTTTCGGGCGCTGTCGACGCCCATTGTCCTTTGAAACGCCGTGCCTCCAGCGACCACGTGGACGTGATCTGACACCTCTCCCGGTGAGACTATCGGGTCGGATAGTTGGGTTGTTAATGGGACACAACCGAAGGTGAATTCATCGGTTGTGTGCTCTGTGCTGTTCACCGGGGAGAAAAACAACAGAACTGGTGCGAGGAGAATGAGGACACGGGGCGGTATCACTCTCATCTTGATACCAAGCAAAGACACGAGTGACCAGCGCTGGCAATCAAGATTGTATGAGGGCTATGTTAGATTGGGTATCCGTGTCAACTTTTTTGAATCCTGCAATTCTATATGGATAACGTCGCCACAGTCATAACATTACTTTCTGTATGGCGAGAATGTGACCTGGTGTTGATTCTAATCGATTGAATCTGTAACCTCTAGGCCCGAGAGCGTCATTTCATGTTCTAGTCAAATGTACAGGCGCTCGAGCAAAAGCACAGATAGACTTTAGGTGAGATACTCTCTAGGTAACCTCAGTTACCCATTCATTCCATGCATGCCCTTTACCCCACCTAAAGAAATGTTACCGACGCGCGATACCACATAACGCATGCTTGTGGTTTGAGAACACATTCCTCACTCCTTGTTTATGGTGTCATCTTTGGTGTGGGTCTCTCGCGCGCACGGAGTGTGGATCTTAGCTTCTAACAGCCAAGACGGCTTATCTTTTCCATGTCAAACTTGGCCGATACAAGCCGAAAGCACTTGGGGTGCTGCTTGCTATCAGGTACAGGGGCTGCAAAGACCCTTCTGCTGCGGGGGTGGCCATCCAATTTCCCCTTCTTCCTGAAATTGACGGACACTTGCAGCCGACCAACGGCTGAGTCGGAGACAGGAAGTACCGTCACTATACTCCGCATGGGGCGTCAAATAAAATGGTCTGAAAGATCAGGGTGAAGGCCTACCCGTTTTGTGGAAGGCGAGCGACAGGTTAGGAGGCGTGTTTTCCACTTCCGAGTCGCTGATATGTTAAAGGAGCCGTAGTATGCCGGCGTCAATTCACGCCGGTGAATAAGTATACACTGAATGATGGTGTGATCATGCCTTGATTTTTATTCCCGCACTTAGCCACTGCTACGGGTTGGATTAGGCACATGCACAGTGCTGGGCGCATTCGGTGTAGAGCTAAGGGAGGTAGTAATGAAGAAACTGGCTAGCTGAATTGGTGCAAGAAAGGTCAAAAGAATTGACAAACGTGGGGTGCCTGGCGCCTGGGTAGCAGGATTGACTCCACAGACTAGCGCAGTAGTGGCTTGATGACTCTCATTATTGTTGATGCAAGTCCATGCTAGTACACAGTATGCTCTGTGGACTGTGGAGAGTTGGAAGACGGGAAGATAGGAGAGGGCTATCCAGCTATCCGTGGTTAGTGCTGTGGAGAAGGGCAGTACTGCTGCAATCATTCAGGCACGTTGTGGGACCAACAATGCGTTCCCTTGTCATGATGCAGTCTTGCACGTCATTTCTAGACTAGATGTACAGTACATGATCAAGTTGCAAAGGCTACGCACCGGCGAGATGCTTCAGCCTGTCAAGCTGTCACCGCACCTGCTCAAGTCGAGTCTGAATTGTCTTTTCATCAAATGGCCCGTCTTCACCGACATAGTTGCGAAGCGCTTCAGAGAACATTAACCGCCGGGGCGCTTTGCGTCCCGTCATCAATTCGATCTGGGAAATCGCTTGTTCAACTACATTATCCAGTCCATCGACCAAAACCCACGGCCGGCCCGTCTCGCTTCTGATGCTACGCATTTGACGTAGCAGTGGCGTATCGAGTGGTTTATATGCGAACTGTGGTCAACGGGTCAGCGTCCGCCCAACTACTTGTTACTTTACCAGGACACAAACCTCGAGGACAACTCCTCCAGTCGGGCTACCCAGCCACTGCATTGGCATTTCGAAATTGGCGGGCGGTTCGTCTCGGTCGGGGTCTGCTGGTACACATGATGCTATCATACAGGGTGGGCAGGCATCGACTGGCCATTCGTCTCTGAGTGATTTCAACACATACACTACTTCTGTCGCATCCGCTTGAGAGGCTGCCCAGGAATTGAAGTGCCGGGCAACACTTTCCGCTCGTGCCAAGGTCCGGTTGTGTATGAAGATTTTCCGGCACCCCAGGCGAAGCATAGCATAGACTGCTGCGCGAGCCATGCCACCCGCTCCAATCACCAGCCCTGTTGTTTTCAACGGACTAATTGCATTGCGTGGGGAGAGGTTGCGGTTGATACAGGTCATAATGCCGACCCAGTCAGTATTCTCTCCGTACCACCCCACCACCGGGCCGGCCTGATTACGTCGACTCGCTTGCTCTTGCAGGGAGTACATGGTGCCATCAGCTTTAGCCCGCAATGGCATGATTGTGTTGATGGCTCCAATTGCCTCAACATGACGACTTTTCGCCACCAGTTTGTGGAATAGTTGCACCCTCCAGGGCTGAACCACGCTCGCCCCTCCGAAGTGGGAATCCCGGCCAAGTCGATCAAGGATTGCGAGAGAGGGCGATTCAGGGATCGTGTAAGTGTGATTCATACCACACTGTCGGAACGCAGCGTTGTGCATTGCGGGAGAAAGACTATAGGCTACGTTGCCGCCAAGGATGCAAAACTTGAGGGGGTCGAGGACATAACTCTGAAATAGCGCTTGGACAGCATCCTGGGAGGTGATCTGAGGATCCCTTTCATTCCCTGATGAGCCTTGAATTGCGGGATGTGTGACAGAGGTAAGAATGGAGTTGAAGATTTGAGAGGTTCGTCCAAGACTCCCTACATTGTAGGCGATGACAGGCGGGTGTTCTCCGGGTAGAGCCTGGACTTTGTTTGTGAACTTCGCGACAGCTGCATTCTCCTCGCGTGCCGTAATGACACGAAGAAAGCGCACCAGCTGACAGCCAAGCTTTTCGGCTTCAAGGTAGAGATTGAAACACTCTTGACTCTCCCATGTTTCCGGAGCAGATGGCTCAAATATGCGTTGACCGATAATCTTAGTTCTCCCTCTAGTGCGGATCGCTTCGTTAACTCGAGACCGATCTTGATCAAGGTCGAGAGCCAGGTATTCAACCGCCAACCGCAGGCCATGTTCCACGATGGCAAAATATGCATTGCTGACCTGTAAAGCGGATTGGTCAGCTCCGGCGATGCCGGTTGAAGAAGTATCGATGGATATAATAATTGGATTACGAGCACTCCGCCGTAGCAAAGAAACATGCTTGCTCATGGTCGCTGACATATCCGCACCCCAGCGGTCGACGCAGAGCTCGATGGCGTCTCCGCCAGACTCCAACTCAGATATCTTGACCGTGCCCTGAATAAGGTCGGATGATCGTACCAGGATAGCATGGGTATAAGATCGGAGCTCTGGCGGCGTCTCAAGAAGGACAAAAGGCGAATCGTAGCTGGTGTGGCCCACATCAGTACCGGTCACGAAGCGCACAAACCGCGTAAAATCTTCTTTGGCCTCCTTCAACTTGAAAGAGTAGTCGACGCACCGCCGGTCCGGGGTTCCTTCGTCCTTTTGGGCAGCTAGGCTGGAGCGATCTTCGATATTGTAGAATTCAAAATTGGAACAAGTCCGGTGCAAAGGATCACCCTCGCCAATGAGCTTGACAGCTTGATCCTCTAGGCCTAAGAGACTCTGTATACGGTCCATATCACGAACTATGTACACGATGGGATTGGTGGCCGAGTAATGCCGGAGGTGTTCTTGAACGGGACGAGTCAGACTTCCCAATCCACACTCGATCACGCATCGAGAGCGGTGATTGTCCAGCATGGATTTGAGGACTTCAATGTCGCGCTTCTGGAACTCTTGACTCCCATAGCGTTTCAGGTAATCATGTCTCGAGTAACCCGTGCGCTCCTTGAAGTAATGATCCTCAGTGATAAATCGCCTTTTTAGAGCGGTAGCAGCGACGAACCCGAGGGATCGTTTGCCGCAACCTCGGATCCCTACCAATACCAAGGAGGCATCTGGGTCAAACTTCCGGCGCCTGTCGACCGGTGATTGCAAATGCATTTTGTCTCGTAACAGATCGACTCGTGGCTGAGCAGAAAAATTGATATCAAGTGTACGAAAGTATGTAGCCTTTGCCAGCGCAAAGGACTTCTCCTAATGGAAGGGGATCAAGCAACTGTGAGTTCGAGGGTACAGCTAAGTTATTGCCGGGTGCAATAAAATTATCTGCGACTGCAATTCATGACCAGCCGTGCCATGATGCAGATAGATATTGAGGTTGGAAAGCAGATGAGAATCAAGCAACGGCGGCGGCGGCGGCGGCGGCGGCGGCGGAGGAGAAGCTATCCTGGGGAACACGGCGGGGTGGGAAGTTGACCCTGCGATAGCAGATTGTAGTCAATACAGTACAGCTGCGACGGAGGCGGTCAGTGTGGGCCGCGGGCATGCTGCGACAATGCGGAGAACTGAGCAAGTGAATCAATTCCAGCTCTGGATCCGGATTGGCTGTGGTTGGTTCATTCTGGAGAGTTTTAGCGGGACTGGGGTAGTAGGCAGGTAATTGATCAGGATGCGTATGCGTAGACTGTGTATGTACTTGTGTATCACAAGCAGGCGAGTGATGGACGGTTTATAGCAGCTCTGGCTCTCTTCCCATCATTTCCCTCAGCTCTGTCCCTCGAGGTCTTCTGCCAAAATATACCGCCTGTGCAATTTTTGTCATACTCCGTAGACCACATTGTGGATAAGAATTCTGCCGGTACCATGCTCTCAGGCTCTTACCATCTGGCCACCTACCCAAACACGCAGCACAGCATGTTGCAAAGCATGTACGGAGTAAATAGCATCTCTCCACTTCAGCTACAGGCACAAATCAGAGGGAATCAAATCTTCGATCCAGCATCGGCGCTTGTCTACACTCCTTGGGCTACCGAGGCACAAGTAATACTAGGTAGTATCTTGTTATTGCTTAAAAGCCCTACCTGAGGTAGCCCAGTTTGCAGACAGAAAACTTAGCAAACCGATCGAAACGGGATGCCGAGTCTTGTTGATCTGGATGAACTAGCAGTCTGTGTCCGGGAACACGTCGAATTATCCAATCTATAAGGCACTTTGTACCGTTACAGACACTGCAACTGTAACAGGTTGGCGGTCGCTGACTTGCTGTACGTAGCGCCAGGGACCTCCACTCCGCAAGAAGACCACTGAATATTGTCGAGTCGCCATTGTGGGGTGAGAGGAGAGAAGCGCCGGTTCTCGGCAGATTGGGCTCTTGCCATCGGGTTACCCCTAACCAACATCGAAGAGTATGTCGACCGAAGAAACGCAAATGATCATTTCGATATGAGAAGTGTCGTGCATGTGGGACGATTACTATCTTTGAATGCTCCCTCTACTCCCAAGTAGTCACCTATCGACTCGGTTGACTTAACAACGGGAGGGGCAGTGCTCAATGGAATGGAGCCCTGTGTTGATGCTACTCATTACTACGGAGTACTTGCACTTACTACTTGTCGGTACAACTAACCACCATACGACGATACGTACGACGTACGTAGTACCGCATTCAAACCTCAATTTCCCACAGTGAAATCGTGGAGAAGTCGTGGGGATTCAGTGTGGGGTGGAGGGCCTCGCCGCCTGAGGCTAGCTAAATCTAGACGTGCTTCCCGACGGAACAGTAACTCCTGTGAGTCTGTGGCCTGTCTAGCTCCTGTAAAGCTCCTCTTCTCGCGTCTTCTGCCATTCCCGAACTTTTGTTCCGATGTTCTCCCCGCCACTCCACTACTCCGTACTCCGTACCGTTTTCCTCCTCGATTGACGCTCTCTCTAATTTTTGCTACTATCAGGCTAACTACTCTGTCTGCCCACCTTGACCCTGACGGACGTATTATGTATAACGACTACGGACATATCTAGTCTTCTTCCAAAAAAAAAAAAAAAAAGAAAAGAAAAAGGAAAAGAATAGAAACGAAAAGAAAAGAAAAAAGGGAAAAAAAGATTCTTTAAATTTGGCTGCCTCAGCGACGGGGCCGATCCAAGCACATTCAAACCGATACCTGAAAGCAGCAGAACAGAGACCCTGGCTGTGACTGTGGTTCAACTACTACCAAGGTATTCTTGCGTAATTCCCGCCTTTTCCCTCTCATCTTGACTGCTGCTGGAGTCCTGACTTTCCCGACTGCGTTTATAACAAGCGGCCATGCACGGTTCGAGAGTCTAATCCGATTGAGGACCGCTTTCACTACTACTTACTGTACTATTACTACTACTAGTACTCCATACTCCGTACAATTTACTACTACTCAGTACTACTACAGTACCGCCACCTTTACGGCCTCCATTGTCCCTATTCTCGGCTTTCCTCCTCTCTGTTCTCGGCTCACTGAAGACTCGGCGCTCTTCCCCTGCACTCGTGATTAATCACAATTATACCCTTTCTTGTCCCTTTCTGCACTTATATGGCTATGCCATTGCCTTTCACCATATAACCCTCCTCATGGACGAGGGTTCTGATTCCAAAGCCCCTCGCCGGAAGAGGGTCTCTCGCGCCTGTGATCGGTGTCGGAGCAAAAAGGTTAGTCACTTCTTCTGTGCATCTATCTATTTTGCTTAATCTCTCCCATTGTTTCCAATTGATCCCACAAAATCCCCCCGGCCTTTCCTGATCTGTACCCATCGGTGTAACGTCCCCCGAGCCGCCCGCGTGTGAATAGCTGCAACTCACTCCATCACCCACACACATCATGAATTCATCCAGCCCGGGAACTTCTGCTTGCTCCCTCTTCAGTTCCTGCATGTTACTGCACACTCCCCTTCCCTTCCCCCGAGTCATGTTGACACGACTTTCTGCTGTAGGACAAATGTGACGGGCTTCGTCCGGCCTGCTCGGCCTGTCAGGCTTCGGGCCAAACATGTTCCTATGATCCCCACGCAAAGAAACGTGGCCTACCAGAGGGTTATGTTCGCGGTCTGGAGAAGCTGTGGGCCCTGTCGATCTGCAATATCGAGGGATTCGAAGACACCATGCTAGCTTTGCTAGGCACTACAGCTGAATCGATGCATCGGAGGAACAAACTCATGTCACTCTGGACCGATGATAGCGCCTCTGAATCCCTGCACGAGTCATGGAAGACGAGTCGCTTGTACGGTGCGCTCGAGAAGATGCTGTCCAATTCTGATCCGTCGCCACTGCCATTGGGAAAGCGGCCTCGAGACGACCACGAAAATGGCTCGACCGGTTCGGGCGCAGATTGGGGATTTCGCGTTGATCGGACCTCAGCGCCTCAATCGGCTGAAGCGCCGCGCGTGGTTGGGCCGCTCAGTCATACCCACGCAAAGCGACCAAAACTGTCATTACCACCTGAGAATCAAGCTCCGTTCCATAGCAGCAACAACGGAACTCATGCGCTCCAATTGCCGCCGCAGACCTCGCAGCTACTGGATGTGTATTTTGCTGTCACCCACTCGTGGTTTCCCATTGTCGCGAAGCACAACATTCTCCGTGCCTCTTATTTGTACGCAGGCGCGCCCATATCTGTGGCGAAAATGGCGCCCGGTTCAGGCGACCATGCTGCCCTGTGGGCATTGCTTAGTTATACTGTCTCGCAGTCCCGGACCAACCCGCAGGACGGGTCTTCCGGAGTGCTCGCTCAGACGAGAAATTATTACTCTATCTCTCGCTCTTTGGTTCCATCTGAGACTGAACGCTACGAACTTGGACATGTGCAGGCACTGCTTTTACTCACCTTGGTCAACATCGGATTAGAAGATTGGACGGCTGCTTGGCTGCTAGGTGGGCAAGCGGTACGGATGGCTATCTCCATGGATCTAGGCGTCTTCACAGATGTGCGACGATCTGACGAGCTACGACAAGGCAAGGCCGTGTTTTTAGGCTGTTTTATTCTAGACTCGTTGCTGTCGTTCCGCATGTCGAGGCGACCCTCTATGCATCCTCGGGATCTTACCCCATTGGGCTTGTTGGAAGAGGATGGTTTGGAAGAATGGAACTCTTGGGCAGACGTGCTGCCTCCTACAACAGTTGGACAGGGTAAGAGTCCGCGTCGGGGTCCACTCCTCGCTCTAAGCTGTTTCAATCGACTGGTCGAGTTAGCTAGCGTACTGAACAAAATCGCTCGTGACTTTACGCCAGGGTCGGGCGCACCACTCTTCGCTCAGCAGCTGGTTTTCGAACTCAAGCAATGGGACGATCGTCTGCCACTAGGGTGCCGTTTGATTGGCCCTGAAAGCATTTACCCGGAAAGACATTCCGCCTTGCTTCCTCATCAGAGTTATCTCGGACTGACTTATGTCGCCACTCTTTTGTGGCTCTATCTACGCATTGCTCCCCAGGAATTAGGATTGTCTCAGTCTCAACGTCCAGCTGTTGAAGGTGCGAAAAAGCTCCTTTATCGGGCACTTCCCATTATCACTCAGCATCTGGAGAACTTTCAGCTCTGTGGACTGCCGCCTTTGTTCGAGCTCTCTCTACGAACAATAGCCGAGCAGGCCTTCATCTTGCGCAACAAGATTGAGTCTGACATGTTCCCTTTCGCACAATGGGCGGAAGCATTAATGGAACGAACAAAATTGCTGGGAACTATCTGGCCTGTATATCGCTCATTGTGTACTACTATCGATCACTGGAATCGTTCCAAAGATCTCCCTGGGACTCCGATGGCATTTTTTACAGGTGCCGAAACGGAGGTTGTCCCACGTTTGCCACACGGAGTCACTAGTAATCTATTCCCGCCTGCACCTGTACCCACTTCGTCAGTGGGGTTCGAAGCTATTACCGGGGAGGCTTCTTTAGGTGCCCAGATGCGAAGAAATGTCGCTGGCCTGCGCGATAGTGCTCACACGACACCCATCACGGGTATCAGCATCCCAGTGGACGGACAGTATATGACGCCGAAGGACCCGGCCATGGAGAACTCAGATCTTTCGATGATCGATGCGTCTTTCCCAGTTTCTACGGGAAGGCCGGCAGCTCATCTTGACAAGTCCAGTCCGGCGAATGGATTGAGTGCGGCTATGGCCCGGGCACCACATTCCCACCCAGCAACCCCCGATTCCTCCGGTTCAACGTCCATGATGCCGGGTCTCGTCGGAGCACCGAGTGATCGTTCCGTTCCCCGGAGCGATCAAATAGTCCCTGTACATACTCGAACAACTAATCCTGCGGAGTCTCATATTGGACCAACAGGCGATATCGATGCTATCTTCCGAGACCTGGCTTACCTCGATACGACAGAATGGACTACCAGTCGCGAAGCAGCATTGAAGGATTTTGGCTTCATTGACGACAGCACGTTCCAGGCATTCTGCCATGATCCAGATCGCCTTGCTGGATCCCAACCATTGGTTCATCCGCCTTCGATTGCGGATATATGGCCACCTCCTGGCTTTTTCCCTGAGACGTTTCAAGAACCAATGGAGGAGACAATGGAGGGTTAGCTAAGAAATAACTCTTTTGGAATAACTCTGCTCGAGGAATCATGATCCGAAAATTTAAGGATTCTGATGTCAAAAGCAGCACTGGATCACCCGATTTATCTAGTACAGTACACCTGTGTCTTTCTTATCTAGTTCTATTTTGATACCCAATGCAAGCGCACTACAAGTATATGGCCTCATTGGCTCGCCTTGGAGGTGGGCTTGTCCTGCATTCTACAAACACAACAAAATCAATCAAAAAGGGCCAGGTTGTGGCATAGCGCCTTAGGCTGTACATTCAACTGGACGTTATAGCATCGGTGAATTAATACATTAGATGTTAACTTAGAGGAACTATGTATTAGACTCAAGGATTCTCAAAACAAAAAAGGATTGGAAGGCTATTCACAGTTGCATAAATGAAGGTAAACTGAGTGCCATGCTTTTGCGCGCGTTGAGAGTCGTCCTTGACCACTTTTCATCTACCCCAGACAAGTCAAACTTCAGACTTAGTCTGGATACCAACCCACGTCAGACAATCTGCATTGTGCTTCCTAGTTCCCTCCCCGCTTCTGTCGCAAGTATCGAATCATTGTGCGTGAGGAGAGGCGGAGCATATGGCCAGGGTGAGTATATACAGCACAGGGGACGCCGTGCAGTATTATGGGACCTTCAAATTATGCTCAAGGAGAACTTGCACGCTGGGAAGTCAATTTTGAACACTGTCGGGGTAACAGTCGGGGAGAGCTTGCCTTGCTTACCTGGAGAAACTAGGTAATCGAGATCTAACTCAGACCCTCCGTCCAATTGTAGCACCTTCTGGTAAGAAGGTGGTTTTCGGTCAAATAGTCCGGTTAAACGTGTAGTCAGAAAGATTAATAGCGGAGTAGATGATACATATCGGTTGCATACATCGCGCTACCTAAGAAGATAAAGGAAAAGAAGATTAACGATGATAAATATCGAATCTCGAATTCCACAGTAACATCAGAATGCGATACTGTGGGTCATCGAATATCTGCAGACGCTGGGGCCAGATAATGTCAGAACTGAATTAATACCCCCTCCCTGCTCCGTGCTACTAACGTGCATCCTACAGGCAGCTCGCTAGCTAGTTAACTGCCTAGCCAAAGGTTCCCCTCTCTTCCGGCATGAGCCCATCTCCCGTCTTTTCCTCCTCTCTCCCTCGCCGGAGAAATGTTCAGCCCACTCATTGAGGCTGGGTACTTCAGCCACCGCGCTTCGGAGGAACATGGTAAGGTACCTAGGTACCCATACATGCACTCTACTTGCTTGTTCTATGGGGATAAGTTATCTGAGGTGCCTTTTCAACCTAGTAGGAATACTAGTGTCACTAGTTGCAGTGGTTGTCTTTCATATCCCCAGGGAGATACCACAAATTCCAGCCGTGGTGAACAAAGGTTGATACAGGTCCTCATTACGGACTATTGTCTTGGGACTTGAAGGCAACTACTTGGTTGTAAAAAGCCAGTGTCCCCGCTTTGTGCTCAAATGTAGTAACAACACATTTGGAGTTATTCTTTATATTATGTCTCCTGCTTAATCATGGTACTCATCGTCATTACCATCGATTTACATCGAGCGTTCAATGCTGCAGATTTCCCGCCCGAAGAAAACACGCCAGACTGAGAATAGAATGCCCAATATACCGCCTGCCTTTCTGCAAAACTCCCATCATAAAGATCGTCGTAAGCATGAATCACGCCTCCTTTACCCTTGGTGGATGCAAAAGAACAAGCACGTTAGACCATCATAACCCGGGACGCCTCGACCTATCTTGCCAGTCGAATATTATATGAAGTAAATGCATAGAAGATGTCCGTTTCCGAATGGTATGTTATTGTTTCAAAATCGCTTTCGAGCCTTTCATGAAGAATGATCGCAGAATCACCGTCGCCAACCCACGTTCCATATCACGTGAGCAATGTCCTTGGCTGTATTCATTGTATCGATAACGCGCTCAAGAATGCTGCTATTTAGTCTCTCCTCATCTTCCGGAGGAGTAGAGGTCCCCGGTGACGTTGAGCCAAAGTAGTGGTCGAGCTCTTCTTCATCTTCTGGGTTGACAAACCAGGGACGGCTGGAGTCGGATGGAGCCTGGGAAGCACAGCTTGAGCTCCAATCGAAGGTATATTCACTGTCATCTTCGTCCAAGAGGAAATTGGCGGAAGTGGAGTATCGGTGATTCTTTTCCGAAGAAGATGACGAAGAGAAATAGTAGGACCAACGGTCAATTATCGAGCCTGCTGGAGGCTCAGGGGTATCGCCGCGATACTTCAATGTCGTTGAGGGAAGTGGGGCTATGGTTTTGTTGTCACCAGTAACACTGCCACGAGGTGTGCCCCGATCGCTTCGACCCATGTTAGGATCAATCCGTTTCATCATCACGACACCATCGTCCGGAAAGTCACCACAGGCCACTGGCCCTTCATCATCATCATCGTCATCTTCTTCTTCTTCTTCTTCTTTTTCTTCTTCTTCTTCTTCTTCTTCTTCTTCTTCTTCTTCTTCGTCTCCCTTGGCTTCGACTGCAATACATTGCACTACCTCATTATTAAAATGAATATGTCGTTTTTCACTGGGTGACCCAATGCCTGACGACGTTGTCTCGGTTGTCGTACCACGGAAAGATGCTGAAATAAGAGTGGCGGCCAGTTGATGAGGCACCTGCCCTAGGTCCGATGGACAGCGCTGAAAAGACGGTCGGCTTCGATATGTCTCCGCTTCCTGTGCTTTCAAGATAGCTCCTGCGTGCTGCAGAAGTGTATGTTGAGAAAGAGAGCGTTGGAGGATGGTTTCAGACGCTGTCCTCTTTTTCAAAATCGGTTTCCTATCCGAATACAGAATTGGCGTCGCAAAACGACTCGGAGGCGGGGAGTCATTCAGTGTCAATTCCCGTCTATCGCACGTTTTCAGGGGGCCGTAGAGCCACGTCACGTCACAGTCTTTGAGCCTGAATTAAACATCAGTATGTCTGCCGGTCAAAGGGGGAAAGAGAAAGAACCAACCAATTCAGGGTCTCTGGGGATACGGTGCCCAAATTCATCTTAAGCTTGCCCCATGTCCGCCATGACGCATTCTCCAATCTTAGTCCATTATCGTAGGCGCTTCGACGAGCGACCACATATCGCCACGAAGCCCATATATCCTCCTGTCGCCACTCGTGAGACAAGTAATCGACATGTCTGGATGGCTCATCTTCAATTGAACTGTCATCAGCAGCTGGCGTCTGTGCTTTCCACCGCTGAAAATCTGCCGATGAGTCTACCGATACCTCACTGAGCGCCTCCGGTTCCTTTGCGATGAGATGGTGAGAATCATACGATGGTAATATTAATTCACTGTCATCTTGATCGTCACCCACAGCCAAAGCTAAACTGCCAAGGGTGCTAGTTGTTGAGGAGAAATGGCCGGCAGCAGAAAGTGTAATATCCGGACAGGGTGAGTCAGAGGGGTGCAGCGACGCGATCGGAGTGGCATATTCTCTTGGGTGAAAGCCATGAACAGAAGACTTGGCGGTAGCGATCTCTGGCTCCTCTATGAAATAGGTCTGGGTGATAGGAGACCGGAGAGATTCCGAGGGAAAGCGTGAGTGCTCCTTTCGGGAGACAGGGAGAACGGCCGTCATCTTCGCGATGGAATTGTTATAGTGTCAATGGGGCAGTTGTAGATCAGCAAGCTTGTTAGAGATAAAAGAATTGGAAGGCAACGAAGGAGTCAAAGAGACTAGACACAAGCAGACAAAATTTAGGCCTGACACTGTCAATCAAGAAGAATCCCCAGACCAAGCGAAAGGCCTCGGATCTAGCGAACGCGACGAAGGGCTGAGATCATGGCGCAAGGGTACGAGCGATGGTGGAGGGATGTATATATGGGACGAGTTAAGTTATACCGCGGGTCAAGAAACGAGCTAGAGAATCCGAAGAGGGGATGAAATGGCTGTTCCAGGCCCTGCAAGGTAAACAGAGTTAGAACCGACCGACGAGCGCTGGCCGGAGATTCTGGGATGATCGGTCGCACGAAAGAATCGGGAAGGATCTAAGTGAGGTAGTCAAGGCATCTAGACTGAGAGGGCGAACGGTCTGGAAAAGACTGGGGGACGAGAGGAGGGGGGTGAGGGGGTGAAGAAGCAACAAAGTACGGAGTAGGTGATGATGCAGTAGTGGTGGATAAGATAGAAGCACAGGAGAGGTTAACGCCTAAAACAACGTTGAATAAGGGATCTTGACGGGAAACCGGGAAGAGACAAAGCTGTCGTTGATAGTGGCGGCGGGTGGAGATCGGGGTGGCATCCAAAAGGGCGTTTTATTCGTGACGGTTTATTCTGCGATCTCGTGTTGGAGGACGTTGATTCGCAACGGTCATCTCCTGCTAATTTGACTCTCGCTTTTTCTCCTCTTTCTCTTGTTCTAGCTTTCCGAGTTGCTCAGAGGCCGAAGTAGAGTAATAGCCGAAGCCGATAACTAGAGGAATAGATATGGTCGATACCGACCAAGGGACTAAGTTATTTGTCTTTGACAGGTCTCCGGAAAGAGTAAAGCATGGAAAGATTGGGGTAAGTGCTGATGAGGATTGACGTTGACGCGTGGTTTGGAAGGGATGGATGGATGAGTGTAGCTCGGAGGAGGGTTAAGTGTCTGTGGTGGATCTCCGTTGATTAACGGGCGTTTGAAAAAGAGGTATGAAGAAGTGTCGGGGAACCCAGTTAGCTTGGACTTTTAGTCCTAGAGGGGCTGATGTAATAATAGATGGTGACTATGAATATAGATACGATTAGTCGGAGAAGTCAATTGAAAAAAGAAAAATTCGTTATAAAAAAAGGTAGATGAGAAGGTTTTTTTTTTTTTTTTGGGAAGAATAAAAAAAAGAAAATGGAAAACGAGGGGGAAAAAAAAGAGGAAAAAGAGGAGGCTTAGGAATAGAAAAGGGAAGAAATGAAGAGAAAAGAGGACAAGCTGCTTGCTTCGGTGCACTCGAAAGAGGAGCGGGGAGGAGGTGGAAGAGAGCTGGATGGGGATTGAATTGAATTGCCACCAATTTAGACTCCGTCATGATAGCAAAACCGTGTGCGGGTGGAGATCAAGCTGCGACGCTAGGCTTGTTGTAACCTAGGTAGTGTAACTTTTTCTTGGGGGTGGGGAGACTCTGGAGACTCTTCTAGAGCGGGGTGAAAGAATGAAAGAAAGAGAGCTGAGGGGAAGCATGTTGCTGAGCCATTGATCCTAAGAGTTCGGTCAACCGTAGATGGCACGAGTACTAACAATTTACTCGGAACTGTACGGCGGTTATCATTTACCTATGTACGGAGTACATACAGTTTACATCCAGAATACTACAGAGCCATTTGATGTATGACATACAGAACACACGAAGTACATTTATACTCGAAGATCCTTCCTTCCATCGAAGAAGTATTCCGGAGTCAGCCTGTAGTTACTTGGGCTGGTTAAACTTCCCTCCAACATCACAAATGTAACACACTCAAGTTGATGGCTTGACTGGAGTGAAGTCTAAGCGTTTAACCATGAACCATGAGGTATCATACCGTTACTCAATCACGTAACATGGGTACCAATCCATACTGTGCTGATCTGGATAATCTCTCAGAGGGACCGGGTGCCTCATGTCCGGTACGAGCTTTACAGTAAATGTACATCTCCCTACATACAGTACATAATGAGTACCGGCCATTGCGAGCTGCGAGAATTCCAATGACTCCTCGGGACGAAACGGAATGCTGGTATACATATAGTGTAAGGTACTACGTAAGTATACAACAATTTCTGGAAACTGGGGGATGCTCCAGCAACAGTACACGGATGTTCTGCCCGCAGGGCTGCTAGCGAGCTAGTAAGATTATTGGCATAGCTGCCATAGCAGTACGGATTCGCCCGCAGTCGATCGGAGCCTCTCGGACCGGAATTGAACGAGAGTAGTTACTCCGTACAGTACTAAGAACTAGACCAAGGTCTCGTCTTCCCTTTGTCCTTTTGCCCCTCTCTTCTGTATGGAAGGCGCTTGCAATCTGCTAGTTGCATCTTGCCTGCATCTTAATTTATCCAACGGTCCAAGCGCATAGGCAACTAAAACCACTATTCCAATTGGACCGATCTAGACCATATGTAGACGATACTTCCTTTAACTTATATATCTCCAGCATGATGGAAAGAAACGTACATGCAGTCAACAATTGCTGAAAAGATGGCTTCCAGGCTTCTGAGGTATGCATTGAAACGGAGCCTATGAAGACGCCACCCTGTCTGGGCCAATTCTTATCTGTCTGCGAGTATAGCTGAGAAATGTATTACCAAGAAGGGGTGAGAGCTCAGTTCTAGTTACTACTCGCACTGATAAAGAGAAAGAGGGAGAGAATGAGTAGTGGGATCAAAAGGCATAGTGCGTAGCGTAGTCTCTCAAGATCCATCGGGCAGCTCAATGCGCGTCAGTGAACGGCTGGCGGTGGTTCGGGACGGTGTGGAAACTTCCGAGGTTGGAACAAGCCCGTGCAAGGACCCCTTCTCAAACAATCCCACGAGGTTCTATCCTACGCTTCTCTTTGGTCGGTCAGCTTCAATGATAAGAAGGCCAGGCATTTGAGCCGGGTTGGGCAACGCAAGTGGTTCCTTACCTACTGTATACAGCCAAGCTTCCTCTTTGAAATTCCAATACCGAACCATAGCTTCTAGTCGCTCAGAGTTTAGTCTTGGAGTTCTGATGCACTCCTACTCCGTAAAGCATGGTGCATAGAAATACCGGACCAGCTGTAGCTCTGGTTTGCCCAAAGTCCAACCACCATTGAAGGTACTTTGTACATGTGGCCAATAGTGACCCAGGCCAACTGGGCAATCGAGCTGTCTAATCCTCGGCCCGAGGGAAGTGTGGGAAATGCCATAAACATCTGCTAGGCGTAATGATGATTTCTAATTGATAGACAGCCCGGTGTTCGTAATAATAGGCACCATACTTACCCTCCTACTCAGCCTCATGCTGTGTACACTTCCGTCCTGTATTCTGGTCAGGTGGCGATAACTAATATGGCACTAATCCTCGTGAGGCATGGTGGTCGTGAGACGATCCGTATCTACGCCAGAGTCTATCAGAGGCTGTCTATGACGTGTCTCGAGTCGACTGGCGGGCCGTGCATGCTTTGTATATTCCTCGCTATATCACGGTCTAATGGTTTCTTGGCTCAGAACAAGACCATTAGCCGTGTTTGACTGATTTCTATGGAGAGTCAAAATCCGGCGTGGGCATATACACGATGTTGCCCTCCCTCCCAGTCTGTGGAGAGGCGCTAGTGTCTCGATCGAACACAGAATCCTGTTTGTTTCTCAATGCTCACAACCTCGCCCTTATCGGACAAAGAACATATAAGGCCACTTGCGAGTACTGCACGAAGCATCTAGTCGCACACCTAAGCGCAGTTTCAACATAGATTGACGAAGACCCGCGCCCAGGTTACATGTCATGCATCGGGACCAGGTGTTCCAGAAGTGCTGCATGATTATCAGTGTCGTTTTCGGGGGATGCGCCCCTCTTCCGCACAATTACATAACACATGTTGTGTGACCCAAATCTCAGACACTTAACCGATCAACGGCGTTGATTAAGGACGAGCAAGGCCTTTTTCCGCAGGCGTTCCTCAGTCTTGTGCCTTAGCCTTACTTTTCCATTGTAATTTCGATTCCACCGTGGCTTCGCAACACTCAACTAACCCTATCAGAGTAGGTCTGTGGTTGAAATCAGTATGTTCCCTGGGTGAGACAAATTGTATTATATCGCTCGAAAGACAGACCATACTCGTGTAAGAAACCAGGCATCGACTCTCCTGAAACAATCCCGACAGCCGCCTGCGATCGCGAGCCCTGGCTGCTCTGCTCACACCGGCTATATAGGATTCGCCAGTTTTTGTGATAGCATAACTTATGACAAGGATCACTTCACTATTCGCTGTACTTTCATTTCATTTGGCTTTCTATTGAAACGACTAAAACAGTTTCCCAATGGTTGGCATCTGTTTTAGGTCTCGGGCCATGAGGGGATTACAGCATTCCCTTCCACTCCTTTGTCCCACCGGTCTTTTCCTTGATGACTACTACTGACTAAAGTGTCTTCAAAAAGCCATTTGGTCACAGGTCTGCTTCTCCGACGATGTGAGCGCCGGCGGAGCCCTCTTGAAACGTCGGAAGCAGAGATTGACATATGAAGTCTCCTTATCTGGGCGAGGTGGCAGGAGACGGAATAAATCAAGCATATTTGACGTACCTGGAAGCTCCATGACCTTCACAGGAATCAAGCTTAAGGATCTAGGCTTTTTGTTATCTGATGATGTTCTTGCGGCTCATTAAGGCACGCCCGAACATGAAGAAGACCAGGCTTAGAGTTGGTAAGCTCCTTCATTTGGATTTATGTACCCATGGCGATGGTCGTTTATGCTCTTTCAGTCTTTACCGATGATTTGGATCATGTGACATGAATCATTATGTTTTCCTGAATAGGTTAGTGGGATGCTTGCAATCCCGACCCCGCGCCATCTGGATGAACTAGACCGCGATCGGTGATAATAGGATTCTCAGGTTTGACATCTTGAATTGCTGTAAAAAAACAACACTTGTCTTCCTTGGGTAGCCCTTGCCGAGAAACAATACGACAAGGTCATCAGGTCAAATGGCGGATATCGAGCAACCGGGTCCGGTCGTTTCTCAGGCAAAGCACGTCCTGTACTGCGAAGGTAAGAGAGCCCACTTCTTATTTGAGCTTCTGCGGTGAATGAACTTCTATGTCTTTTCCATTCCTAATACTAGTCAAACAAGACTAACTCAGTTCTTTCTTCCCTTCACAGTCTGCACACTACCAGCAGAGGTATGGCCCTCATCCTAGCTTTTCTTGCCCTTAACAAGTTGCGATCAGCATCATTCTCGACTCAAGTAACTCCTTGAACAAAATTGGTTAACTCGTGGATTTCCAGTACTGTGAGTTCGGTGGAACGGCGAAAAAGTGCGAAGAATGGCTGAAGGACACGCACCCAGATGCGTATCAGCAGCTATACTCTGAAGGTTCGTCCATCATCGTGATGGATAAAGGAACTCCTTCAATGATTCTAACTTGGGTTTGCAGAAGCCTTGAACTCCAAATTATCTTCACTTTCAGTATCTGCACAGGAGCGCGCCGCCAAGGATGCAGCTAAGAAGGAGGCAAAGGCTGCTGCAGCAGAGGCGCGAGATGCGGAGCGTAAGGCGGCCTCGAAGGTACAAATCAAACGTGTTGAACGTAACAAGCGCAAACATGTCACCGTCATCACAGGTCTGGATATATACGGATTGGAAAACAAGAAGCTCGCCAAAGAGCTTGGCAAGAAATTCGCAACTGGTTCCTCCATGACACGCTCTGCTGGGGGCACCGAGGAGATTACAGTCCAGGGTGATGTCAGTGAGGATGTGAAAGAATGGCTACTGGAATTCTATGGCAAGGAGATCCCCGAGGCCAACATTGAGCTCATTGAGGACAAGAAGAAGAAGTCGAGCAATTGATTCAATTCCTGCCAACGGTCTATTAGATGATAGGAGATTAAACGCCTAAGGTACTAAGCCCGGATATCTGAATGCATCTGGGTATCATATCATCATACACAGAAAAGCCAATACAAATGAATGAAGTCGAGGCCGGCCTTGACCTTCAAGCTAAGAGTGTAAGCGCAGGACAAACTTATAGCTCATCGAGAAAATTTAGGGGATCGTTGTCAGGAGGTTTCAAATTGCGAGATTCCTGATGCAGGGTTGTCTCCAATAATTGCTTGATCCGCGCGTGACGATTTCCTCCTTCTAATTCATGTCTGCCTCCATGCTTAGATGAGGCACTCGAGCGCATGTTGACGGGAGACGCCAAGGGGAATTTCGTGTTCTTGTGCTGAACAGCAACGGCCAGAAGTGCTGCAAGTACACCTGCTGCCACGAAGGTCCAGAACACTCGGAATCTCCGGTTCATACGGTCCTGGTAATCCTTTTCTTTTTTCTCCCAGCACTCAATCTCAGTTCTCATGTTTTCGAGGCGATCATTTAGTGCCTGAGCTTTCGTCCGCCCCATCTTCATGCGATCCTCTAAAGATTTCATCCTTATAAGTTGCGGTTCAAAGTCTTGAAGTTCTCCAATTTGTTTTCGAATTTCCTGGTCTAAACCTGATGTTTCCCGCTTGAAGTCAGCAAAGAGACTTGATGTAGATCCCAGTAGCTCCTGAAAAGAGAATAGTGTAGCATCCAAGGCTGCTACCTTCTCCAGAAGATTATAATATGTGTAATCCAGCCTGCGCGTGATATCTGTGGCAAGTTTTCCGATGAGCGATAAAGCGGACCTAAGATACCTGGTATGCAGTCAGTTGTACCAAGCCCTGCCCATACAGTCTTCTGGACTTACTCCTCTCCGTATTTTCGTCTACCCCTCACTTGCTCCAGATCCTCTGCTGACCGAATCTCTTGACGTGCGACCGGCCCAAGCTTTGTGTTTGCATCAATACCCTCAGGCAAGCCCCCTCTCCGGCTCTCGTCATTCAGCCCCGTGAATGACTCCGATCCGCAGAATGACCGTGTGGTTCGGCGAGTGACCGGTCGGAGAAGACCCTTCCCATCATCGTTTTCCTTATCTCTCATGCTGGACCAAGTCAGCAGTAGACCTCTGCCAGCGGTGGATGTTGAAGGTTGAGTCTTCTTCCGTGGGAAACGACCGTCGTTGGATTTGTTATGCTTGTGCTTGTGTCGATGGCGTGGTTTGGACAGAACTGGGTCTAAGCTGGGAACATCGATGACCAGATGACGGTGCTGTTGCTTCTCTACGGACGGACTGACGATCTTGGTGAGTTGCAGAACGTCGTCACGACCATGATAGTCGGTGGTGTTTAGAGCCTGAACATCGGTCGTGCTCGGCAGTTGCTTGCCCAGTGATGCACTAGGCAGTTTCTGGTTTTCGACCATGCCGAATCCATGGGTGGTTGATAGATAAGGGACGGAGAGCTTAGGGGTTGCAGAAGACACCATGTCGGGCAAGGACAACCTCTCGAGGTCTCCATTCCGGCCCGAGGGCAATTCTAATCTGTGGGAGGTGAATCTTTGGTACATTGGATGCTGAAAAAGAGTTTGAACATTTATTCGTGTGCACTGGTCAAAGTAAATTGAAAGAAAGCAGACACGATGTCAGGCGCCAAGCGTCGACCGATCGATCTAAACCCCCCCCCCTTTTCCCCTCTGGACTCTAGACTAACAACGTGATCGGCATGCGTTTGAATTGACCCCTTCGTGGGCCCATGTGATTTTACGAATCTCAAGAAGAAGTAGTTAGCATGCAGTGTCGCTTGGGTGTATGTAGACCGTCATTAATTTTTATTTCCCTATGTATACAAGCAGAATTTCAATATACAGAACCCCAACTCCATGGTCGCCATGATCCCGTCTTGTCCCGATACCATTCGGGATGTGGAAAGAGGCCGCGTTTTGCTAAGATATCTGCCGAAATTATGACCCAACGAGGCATTCTCTGGAAGAAATGAGAGGAAGAGTAATTTCAAACGGTTGAGGGTGGCCGTCATGCATCCAGTGCAGCAGACAAAGAGCAAGAAACACCTCAACCGGGACAGCATACGTTGAACTGTCCAAATTCGACCAAACTCTAGGCACCCTTAAGAGCTCAACAGTTTGTTGCGCTTTTCACGGCGCTTCAAGCGCTCAACTCGTTTGCGATGCATCTTCTCGGCCATCTTCTCATAGCGCTCTTTCTCCTCCTTGGCGGCTCTACGATCCTTGATTCGTTGAATATGGGCCTAGTTGTGTTGTCAGTTCACCTGCGCTGCGTAGACGTGTCTTGAGTCACAGCTCTGCTCTACCTTTCTCTCGGCCTCTTTTTCCTCCTTCAGTTCCCTCTCGTGTTCTTTAACGGCCTCTTGGTGTTTGCGGCTTTCTAGGCGCTTCGCATAGGAGGTCATACCCGCCGTAGGGCGAAAGGGCTTTTTGGAGTCGTGCCAGTTTTTTCCTGCGGGTCCGAATATTGAAACTCGTTAGCTCCATTTCTGGCGACGGCCCCGGGGGAGAAGGCCCCGGTGGCCGGCTGGCGGATTCTTCAGTGGTGGAAGGGTAAGGACAAAATGCGAGAGAGGGGGGGGAAAGAGAAAAAGAAAACAAGTCACAAAACCAGGTAAAAAGTGGGGAATCCAGATTATTACCATTCTTCCGCATGCCCTTGACAGACGTAGGAACTGAGGCCGAGATAGAGGACATGATCAGACCAGATGATTTGGTGTGAAGAAATATGTGTAAATGTCGCCAAAGTGCAGTTGACACTGAGGATGAAAAGAACAAGTGATATAGGGATAGCAGTTCTCCAGTGCCTTTCTCTTATTCCTGCGGCTGTCTGATTTTTGAGGAAAAAGTTATCTTAGACCGATCAGATAACCGGATCTCGGTGGAAGTAAGCATCCGAACCCGCCCTGGCTCCGAGAATGAGGGATTTGTCCCACCTCGTCTCCTACGAATCACTTGGCTGGCAAGCTAGCTGGAGGGTCGCAACCAACCGTCTCCCACTTCGGCCCCCCACTATATGTGACCTCTCGGCCCTTGGGCTTCTAGCTTTGCAAGCGATGCTCGCTCTTTTCTGAATCTATTTCGCGTAGTTTGGGCATCTTGTTGACACCACCCCTCCCTGGCACACCGCCCCTCTTCGGATCAGGTTCTCTCTTTAAATACTCGCTTTGGCCCTTCAATTTGGCCCTTCAAAACCGAACCACTTTCAATTTCTACCATGCTCACCCAATAGCGTTATTTCAAAACTGCCTTTGCCGCTTACTTTTCCTCATCTACTGCTTTAAGTCTAACTATATCCTTCCCTATGGCGGTTGCGGAGAACGCGATAGCACTGAAGAATGAGATGTCGATGGAACTCCCTACGCTCCCGCCCAATCAGGGCTTCGAAGCCTTCAAAGATATCCTGTTCGGATCTGTGAGTCGCCTCGCTGTATCATTCAGTGCTACCCTGGGCACCACTGACACCCCGTTCAGACGGCGGGAATGGTAGGGAAAGTGATCGAATACCCTTTTGATACCGTCAAAGTACGATTGCAATCCCAGCCAGATCACATTCCTCTGAAGTACACCGGACCTCTGGATTGCTTTCGTCAGTCATTCCAAGCAGATGGTGTACGTGGGCTCTACCGGGGGATCAGTGCTCCTATGGTTGGGGCTGCTGTTGAGAATAGTTGTCTGTTCTTCAGCTACCGACTCGTCCAAGACATATTTCGCGCCACGTTGTACTCCCCATCAGACATGCTGCCATTCCCAGCTCTTGTACTCTGCGGCGCTGCATCTGGGTCAATTACCTCACTCGCACTTACCCCGGTAGAGCTGATCAAATGCAAAATGCAAGTACCCCTAGCGGGCCCGGGCGGTAAAGCGCCGGGACCTCTGGCTCTCATCGTATCTGTCTTCCGCCGCGATGGTCTCATGGGCTTTTGGCGAGGACAATTGGGGACGTTCATACGCGAAACTGGCGGTGGCGCCGCCTGGTTTGGCAGCTACGAAGGAGTCATGGCGCTTTTTCGCTCATCCGGTACAAGGTCTGAGCGGGCTGACGGTGTCTCCCTTAAGTCTGATCGTGTCCCCATACCTCAGCAAATGCTCGCTGGTGCCGCGGCCGGTGTCAGCTATAACTTTCTATTCTATCCTGCTGATACGATCAAGTCACGTATGCAGACCGAGGATCTGACACGCCTGACGCACAAAAATGAGCGACAGACTTTCTGGGGGGTGGCCCGGGCCTTGTGGGCACAACAAGGAGTGAAAGGTTTATATCGAGGTTGTGGTATAACTTGCGCTCGGTCTGCTCCCAGCTCAGCCTTTATTTTTACGATATATGAAGGTTTACGAAGCCATTTTGGTTAGAGCGTGTCGTCACTGAATGATCTTTTATTTTTCTCGGTTTCCTTACTCTTGCCACGTTCGCTGGCTTTTTTTTCTTTCCTTTTCTTTCTTTTCCATTTTTGGTCTTTCTTATTGTGCATTGTTGTATGATACCTATATCTCATGTTTCAGATCTAGATCTCATTGCTTCTCTCTCTTCTATATCCATCTTTTGTTCTTCCCTGTTTCTCTTTTTCTTATACCTCTAATTTCTTCTAGATATTCGCCTTAGAACTCAATCTGGTACTAATAGAAGAGCCAGACAAAACTTTTCTGAATCGATGCTTGCCAGGGTGACCTTTTCGTAACTTTTCCAGTCGCAACCACTCGAGGATGATCAGACTTTTCTAAGGCCCGATATTGATCGCAGTATAGTATATTGAATAAGATGCAGGAGAGGATCTGTGTACTGTACGTCGTATGACTTAGGTATGTAGTAGTAGCTGTAGTAGTAGCTGTCAGCCTGTCACTGTAGGAGCGGCTCCACTGATTTCCGATAGTGCAAATTTTCAAAGAGGGGCTGCGCCGCAAGACAAGGTCAGACATGACGTGACCTGTGACCTGAGACCTACCCTCTCCCGCAATCATTGTCATCTTTCCTCGTCTCGCGCCTTGTGGACCAATCCATGTAAGACCAGATCTATCATTGACTTGTTGTTGATCTGTGCGAGTGTAGCCTTGAATACCAAGAAACATGGAAATGAACATGGCATCGTCGGTTGATCATCTCTCGGCCCAAGAGCTGGAGACTCTCTCCACCAAAGCTATTGCGGCCAAAGACGTTGCATACTGTAAGTTCGACATGTGCACTATTATCTGAGCCCTCCAACGCTACACATAGTCGTTGCAATAAAAACATATTCGTGCTTGACTTTGATATACCTCAACACATGACCCTGCGAATTGGTTGTTTAATCGCTGACTACTATACTAGGCCCATATTCCAAGTTCCGTGTTGGGGCTTGCGTTCTGACACAAACAGGCGAGTACTTTCACGGGGCAAACGTCGAGAACGCTGCCTATCCCGTTGGTACCTGTGCAGAAAGGGTCGCGCTGGGAACTGCTGTTGTGAGTTGCCTATTTATTTCTTTCATGCTACACTGGCGCTGCAAGTCACTGCGAGTTCAGGACGCCTTTCAGGAATGACCCCTCTACAACTCATTATTTGCCAGCTTTCCCTTCCTCTTGATGCCCTGCTTTAGTGGATGTGTTGTACAGTGATTCCGGGCTTCTTTCCAGTATTGAAGACATGGCTTACATATTGGACTGATCTGCAGGTGGCTGGACACCGCGACTTCAAAGCTATCGCCGTTTCAACAGACATTGAACCAGCAGCATCACCATGCGGCATGTGCCGGCAATTGTAAGTACTTCCTAACCTCAATAAGACAGCCCATGCCCCCTTTCTCCACACCAGTTAAAACAATACTTTGCTATCTTGTGTGACTGTCAATAGCGCATCGTCCCGTATCGCAATGGCTGATTGAGCAATAGTATACGTGAATTTTGTGCTTCATCAGTTCCCATATTTATGTATGACTGTCAAGGAAATTTCACTGTGAAGACTATCGGAGAGGTACCCCCACCCGTGGTGATGATCCCGATCATTAGACTGATAACCGTCCATCTTAATCTGACATCAATCGCTAAACTAATTGTGATTTGCAGCTTCTGCCAGACTCTTTCGGGCCAGACGATTTGCCTAGCGCATAGTAAGTACTTGCGCTATAGCCTCGCTATATTCAGTCTGCTGGGATAGCATGCAACCGACGAGTCTCCTTTTCTTGCAATCCTTAATTTTTTTAAAAGTGCATGAAAGAGCCTACTATGTCTCCCCAGCTTGATTCAGTTTCAACATTACTTGACAGCTCATGTTCACCAATGGCCATACACGGCTGCTAAGGAGGACAACCCTGTCAGTTCTGAGATCCAGTGCTGAAATTCGAATCTTTCGCTTTGATCAGGGTCTACGATTCCATCATAAATCTTCCTTGTATCCCCGTTGCAGAGGCATCTTCTTCCTGACGTCAATCTTGCAAGCGCAGCATTACCTGACCAGTAAGATTTTCCCCAGGCGGGTTTCTTGAGCAAGCGGACAAGATGACTATGTAGGCAGGCATGGATTATTGAAACGCTGGGGAATGAGAAGTAGCAAGGGAGCTAGTACTAGTTAGTACATTTGATTGAAGGTAGATATTAGACTGAGCCAATATAGCCTACCGGATGACGAGGCCTTGATGAATGGAGAATCAAGCATTCTAGGAGAAAATAGTCAAGCAAGGATAGTACAGCAAACCTAACATGAGTTCTGAGTACAAAAAGGCAGACGACAAACCTCCCCCCCCCACACCTCCCCCCACCCACCCACCAAACACATCTCCGGCACCTAACCAACCCTTCAGTCTTTACACTGAAACTTTCGTACAGCAATATGGAATCATGGACTAGCTGTTAGGCTTATTGAAAAAAAGGGGGGGATGTGCCCTACCGCTAAAGCTCATCCTCCTCGTCCATGTCGGCGTCTTCGACCCCCAGAAGCTCATCCTCATCGTCAACGACGCTAGTGTAATCGCCCCGCCGTGCTGCAAAAGCCCCCCGAGACGAGTAGGGCCGCGTGTAGCCTCCGCTGCGCCTTACTCGCAATCTTCCGCTTGCACTTCGCCATAAGCCAGTGGCCAGAAGAGGCAAGGCTTTGACAATAGCCACCGCGCCCGCAATTATAGTTATGGGAACAGTGACGAAATGTGAGTCTCGCGATAGCAAACCAGGAGAAGTACCAACACTTTCGCCAAGGCGGATCTGGCCAAATTTGCCGTCCCACCTGGTGTAGACGTAGTATCCAACAGCACTTGCTACAGCAATAGGTGTCACAATGGCGAAGAATAGTCCAACGCCGCCGATGCCGTGTCTTTGCTGAAATTCCTCTTCCTTATTTGGGCAGGGCTTCGACCTTAGGTGGTCCAGCTCTAATCCCCCTTCACAGGTCGTTTGTGGCAAACGCCGGTATCCTGTAGGTTCCCAATATTCAACTCGATCAGGGTCCGCCCTGCAAATGGCCATCGCATCTGGTGGAGACAGTCCTTCGACAAGCCGACAGCTACCATCACTCAGAGGTTCGTAATTATAATCACTGTTCGATGTTAGCAAACAACCAGTCGCTCCTGATGTAGGTTCACCCTCGCACAATGAAGAGGTCGTACCATTCAAAGTCAGATTTTGTGCAACTGCAATTCCTCCCTATGCTGTGAATATGAGGCTCACGCCAGTCATTCCAACACTGGGCTTCGGGTTTCTTGCGATGATATTGTTCAACATGACCGAACAGACAGTTCTTCTCCTCGAAAGGGTGTTTTGGCTCCCAAATATAGTAATCGTCGCTAGCTCCACTATCCTCATTCAAATTGCATGAGGCAGCCCGGAGGTTAGTGAAGTCAATGTTAACGGTCGCGAGTTTATTTCGATTCTCCGACTCCGTATCTCTACCCCAAAGGAGAAAATTCTTTGACGTATCAGACGGTACAGTCGAGATATCTTCAATTTGCATTGGAACATCTGAAAACCGGTATTCTTCCCAGGTGCTACCTTCGTCTGTACTGTAATACAGTACTTGGGTCGGTGTTGATTCGCGCACGATCACGATTAAAGATCCCGAGTCACCAAATTCCCATAAGTATTTGCCTTGCTTCACGAACTTCCAAGTGAATCCAGCGTCTCGTGTGATGAATGTATCCGGTTCTATGTCGCTGACCAAATGATCACCCACATTGCCTACACCAACCATCAGGCCAATTGCTGAGCCAGACGAATACGTGTCTCTTTCGTCCCTCCGCTCTGTATAGCCATGGAGGTGGAGCGAGCAACCCGGGACCCCTTTGCCTTCTTCCACAGCACAGCCGAATTTCTTGCCGTCCGCGTCTATCGGGGGGGACAGCAACATCCAACGGCCTCCATCATTGTGCGTAATCATGGTTCTCAATTTTTTGGGCTCTCCCGATGAGAGTGTGTCCACATTACTGACAATATTTGCAATAGCAACACCTTCAAGGCCTTGAATTTTCTCGAAGTCGACATAGCCGCGATGGTCCCGACTCACTGCACCAAGGCTGAGCACGTAGGAGGTCCCATTACTATTACTCTTTATAATGGAGCCATACTCTGCTCCTTCGGCATTGCTCACCGTCACGTGCAAGAAAACAGCATGAGTAGAGCTTTCGAGGACAGTATAGGCTGTCTGAATTGGGACGTTGAGGTTCGGGGGAAAATGTGCTTGCGCAAAAGTCCGACCGTCCACACTGCTGCTCGCAACCAATGACTCCGGTTTTTCAGGGTTTCGAGATGCTACCACGATGAATTCAGACATCGTAGCATAATTGATAACATCCTCAAAATGGACATGTCTGTCGGCAAACTCATTTTCGCTCGATATAAGTTGCAACCGATTGTTTCGATTTTCGCTTTCGAATTGCTCACAGAATATCAGGTTATTGCTGTCAAGGCGGGTCTCTCGACTCTCGAACTCGCATTTCTGGACGTAGCGGAGAAGAAGTTTCCAGTTTTCGCCGCGATTATGGCTGATGTGGGCATTAGAGTGGCAGTCGCCAGAATGACAATCCACGGCACCCGTCCATATAAGCCAATCTTTATACTGGGGATGAAAGGAGAGAGTAGGGAGACGTTCATTAGCAGGTGGAATCGGCGCCTCAAAGCTTTTGAATGACTGGGCTCGATCAACCGTCCAGAATGCCTCCTTTCCATCAGTCAAGAAAAAGGCTGTGTCACTACTGAACGGATGAGGCGCGATTCTGGTGACTTTCTTGCCTTGCAATGACTGCTGCCAAGTTTTACCGTGGTCATTAGAGACATACAGATCGTGTGCACTGGTGAGCATGATGACAGTTTCGTCTTTTCCTGAGCTGCTGGATTGCCGTTCCAAGTAAATATATGCGGTAAATTGCTTCGCATCAAAGAACTGTTTGGTATGACTGATCGTCTCATTACTATCGTGAGGACTCCCAATGTCCTCGCAGAGCCACTCGATCTGGTCATCCTTGTTCACACCGCCTTCTCTGATGCAGGTGTTTCCTGGGATGAGTCTCCAGCCTGATGGGCCTAAGTACGTATCGGTTGGATTCGTGCATTTTCCCTCTGGGGGTCTGGGGATTCGAGCAGGTTTGCAGCTCTCTCTCTCCTCACTGAACTGTTCACACTCAAAATCCTCAATGGTGCACTTACAGGGTTCCAGGATTGGCCGAGGGTCTTTAAACTCCTCGTCCACAAAACAGTTTGCGTTAGCCCTCCTGCGACGATAGAACTGCTTGTGTCCCATTAAGCAGTCAGGTTCACCCTTCTCATTTAGCCTGGCCGGCCACTTTTCGAAGTCATCCTGACCACATTTTCTTTCGTGGAGACCCTTGAAATCAATGGAATAAACGATATGGTCTCCTTCACTCCGCCCAACGAGGACGAACTTCAGGCTGGTAGAGTCGGGAGTTGTCGTGACCATGCTGGGGTAAATTGTGTGCTCTAGATCGAGTGAATCCCATTCCTTGCCATGATCGAGAGAGAATCTGACTTTTTTCGCCTGTCCGGCATCGCTAACCGCCATAATCACGGCTCCCTGGTCACCGAATTCGTACTTATATGGCCCATCGAGAGCATGCCGCCATGTAACTCCCGCATCGTCTGAAACAAACAAGTCGCCATCAATATATTGCTTGAGATTGTCGCCTGTGTTGCCGACGCCCATGATTACACCCGGTGCCGGACTTGAAAATACGCGGCCGACGTTTGCAAAAGTAGTCACTGAGTGTAGATGTAGACTCTTATCGCCCATTCTAAGTGGCTGAAAGGTTCTGCCATCGTCGAAGCTTATTTGGCTGATGATCTTCTTTTCGGCACCGAATTCAACCTTTTTGGGATTCTTGACCGTGTTGACCAAAACTATTCCTTGGATCCCAGCTACCTTTTCAAAGTCCACAATACCAGCTTCATTGCGATTCGTATGCTCAATATTGCGAGTGAAGAACGAGCCATTTGAGTTGGACGTAAACAGCACACCCATCCCACTAAACGGGCTGGTTAGAACATCCACTTGGAGGCTGTAGTTGGTGCTTTCCAACATGGTGTAGGCATCTTGTTCTATCCTGTGGCCGCCAAATTCTGCTCGACTCCAAGCAATTGTATCGGTGGTGACATACAGGGCGAGTTCGTCTGTCCCCTTCGATTTAACAGCAGCAACAACAAACTTTTTGACAGCAGCGGTACTGATGACTCCAGAAATTGGCCGATCTGCTTGCAGCTTTACTTCGATACCATCTGTACTACTGCTGAAATAATCGTCAGAGTACACGAGGCGGTTAGCGTGACCAAATGGCACCTTCAAGCCCGGGACAACACATAGTGTCCTATCTATGAATTGAAAGGATGGAATATCCTCCGCGAAATCCGGATGCCCAATAGCCCACGAACATCCTGCAGCACTCTCGCGCAGAAATTTGACCGTTTGGAAGTCGTCTGTCGTATAGTATGACCTCACGATGCAGAAGAACCCAGCGCATTCTTCGCTCTGGAAAATCACTTTACTCGAATCCCAGCCATGAAATATAAGCGGCGAATGTTGCTGAGATGCTGGAAAGTCATCAATCGTAAAGATATGCCAGGTTTTACCCTGGTCCTTCGTCATTATATGGCGCCCATCGTTGCCCAAAGCATAAGCTCTATTCTTGTCGAATGGATGCTGTTGAACGTAAACCCGTTGTGTCATGAATTTGCCCTCTACCGTGACCTGTTCCCATTTCTCACCTCCATCGAATGACTGGAAGATTTCTCCATTCTCCAAGCTCATGAGGACTTTATCTGTATCCTCGAAGTAAAAAAGCGATACCGGAGCATGCTCGAACTTGGTCGTGGTGACTTTGGGTTCGCCGGATGATTTTGCAATGCTGGGCCGCAGCATAAGAGCCAGTATAAAGTAGCCCACTAGCAGGAGCCATCGGGACATCATCGCCACGACTTTACAACATTGGGCAAAACGCGGCGAACAAGGGCGGGATATCTCGATAGATGCCGCGCCAAATAAAGGTTGAATAGGCAGAGGTTGAGAACCAAACAGATATCGACTATGTGATTGACTAACTTGTGGGTTCAAGCGTGTTCGGGGCACCGAAGAATAGAGGACGAGTTGATCTGCACGTATTCGAAGTCGGCATAGCTGTTGCTGCGTGGCCCAACTTTCAAGAGGCAGCTTATTGATCACGTGGGGGTCGTTTCGGCTTATCTCGAAGCACTACGTAATGACCTCACATGCGGACAGCGGCAACAGGTAAGGCTCATCTGCTCACCTTCGAGGCCTTTTCATATTGAAGTTATCATGTAGTATCTAGCAAGTAATAGCGTGAGGTTTCCACCAAACAGGATTGAGAATTCCTCAGCTGCCGTATTTCTGTCTGTCCACACATTTATATGTTTCGAATGCAATGCTAGAAACTAGTTAAGTTATACTTTATACCCCCGATATAATTAGTACACCAATTTGAGAATAACAAAGCTCGCAGCTGAGATACTCATCCCAACGCATTGAATTGAATCTTTCAGATCACAAAATGTTATACTTAACCGATTGGTTACACATTCTCCACAGATTAATCTAAAAAGTGCTCATTGACTGATACAATTCAGACAAACGACATGCGCATCAATGTCATAGGATTATTACAGCTGGCCTAAAATGAAAGCCAATTTTGCACAATACTGAGACATATACACTTCCCTGCTTATCATGTTCTCTGAGCCTTGATCATTTCCAAATCAAAGATTATTGAGCACAACCTGTAAAGCGGCCGTGTTGGAATCCTCCCTTCGAGAAACATAAGCCTTGACTTCCTGCACGCTAAGGTTTGTATCCACATGACTCGTGCCTCGTCCTTGATCTATACCAGCATTGCCATTCCCAGTACCCGTATTGACAGCGCTTCCTCGTATCCGCTCCTGCAAAGCTTCGGAACCAATGACAAAAAGGTTTCCGACTTCGAGAAGGACATCTAGCGCACCACTTGAGCCCTTAATTTGCTCATCAATGTCCCAACTCCTCAAGAGATCGGTGTATTGTGTCATATCCTTGGTTACTATAAGCCCTCCCGGCCCGTTCACAATAAAGCGTTTGAAATGTTCAAGGAGAAGACTTTTTGTCCCAATTGCAATCTCCGTGAGTAACTGGCGAAGGTTGGAGCCACTAGGTGGCAGAGAGCTCTTGAGGACATCATGAGCACGAGCTAAGAAGGCACAGGTTGACGCACATGTCTGAAATTCGTTTAGTAAACATCACGCTAAGACAAAGGAATGATGCGAGGACTAACCGGAGTCTGAAGCCTCTCCAACCAGGTTGTGTTGTCACCCTCTTTTGGTCGGAAGTCATTTTTTTTCTGACCAGATAAAAGTTTGCTCACCCAGGTCAAAGTCGCATCAATGACCTTTTGCTCTATTGAGTTTATCTTCTCCTCAATTCGTATCGTGATCAAATTTGTTTTTTTCTCCATTTCTCGACGAACTGTGATGCTTCCTGCGGCAAGAGGGATGAGTAAAGTGTTAATGCACATAACCATTAGATTGGCGATGCTGATGGCGTTTCGTATAGCTGGAATATATCCGAGATCAGGCTCGGTTCTACCTGATTCCTGGGACGTGGCTACATCCAGAGCAGCGTCGAGACAAACTTCAATATAACCCTCTCCCATCATTGAAAGAAGAAGGCCCAGAAGAGCAAGCATATCCTTGGGCGTCTCACTAGTCATACTCAGTTCTAGTCCTCTACCGACTGCTTCCGCAAGCCATTTCAACATACGTTTTGCATGGGCGATGCTGGGGATACCGTCGTCTTCCGTAAGCTTGATATCTGCAAATTTAGTGGAATCTGTGGCTTCCCTCAAGCCTGCCAATTGCAGTAGCAGACCTTTCTGCGTCGAGGGGAGTTCGGAAGACTCAAGGCGTGAAATATATGCATCTCTTGCGGAGACGAGAACCTCTGTGCCTGACTTCGAGAGGGATGCCATGAAGGTTGTCACCGCTTTCTTTCTGCGAGCGTGGAAAGTGGTGAACTTGAACTGTAAAGAGGTATATAGTTCTTCCAATGTCTTCTTTTCTCTTTCTATGTAAGACGACCCCACAAAATAGGGCACAAACAAGTCCTCTAATTGCTGGTCAAGAATGAGGGCTGTCTGTGATGAGATAGGATCGGGATGTTCGGTCAATCCATGGGCTTTTAAGTCATCGACTAGTGCGCTGAGATAACTGCGGGAGCTTTGCAAAGAACGTAGAAACGCTAGTGATGAGACACTGTTCGCCTTGTCCAAGACCATCTCGAGTCGTTGTTGTATTGACTGCTGAAAAACGCGCTGCAAGAACTTCCCCAACACTTGCTCGTAGTATGGGAAAGCCCTTTTGATGATCGCGGACTCTTCTTGAACCACAACTTTGACTTCATCAATGAGTGACTGCAGACTGGGCTCCACTTTTGAAGGTTCGGCATCAGGATCTGCAAGCATTTCCCAGGCTTCAGGATCCCCTCCAACTTGCTCCGTCACTAATTGGCTGCGGTCAATAAAGAACTGATGCTGGTTCACAAACAAAGCAATCACACTTGCACCACCATTGAAATCCTCTAGTACTGTCGCGCAATCCTTCATGCCTTCAAAGTTGGCTTTTCGGTAGAAATCGTCAAATTGCTTGAGCAGATCGTTCTCCAGCGTCTCGGAGAACTTCTCGATGATTTCTCGTGTGTTTAGCCGCATACTGCCCTTTGTGCTCGCATGCTCGTCTGCGATAGATCCATTTGCGAAGGTCTCGTTATGTCTTCCCGCTGCTTCATCCCAACTTGCAGTATCAAGTCGCTGACTGATTCTGAGCAACTGACGCGCAATCTGTGCCGATCGAACTTTGGCCTCACCCGTGCCTGACCTTCTCAGATTCTCTAAAAGTGTCAAATCCCCCCTATTGCTCACACCATCCCAGCATTCGAGGAGAAAATGTGCGTCAAGCGCCCGGCGTCTTTGACGATCTAACTCCTCGAGCTTACGTCCTGTCTCGACGGCCATGCTACCTGTGGCCTCGGAGAGCTCTCCTCCGGACATTCCTGTACCATTAAATGATGTATCTAGTTGCTGGAAGGAATCGACGGTCTGACTTAATTTCCTTCCTAAAGTATTCAAGTTCTGGGTGTGCTGTGCCTCAGCCCTGCGAACTGCTGCGGACAGCTCGTTTTCTTTTATCTCCAGGTCGCCTGATAGTTCGACTATTCGCCGCTGCGCGTGCTCAAATGTCCGTATCAGTGGTTTGGGATCGAACGGCTGGCTTCCACCTGCAGGTACACCTGCAGAACGCCGAGATGATACTGCGGTTTCGGAGAGTGCTTCAATAAATTCCTTCACCATGAAATCACGGCTAGAGAAGTCTTCAAGTGTGAAGCCGGGGCCTTGAGGGAATACCGGACGGGGCACAGCATTGGAAGGAGAACTCGGGGACGCATCGTCCGGCATTTTCTAGACTATAGCGGAATGCCTCTGCATTAATATCAGCTCTATGCTTATTAGGAACTTGAGAAAGGTTGAGAGCACTCCAAGGATAGTCTGCATCTCCCACTGGGTGCAGTGACGAAATACGTGCGGAGTACAGAATAGATGGGGTAGCTTGCTTAGCCGTAATGATAATGGATATTCTCCCTCCGCAAGTGATGAATTTAGCGACTAAAGACAGAGCAGACCTACTTAAGTTGAACGAGCTCAATCTCGAATTCCCAACGAGGTAACAGCTTATGTGCACCGCTGCAGTTGTGTTCGGGCGATGTTTCCCGGGTCCGCGCAAAGGATCTGGGTCCACGTTTATTTACGGTATGACCATCCGAGGCTCGCGTGGTTATTTTCGACCAGCAAACCTGGCGAGTCCTTTTCTCCTTGTTGACATCCTACGACCCGACGCAATCAGCGCATATGTGCATGCACCTCGAAAAAATGGTTTCAAATCATGATAGAGAGCTAATTCGCAATGATATACACTCTCGAGGGGCCAAGCTCAGTGCTGCTGAGCGGGAAAACATCTTGAGGCCATATCTTCCAGACCCATCTGACCTTCGACGGCGGCCATCACAGCGGCATAAGAAAGCTCACCGAAGGACTCCTGTACGGACGTTTGTCAAAGCACAAATTCATCGTGTTGCATACACATTTGTTCATATTTTCTTTGGAATCATCTACCGGCTCATGCAAAGCTATCATGCTGTTGTGGACCGAATATGTGCGATCATATATTACCACCACCGGACTCCTGAATTGATTCGGAAAGATGTGAAAGGTCTAAAGCGCTTGCCCGAGCATCTCAGTGTTATTTTGTCACTTCGCAAGGAAGAAGACGCCCTCACTGTCCTCATGGACGAGATTGCAGAGCTTGCAGCCTGGAGTGCGAGCGCAGGAATACCAGTGTTGAGTGTGTATGAAAAGACAGGTAGGTGGGCTTGGTTTTTGAGGTCAATCAAAAAGGTCTAAATCCGTTCGAGATATTAACGAACTCGGCAATTTCCCAGGGGCTCTGAAATCCTGTATCCCTGTTCTCCACCGGGTTATCATGAACAAAATGTGTTTCTACTATGGCTCACCCACGGAGCAACCCATGTTGCGTTTATTTGCACCGCATCATCCTGTTTTCGAGCAGCCACAACAAGCCTTTTCTAGGAATCGCAGCAGTGATGCTTTCTTGACTGTGCTTCTACTCTCCGCTACTGATGGCAGGGAGACTTTTGTTGACTTGACTAAAACTTTGGCGGAGATGTCCCAGGGCGGAAAATTGGCACCCCAAGATATCACCATGGAATTGGTCGATGCAGAGATCAGTGAGATTACTACTCAGCCGACTCGACCACTATCGCCAACCATGGGGGAACACAACAGGACTTCTGGCCCGCTCAGGCTCGTCGCGAAGCCTGAGCCTGACCTTCTCTTAGTGTTTGGTTCTTTTCTGAGACTGGATGGGTACCCACCTTGGCACATCCGATTGACCGAAATGTTTTGCACTGGTGGTAGGAGTTGTGGGACAAACACCTCTGAGGAAGCAGTTGAATACCACGGATTCTTACGTGGACTTTGGCACTATGCCGGAGCTCAGATGAGATTTGGTCGTTGACTTCTGTATACTCCAGCACATCATTTCAAAGACCTTTTCTAGAAATATCATCAGTGTCTCGTCTCGTCACGCATTGTATATTTATACTAAGATAATTTATTCTTTATGGTAAAGAAAGTGTTAAGACGTGGTTGTCATGATTTATTATGATGATCTTAATATTGTTGTTTTTTCACTAAGTCTTGGTGATTGCCGGCAGGGAAGAATCCTATCTAGGCAGCGTGACAGGCGGCGTCATAACTACCAGCAGAACATCAGCAGGCTCAACTACCAGGCTCCCCAGGCTTAACTGCTATAGACGCTGGTTATATAAGATTAATATCCTTGGAGATTACTATATCTATAATATAGAGGATAATAATAAAAGATATTTAGAGTAGATAATCTTAATATAGTAGAAAAGAATAAATAGTAGTAGAAAGAGAAATAGTAGAATATAAATATCTTAGTTATAGTAATTCTTAAATATACTAATAAAATTAGGTATATTAATATTAGATAATTATATCTATATATTATCTTTAGCTTTATAATCTTTCTACTATATAAGATATTAAATAACTAGAGTTCTATACTAACTATAGAATACTATATATTTACTAAGTATAGTCTCTATTTTCTAGTAATTATTCTTATCTAGGAACTTCTTATTAATCACCTTAGATAGCTTAGAAAGTATATAAATATATATATTAGGATTATTAATATAATAAGCAGGTTTAAGCTAAACTATTAATATAACTAGATATATAGACTAAGATATAGATAAATCTAGATAGTATACTTCTTATCTAATCTTCTTAAGAATAGTAAAAGATCTAGTATACTACTAATTAAGTTTCTACTTAATAATAGAGTTAGATAGTATAGTATACTTCTTATATAATTATAGATATACTTAGTTACTAGATATAAATATTATAGACTTTTAATAATAGTTATAACTATTCTTTATATATATAGTAGTAAAATATTAATTCTTAATTCTACTAAGAAAGAACTATATATCTTTAAGATATTATAGAATAACTTTAGTAATATACTTAAGTTTATATATTTTATTCTATCTAAATAGATATAAAGTAATATTAGTACACATCGGCTATCACAGTACATAACATAAGAGTATAAATTGTGTTTAGCTTTCTAGCTAAATATATCAGTGAAGTTTATAAATATTTATTTGAGTGTCACAATTGAATATTGACTTCCTAAAAAATACATATACTGTACGGAGTACTGTACCAGGGTATCGCAGACGGCAATAGTTTCCGATGCAAACTGGGGGGTTTCTGTACCTAGTCCCCGGCTGCAACTCAGAATGCGGAATAAGTCTACGGCTTCTTGGCAAACCACCTCCTGATCCTATCTTACATTCTACAGTTCAGAGCCGACAGAATGTAATACCTGGACCTCACAAGATTGATTGCGCTCCTTGAAGAAACACACCCTTGAACTGAAAATTGAACACAGATTATCCATGATCAATAATCAGAAGCAGTGCATGATACCGATTGGTCAGGATGGAGAACAGCATTTCGGGACTTGTCGAAAGGTTGGGGAGCGATGAAGATGGGGTACGCAAGATGGCAGTCTTCAAACTGCAAAGTAGCATCGGTGATCCCTCATTCGCCGACATATTCATTGCAGAAGGCGGTCTGATCAGGCTGCGCCATTTGATCTTGCATGCAACTGGAAACACATTGGCATATAGCCTGACAAGCTTTGCAAGACTACTGGAGGTGGATAAGGGCTGGGACTTTGTAGACCAGCATGTTGTTGAAAGGGTATGTGGCTCAAGCGACATGGAAAATTGCATTCAGATATGATTTCAGCTGGGTCTTACCTTGACTGACTAATACTTGTGGTGTCTTAGGTTGTCGAACTCATTGTGAACCATCCTCTTGTCAATATCCTGAGGGGTGCTATGTCCATATTAGTGTCCATAGTGTCATATTCACACATGAGCGAAAGTATCACGCAGTGTGGGGGCTTCGGATATCGTGCGTTGAAGCCTGCAATTGCCATATATCCGCAGTTTCTGGAGATGCTTGTCAGCAGACTGTCCTCTGCGGATCATGCACTTTGTGCCAATGCATTGCAGCTGATCAACTCACTCATGCGAGACTCCATCACGAACGATGCAGATGAGGAATGGCCAAGATTTATCCAAAAACTACAAGACCTGGGAGTCATACGAGCAGTGTACTCCCTGATGCAGGGAAGTGCCATGCAAGACCATCTCCATCCACTGATCGAGTTTCAGTATCTCACAAAAGTTCTTCTGCGGAAGTGGAGAGACATTTCTCTTAACTTGGATCAACCAGAACATAGGAGAGCTTTGAGAGGGATCTATCTGGCCAGCTCTTTGGAAAGGAGCCGGGATAATGGTTCTGAGATAGGCGATGATGTCAGTCCGTCCAAGCGCCATAATCCAGAAAAGTGGCGGCGACTTGGTTTCGAGACGGAAAACCCAGTCATGGACTTTGAAAGTACAGGCTTTTTGGGGTTGATGGACCTCGCAGACTATATCAGAAACAATCAAGATGAATATCAGAGAATCATCATGGAACAATCGACTAGGCCAGCCGATAAACGTTGTCCGATCGCTCGTGCTTCCTTGTCTATTACCTCAATTTTATATGACCATTTCGAGGTCGACAAATCAGACATGGAAGACGTCAAAACATCCTTGCTGATAGATTCGCGCTCTAACGTTGACAGTCTATTTCAGCCTTTGTTGTTACACTGGACGCGGATACATGTCGCTGGATTACATGCTTTCTTCCGTTTGTGGAAGACCACAGGTGCTGAAAGCGAGGATTATGACAAGATTGTGGAACTTGTTCGAGTGCTTCTCGAATCGATTGTCGGTCGAGCACCTCGCACCAAGGATGTGCAAGAGGTGGAGGAAGACATAGTCAATTTTGACTATGGGCGCCTTCGTGAATTACAGATGGAACTATTGGAATTTACATACGAGGATGCTTGGGGACAACATCTGCGGCATATGCGCGAAGAGCTCTACCATGAAGCCCTTCAGTTTGTGAAGGAGCAACGTATACGATGTCTGCTTCGAGGAGGCTGGTTTTCGAATGACAAACCAGAATCAGAAGCGGCATCCAAAAAGTCCTCCTGGAGATATATCCAGCTATCTCATAATCGGCGGCATTTGCACTTTCGCGACTTTGAGCATCGGCAGAAAGAAAACCCACAACTAGACATTCTTTCAGAAAAAAGTAAGCATATCGTCCCTAGCATTCGTTCCTTGTCTTGTGCCTAACTGCTTACGTGCTACACGCTCAGTCGATCTTTCCGCTGTGTCTTCTGTTGTCTCCAATGTCTCAACAGCGCCTGATGATCAGGGTCCATTCGCTGTCAAGACTCAGCCTCACGCTGATCCTTCGATGAGAATAACAATCTATGGTTATATTGACCATACGGCAAAGACAAAGGGCACGGTGGACACCAAACATCATTCTCGGCACCCTAGCAAGTCTACACAAGGAGAGTGCATACTTCTGAATTTGTTTCCGCAATCTCCTCGCGTAGCATCAGAATGGCTTGATGGTTTACTGATGCTACTTGACCAGCAACCTATCACAACTGAAACAAGCAAATTAATTGGTTCAATCAGCGACTATGGCCTGAAAATCCGCCTATTGAACATTCGCTTTGACGACCTAGCACTTTTTGGTGAAACTCCCAGCGTTCCTTCGCGTGAAGGTCTGGACAATGATTACTATTATGACGTCTTCGGGGGTCCTTAAGGCGGGGGTCTTTAAGGGATCCTATCTCGCCTGATGCACTCATTATACATACTTCGAGAGGACACTTTGCATCCACCCACCAAATAATATATAATGCCAATGAGAAAATCCGTTTCGATCCTTCTTCACTTGCGGAAGTGAATGATGACAACCTCGCTCATTACTTTGTAAGCTGGTCAGTTCGAAGGTTAACAATGTGCCACAACTAGACTGAGGACTCTGACAAGGTACTGTGTTTGGCTCGGTAGAACTCCTCCGATTACCGTTCCGAAAATAGTTAGGCCCCAAGTCACCGAAAGTTTACACGTCCAGGCCCACCCTGGCAGTGTCCTGGGCCGACCTTGTTGATCTTCACGCACGTCTGAACAGACTCGGCGCACTTCCGTCCTCCTTAATAATTATTACGAGCTTGAACCCTAGCCATGATTATGTTCTTGTTACCCAAATACACATTAAATTGCATCTTCCTAGCAGACAGGCTGCTATGAAACTCAGCGGACCGCTACACTAGGCAATCCCCGACAGCTGCCATTCTAGCCCTCCCGCTCACCTGGTCTCTGTCCGCCTGGCTCGGTCATTTCCTCTGTCAAGCTGAGGACGGCAAGATCTTCAGCGAAGATGAAACGCAAAGAATCCTCGGATCTTTCTCTGACCTCACTCAATCTCTGTGCCCCTGCCCAGGCCGGCCAGCGATCTCGTCTCGACAAGCATGATGATCTTGCGAAGACCAGCATAACAATGGAGACACCGAGCGCTTTCGATGACGTGATTGAAGACGACTATGACTCTTTCGACGAGATATTCACACAGAATTTCGCTGACGACGGAACTAGTCGAGAGGCAGACATGACAAATGTCCCCACACCCGAAGAGCAAGGCCATCCTTCCCCTTTGAAGGCCCTTGCCTATAGTCATAAATATGCTAGCGCAGTCAAACGATTTGTGATACCACCGGCACGTAACATTAAACCCAGGCTGTATCGTGCAGTTCATGATGAATTACCGTGGGCTCAGAGATTTCCTCCGAATGATCTAAATGAACTGGCGGTTCACAAGAGAAAAATCTCCACTGTGAAAGACTGGCTGGATAATGCATTCCGTGGGACTGGCAAACGGGTATGTAGCTTGGCCATTTGTGAAATTGAACCTCATTAGCTGTTCCGGACTGGGTATCAGGTGACTTGAAGCTGTAACTCATCACTGACAATGGTGAAAGCTACTCATTCTTCATGGTCCTGCTGGCAGTGGAAAGACAACTACTATTTCCATGCTGTCAGAGCTTTTGGGGTTCGAGATACTCGAATGGCGAAATCCTACAGCATCTGACTCCGTCACCGATGTATCAAACTCTCTAGCTTTTCAATTCAGTGACTTCCTGGAGCGGGCCGGCGAGCTCCCGGGTCTCGACCTTGACTGGTCACAACGCAATCAATCCTGGGCTCAAAGGCGCGACTCGCCACAACGGCGTATAATCTTGCTTGAGGAATTTCCATCACAAACAACCCAATCGCCTACTGTGTCTCTGTTCAGACTGGCGATTCAACGGTACCTTGCAATGCCAGTCTCATCTCAAGACATGAACATAACGCCTTGCTCTCCTATCGTTATTATCATTTCGGAGACTCTTCTGGACTCGGGCTCTTCTTCCCAAGATAACATTACAGCTCATCGACTGCTAGGCACGACGATTTGCAATCACCCTCAAACCAGTATTATTGAGTTTAATAGTATAGCTCCCACGTTCATGTTCAAGGCTTTGAATTTGATCATCGAGAAAGAAAGCCGCTGCTCTAAACTCCACAGAGCAGTATCACCTGCTACAATACACACCATCTCTCAGAATGGCGATATTCGAAGTGCGGCTTCCAGTCTGGAATTCATTTGCCTTAAGTCGAACCATTTTAAAGAGACGAAGAAACCGTCTAGAGCCAAGAAGGCCTCTCGGAAAGCTTCCACTCTCACCCCGCTGGAACAGAACACACTCGAGCTGATAGCTCAACGGGAAAGCAGTCTGGGATTGTTCCATGCTGTTGGCAAAATTGTTTATAATAAGCGTGACAATCCAAGCTCTGAAGAAGACGGTCAGCCCGCCATGCCACCAACCCACTTGCGCCATCATGAAAGGCGAAGAGTCTCACAGGTACAAGTCAACGAACTTATCAATGGTCTTGGGACTGATACGCAAACTTTCATCAGTACTTTGCATGAGAATTATGTTCCATCTTGCGATGGTGACTCCTTCGCAGAGTGCCTCGATAACTGCATCAGTGCTCTCTCTGACAGCGACATGCTTTACCCTAACTCTAAAAGGGCAAGCAGATCTTTGGTTCATGCAACTAGAATTAGTGCTGCAGTTGAAACTTTGCGGCAGCAAGACATCAGCTACCAAGTTGCCGCTCGTGGGCTTTTATTTGCTCTTCCTTATCCTGTGAAACGAGTGACATCAATTGGGGGTGGTGTCGGGAGTTCGAAATATGCACAACAACTTCTGTACCCAACTTCGCTGCGGATCATCCATGACATGGAAGTGATTGAAAGCCTCATAGCTTTATGGTCCGCCAGGCTGTTGAATTCGATTAATCGTGTTGCCCCGCGCTCAGTAGCTGTAAATAGTCCTCTCGACGAGAAGGACCTGAGCACTAACAAAGTTTCCTGCCACAAAGGCGCTCATATTGATGGCCAAACAGTTGCAGCTACCATGGTATCGCGCAGTGACCTCTTACTATACCAATTGCCGTACATGGCATGTTTAACCAGGGGAGTTACGGAGCGCCAGGAACTCGAGAGGATTACGAAAATCATCAAGTCGGAGTCCCAGGATTACGGCGGAGCCCTTCATCTACCTGATAAGATAAATAACCCTGGTGGGAACGCTGAATTACCGAGAGAGATTTGGAGGCCAAAAGTTCGTGGCTACAACAACACCCGTGATATCCGTCTAGGGTCTGCGACTGATGAAGAAAGGCTCACTCTGAGTGATGATGAAATCATAGACAATGACTGAGGTGTTTTTCGATCTTAAACTGACATGCGCGCCATGATTGTCGAACCCCAAGCGCTTGATGCTCATCAGATCACTTGTTCTAAGGTTCTAGCTCCGATTACATGTAGAAGCCCTTGGTTATATGTAACTATGCTCCTATCGCCAACACAGACTATGGTCTCATCCCGAGGAAAAATAGCATTGGCTCCGATAGTTGTACCATACAAGGAGTGCAGTTCATTAAGTATCAGAAACAGCCACGTCGGAAGCACTGATCAAGCCTGAAAAAAGAGAGATTAAATACCAATATGTCACATTTCCAATGAGCAAATACAACATAATTGGGTCCTTCTGCTGTGGACTGTACAACACAGTGCACAGCTTACTGTTTGCATCTATTCATATGTAATATGAAGGAGAAGAATATTGAACTGCAGACTCTCTTACCATATTTCACAGTATGTGATTTCTCCTTGTAGTGGCCTCAATCTTATACAATTACATGAATTTCAGACTGGGTGCTTTTTTCTAAACTGGTGTAGAGAAATTATACACTTCACAAATTACTAGCTGTTCTCTTTCCTAAAACAAATCTTCCAGCTTGGGAGACTATCTTCAGACTCAGTTCTAGGCTTAAATTAATCTAACTATGGCATGGTGAGCTTAGTGGTCAGTTAATTAATGCAATTCACAAGCAAGCTGCTACTACAAGCAAACCACTATTGTGAAGGCCAGTTGGTTGATTGACCCCATGGACAACCTTGTCGACCTTGATGACCCTTTCAACCTTGATTGCTTCTTGTGTTTGCTTGCTTTGTGCGGTTGGCCTTGTTCGCTCAATTTATATCATTTATACTAGAGCTATAATATAATACCTACTAATATAGATTTTATTTCTCTTCTTTTCTTGCTATACTTAAAGTTCTTATATAATAGTACTAAATTAGTTTAATAATGTTGACTGTCATCATCCTTCCTTCCATCTTATTCCTTCTTCCTTCCATCTTAGTCTTTCTCTTCTTGATGTCTCCTGTATTTAAGATCTTGCTTGAGGGAGAAGAATAAATAAACAACTTTATATTATTATAATATCTTGATATCTTAGTATCTAGAGAGGATCTTAAGTATAGTATATTAACTATAAGTTAATAGTCTATTCTAAATAATCTTAGATTTCTTAAGATTTATTCTTCAGAGTATAGAGATTACTTTTCTATTATCTACTCTCTTCTTATTTCTTTTACTATAGATAGGATCTCTAACTATTTTTCTTTTATAGAAGAGTATATAACTACTATAATATATAGAACTAGACTGTTAGATTATAATATTCTATAATATATTAAGTAGTTGATATATCTACTAACTAGGTAAAGATATAGTATACTATATTATCTATATTATAGTAAATTATAATAAGAATATTATAAAATAATAAGAAGACTACTTATTAGATATAGATATCTTTTCTTTCTCTATCTTATAAGAACTCTTTCTTTCTTATTCTACTGTCTTCCTGTATTTAAGATCTTGCATGGCTGAGGACAATAGAATAAATAACTTCGTAAGATGAAAATATCTTGATGTCTCAGCTTCCTGAGGGCTTCGGGCCCAACATATCAACTACATTTCTAGAAGAATAATATAAATTATATATTTTAATTAGAAATAATAATTGTAGAAATTCTATAATTATAATCTTAAAGATATTATATAAGAGATACTTCTTAATTACTTATATTTATTTTTAAATATTCTAGAATTATTTCTATTTTTTAATAAACTTATTAACTATTATAAATATCTAATTATTATTACTAGCTTAGTAGAAAGAGTAGTACTAAAGTCTATTATTATAATATAAAAAGATTTAGATATAAAAATAATTGTTTATAAGATACTATATAAT